ATAAATAAAATAAATTCTGAAATTAGAAAGAGAAAAAAAGATTTCAACTAGGAATACAATTTATAAATAACTAAAATTGGTGATAAAAAAATAAGACTATTGAAAGAAAAGACCATCTAAAACACATGACGAGATTAATTAAGTAACAGGCCTATGGAGGAGCAGAGTTGTGGCGGTTGATGAGACATCTAAAAACTATTAATAAAACAGTAAATAGAATCCTAATGACGATTAAAAGAAAGGATGATGGGCAGATCGTGAAGCAATCGGTCAAGGCGGTTGTCGGGGACTTCTAGAAAGTAAAAACATAAACCCCAATGATAATCATATTTGATTTTTAAAATCTCAATTATAATAAAAATGAGAGGCAGCGGGTGGGTCGTATAGGAGTACAATGGCAGAGTCGTCGATGGTTGTTGCGTCTTTTAGAAAGTAAAAAATGAATTCCAACGATAGTTATGTTCAATTTTTAGAATCCCAATGACAATAAAGATTATGCGGCGGACGGGTCGTAGAGGAGTATTTTGACAGCGTTTGACATGATTTCTAAAAATTATAAAAAACATGAAACCCAACAAGACAATAAACTCTAAAAACTATAAGGTACAATTTTTAAAGGTTCGGGCTTCTAAAAAGTAAAGAAAATAAACCCCAATAATAATCATGTTAGATTTTAAAATCTCAATGATAATAAAGAAGGGCGGCAGTGGGCGAGCCGTAGAGGAGTATAGTGACAAAGTCGCTGACGTTTTGGCGGAACTTCTAGAAAGTAAAAAAAAACCTAAATAATAATTATATTCGACTTTTAAAATAGCAATGACAATAAAGAGAAGATGCAATGGATGGTTGTAGAGGAGTATAATGGCAGCTCTGACGAGACTTCTAGAAATTATAAAAAAAGCCCAACAGGACAAATAAACTCTAAAAACTATAATTTTTTAATCCAATTTTTAAAGGTTTCAATGAGAATGAATAGAAACAATGGTAGATCGAAAAAGCTAATAAAAAATAATATGATAAAAGTAAGGGGTAGCAACTGATGTGACTTTTAAAAACTACAAAATTAGAAACCCGAGGATGATAATGTTTGGTCTTTCAAAATCTTAAGACGGTGAGATAACTTTTAATAAATTTTAAGTAAAATCATATTAAAAAAATATATGATTTTATACGGGTGCTAGTCGCGCAATTGCGCGGACCACCCAGCTAGTTCTTATTATTAAAAGAAATGAAGAAAGTGGAGATTACCTTCGTAGCAGGCATCTAGCTCTTTCTCCTCGATGTCATCCAGACGTTGCTGCAGGCTCGGTGGAAGCACCTTTATACCAGAACAATAACTAACTGTAAGAGATGTAAGAGATGAGTATGCTTGAGGCCCCTTCGGCAAGGATACCAGGCTCTCGCAATCAAAAAGGGTGAGTTGTTGCAGCGACGGGAGCTCTCCTAAGCAAGATTCCAGTGATTTCAAGCTCTGGCACGATTCTATATTTAATTCTTGAACGGCATCCAGCTTTCCTGAGAGGGACTGAAGTTCTTCGCAGCAAGAAATATCCAATTTCTTGATGGACGGAGGAAGATGGAGAACCTCCAAACGATCACAGTTCCATATTACTAGAGATTCTAGGCGTGGAAGGGTGCGATTGTTGGTCTCGCTGGTGGAGCCTGATATTAATGATGACTTATCCGGCTGTGCAAAGCTTTCTGCATTCACCAACATCGTCCTATCCTGCTGCTGATTGAATATGATGGACTCCAGGCCACGGCACCCCCTAATGTCTAATAGCTTGAGAGACGCAGGTAGGTTGGGGACTTCTACAAAAGAACCACAACAGCTTATCTGTAGGGACTCTAAACGTGGCAGGAGTTCACTTGGTGCTGGTGTAGATTGCCCACGAGCTTGTGTGTGTCCTGTCAGATTCTTGCATTGATAAATACTGTACCTAACTTCCTCAAGGAAACCAAGCCCTGGAACACCTTTTCTGGCCAGTAGAGAAGCGCATCGACTTTCCGAATATTCAGATCTATGAGCTGAACAAAACATGTCCAGAGAGCCAGCGCACTTGGGTGAGAGAATAAAAGGTTGCACCCATTTAAGTTCATAAGTTCAAGGGGAGATTTATGATTCCATTTCTCATCCTCAATCACCAATTCACTCGAATCTTGTTGCTTGGCCACCGATGTTGTTTCTGTGCCATCAGTTGACAAATGCAGATGGAGACTGGACAATGAAGTAGTATATCTGCTAGCTGCCTGTAGGGATATTTGTTGATTGCCTTCATGTATGTTTAAGACACTTAGTTTTGGTGCTTCAGGTAGAGTAGTCAGCTCTGGGCACTCGTTGATTGTTAATTTGTCAAGCTGAGGAAATGCTACCTCCTCCTTTAGAGTTCCATCGACTGCCTCCCATTTCTGAAAGATATCCAAATCATCTAATTCCATTTCCTTCAATGCTGGAAATGCAGAACGACACACGGTGCTAACTCCGCTAGACGATTCTGAAATCACATTTGACGCTTTTGGTAAGGCAGTTAGCCTAGGGCAACTTTCGATAAACAGCTTTTCAACCTCAGGAAATATCAGCTCTTCTCCTTTTACCTCATTTGTGTCCCACCATGGCTCCTTGAAATGTTAAACACAGCGGTGATCACTCTGATCCCCAAGAAAGACTCCCCTACACTGCTGAAAGACTATAGGCCTATAAGCCTCATACATAGCTTCGCCAAGTTAGCAGCAAAGGTCATGGCACAGAGGCTAGCCCCAAGAATGAATGAACTTGTGCCCTACACACAGAATGCATTCATAAGAGGTCGATCTATTCATGAAAACTTCATCTTTGTTAAAGGGCTCGTTCAGCAATACCACAGGCAACACAAGGAAATGATTCTACTCAAACTCGACATCTCCAAAGCCTTTGACACAGTGTCTTGGTGTTTTCTATTGGATATGCTGAAGTGGAGAGGTTTCGGTGCCAAGTGGAGATTATGGTTGGTATCTCTGTTCCTCACGGCTGAAACCAGCATCCTTATCAACGGGAATGAATCAAACCCTTTTAAGCCGGCTAGGGGATTGCGGCAGGGAGACCCTTTATCGCCACTGTTATTCGTTCTGGCAATGGATGCACTGCAAGCAGTTGTAGCTCAAGCGAAAGCAAGTGGACTGATATCTGAACCAGCACCAAGACGCCCAGTTCCAAGTATATCAATATATGCTGATGATGCAGTATTATTTTTCAAACCAAGTCAACAAGAAGCCAAGGTAGTCAAGGCAATTCTACAGATTTTTGGTGCAGCCAGTGGATTAATGACCAACTACAATAAAAGTGCAATCACTCCAATTCAATGCAGTCAGGAACAACTTCAGGTGGTGGCTAATGAGTTGCAATGCAATATTCAATTATTCCCTATCATCTACCTGGGATTACCACTGTCCACAAGAAAGCCAACAAAAGCTGAGGTGCAACCAATTCTCGACAAGCTTGCAAACAAAGTGGCAGGTTGGAAGCCCAAGTTGTTGTCCCCTGATGGCCGGCTCTGCTTGATTAAATCCGTTCTCATGGCCCTCCCAGTTCACTTCATGTCTGTATTGCAACTTCCAAAGTGGGCAATCAAGGACATCGAGCGGAAATGTCGGGGATTTCTTTGGAAGGGACAGCAGGAGGTGAGTGGTGGACATTGCCTTGTAGCCTGGAAAGATGTCTGTACACCAGTGGAAAATGGCGGCTTGGGCATTCGAAACCTGGAGCTCTTCGGCAAAGCGCTGCGCCTGAAATGGCCAGCCAATCGCTTACATCAGAAGGATAGGCCCTGGACCCTTGTTGACTTCAGACTGAGCGCAGATGACGAGAAAATCTTCCAATCTGCATCTGAATTCTGTGTGGGCAATGGTAGAGACACTAAATTTTGGTCGGACAATTGGCTAGGTGGAGGAAGCATTGCCTGGAGATGGCCCACCCTTGCGACTTTTATTGGTAGAACTAAGCTCACAGTAGAACAGGGACTCCTGGGACATCGATGGGTGAGAGATTTGCAAGGATCTCTCTCGGATATAGCAATGATGCAGTATTTTCAGCTTTGGGACGAAATCCAACAAATCAATCTCAGTCAGGAGGAGGACACAATTCGCTGGAAGCTCACTCCGGATGGTTCTTTCTCAGTGTCCTCAGCTTATGATCTCTTTTTCATGGCTCGTGAGATTTCTCCTTGCGGACAGCTAATTTGGCAGACAAAAGCTCCGTCGAAGGTCAGATTTTTTCTTTGGCTAGCAACAAAGGGCAAATGCTTGACGGCGGACAACTTGGCGAAGAGAGGATGGCCCCATGAAGATCACTGTGTACTCTGCCAACGCGAATAGGAGGATTGCCTACACTTGTTCGTCACCTGTGATTTCTCCAGGCGAGTATGGCAGCTGCTGCGAGCATGGGTCAATGTGGATTTCCCTCTGCCAGGACAAGCGGGAGAGGGGCTGATAGGCTGGTGGATGGTGGCACGATGCCATTTTCGAAGCAGCTACAGGAGCAACTTTGACAGCGTTTTCGCCTTGACCTGTTGGCTGATTTGGAAGGAGCGCAATGCCAGAATTTTTCAGCACAAGCAGCAGACCGTGGAGCAGTTACTGGAAGACATCAAAGAAGAAGTTTGGATGTGGAAGTCTGGAGGCTATTTTCAGATTATGTAATAGAGACATCATACTTTCTTTGTAGCCTTCGGGCTTTTGTGTATGGCTTTGATTGGGGGGGACCTGTCCCCAGCCTAATCTCGACATCCTATTGTCGATATAAAGCCCATTTGTAATTTGTTCCCCTTTTCCTTAATGAAATTTGGTCGACCGAACCTTTCGGCCGACCCGGCAAAAAAAAAAGACAAGGTTAGCTCCTTCAGTTTGCAAAATGCGAAGGGTGTGTGTGTGTCACTGTTGAACAAGCAATTTAAACTATCCAGTCCTTCAAGGCAAAGAACTTGTAGAGCTGGCAGCTGCCACAGTGGAGGAAGCTTCTCGAGATTTTTGCAACCATCTAACACAAGCTTTACCATGTCTCGTAGTTTATTCATCCAAGTTGGACATGTACTGCTCCCACAGCTATATATACTCAGAACCTTGAGCCCCTCGTGAGGCGTGAGACCTTCCAGCACCTCTTTATGATTATCTCTGTGCCTCCTTGTACTCCTGATCAGCCCATCCTAAGCTCAATTCGGTCAGTTTTTTCTTCTTTCCGAGATTTGCTGCTTTTGCATCAGCTTTTGTCACATTTTCCAGTTGTGTTAGCTCTAGTCGACCACCAAGGTCCGACTGCCGCAGCTCTCCCAAATCACTGCAGCCAGAGCAAGCACCAGCTACAAAGCATGTAAGCGTCTGTAGGCAAGTGAGGTGTCCGAGGTTCGGAGGCATGCTTTTTAACCTCTCACATCCGTGAGTGTACAGGTGACGGAGGGCAGTCATGTACTTCGTTCCCTTTGGAAGTCGATGAAGATTGCTACAGTGGGAAAGGTTCAGCGTTTGCAGATGATATAGGATGCTTATGTCTTCAGGAAGTGCTTTAATTTCACTGCATGAGAGATCAAGATACCTCAGGTGATGATGATATTTTGGTTTCAGGATTATACCTCCCCAGATCTCTAATGCTCGCAATGACCTGTATTTTGATAAATTCTGTAAATCTTCATTTTGCGAGGAATATATCAATGTTTGGATACCGGGATATCCTTTCTCTAGGGAAGAATTAAGAATAACTTCTGGTCTATCACCTGACAAAAATAAATGGCGAGCGGAATAAGGGAAGTCCTCACTTCCAATACTTTCTGAATCTATGGCAGCACATTCTTTTCCCATGGAAGATTGTGCAACATCATGCATAAGATCATGGATCTTAGCAGTAATCTTAGAGTCCTTTATATCATGGAACTCAAATGGGATCCCCTTCACATCCTGAAAAAATGACCTTGACACCAACTCACTGAAAATTCTTTTACCACTGATTTCAGGGCACTCTCCTTGTTGCTCTGGGATAAAACAATTGGCCATCCATAATTGGATCAACATTTCCACATCAATCACATGATCCTTGGGAAAAATAGCACAGAAAGCAAAGCACTGCCGCATATATGATGGCAAGCAATTGTAACTAAGCTTTAGTATTGGTAAAATTCCATTTTCCTCATCACAAATTGTGCTTCTCCTTAATATAGCCTCCCATTCTTTCTTGGTGGTCTTTGTACGCAGTGTAGAGCCCAATGCTGTTGCAGCTAAAGGGGAACCAGAACATTTCTTGGCAATATCACCAACCATTTCGAGTAGCTCAGATTGCCTTTTCTCTTCTTCTGAATTGAAAGCACTTCTCTCGATAATTTCCTTTATAAAGTTTTCATTCAAGTCCTTGAGATGATGAACTTCTTTAGGTGGAGCCATTATTTCAGCAACTGTTTTATCACGGGTTGTTGTCAAAACTGAGCTACCGCTGCCACCATGCTGAACGTAGGACTTGAGCGCTTCCCACTTACTAGCCTCACGGTTCCAGACGTCATCCAATACGAGGAGGAACCTCTGCCCATTCACAACTTCTTTAAATTCAGCCCTTTCATTACAGTTCTTCTGTTTGCGAGCTGCTTCAACTATGCTTTTGGCCAGCGAATCCACATCGAAGTTGTCAGAGACACACACCCACAGGAGCAACTGAAAATGCTTCTGAATTTGAGGGTCATTGTAAATGAGCTGCGCTAAGGTGGTCTTGCCCATCCCCCCCATTCCTACAATGGGAATAACAGTGAGATCCCCATTGCTGGCTTGAGAAAGCAATGACTTGACAATCTTCTGTCTGTCTTCCTCTCTTGATCTGTTGGCAATGTCCATAGAATGTTCAGAAATTTTAGAATCCGTCTTCCTCCATTTCATGGACGACATTGGTGGCTCTGGTCGGAATTTAAACCTAAAGGCATTCATCTCTGTAATTAGGACCTCAATTGCATTCAGGATCATCCTGAGCTTGTTGCCCATCCTGTAACGGAACACAATACGGTTGTGAGTAGGAAAGAGCTTTATTACATCCATGCCGAGCATCTTATACTGCCAATTGGCCTTGGCTTTGCGGCGGAGGGCCTCGTACTTGAATTCGTCGAAGACATCATTGGCCTGGTAGGCCACCTTCCGGAGCTCCTCCAGCCATGCTTTCGCCCCTTCTCTGTGTTTTGCCGCCTGCTCCTCGGCGTCGGCGATGACGTCGAGGATGGCCGGCAGCTTGCGTTTGAGGATCTTGTGCTGCTCCTCCATACCCTCCATGACCTTGTACTGCTCCATGAGATAGCTGGAGGCCTTCTCCTTCACCATGGACACCAGTGGCCCGACCACCATGGTGGCCATTAGCTCCGCCATCGGAAGGAACGAGCTAAGGAAGAACACAGGGGGAAGCAAAGTTGCTGGGTGGGGGTGGAGAAGGCAAGGAGTATGAGCAAATGCTTTTGTGCAAAATGGAGACTGAATGTAAGTACTATTTGACTTTCTGGATCTAAGTGGATGGGTTTGATTGGTTGCATCGATTGCTACAATATACTCCTCACTTTATTATTAATTTAGCATATATGTTTTCTCATTATATTATTCAAATATATTAAAATGACAACATAATTTTAAATTTTGCAATAACTTTACAAAACTACTAATGTGTAATATTTATATTATATTTTATATACGTGTTAGTTATTAATTATTTTTAATATCAAATTTTAGTTATTTGTAAATTATATATATTCCTATATGGACTCTAGACTCGTCTTTTAATATTTCTTTTTTTAATTCATTTTTATTTATGAATTTTTATTATTTCTAATTGTATTTCTATGTGGACTCTAAACTCATCTTTCAATATTCTTTAATTTTTAATTTCGAATTTCAGTTGCTTCTAAATTATATTCCAATATTTGTATTCCTATATTGACCTTAAATTCTTCTTCCAATGTTTTTCTTAATTTTGAATTTTAGTTATTTGTAAATTGTATTTTTATACAGACTCTAAACTCTACTTTTAATTTTATTATGTTTATTCCAAATTTTAGTTAGTTTTAAATTCCTATATGGACTCTATACTCTACTTCTAATATTCCTTATTTTTTTAATTCCGAATTTCTATTTTTTTTTCTAAATTGTATTTCTATATATACTCTATACTTTACTTCTAATATTCCTTATTTTTAATTCCGAATTTATATTATTTCCTAATTGTATTTCTATATGTACTCTATACTCTACTTCTAATATTCCTTATTTTTAATTCCGAATTTCAGTTATTTCCTAATTGTATTTCTATATGAACTCTATACTCTACTTCTAATATTTCTTTTTTTTTTAATTCTGAATTTCAGTTATTTCCTAATTGTATTTCTATATGGACTCTAGTCTCCTCTTCTAATATTCCTTTTTTTCATTCCGAATTTCAGTTATTTCCTAATTGTATTTCTATATAGACAGACTCTAGTCTCCTCTTCTAATATTCCTTTTTTTAATTCTGAATTTCAACTATTTCTAAATTGTATTTCTATATGGACTCTAGTCTCCTCTTCTAATATTCCTTATTTTTTAATTCCGAATTTCAGCTATTTTTAAATTGTATTTCTATATGGACTCTGTCTTTTCTTTTTCTCCGATTAATGTGAGAATTTCTAGGCCATGAGAGCGAACTTGGAGGTTCCTTTTTCTATTCCTTTAATTATATATTTAATTCCAAATTTCTTTGTAAATTGTATTTCTATATGGACTCTAGTCTCCTCTTCTAATATTTCTTATTTTTAATTCCGAATTTCAGCTATTTTTAAATTGTATTTCTATATGGACTCTGTATTTTCTTTTTCTCCGATTAATGTGAGAATTTCTAGGCCATGAGAGCGAACGTGGAGGCTCCTTTTTCTATTCCTTAAATTATATATTTAATTCTGAATTTCTATTTTTTCCTAATTGTATTTCTATATGGACTATATAGTCTACTTCTAATATTCCTTATTTTTAATTCCGAATTTCAGTTATTTCCTAATTGTATTTCTATATGGAGTCTATACTCTACTTCTAATATTTCTTATTTTTAATTCCGAATTTCAGTTATTTTCTAATTGTATTTCTATATGGACTCTAGTCTCCTCTTCTAATATTCCTTATTTTTTAATTCCGAATTTCAGCTATTTGTAAATTGTATTTCTATATGGACTCTAGTCCCCTCTTCTAATATTCCTTATTTTTAATTCCGAATTTCAGCTATTTGTAAATTGTATTTCTATATGGACTCTGTTTTTTCTTTTTCTCCGATTAATGTGAGAATTTCTAGGCCATGAGAGCGAACGTGGAGGCTCCTTTTTCTATTCCTTTAATTATATAATAGATTTGTAGATCTTGTTCTGTAAAGTTCTTAAGATGGTGTTTGGATCCATGGACTTAACTTTTAGTCCCTGTATTTAGACACTAATTTAAAGTATTAAATATAGACTATTTATAAAACTAATTATATAGACGAAAGCTAATTCACGAGACAATTTTTTTAAGCCTAATTAATCTATAATTAGAGAATGTTTACTATAGCATCACATAGGCTAATCATGGATTAATTAGGCTCAATAGATTCGTCTCGCGAATTAGTCCAAGATTATAGATAGGTTTTATCAATAGTCTACGTTTAATATTTATAATTAATGTCCAAACATTCGATGTGATAGGGATTTAAAAGTTTTAGTCCCATCTAAACAGGGTCTAAATCGATACTAGAAGTCAACTAGTCCTACAGTCCTACTCAGCAATCGGGAGTAATTGTTTATGTGAGACGAGCGCAGCGCAGGTAGTATCGGGGACATTTTGGGGTGCCCTATTAATATACTACTCCCTCCATCTACTTTTGATAGTCATATTTTATCTTAGCACACAGACTAAAGATAAGTGATTCTACTTATCATCCATTTAAATATGCCACTAGTCATTCCTCGTAAACAAACGATTCATTAATATTTACATTTCTCAATGCTCATATAGCCAATCTTGTGTGGAAGAATGAAGAGTCACGCATTTAATTAAGAAAGCCATTAAGATGATAAATTGTTGGATTGAAATATGCCTATCAAAAAATAAATTTTTTAGATTTGAAAATATAAATATCAAAAATAGATGGAGGGAGTATCTATTATTATTATTTTATTAAAACAATAGAAAAATAAGTCTACACGTTTGGTTCTCACAGTCTTGAAATTATCATATTAATCGGAGAAAAATAAAACAATAGAGTACATATAAAAATCTAATTTAAAAATAACTGAAATTCGTAATTAAAAAATAAGTAATAATGGGAGAGGAGATTAAAGTTCACACCGGTTACAATTTAGAACTATTTGAATTTTGAATTAGAAAATAATAAAATTAAAAGTAGAGTTTAAAGCTTATAAAAAATATAATTTAGAAATAACTAAAATACGAAATTAAAAATTCGACGAACGCTAGCCACGCGAGGCACCATGCTAGTTACTCCCTTTATCTGCTTTTGATAGTCATATTTTTATCTTGACACACAGATCAAGGATAAATAATTCTACTTATCATCCATTTAAACATGCTACTAGTCATTCCTCGTAAACAAGCGATTTATTAATATTTACATTTCTCAATGCCCATCTTGTGTGGAAGAATAGAGAGTCATGCATTAAATCCGAGAAAGTCATTAAGATGATAGGTTGTTGGATTGAAATATACCTATCAAAAATAAATTTGTCAGATTTGGAAATATTACTATAAAAATATATGGAGGGAGTAATATATTATTATGTCAAATTGCAGGATCTGAATTAGCCGGATTCCAATACCGAGATGACGACTAGCCATGCACCAGCATTATCGACAAGACTGCCGGCGGCGGGGATGAAGAGGTTTGAAGCGTACCGGACCTGGAGGGAGCCGTGCCGCCCTTGCCGCATTTGCGATTTGCTGCCCGAACCGCGCCTTCCCTCCGCCGCCGGACCGCCGGAAATGCGCTGAGCCGCCCAAACCGCATCCCTCGCTAACCCATACTCTCCCTCGGGGCTGAGCTTCTCGATGTACTCTCGTAATCTCAAATAAAAATTTCTGTCAGTCCTCTGTCAAGTAGTGTCCTGCTCTGCTGTCATGAACTCTAGAATCTGAATTAGAAATTTGTCTTCTGTTGATCCAGATCGGTTGATGGAATTATCTATGTGCATCTTATCGAATTCACTTGAGAAGAAGCGAGCCTATATGAACACGCAGCCACTCAAAAAGACGGTGGTAACTGCAAGGGCCTAATAAGAAAAATAAAGGAATAGATGTTCTCTTCAGATATGCGTGAACAAGAAAAAGGTTAGATACCAAGACACTAAAACAATCTTTCAACAGAATCGGTGTGTTTCCAACAACATGAGGTTTGATACACTTCTCAAATTTTGGATGTACCCTTGACCCTTGTATAATCCGGAGGAGACCGTCCAAAATGAAACAATCAAAATCCAGAGCTCTATGTATAAAAATCATTCCAACATCCATCCTAAACGAACAACACGAGACGTATCTACGGATATTGAGGGACCTAAGGCAATTTTCTTCTATGTACTCAAATTGATCTTTACATCAAAACTGGATGTTATCCTGTTTGTCTCTAGGAGCAACACACTGCCATAAAGCTCTGAATGTTTCGATTTCCCTTGCATCTATTCCTATTGCACGAAGATTCCGTGCATATTCCTGCATAATAAGAAAAACCAAAAAAAAAAAAAGAAATGTCAGATGTGGTGCAGTGCATCCATCATAAACAGGTATCATGTTTGATCATATAACTAATACCCATTGGTCCTTGCAAAAAAAAAATGTATTGGATGGCCAACATAGAAACATTCAGATTACATGCTAAAGTTGTTTTCCACAGAAAATGGTAAGGTTGAATAAGCCAACCATAAGCACTAGTTGGGTCTTTGATGAAACCAAAAGGCAATGACCCTCTTAAAAAAAATCATTTGATGCAAAATTTACACCCTAAAATAAATCTTATATCCGTTATATATAATATGTCCCTTATCAGCATAAAATTAAAGGACAGATATCAAACCTGAATGTCAAGAAATAGCTGCATGCAGATCTTGTCAGTATCAGAAATGATGTTATCCGAGGTATCGGTATTAGCTCCTACTCGTCTTTGTGCACCTTGACGTAGTCTTTGCAATGATGATTCAGTTTTCCTTGCCTTTATATTCAATAAAAATGGTTTAATTCACCAATAAGCAGATATGAGCTCTCATAAGCAGTTAAGCATTCCTTACTTACCACAGTGACTACTTCAGACACCATGTCATAATAAATTGAAGTGATCTTATCTGTCGATCCACGGCGCAGCTTTGCTTTATCATCTTCTGATAAATAGTGAATACGGTCACCTTCAAGAAAAACCTACAAGAACAGAGGAACATCACATATGAAATATGGAGGCAAAAAGAGCATAAACACATGTTTCTAAATATCGGGGCCTGCAAAATGGCAAAACATAAGTTATTCTTGAGGGTGATAACGATCAGACTAATGGGTACTAGATACTGACCATGGCACTTAAAAATCGCCAAGAACACATACTGAATGCAGCCATTAGGACATAGACGCTACCAGTTAAGTAGTTAACTTTTGATGCTTCACTTTTGAGAAACATAAATCATAAAGCAGAGAAGTAAAACAGGATGTCCATTCACCTTAAGTGGATGCAAAATCCCAGATACATATGGAGAATGCCTTACTGGAAGCTTATTGGTCATTCTATATGTTGCTGTTATTCCCTTTAGGTGCTTCAAGTCCTACAATCAACCAGAAATATAGTTGGTAAGAACAGAAGGACCATGACTCAAAATTGTCTTATTGTACCATACGAGTGATGAACCACAGATACAGTAAGAAATGATGACATTGCTTCTCTTCTGCTGACTTAGGTGTACTCACCTCATTAGACCTTTTAACTATCACCATAATCATGACATTCATTATAGCAGGCAACAACTCCTTTAAAGGCTCAACAGCTTGCAGTATACTGTGTTTCACGAGAGCAAGTACTTCGGTTGGGCATGATGCTAGCAATTGGTTTACATGTTCCACAAATTGGCCTGATTCCAAAAGCTCGCTTATTACAGCATTTACATCATGCATTACCTGTGCATCAAATACAGAATTTAAATGCAATTCACAAAATATGCCTGATGGCCATAATCTTCTATGTTTCAAATTTTATAAGAAATATGAGAATCAGGGCCCAAAATAATGGGTAAGATTACGTAATAATCAATATTGACTAGCTTCCAATCTAGAGCACATCATGAAGAACAAGCCGAACAACTATTTCCAGTTTACACATGAAAAAAAAGGGACAAGTCATACCTGATATGCTACACCGCTACCAACTGTAGACTTTCTAACTAACCAGTAACCACAGTATATGTGTTCCTGGAATGTTTGTTGGGCTAGAAGTGCAAGGTGTCATCTTTGGGATGCCCTCCTAAGCACTTATAGTCTTAAACCTTAGTGTGAGTCTCAAATTATTGCTAATCTATGCAACCATCTCAATGTCACTGGCTAAGATGACAATACTATTTCAGTCTTAAGCCAAAAAGTTCATGATGAAGGATGAAAAGCAGTAGGTTCAGATGACTGAAATAACACACTTGGAATTCAAGGAGTATTGTAGACATGACATACATAAATGAAATCCTCCACAGGTACAGATAGTGCCCATTCAGCATCCGCAGGAGAACTTGAGCCCCCATCAGAAGCTTTCCGTGCAGCCAAACCAGAAGAAAGCCATGTTGTATACCTTATTGTAAAATGTAGAATACAAAAAGGGTCAATCACCATAGGTTAAATCATAAAAGATAAGGCAAAGAATCCTCTGCAGTAGCTATACCTTGAAATAAGCTGCAAAGACAAGCGGAGGAACTTATCAGAGTGGGAGAAAACAAGAACATCGTCACTCCAGCAGGCCTGCAAACTTTCTAAGAGCTTAACGCTTTGTTTCAACAACAGTGTCTGCGGCTTCGCTTGATTGTCATGCATTCCAGCAGGAGTAATTGTGGCTGTAAGCACAGAATCAAGACCACCAGCAATGTCCTGAAATCTTATGATTGAACCAGTTGAAGTCAAGTTAGAAATGAAGTTCTGAAGAGCATTTGACAGCAGCATAGCCTAAATATTTATGCTTACTTCAATGTGAAGTAGACAGCAACATGCCACTGTCGCATGAAATCGGCATAAGCAGGCTCGGAGCGGAACTTTGTTACAGCAGGCTTAGATGAACAGTAACCTACAGGACCAAATATTCAATCAATAGCAACTCCCAATAGTCATATATGTATATCTTTAACCCAGTCTAACCACATTCCTTGTTAGTCCTATATAATGGCTGTCCCAAATGTATAAACCAGCATAACTTGCGAGCAAGCATAGTATTTATTGTAGTAGGCTTAGCTGGTTAAATACAAAACAATAATCACAATGCAACATAATTTAGCAATACCTTCCAGAAAATCAAGGAATCTTAAGCTTGCTTTGTAGTTTTTGAGGAACTGTTTAGGTTTTCCAGGAGAGGTCGCCCCGGGCTTTCCCTTCTGGATTGCCAAATGGACTTCTTTGAGTATTGAATTGGCCAGAAAATCAAAAACATGAAGCCCAGAGTTTGCTGCAAATCAATCGATAGAAAATTAGATGATGTGTCAATCTAAGTCCTTATGCAGCATTTAGTATTCAACTTAAAAAATACTAAGCAATGATGCAGCTTTTTAATGAAATTCGTCTATCATAATTACCCAACGAGGATATCTCCAAAATAAATTTGCAATCTTTTTCTACGCATTGCATTATCTGCTCATAATCATCTTCTAGGTCATCAGAAGATACCCCAGCAACCACTTTTGCATAGTTTTGAGGAACAATCTTCTGGATCAACGGCGACACCACTGTTGTACGGAATATCTCTTCAGCTGAAGATGTGTTGTCAATAGCAGCATAAGCACGCAAACAGTTGTATATTACTTTGTCATCACGATGTTCTAGACCATCCACAAAGCAACGCTCCAAGCTACCATCAAGTAGTTTTGTAGCACCTTGGGCCCTCTTCTCCATGTTTTCAATAAAAGGGAGGTTCTGTACTGCCATAATGTAACAGGATAAGAATCATAAATATAAGTGGCACTGAGATGCAAAAGGTAGCATCAGGTAGCAATAAAACAAAAGCTACCAATATGAAACCATGTTGACACTTCAGCAGTTTGCGACAACCAAATCTATGACATGTGGGTAGACATTTTTCTTATAGTTATTAATCAAGATGTTATATCACATCGTTGTATTGCTGTGTATACTACACTTTCAATGGTCAATTGTGACACAGAAATAAACCTTTCCGGAGAAACAACTAATGTCATTTTTGTGTTACAATTTTTCCCTAATGGTTTTTCTCAGCAACGGAACAGAAAAAGAGAAGGTATGTGAGTGAGAGGTGCAAATGGACCAGTATTTATTGGTGAGTTAGTGTCACAAACCTGTGCATGACTGATGTAGAATTTGAGCCGGTTCATCTCACTGGCGATTCTTTCTAAGAGAATGCTTTGTGTCTCCCTAACATCTGTCCCATCATCCATGTTTGGTGGTGTGGCAACGTTGCCTGAGTAGCCCTTATCACCAGAAACAGCCTCAACATTTGATGAATCAGATGGGGCGGATGGTAGTTCCTTGATCAGTTTCTCAACCTGGAGGAACAACAGGAAAATGTGGATTTCAGGTGCCTTGACAGTAACACCTTTAGGTGATGGTTTATACAATTGAATGATGTTGCAAATTGTGAACCAATGGAAACCTTGACAAAATAATCTGAGAAGACCATCAGTCATAAGATAGGGCAATTTTTCTAACATGGTAGAAAATAGCACTATGACAGGTTTAATCACGCCAATTTCTTCATGTACATGCATCATTGCATCTACATTCATGGATAAAATAATACTCAGAGTTAGCATATGGATCATCCGCATACAGGGACAAAAAAATGTTCACAGCAATAATATGATGTACTATTGCTGCATTAAAATGGAAGTGCTAAACCTCTCCAATTTCCTAGTTTGAACTAGAGTCAAACACTATAAGCTTTCATATGATTCATGAAAATGAACAGGCGAACATCGATGGGAAGGGGACTGGAAGGGCACAGTTTCAGAAGGTTGATGGTTGACCTCCAGACAGATGTCACAGATCCCATATAAAGTCGGATCTACCAATGCAGTGCTGATGGGGAAATTTAGCTAATAGGAATAAGCTACATTCGCGTTTAACCAGGAGCGGCGGAGTAGGATCGAACCTTAGAGACGACGTGGGAGGTGTCGAGCAGCAGCTCGAGAAGCTCCCGTGCAGCCGTGGCAGCCGCGCGCTGCTCGAGTCCGGAGCGGAGTGCGGCGAGCCCGGCGGCTGCTGCGGCGCGGAAGGAGGCGACCTTGTCCCTGAGCTCGGCGAGCGGGGGCCGCATGCGCGCGGCGGCGGCATCGACGCCCTTGAGGCGGGCGCTGAGGCCGACGAAGTCGGCGTAGTCGCGGTTGATGAGGCCGACGAGCTCGGCGCGGAGGGAGGCGAGGTGGGAGCGGAGCTCGGCGGCGAGGCTGTCGAGGGGCACGTAGGAGCGGAGGTCGGCGACGTAGGCGTCCGGGTCGAAGTCGGGGCGGAGGAAGGAGTCGGGCTTGAACCACGGCGGGTGCGCCTCGATGGGCTCGCCGAAGAGGTCCGTCGGCGGCGGCGCCGCCACGGCGAGATCCGCCATGGCTCTGGCTGGATCTGCGGCGCGGGTGGGTGTGGAGATCTGGCGCTTCCTCCTCTACTGGGGATGGGTGGAGAGTGAAGAAACCGACGCCGAGGTGGGCTCGCGCGCGCCGCTTTCTATTCGGGCTTTGGCCTGCTAGTTTTATGGGCCGACCCGGTTCTCTTCGTGGGCTTGAAATTATGGGCCGTTTGTTGCCGCACGCAGGGGTGCCACCCAGCCGTGCCCGCCGCCGCTCGCCTCAGTCACCCTCCCAAGCTCCCCACGGTGGCGCTCCTCCTTACCTTCCCTGCTCGGGGAGGTCGGGGTCGCTGGTTGGATCCAAGAAACGGTAGCTTTCGTTGTTGGTTCTTGTTTTGAGGGAATCGTATGCGTGTGCAGAGGAAGGGGATTTCTTCATCTGGACAGTCGAGGTGCGCACCTGCGGGCTCCCTCCCGTCTTCTTCTTCTTCTTCCCCGACTAATCTGTGTTCGGTTGCTGATTTCGCGGAAATTTAGGGGCTTTCTCGTTGCTCATTTCAGCTGGGTGAGCTTTAGTTTGGGGAATTTATGGTAGGGGATTTGTGGGGAGGGGGACATTTGATATGACGGTCTTTCAGTTTGCAGTTGTTCCGTTAGTTTGTAGCTTTAGAATGCTTGTTCGAATTTGTGGGTGGACTTGTGGAAACCTAATTTTAGCGTTACATTTTTTATTATGCTGTTAATTGCCAGACTTTTTCTTAGTCAGTTCATAAGCTGTTGCTGTGGTTAGATATTTATAAATCTTTTATGTGATTTTGTAATACAGTTCCTTGTACTTCCTGCATATCTGTATGCTTTGTTTCGGGGAGGTTTCAGTTGTTGGATTGAGCAATACTTGTTTTTGCCCTTGTTATTCTGTAAATCATTGATCTTTTAGCTTTATAAAGCTTCTGATGGTTCTGTTGTGTTGATGGCATTGTGCTTGACTGCTTGTGTTAGGAAACCCATCATACCATATATGTGTTTCGTGCGATCGAGTGCGAGTTTTTGTGCAATGATGTTATGTGAAGTTCAGTTAACTGGGACACTCTTTTGCTTTGTAGGACAATAGCGTTTTCTTTTTGGGGCCCATATGGGATAATACATCTCTTATATGATACTGATTTGCGTTGCAATGAGCAGAAATGCAACTTTTGAGACAATTATAAACTGTCTGACTGGATACATTACCTATCTTGAGGTAGAGCGCCTAAACAAAGGATAACTAATCTGATTGTAAATATTATAGTGCAATCATTCAGACTTGATCTTTTTAGGGACCAAATTGGGCCTATGTTCAATTCAGTTTAAGCCCCGCTAAATTCATAGCAACCTGAGCCCCCAATATAGCTCCTGCCAAGACAAATTTTGATTAAGGGCCAACCTACAAGGCTAGCCCAAGTTTGATTCATGATGAGGAGCAGCCCAGACTAGAGTTTTACCCTTGTCCAACTCAAGAAATGTTTAGTATTACTTGGTTGAGTAATATTGCTCTATTGGCTGAAATGTGACAAGCATCATAGATAGTACTAACTACTAACTTCGTGTTTTAGTTCAAAAAATTAAACAATCTATACCTAATTAAAAAATGCGTAAGCCTTCTGGGAGATTTTTCATCCGTAGTCTTTGTCATCCGCACAGTACGCGATTTTTTGTTCGAGCAAAACGGACTCTACTACGCGAGACCATCGTTAGTATCCTGTGCACATTCCAATATGTCCCAATGAAAACAGAATAAAATAGATATAAAAATTGAAGAACCATATACATAGATGTGAGATTGGACTCGATGGAAACACACAAGTTGAATTTCAATCGAATTGAATAAAGATCGAAGAACCATACACTTGACGAGAACAAAAGGTTGGAAAGAAGCAGGCATGGAAGGATGAGGACAATGTCCTTGACAAGCACAGATCAAGGCCTACCGTGCCCTCCGGCTCTCAAATCCTCATCCTGCACCGTCTCCCTCACAGCCCACAGGGTTCTCCTCCCTCTCCACTTCTGCCTCAACCCAAATACCAGGAGGGTCCTGCCCCTGGCTGTCGCGGCGTCGCCATTGGCTGCCGACCTGCTGTTCCTGTCACTGTCAAGTCCTGTCCTCTTGGGAAGACGACGACCCAGCTCTTGCAGGTTATACCTCTAGCAGTCTAGCTCATAGCTTCATTATTCTCATTGAGTTATTGTGTTTGAACTTTCTGCCACTTGCCTTTACTATTTGCCAATTTGTAGTTACTGAATGTGCTGTTGATTTGCTGCCATTGTAGTTTGAGGAATAGGGATATTGCTATCGAACTATGTATATTGTAATGTTTGCACATTTTGAACCTGCTTGTCAAATTTAGTCGATTATTGATTTTATAAGATGTTATTGCTATATTTGTATAACTTTTTAACTAAATTTATTCTCATATATGGGATTTGCGGTGTTTGAAAATTCTGGCATGTGATGTGAAGTAGGACTACCCAACCAAAAATTCCTTGGCCACGCCACTGCTCCTTAGAGCTGTATGTATTCTCCTAAACATTATCAATTCTCAGATATTCAGATCAAATATGGACAGTAAGCCTGGCATTTGGGAAGTTAATATTATAAACTTGAAAACTAATCAAAGCTATGTGTTTACTTTCTTTTTCATTGTGAGTAGATATTTAGGAATACTATCAGAACAAAATAATGGGTTATCAATTATCAAGTACCTTTTTTAAAATGAAATGTGGCACTGGGCTCTAATATTTTAATTTCTTGAGTTGATAATACTTTAGGACTTGGTAATATGCTGATCAGTTCCAACTTACTTTCTTACTGTGGTTTTGATATATAATTTGTGGACATAAGGCAATTGCTTTCCTTTTTTTTCTCTGTGTGTAGGGACTCTGTTGGCGAGAGGGGTCAGAGAGCGAGGGATAATGCATTAGGCCGTGTTTAGTTTCCCCCATATTCCCAACTTTCCATCATATCATATCACATCAAAAACTTTCCTACACACATAAACTTTCAACTTTTTTTTCATACTCCCAACTTTCTTCAAACTTTCAACTTTTTTCAGGAACTAAACACACCCTTAGTGCACTTCCCCACTGCAAGAGTCCATCATAAGTAATGTTTTGTCCTAGGTCCTCCATGGCAGCTATGATCTCGACAAGGTGGTGGCCAGTGGCTAAGGATATGGTGATTCAGTGAAGGCAGAACAACAGCTTGCTTCCAGGGCCTCCTGTCCTGTTCAGTTTCTCCATGTCTGTCATCATCGACGTCCGCAACTGCATCCAACTCCTCCGCTCCTGCAGTGCCGTGGCCGGCCAGCAGCTGCACCAGCTCCTTCTCAAGTCTGGCCATGTCCCATCATCGCTGCCGCCCTCTAACTCCTTGCTCCTCATGTATGCGCGCTGCTCCCCACTCCACCAGCACGACGCCCGCCGCCTGTTTGACGAAATGCCCGTCAAGAACTGCTTCTCCTACAACTCTGTTATCACCTCCCACCTCAATTCCAGAGACCACCATGCAGCGCTTAATATCTTCCGATCCATGCCCGAGAGGAACACCTTCTCATGGAATACAATCATAACTGGCATTGTGTCCACAGGCAATCTCGACATGGCCCGTTCACTGCTGATTGAAATGCCTGTCAAGGATCCTGTGGCTTGCAATGCTGTTTTGCATAGGTATGTCCGGCGTGGCCGGGCGGATGAGGCGTTTGCATTACTCAGGACGGTTGGTCAATGCAGTGGTGCAGATGCCTCTTCTCCATGGAATGACCCTTTTGTGCTTGCGACAATTGTTGGTGCTTGTGCTGATTGGATGAAGTATGATTTTGGGAGGCAGGCTCATGCTCGGATGGTGGTTTCCAAGATTGAACAGGATTTGGTGTTGAGTTGCGCATTAGTTAACATGTACTGCAAATGTGGGGATTTGGATTCTGCTCGCTATGTCCTTAATGGTTTAACTCAGGTTGATGAGTTCTCACTTTCTGCACTCATATATGGCTATGCTTCTTGTGGACATTTGCATGAGGCGATACGACTTTTTGACAGAAAGGAGGAACCAAGCATTGCTATGTGGAATTCTCTTATCAGTGGCTGTGCATTTGCCTGTTGTGGAAATGATGCTTTTGCTCTTTTTGCAAGGATGATGCGATCAGATGTGTTACCTGATTCTTCAACTTATGCCAGCATTTTGAATGTATGTGGTTTTTCAGTCATGGTGAATCCTGGGCAACAGATTCATGGGTGTGGTCTAAAATGTGGAGCAGTCAATGACATAATAGTAGCAAGTGCACTCATTGATTTCTACTCAAAATGTGGCCTCTGGGAGGATGCTTGCAGAGCTTTTAGAGAGCTTAGGTTTCATGATACCATAGTGCTCAACTCAATGATCACTGTTTACTCAAACTGTGGGCAGATAGAAGAGGCGAGAAGAATTTTTGATATGATCACTGGTAAGAGTGTGATCTCATGGAATTCTATGGTGGTTGGGTTGAGCCAGAATGGGCATGCTAGGGATGCACTTGGGTTATTCTGTGAGATGCATCGGCTTGGTTTGCGGCTTGACAAGGTTGCTATAGCCAGTGCTCTGAGTGCATCGAGCAGCATTTGCTCTATCAGTTTTGGAGAGCAGATCTTTTCTCTAGCCACTGTTCTTGGTTTGCAATCTGATCATGTTGTTGCGTCTTCACTCATTGATCTGTATTGCAAATGTGGAAGCCTAGCAAATGGGTGCAGGATCTTTGAAGAAATCGATAAGCCAGACGAGGTCTTATGGAACTCAATGCTGATTGGTCATGCTTCCAATGGGTATGGACATGAAGCATTGGAACTCTTGGAGTTGATGAAAACTAAGGGCATAAAACCAAGTGAACGAACATTTATTGCTGTCCTTTCTGCATGCTGCCACTCTGGACTCGTGAAAGAGGGACTGACATGGTTTCACCGGATGCAAGCGGACTTCAGTGTGAGTCCATCAGCTGAGCATTACGCATGTGTGACTGATCTCTTAGTCCGCGCAGGTCGGCTAGAGGAATCAGTTGAATTCATTGAAAATATGCCCTTTGAAGCTGATGCGGTTAGCTGGACAACTGTTATTGGTGGATGCAAAGCTCAGGGCAATGAGGCCATGATGCGGAAGGTGGCGAAGAAGCTGATGGAGATGGAATCGTCACATCCCAGCTTGTATGTGCAACTGTCCAGTGGGCTTGCTTCTCTAGGGGATTGGACTAAATCAGCAGAAATAAGGAGTATGATGTATGAGAGAAGAATTACAAAGAATCCTGGTTACAGTTGGATTGACTCTTAGAAATTGTTGCTCAATCAGTTGATCAGTGGAAAACTGGAATATTTGGCTTCTGTATTTTTGTTGGAGTTGTTTTCCAACCACAAGCTTTACAACAGCTGAACAGGAAAACTGTTGTCCCTGGATGAGCCAAACATATGCAGAAATGTTAGTTTTCCCATATGTCTGATTATCTCACACATATGTGACATTAAATCGGTTTCCTTCCTCTGTGGCAAGTAACATCGTCCTCCATCCCCAAAGGCTGTGTTCAAGCCCATGCTATGCACAGCTTACTTTTTGATATTTTCCTTCTTACTCAAATTATATCTTGTATACTGAACCCTGTGTTAATGGTAGCACACTTAGTTACTTCCATGTGTTGTGTTGTCAACCTATTCCTGGCCCCCATGTTGGTGGAAGTGCTGCAGCAAAGGATGTGAACAAGTGGCTTGATGAGATTATTGGAGGCTATGATTCCTCTATCAGGGAGTTCCATGGAGGAGATGATCAGAAGTTGCTTATTTCACTGCTTAAAATATTGTGCCGACACTATGGAAGCTCCGTTCACCTTTTGGGTCTGATCCATCGCAGGAGGTATTTGCTTTTTGTACTGCTCTACAATATTTAGATAATTCATTACCACAGTTAAAAGCATCCCCTTGTCATTAATTTCTCACATGGAAAATGGCCTGTCCATACAGGATTTTAAGCATGTAACCAGCAACACTGAATTAATGTATGCATGTTAAACTGGACCTGTGAAATGAAAAGATCTATTCTTCCTTGAGATCACTTTATTTTTCAATCAGCGTTTGTCATATAACTGCTAGCTATCTTTTATTTAATTTATTTATATTCTTTTGAAAGGAATATTGAATTTCTTTCGAATTCTTGGTTACAGGGTATAGCTGGTCCAGAGATGGCAGTGACAAAACTTTTCTCATCTTGTAAGAGCAGTGGTGCTCATAAGGGAGAGTATGGAGCCATTGTCCATTGCATGAAAAACATTCCGTCAGAAAACCAGATTCAGGTAATTCTTATTTCTATCAGAACATCAGCTTCAGGGGAAAAAAATAGTAACCCTGGGTGTGGCAACCATTTCATTGCAGGCTACTGCTAAGGAGGTTCAAAATCCCCTAGTTTCTGGTAGAAGGAAAGAGGCTCTTCAGTGAAGAAAATGGCTTACCACCATTTTGTATCTGGATCACCTTTGAGGACGTTGTGCCTTCTTATTGCTGGACAACCTGCAGATGTTTTCAATGTTGAGAACCCTACTGTTGATGGCAATTATGGTAATTTGCATTATGGTAAATTATGGTATCAATATACCTCCGGCTAATATTATGACAATTATATCATTTTTCATCTCTTAAGAAAATTATCTTTTTACCCTTTCTTCGGAAGTATTTATAACAATACTTAAATACCTTTTATATGGTAGTACCTTTAATTGTGGAGCGTTGGATCTTTATTAATTTTGGAATGCAAACACTGTAAAACTTATCTGCTTTTGTTAGAACGTTACTTACAAGTTTATATCTTATTTGCCATATCAGACAAACACATTTGCTTGTTCACCACCAACAAAAGGATGCGGAACATTTAAAAAAATGCAATTGTGTCACAAGCAATAGCGACAACTTCCAACATGTATAACATACGCGTACTCTTTAAAAACTGCTGGTAACACAAAAAATCCATTTTCATGTTTATCTCATCCTCTTCACTTATGACCACAATACAGACACACACAGTCCTGTGACTGTACCTTAAGCATTTCAACCGTTCCTTGTTTCACAAATAAAAGTTACTCTTCCCCCCAATTATAGATCAGATGTGTTCAGTTCTCTAGATACCCAAACAGACATCTATACTCTTATGTATGGATTGCTAAAATTTCTTAACATAATCTGTCTTCAAACGAATTTCATTAGCTGCACAAAATTAAAATAGCAATGAATTCCATTACCCATACACATCTGAACTGCAAATGCGGTCCTCTATTTTTCTGCTCTCATTGTCAGAGTGTAATGTAGTTGCACAAAACAAAATATTAACATATACATATATTTTTATACATTACTCGGTGGCACTGAGCTATTCCTAAAGCAGTATAGAATCCATACATGAATACAATGTAGAAATGACTAAAATTCAAAATTTAAAAATAAGAAATATTGAAAAATTCAAAATTTAAAAATAAGAAATATTGAAAGAAGAGTTTAGAATTCCTATAGAAATTAAATTTATGAATAAAGGAACTTCAGGATTAAAAATTAAGAGATATTTGAATAGGAGTATAGAGTCCATATAGAAATACTATTTACAAATAACTAAAATTTAGAATTAGAAAATAATTAACAACTATCACGTATATACATATGAATATTACATGTTAGTTAATTTGGTCAAGTTAGTACATAATTTAAAATTATGCTGCCATTTCAATATATTCTAATAGTAAAATGCATAAGTATTTATGCTATTATGTGAGAAAAAAAATATAATCATGCTAACCGCATAATCTGTGTGGGTCTTCATCCTAGTTTTTATAGCTTTAATACACAGTACGAGGGGAATTCAGAAATATGGTGGCACCGACTTGGACAAATGCACGCGTTTCTTGAGAGGGCAGTTTCATTGAACGGTGGAAGTATGGGAGACCTCGTCCTGCTGTTTCTGAAATTCTGAAGAACGAAATGGGGGTACTACTGTATATATGTATGGAAAACTAGACTGGTCACTGCCTCACTGGATTGTTGGACGTTGACTAGCTATTCTTTCAACCCAATTATTGTCTTGTCGGTCGAAAGACAGCACGCAAGAATATAAATACATGATCTCCACAGAACTTTTACTGGTCTCTGCATTCCCTTTTTTTCTTCAGAAGAAGAGGAGAGAAAATACAGCACATGATTTTCACCTGGGAGTTGGTTTTTTCACACGAGAATATGACGAACGAGTCGGTGCAAATTTTTCAGAGAAAATGATGAGGTGTCGGTGGAGGTAAAGCACGTTGTGCCGGCGGCGACCAAAGCAACAACCTCAACGGCAACGGAAGCAAAAGCAGAGACCCGTGTACGTGTTTGGCTTTGCAATAGTTGCAGCCTAGCACAGAAAGACGACGACGATTTCTTGTAATCCATCCAGGCAGGCAGAACCTTCCTTTCTTCCGGTACAACCACCAACCATTTCATTTTTTCTTTTCATATCACCAGCTAACTAGCTGCCCATTCTTCTATATTAGTATATTATTCTAATTACCTCCTTAATTTGGATTATTAGTATATATCATCAGGTAGCCAAAGCGCCTCGAGAACGCCGCGTTTCGTTGTGCACTTTTCTTCTTGTTTAAACTACTGTTTCTCCTCCTCTTTTTTCTGCCTTTTGACTTGTTAAATCGGAGGACAGCAACGGCGGCGACGCAATGCATGTGCTGCCCTGCGACACAAGGAAACATGATTCTTCGCCATCTCCCATTAATCCATATGATTATGTGATCTTGTGACCTCATTACTGCAAAATACTATTGAGACGTGTTACAACCTCAAACACAGGCACATTACCTGCTCCTGCTGCTGATTTGATCCGTTCATTTGGTTTAAACATCCACAGGGCATTCTCTGAAAAATAGTTCTCCTGCCTAGTCTGAAAACCCATATATATAACTGATAGGTTCATGCATGTTTGGTGCTATACATGCTTTAATTATGCACGCTTCACCTGCAATAATTGTCATCCTAGCGAGTTGAGTTTGGCCTAATACAGCAATAGCAATGGCATCATGCACCTAAACAGCAACCTCTCCACTGTCGTCGTCTCTCCGTGTGAGGTCCCCTGCAAAGCCGGTTACCTGATACTCCTTTTCATATAGCTATGCAGAGCTGGTTTACTCTTAAACAGCAAGATTTCCCAATATTATACTCGCTACACAAATGCAGAGCCTCCAACTGTCCTAAGTTTTGGCAAGCCACTGCATTTTGTTCTTGAGAAGCCATGTGCAAACGGCTACATATACCATCTGTACTGTTGTGCACATCATATCTTCTTTTTTTTCTCTTCCTTTTTTTCATTTGGGTGCATGTTAGCTCGTATCGTAGCAAGTAGCTAGATATGAATAGATTAATTCTTGTTCATGTCGCAATCATGGATTCGTTAAAACTGAACCTCTTAGTTCCTTTATTCAGTAGTATATATCAATATATAATGCTGTCTGATTACCTGTATAATATTATATGTGCAGACCAGACTACAGAATCCAACTAATAACTATAGTCAAGTTGCCAGCCTTATATCTGCTTGCACGTTTGAGGTCAATCCAAGAAACTTCCAACACAGTAATCGTCCTAACATCTGTCGTTCTAATCAAATTAACTCTGCCAACTTGCCATAAACCTAGGAGCATATATAATATCATCAACTACATAAGAATGGCTAGCAAAATGCAGCATTTCCAGCGTGATTTACGGTGTTGTTCTTCCTCAAGACTGGTAAACAGACAGTTTGGTGCTAATGTTATGATTCAACCAACAACAGGAAAGGCAAAAATGTGTACATGGCTGCGCCTAAGGTTTGGCAAGCAGCTTGTATCTGGTGATTATTAAGACAAAATACCGGATAAATAATAATCAACCCGGCCAGTCTTTATATGGTTAGGCAAAACAATCAGTCAGCTAGGCCATTCTATTAGACATTTCGGCTCATGAATCATGATCGGGACAGGAACCCGACCTGATTAGTTAACAGAATATGTGTTGCATATGCTGCTAACTTCCATGGAAATATGCACGTTTTTGTACATGTTGTTTTCCCTGACCCAAAATGATTAGAATAAGATAGTTAGTCAAAGATGTATTTAGGCCTTCAATAGAGACGTCTGTCTATAGGAAAATGGATGAATAATGTTTTTAGATAATTAATAATAGGCAGTGTAAACAAGTTTATTCACCCGCCCGTGTGGAGAGTTAATTTACTGCAATACTGCATAGTATATGTTTCCACCTAAAAATAGTTCCTCCGGCATTGGCTTTTTCAGCAGTTGAGAAGAACACTTGCACTGTTGCACATAGACTGATCTGACAGAAACACACAAAAGTATATAGCACTGTATCGGCCAAAGCTATTGATGGATGGTAGTTTGCACCCAAGAGCATGCAAGATTGCAAAAGCAGAGTGAAAGCTAGGTAAAAAAAAAAAACAATCCTTCTGTTGTGCTTCAGATTAGCAGTGCTAGTACCAAATCGCTGCACCGACAAATCGCCATCAGATTACTTGTTCAGTTATAGTTCAAAGCTTAGTCTTGCATGCAATCCCGAAATTGGCGGCAGAATGACAGGCTCACGCTACCCTTTATTTAGATGCCTACTTCTCCAATTTGTTTATATACCGAGAATGACAGAAGTTGGTGCTTACTTGCTTACCTCAAAATGACAAGCTAGATACACGAAAAACTACAAAAGAATACGCTGCAGACAGTTCAATTTAACTCTGAACAAGGAACCTATTTTGTCAAGAAAAGAGGCAGGCTGAGTTTTTCTGAACTTTTTCTGAAGATGCAAGTAGCGAAAGATGGAGTTGACGATGAGATAGCAGAGCTAGTAGGTAAGGTTTGCTCATCGATGGCAACAGCGGCATGAGCTTTGCTGCGACTTACACATGAGCAAACCTAACACGGCAAGTGCAGCATCATACTAGTAGCATATAGGGTGTGGTGGCCATCAGATGGCGTCTGACCTAGCTAGCTAGAAGTCGCTAATAGCACCTTAGTCATTTCCTTCCGGTAGAGAAAAAATCTTCACCAAATTAATAATTAATCAACTCTAACAGTTGCAGGTCGAAATTACCATCATTTTCTTCTACATGCGGCGATAGACCGATAGTGAATGTTTGTTCGTTTTGTAAGACTCAGCACGCGAATGATTGGCGGTGTTTACCATACAGCATGAAGCCGTTTGTACGCAACAATACTTTTTTTGACATAAATAAGCAACAATATTCAAAGCATGAAACCGTTTTGTACTCAAATTAGCAACAGTATCCAACGTTTGATTGTGCAGTTCTTTTCTTCATGTCGAACCTTATTTTCCTACACAGTACGAGGGAAATTCAGAAATATTGTTTCTCCCCCATGTGAGCAAACAGAATAAAACCAACCAGCCGTCTGCAACACTAAAAAAATCACCTCCAAAGACGCGTACACAATGTCATGTACAGGTAAGTAGCATAGAAAAATTCAGTTATTGCAGGGATGCAGGGAGAGAATTCAGAAATCAGAATAATACCCCGGATCGGGTTTATTACGTCCATCTCAACAGTTCAACGCATCAGGTCCAGTCTACGCCTAAACAAACGCGAACCTACAGGCAGACAGGGTCGGCACCAACAACCCAACCCATCCTGAGTTCCTGACAGCCAAACCTCGACCTCCAGCTCCAGCAGCTAGCAAATCAAAGCAAAGCAACCGTGTGTTGCGACTTTGAAACCTGTCACGCTGAAGCAAGAGGCACGCATCACACTACAAGTTGTCATCACACCAGCAAAGCCAAAACTACGAGTAAATCAATCAGTGGGAGAGGATTAAGATGATGATGATCTGTCTCTTAGGCCTCCATCACGCCCGTTAATTCCCTTTCAGGCTGGTCTTCGCCTACCTGTTGCTGCTGCTCCTCCATCAAATACCCCCATTCCCTCTCCTCTCTGCTACTACTATACCTCCTTCTTGTTCCTTTCTTCAGACAAAGGCTTTGCCTTTCCTTCCTCTTCCACCATCCTGCCACAAGAAGCAAGAACCTCTCTTAATTTGAGCAAGAAACCATTCGTCACATCAACGGAGGAAGCAGCTATAGTTTGATTGATTGGTTGATCGATCGATGCTGGGCGGCGGCAAGATGAAGGGTGGGGAGACGATGGGCGGCGGCGGCGGCAGCGGCAGCAGCAGCATTAGCCCGCTGGTGTCGTTCGTGCTGGGCGCCGCCATGGCCACCGTCTGCATCCTCTTCGTCATGTCCGCCAGCCCGGGACGCCGCCTCGCTGACATCTCCGCCTGGAGCAACGCCGACGACGCGCCGCCGCTGCCGCTCCCGTTGCAGGACGCCGCCGTCGACTCCAACGACTCGCTGGCCGCCGCCGCCGCCGCCAACGTCACCGTCGTTGCTGCTCCGGCTCCCGCCCCCGTCCAGGTATGCACATATTTGCCATTTTTTTTATTGCTTCAATATGCTATGAACAAAACGAATTGATTGGCACCAATATCATTTCTGAAGATTTCAAAATGAAAAAAAAAACAAAGGAGGTTATTTTCCCTCAGATGTTTCTACCTCCCTGGAGTTAACAAATCCGTTTTTTTTCTGAAAGAACAGTAACAAGAATAAAAAATAATCAAACAGTAATACTAATTAAGTAGTGCGTGGTGGTGGAGATGGCATCAAATTGTGATATTTAATAAGCTCAAATAAAAACCAGAGATGCCATTTACATATGCTGCCGCGATCAGCAATAATTAACAAAACACATTAACAGGAGGAGGAGGAGGAATCCTCTTTGAACAAGTTACGTAGCCTGACGGCGACCGGTTAACCAAACCCGCGTGATTACTGATTAGATTACCATACCAGTAATAGTTTATTTACCTAGTCAGTCTAGATTACAACACAAAGACACGGTCCTGCCTCTATGCTAATGCTCGCCATTGACACCTGCTTTCTTGCTCCCATCTTCTCCCCTTTCTCCCAACCACTTTTGTCTTTCCCCTCTCCCCATGTAAACACTATTACTACTAATCACACTTGTTAACACCAGCAGCTAATTCCCTTCTTCTCCACATGATGTAACTAGTCTAGACCTGGTGACTCATCGCGTTCTACTAGCTCCTTTTTACCTGTAGCTGCTGTCGGCATGGGTCCCACAGGTTTACTGCCACTGCTGCCATGTTCTCACACGTGTCACCGGCCATCGCAGTGGGATGGGTACACGTGGCACCGGAAACGGCTAGTAGTCCGGCTCCCGATCGGACGGTCCATGTGTGACTGATCGGCGATGGATGTTCAGCCGGCCCATGACGCCTCTGTCTGGCGGTTTTCGCGTAAGAGCAGGTACAATATACGGTTTAAGCCGGCGATAGCGCATCCAACCTGGCCAAAGTGATGAGCTGGATGGAAAAAACCAGGAGAGAGGGTGTTAGCGGACGACTAAGGCCCTGTTTAAATGGGGCTAAAACTTTTAAGTCCCTATCACATCAGATGTTTGGACAATAATTATAAATATTAAACGTAGACTATTAATAAAACCCATCCATAATCTTGGACTAATTTGCGAGACGAATCTATTGAGTCTAATTAATCCATAATTAGCCTATGTGATGCTACAGTAGACATTCTCTAATTATTGATTAGTTAGGCTTAAAAATTTTGTCTCGCAAATTAGCTTCCATTTATGTAATTAGTTTTGTAAGTAGTCTATATTTAATACTTTAAATTAGTGTCTAAATACAGGGACTAAAGTTAAATCACTGGATCCAAACACCACCTAAATTGTCGCCGACTACACACGAACTTCAAGAAGAAAGAAACTGTAGAAAAAGCTTATCCCATGGCTGCGTGTGGGTCTACGCGAGGCAATGCGCGGGTACAGACGGATTGGGCGTAAAAAAATGATAATCAATTCATTGGTGCTTGTGCGTATAGCCAGCAGCTGTACATACACCCATCTTCTAGTTATCTCATAGTTATCTCTATCGCTGATGTGGTGTTTTTTACCGCCGGCAGTCGCCTGCTTTATTAAACCTGCTCTAAGGCTAAAGAGAGAAGACGGGTTCGCAACCAATTCTAGCTACGAATCTAGACATATGTGTGTAAAAGTTTGTAACTAGAATTAGATTTTCTATGGGACAGAGTAGTATGTCTTACTGACAGGCAAAATCTATTCTTGGTTCAACCATGTGAGGTAGCACATGTCGTTGTTCAGAAGAAAATGCATTGGCCGTTTCAATTGTTGAAAATAAAATCTTGCATAAAAAGAGATAAAATGAAGGAATGGTTTGAGCTCATTTGCTAGTTGCAGCATGGCATTCATGGGCGTGTCTTCTCCTAGATTGCTGCTATACTCAGCTTTAGTTGCTGCCCATAGCTCAATTCTTCCAAAAAAAAATGGCCCCACTTGTCAGCCAATGCTGAACCATAGAGACGCAACCAACTCGTCACATGCATGCAGCAAAAATCCAATTCTTGGAGTTCAGTTTGTAGTGATCATGAAGCAAAAAAATCCAACTCTGTAGTCATCTCATATCTGCACTGATCATGAAATGTGAACAGAAACCAATCATGAATCATGTGTGCATATACAATGTGCAGGCTCCGGCGCCGGCGTCCCCTTACGGCGACCTGGAGGAGGTGCTCCGGCGAGCGGCGACCAAGGACAGGACGGTGATCATGACGCAGATCAACCTGGCGTGGACGAAGCCGGGGTCGCTGCTGGACCTCTTCTTCGAGAGCTTCAGGCTCGGGGAGGGCGGCGTGTCGCGGCTGCTGGACCACCTGGTGATCGTCACCATGGACCCCGCGGCGTACGAGGGGTGCCAGGCGGTGCACCGCCATTGCTACTTCCTCCGCACCACCGGCGTCGACTACCGCTCCGAGAAGATGTTCATGAGCAAGGACTACCTCGAGATGATGTGGGGTCGCAACAAGTTTCAGCAGACCATCCTTGAGCTCGGCTACAACTTCCTCTTCACGGTCAGTACTAAATTATTTTCTTCTTTTCACGCTTCAATTGCAATATATAAATTCATTTTCATGTCGTTTTCGATGCAATATACTATGTGTTCCATCGAAGTGGTGGTTGAGTTGGCCGGATTGGGCGATACATTGGCTGCTAGTGCTCTGCTTGGCTAGCTAGCTTAGCTTAGCTCTCGTGCACTACAGTTTCATCATAGTTGCTGGGCAGAAATGTCCTCGGCTAAGCAGAGACGCAGCCGATTCGAGAGAAGTTGGACTAAACCGTTTGGTTTGGACTTTGACACGTTCGTCTATACTCTACTCTACTCGTGTTGTTGTCGGCCCGGCCGTCCATTTGGATTGGAACTTGTGGCTTGTCTTTCGCGTACAGGCGACCGAAAAAACTGAACCTGTGAAACTGAAAGATTCCGTTGAGCAAGAGGAAGCAGACACGCTCATGCCCGGTTTTCCTGGCCTGATGGCGCTCTCACTGATTGATTGCAAAATTCAGAGAATGACTTGCGAATTGCATACTAATCCAGGAGTACAATTAATCCAATCAATGGCTGAATGAACAGTAAACTGGAAAAGGATTGCACTGACAGTAATTAATTAATCCATATGAATGCATTTGCAGGATGTGGACGTGATGTGGTTCAGGGACCCGTTCAGGCACATATCAATGGGAGCAGACATCGCCATCTCCAGCGACGTGTTCATCGGCGACCCCTACAGCCTCGGCAACTTCCCCAATGGCGGCTTCCTGTTCGTGCGATCCAACGACAAGACCCTCGATTTCTACCGGAGTTGGCAGCAAGGGAGGTGGCGATTCTTCGGGAAGCACGAGCAGGACGTGTTCAACCTGATCAAGCACGAGCAGCAGGCGAAGCTGGGCATCGCCATCCAGTTCCTCGACACCACCTACATCAGTGGCTTCTGTCAGCTCAGCAAGGATCTGAACAAGATCTGCACGCTCCATGCCAACTGCTGTGTTGGCCTCGGCGCCAAGATGCACGACCTCCGAGGCGTCCTCGACGTCTGGAGGAACTACACGGCGGCGCCGCCCGACGAGCGGCGCTCGGGCAAGTTCCAGTGGAAGCTCCCCGGCATCTGCATCCACTGATCGATCGATCGATCATATGTTCATATGCATATACACGCAGCGTTCAGCATTGCTGGATTGCCTTGGCTGCTTGGTTAATTTAGCTAGGCGATCGCTCGACTGCAGGCCGGTTAATTTCTCGAGCTGCCAAATTCTTTCTCCTCAATTATTAGTTGCGCCGATTCTTTTTGTCAAGTTAGGAAAATCTATATATTAAGTTATTACATCATATATTTATACGTACGTACGTACGTACGTATGTATACAGATTAATTCTAGCATGCTTGTATCCCGGAGCTCCTCTGTAAAGATAAAAGAATGCATCAGCTTTGCATCAATCATCAAGCATGTGTCCAGGCTATTATCTACCTATCTATTATATCTATTATATTATATTATATAAAGACAGCTTTGAAAGGAGGCACCACGTTCGCTGTTGAGACTAGAAATTCTCACGTTAATTGAATAAAAAGAAAAAGAAGAAAAGGAGAGTCCAAGTAAAAGTACAATTTAAAAATAGTTAAAATTTGAAATTAAAAATAAACAATATTGAAAGAAGTTTTCATATAAGAACCCAATAAACCCAATAAGAGGTTAATCAAAATTCGAAATAAAATAAAATAAAATCCAAAATTAGAAAAGGAAAGGAGAAGTTTCCATATAAGAACCCAATACGAGATTAATCAAAATTCGAAATAAAAATAAAATAAAATTCAAAATTAGAAAAGAAAATGAGAGTCCAAGTAGAAATACAATTTAAAAATAGCTTAAATTCAGAATTAAAAATAAGCAATATTGAATGAAGTTTCCATATAAGAACCGAATACGAGATTAATCAAAATTCGAAATAAAATAAAATAAAATCCAAAATTAGAAAAGAAAAGAAGAGTCCAAGTAGGAATACAATTTAAAAATAGCTGAAATTCGGAATTAAAAATAAGAAATATTAAAAGAAGAGTGCATATAAGAACCCAATACGAGATTAATTAAAATTCAGAATAAATAAATAAATCCGAAATTAGCAAAAGAAAATAAAGAAGAGTCCAAGTATAAATACAATTTAAAATTAGCTGAAACAATTTCAGTTATTTCAAAATTGTATTCCTACTCGAACACTCTTTTAATTTTTGTAATTTTCGATGTTATTTTATTTTTTATTTGAAATTTTAACTAATCTCGTATTGGATTCTTATATGGATTCTTCTTTCAATATTGCTTATTTTTAATTTCGAATTTCAGCTAATTTTAAATTGTATTCCTACTTGAACTCTTTATTTATTTTCTTTTGCTAATTTCGGGTTTGTTTTTATTTTTATTCCGAATTTTAATTAATCTCGTACTGGGTTCTTATATGGACTCTTCTTTTAATATTCTTTATTTTTAATTCTGAATTTCAGCTACGTTAATCGAAGAAAAAGAAAAAAAAGAAGAGTCGAAGTAGAAGTACAATTTAAAAATAGCTAAAATTCTGAATTTAAAATAAACAATATTGAAAGAAGTTTTCATATAAGAACCCAATAAGAGATTAATCAAAATTCGAAATAAAATAAAATAAAATCTAAAATTAGAAAAGGAAAGGAGAAGTTTCCATATAAGAACCCAATACGAGATTAATCAAAATTCAAAATAAAAATAAAATAAAATTCAAAATTAGAAAAGAAAATGAGATTCCAAGTAGAAATACAATTTAAAAATAGCTGAAATTCAGAATTAAAAATAAGCAATATTGAAATAAGTTTTCATATAAGAACCGAATACGAGATTAATCAAAATTCAAAATAAAATAAAATAAAAACCAAAATTAGAAAAGAAAAGGAGAGTCCAAGTAGGAATACAATTTAAAAATAGCTGAAATTCGGAATTAAAAATAAGAAATATTAAAAGAAGAATCCATATAAGAACCTAATACGAGATTAATTAAAATTCAGAATAAAAATAAAAATAAATCCGAAATTAGCAAAAGAAAATAAAGAAGAGTCCAAGTAGGAATACAATTTAAAATTAACTGAAACTCAGAATTAAAAATAAGCAATATTGAAAGAAGAATCCATATAAGAACCCGATACGAGATTAATTAAAATTTCGAATAAAAAATATAATAATATCTAAAATTAGAAAAAATTAAAAGAGAGTTCAAGTAGAAATACAATTATGAAACAACTGAAATTGAAAATTAAAAATAAAAACATTAAAAGAACACAATACGATATCAACTATTTTTTTTAAAAAAAGTAAATTCTGAAATTAGAAAAAAAAAAGATTTCAATTATGAATAAAATTTATAAATAACTAAAATTTTTGATAAAAATAAAGACTATTGAAAGAAAAGACCATCTAAAACACATGACGAGATAAATTAAATAACATGCCTATAAATGAGTAGAGTTGGTGGCGGTTGATACGCCATATAAAAATTGTTAATAAAACACCAAATAGAATCCTAATGACGATTAAAAAGAAGGACGTCAGGCAGGCCGTGAAGCAAACATGAAAGGCGGTTGCCGGGACTTCTAGAAAGTTAAAAAAAAAACAACATTGATAATCATATTCGAATTTTAAAATCTCAATGACAATAAAAAGGAGAAGCAGCGGGCGGGGTGTGTAAGAGTATAGTTGCAGAGCCGCTGACGGTTGACGGGACTTCTAGAAAATAAAAAATGAATTGCAACAATAGTTATGTTCGATTTTTAGAATCACGGTATAAAAAGTAGGCGGCGGACGGGCGTTGATCAGCATTGCTGGATCGGATTGCCTTGGTTGCTTGGTTAGCTAGGCGATCGCTCGTCTGCAGGCCGGTTAATTTCTCGAGCTGCCAAATTCTTTCTCCTCAATTATTAGTTGCGCCGATTCTTTTTGTCAAGTTAGGAAAATCTATATATTAAGTTATTACACCATATATTTATACCTACGTACGTATGTATAAAAATTAATTCTAGCATATGCTTGTATCCTGGAGCTCCCTCTGTAAAGATAAAAGAGTGCATCAGCTTGCATCAACCATCAAGCATGTGTCCAGACTATTTTTTTCTTCTATTTCTGGATTCAAAAGTTAGTTTATCCCAAGATATTTATGCGGCGCTGGTGGCAACACTGAATTACTCAACCATATGTAGTGGGCCTAACTTTACGGTCTTAACACTGTGCCTCTGATTAAGGCCGTAAAGTTCATACGGGCCATACATCGTTAAAGGCTGCTGCTTTGAGGAATAAATGGGCCGGAACAAAATGATAAAATAAATGGGCCGGTACTCCGTTATTGAGGGTCTGTTCACTTTGATGCCATTTTCAATCACATCATTTTTTTTTGGCAAAGTTACCAAAAACATATCTACATTTAGTTTGTTGCAAAATTTGATCAATACATAAGAAATCCTGCCAAAATTTTAGAATGGCATTGCCAAAAATTGGTAAGGTTTATTTTGACTACAATCTGAATAGGTCCAGAGACCGAAAATAAAGGGTTCAAACACTTGCATAATCTTTTTTATTTCTGAAAACCCAAAAGGCTAAAATAAATTTCAGCTTCGTGGAATAAATGGGCCAGGATAAGAGGGTAGCATTCTCACACTGTTCTATTGCCTGAAAACCCAAAAGGCCACATCCCAATTAGTCTCGACAAAGAATAGGCTCAGGGGCTCAGGGCCCGAGCAGGCCAGAAGTTTCTATAAGTCATGGTTCCATACGGCCCAGCACACATACTGAACAAGCTTTCGGGCCTAAAAGGGACCAGTTGCATATAAACTTAAGAGAAGCCCAATAAGAAGATCAGGGTTGTTTGGATCTTTACTAATATTGCCATAACTCATTCTAGACAAGTATGGTAAAATTAGATAAAGATTAAGTCTATGATATGCGAGACAAGATAAAAAAGTATAGGTAAGCCACAACTATAGCAATGAACCAAACACAAGTCTAAAGAGGTGTGGCAAGTTGAAGCATTGAACCAAATAACAACCTCTAATACAGGTTGAATACATGGTTTGATGGAACATGGATGTGAACATCACATAAAAACAAACAAATAACATAGGTCTAAAGATTACCCAGGGTAAAAACAATTATGGATATCATATTCATCTAGTTCCAAAAATATGGATGAAATTCAATTATAGTTGGAGGAATTAATATTCAATCTCAATGCAGTCTCCAGCATTTTCAGTTGCAATTTTCCATTGATCCTTGGCAACTGTCTGAAGTCTGCAACTCTGAACTGGATGTTTCGTCGTTTCCGGGCAACAGAGAGGTCCCTTGTCAGTGACCATTCCGATTGTCGCTCTCCAACAGGGACGGAAACAAGGACAGATGATCTGAAAGTACCACTGTTGGGAAGATGGTCTATGATTCTATACAACTAATATCGACGTTACCTTCACCTAATTTTGCTGTACTTTCACCATGGACCATTATGCTAATAGATGAGTGATTAATAAACAAGTACTAGTACTCCTACTCCGGTCCTAACTCCTCCTTAAATGCAGCATATGTGCATACTGCCGGCTGCTCTCTACTGTTCAAACTGGGGACATCACACATGCCCTGCAGCTAGCGGCCATGAACCAAATTCTGGCAGAATCTGTCACTGCATAGTTGCATGATCAACGGGGTAATTAGCTAGCTACTCAGTACTGACTTCCCCTGCCTGTAAGTAAAAGTTGAGTAATCCCTCCATTTGAAAATATAAATATTTCTGATTGTGCAACTAGACGAATAAGCATTCCTGGCTATTTACTTGACAATGTTTATACTATTTTGGAAAGAAGTACTCCGTACTAACTAATGGAGCATATGCATATATGGATGGTAAGAGTGATTGGCCACCTAACTTAATCGTCGGATGGGTATGGATGTGATGTTCATATCTTAGTTTATTCTTGACCTGAAAATGATATACAACGGCTACCAGGGGAACGTGAGTGTCATTAACCGATTAAATCTCTCGATGGAAAGTTAATTCTAGAACAAGTTAACAACATAAGTACATATTGTCATATGGTACATATGCTTTTTGTTGGAAGGATTTCTGTACGTACACCTGATGCAACCAATCTGCAGCTGATCTAATGCTTACTAGTAACAAGTTTGTATAAACATATATGAGTGAATCTTATCATAATTTAAATAATAGATTGTTACTTATTACTCCACTGCTGGCCATTTAAATATAATAGTTGGTATAAACATATTGGAGTATGAGTCGATAATGACCATACCAGGCAGTCGCCACTGTTGGCCAACAGTATAAATGCGATGATCAATCGATTAGCGGAAAAGTCTTCCCAACCCAAATCCCAGCTAAACTCCCTTCTATTAATATAACGTTAATCAATCTATTTGGTCGTTTGAAAAATGTTATGGTCTTTCATTTTATTCACCTTTCTAACTCTAATCGGCTAAGTAAGTTTGATAAGTAGAGAACTCCTTAGACTAAGCTTAAGTGCAAAGATAAAATCATGGTCTCTCATTTTAGTCACCTTTCTAATTAGATAATTAAGTTTGCTAAGGCCCCTTTGAATCGCAGGATTGAGAAAACGTAGGAATAGGAAAAACGTAGGATTTTGATAGGAATGTAAGTATAAAATAGAGGATTGCAAAACACAGGAATGACCGTTTAATTGAACCATAGGAAAAACACATGAATTGGATGAGAGAGATAGACTCAAAGGAAAGTTAGCAAGAGGTTGAAGGTCTTGCTAAATTTCCTCCAAAATCTCTATAGAATTGTCCATTCCATAGGAATTTCAAAGGATTAGATAGGATTCAATCCTTTGTTTTAAAGGGCTTCATAGGAAATTTTCCTATAGGATTGAAATCCTCTAAAATTCTTATGTTTTTCCTCTAAATCAAAGGGGCCATAAGTAGAAAATCCTTAGATTAAGCTTAAGTGTCAGGATAATATATAGTATTGTATAATTGGCTAATTAAGTTTGGGAAGTAGAGAGCTCCTTAGACTAAGCTTAAGTGTCAGGATCGGGTTAGGAGCTAGCACGGAGAAATTAATCAACCCTAATTCAAATGCCATATACTGGTAGAGAAACCATCTTTAGTCGGTCGACCCATATCCACAATAGTCCCGGTTCCATTAAAAACCGGGACTAAAAATGATTTTTAGTCCCGGTTAATAAGAGGAAGATCTTTAGTCCCGGTTGTTGTTACCAACCGGGACTAAAGATCATCTTTAGTCCCGGTTGGTAACTCCAACCGGGACTAAAGATGATTTTTAGTCCCGGTTGATTCCATGTCAGGCTGTGTCAGGGCTCTATGATCTTTAGTCCCGGTTAGTAACACCAACCGGGACTAAAAACCTATTTTTAGTCCCGGTTGGTATTACTAACCGGGAATAAAAATCAAAACACACTATATAATCCATAGTACCGATCCTCTTTTCCCGTCCACACAACAAACTCCTCCCTCTATCTCTTTTTTTCCTCTCTAACTTCTTATCTCTTTCCTTATCTCTAACTCCCCTCCTCTCCTTCCTTTTTTCCTTCACCACAGTGCAGGCGGCCGGCGCGGAGGCGGCGACGCAGGGGACGGCGCGGAGGCGGCCTGCATGGCGGCCGGCGCGGCAGCGCGGGGGGCCACGCGGCGGCGGCGGTGGGCGGCCGGCGCGGCGGCGCGGGAGGCCGCGCGGAGGCGGCGGCTGCGGTGGGCGGCCGCTCGGCGGCAACCGGCGCGGCGCTGGCCGGCCGGCGTGGAGGGGAGGAGGGGAGGCGGCAGTGGCCGCCGGCCGGATTTTTTTTCTTTTTTTTTGAGATGTGAATCTGTGATGTATTTTTGTGTGAGATGTGAATCTGTGATGAATTTTTTAGAACCCTGTGATGTAATTTTTTTAAGAGTTGGTAATGTATTTGGAGATGATTTGTTTGAGGATTTGGAGATGTTCTGTAATATGTGATGATTTGGATATGGGAGGGGATGGTGTGAAATCAATATTCAATATTAAAAGCAGAAAAAAAAAGAAAAAATATCTTTAGTCCCGGTTGGTGTTATCAACCGGGACTAAAGATGCTCCCATCTTTAGTCCCGGTTGGTAAAGATTGATTTTTAGTCCCGGTTATTTGAACCGGGACTAAAGATAGCGATCTTTAGTCCCGGATTCGTAGTCCCCAACCGGGACTACAGGGGGGTTACGAAACGGGACTAAAAAGCATTTCTCCACCAGTGATATACAGATCCAGCGGTATCAATCTGTGGATACCAGCAAAGACTGCATGTATTGCTAGTTTTTCTTTAAAAAAAATAAAATATGCAGACGTGTGTACGTGCAGTCAGCGTAGTGGACACAGCAGTTGAACTTAATTAGCTAATGACAGCAAAATAAATTTGTGCCATCATGTTGGTTAATTAATCGCAGGTCCAATTAACTAAGGCAAAAGTCATCGTCTCATCGATAGATCGAGTAGTTTAAGTAGGTAGCAGATGGACCGAACAAACAAGTAGCATCGCAGATGAAACCTAACAAGTTGAGCAAATGGTAGATGAACATATGAATGACCAATGATTCGTGGCACTTCGCAGCAGCGACTACATCACTACAAGATTCTCTAAAACCGGCGGAATCAATGGATCCTAGCTAAGCTACTACCACCAGTACACATAGTACTACAGTACTAGTAACCAAATTAAGTAGCAGCACTGTGCAGCATTTAGTTATTGCTATGCTAATCTAAGTGCGAACCTTCTCTGCAAGTAAACTGAGGAACTGTTCATATATATGATGCAGCAACGCCACGTAGCAGTTGCTGTCACGTCATACAACGCATCGATCACTAATTGACAGGTTAGCTGAAATACAAATACTGTTGCAGAAAAGGCCAGCGACTGGTTTGCTACTTCCAGACTTCCAGTATGTGCCTGGTCAGTCTGCTGTTTAATTTAATTGCCCGCAGATCACGTTGAACAGAGAGATACCTGAATTAAGCAGCTCAATGCCTTGCAGTAGTTTAGTGCAGTTAGGAAATCCATGAATTAGCATCTGTTGAAGTGGAGGATAATTAGAGCATTTTCAAGGAGGAGGAGTTTGAGACGTAAATGGTATTGCACTTTATTCGGTAAGCTGCTGTACTCACTCACTGTAGTATGAGCAGTGCCATGGATCCAGCAGCAGTTGGCATATCTGAATATAATAGATAATACGTTTCTAAACATTTCTGATGATTGATACTACAGATTATGAGGTGCATGTGTACATGGCAGCATGCCCGGTCCGTCCGGGAAATTAAGCAGCAACGCTCACCTCAATATGTAACCATGGAGCACTAGTTAGTTGATGAATTCTCCATGTATTGCCAAGAACATATATACATACTCATGGAGTACATACATTTCGGTGGCGATCGAGTAGTCAAAGCGAGAGATCCGTCACCCACGCCAACTCATGTTCGTCGCCATGTGCGCCCATCCTCCCGGCACTAACTCTCAAGCCGATCGAATTTGATCAGTAGCTTAATTATACTTTAGTACTACCACACCCATGCATTGCTCAGCTCGATCATCAGTTCGCACATATCAAAATTAAACACTAGCTAGTAGCTAGCTAGACAGTTTACCAGCTGAATATCATATAGTAGTACACACTCATGCATACTATACGGTTACTACACCTATTTATTATTCTTAAATTCGAATTTTCGATCCATACATACACAGGTATCTCCTTTGCTACTTGCAGCGAAGCTTCCAAAGCATGGACTAGTCTAATTCTTTAGTGATCGAGGGTAGTGATGGCACCAATTTGGATGAATCGGTCGAGAATGGAGTATTTCTCGCGTCAGTTACAGCAGGGAGTACGTAGTAACAGCAGCTAGTGCTCGATCGAATTCGTCGACTTGTAGTGGAGTAGCAGCTATTTCAGGGAAGGAAACGGCAAGGCAGCTATCTTCGTACGCCTCGTTAACTGCAACCCATCGATTGCCACATCTACACCTACGTATACAAATACACAAATAAATACTGCATACATACATGATACATACATACACGGCCGCTGCTGATAGCTCCTACTCCCTCCAGCCCAAAATAAGTGCAGCCATAAGTTTCCGTGTCCAACTCATCTTATTTGAAATTTTTATGATTAGTATAATACTTTCTCCGTTTTATATTATAAAATTTTTTAGTATTGTTCACATTCATACATATGAATAGTACTTTATATATGACTTATGTTTTTTATTTTTTAAAAATGTTTAAATAAAATAAATTGGACACAGAAACTCACGACTGTATTTATTTTGGAACGAAGTTAGCAGTAGTAGCAGCAGCAGTCGTCGTCTTGGTACAGTGCGTACACGTCTCGATCTATATTAGTTTAGCACTCTGCCCGCTGCAGAGACTTAGCTCGATCGATCAATTCATCTCATCGTCCATGGCGCCCAAGGTGGCGGTCACGGAGGCGACGGGGCGGCAGGCGGCGTCGTTCGTGCTCGGCTGCGTGGCCACGCTCACCGTCATGCTGCTCTTCCAGTACCAGGCGCCGCCGGACTACGGCCGCGCCGCCAGGTCGCCGGTGCAGTTCTCCACCTCCAGAGACCAGCTGCTGCTGCACTGCGGCGGCAATGGAACGGCGCCGCCGCCGCCGGTGATCGCACGTGGCGGCGAGGAGGCTAACATCACCGGCAAGCCTCCGACGACTGCTACTGCTGTCGCCGAGGAGCAGCCGCCAACCAAGCCTCCTGCGACCTCTACTGCATCTTCACCAACTCATCATATTCCAGCAACCAGTACAGATCTTGAAGAAGAGGTTAGTTCTCATTAATCTCCCGGCTTAATTAATTTTCACTTCTTTAATTTCTTATGCGTCATCTGGTATCAGTAATCTGCTAAATTTGTGCCGTCTTGAATTCACTCTGTTGCCCACAGTTTCCTCACATGTTCAAAATTAACTCAACAGTACAACTCATCATAATAAAAACAGGGGGTTCTTCAATTTCAGTAGGACACAACTAACCCTTTTTGGGTGTCTGCCAAATGCACCAAGAAAATGATTTTGTAAGATATATGCTACATATAACCACGAATTCAGAAATCATTCCATGAGACTTGATCTACTATTTTGACTTCGAAAAAGAGATAGGCTAATCAATTTGTTATATATTAATCTCGATCCTTGATTACCTTTTTGTACTTGTTTCGAGTGTACGAAAAGTGGCAAAGAAAGTCCTAGGATCTTACACCACCTAGTGATTCACGCTAATTTGATCATCAATGGCGGCAGGGCGGCGAGTTCCGGGGGTTGGCGGCGGCGGTGGCGCGGGCGGCGACGGATGACCGGACGGTGATCATCACGTGCGTGAACCACGCGTTCGCGGCGCCCGACTCGCTCCTGGACATCTTCCTCCAGGGCTTCCGCGTCGGCGACGGCACGCCGGAGCTCCTCCGCCACGTCCTCGTCGTCGCCATGGATCCCACCGCGCTCACCCGGTGCCGCGCCGTCCACCCCCACTGCTACCTCTACACCATGCCCGGCCTCGACGTCGACTTCACCTCCGAGAAGTTCTTCGCCTCCAAGGACTACCTCGAGCTCGTCTGGAGCAAGCTCAAGCTCCAGCGCCGAATTCTCCAGCTCGGCTACAACTTCCTCTTCACGGTAATTCAGTAACTGTAAATTGAAATTAACACCGCCATTGACTGCAAATCAAGATGAACTGATTAATTAACCAATTGCAAGATCAGGACGTTGACATTGTGTGGCTGAGGAATCCGTTCAAGCACGTGGCGGTGTACGCGGACATGGCGATCTCGAGCGACGTGTTCTTCGGTGACCCGGACAACATCGACAACTTCCCAAACACGGGCTTCTTCTACGTGAAGCCGAGCGCGAGGACGATCGCCATGACCAAGGAGTGGCACGAGGCGAGGAGCTCGCACCCGGGGCTCAACGAGCAGCCGGTGTTCAACCACATCAAGAAGAAGCTGGTGAAGAAGCTGAAGCTCAAGGTTCAGTACCTGGACACGGCCTACATCGGCGGATTCTGCAGCTACGGCAAGGATCTGAGCAAGATCTGCACCATGCACGCCAACTGCTGCATCGGCCTCCAATCCAAGATCAGTGATCTCAAGGGTGTTCTTGCTGACTGGAAGAACTACACCAGGTTGCCACCCTGGGCAAAGCCCAATGCCAGGTGGACTGTGCCTGGTAAATGCATCCATTGATTTTGATTGTCGATCGGGCAGTATCTGGTGTTGTAGGCTACGTACAGTCAGGAAGATAGCTTTATTTGCACATGAAAGGGCGAATTTTGTTTTTTTTGGTTTGTTGTAGATTGATGGGTCGATTTCAAGTTATATTACTGTATACCTGACGGCAGACAAGTATACGCATGATGGGCAAACTATATGATATGATATGATATGATAGTACTTTAGATGTAAAGATGTCATCATGTCTTCAGCTATGATTGAATGAGAAGTACATCCATCCAAAGAGAGAGGCAACAAAACAAAATTCAGAAAGATTATACTATCCCATCTCAAAACTGTCTCGGGGGATCAGTGCAAGAGCCACATGCCTCATGTTTGTTTCTTCTTTTGATTGATTGATGGTCCAAACAAGACATTTTCCTCTCGCGGACAAATTCTTTTGGGCCCTCAGAGCTAGGATTTTTTTGGCCCAATAAATTTGATGGGCCTGAAAAGGATCGGCCTGTTAGGCCCTACTACTAACAGTGCACGGCGCCGCTTGAAGATGTGCAAGTTGAAAATGTGGCCCTTTCCCGTCCTTCCAAATTTCTTTTCAGTTTTGTTACCCAAAAGTATTCAAACACCCCAGCATCACTACATAATACAGTATATCTCTGAGTGGTCTTCAACACAAGTGCTATCTTTCAAATGCTAAACGGTAAAAGCAACGATGTAAAGTAAAACCATGCACCACTGAGAGCTCATATACTTATGCAAGTGACTTACTTTATGACACTAATAATCCGGCGTCACCAAGATGGAGCGGCCGGTAGGAGAAACTTCACCGAGCTAGCTAGGCGCCGAGACGGAGGCGGTCGATCAATCTGTTGCCGCCGTCGCCGCAGTTGGACGAGCGGATCCTGAAACAAAAACGAAAAAGAAACCTTGATTTATATAAGGGCGGTTGGATCATATTCATATTCATGTACACCCTCCCTTTTACCAAACTTGAAGGATCACTTTTTATTGCATATATTACGCTTTGGATCTTTCTAATCACTGTTTTCACTTTAGACGAAATATTTTTATAACTCTTTTAACCATATACATTTAACTTGTCATATGTCAAAAAAAAATGATCTTACATACAGCTATGAGAGTGTTTTTCAAATAAGAGCTGACGTATCCGAGATCGTACATATACCAGAAGGCTCAGATCATGGCACGTTGCCTGCGGCGTACATACTAATCTCAGAACACAACTTTGTACTGTCTTCTCGATCATTACAGACAGCAAATTGTTCATCTGAACACACAGCTACAGAGCAGAAACCCATGATGGAGCTCTCCTTGTTATTGTTATGGATCTCCCTACTATTACTAGTAGTTGCTTATTATCACGTACGGTGATGTGATGATCTACATGAAGGAGCGCATGCGCGGGCGCACGATGGACTGGGCGCCATCCACGAATATGGTGCTGCCAGTCATGTACCGGGACTCGTCCCCAACCAGGTACAGCACCGTGGACGCCACGTCCTTCTCCGGGTCCAGCCATCTCCGCAGCGGCATCACCTCCCCCGTCGCCTTCTCCGCCTTCTCCTTCCCCACCCACACCGGGAACCTGTCGCCCAGGTGCAGCCCACGGCACACCGCGTTCACCCTCATCTTGTGCTTGCCCAGCTCCATTGCTGACAGCTGAAGAACACAACAAACATTTAGTACCTCTTACAGTTATGAGTGTTATATTTCGAGATCAACATGGATCGAATCAATTGTTAACTGCAATGCAAGTATCGTCTACAGAGTTATGCTGATTCAAGCATGTTTATGAAGAAAAGCATAAATATGGCCAGCTGAGATATTTCTTCAGTTCAGAACTGCTGGAGTTGTCAGCCGGTTATTGTGCTTGCCCAGCTCCATTGCTGACAGCTGAAGAAACAACAAACGTTTACCTCTTGATTTGAGTGGTGCTCGAATTCAACACAAACAGAATCAGTTGTTGATTGAACCGGAAGTGCTGTTTATGGAGGATTGGAGGCTCTTTTCTCAAGAACAACATATATTTGGCCAGGATCCTTTTTTCCCAGTTCAGAACTATCAGGGTCGTCTGTTAGTTTTCAACTGAAACATACTGCCATCTAAATGTATGCATTTCTTCATTTCAAGTGCATTGCAAGCTTAACATTTTCAGGCTTTGAGCAAAGCATAGAGAAGTAAAGCAGCAGCTCTCAATGATGAAGGGAGAACAATGGTACTAGTCAGTTGGCAGTACTTGAACAGAAGACTTACCCGGACCAATTGGTGAATGGCACCTAAACTTGTACCATATGCAGCAGCACCAGGATACAATCCTCTCTCAGCACCAATAATCTGAGTTAAGAATACAACAGACCCTCCACAACTGGATTCTGAGTCCCGGAGTCGCTTTGCAATTGCCTTTACTAGAAACCAAGGTGTCATTACATTCGCTTTCATTGTCTTCTTGAACTCATCTTCGCTTATATTGAGGCAGTCTTGTACTTCACCTGCCCATTTGGGAAAAACAAACATTTGTAAATGAAAACAAAGCGCCATTTTGCTGAAGTAGGGGGTTCCAGATTGTGTCATATCGTGGTTAAGTTTGATCACCAGGCATACAGGGTACAAGCACTAACCAATTGATCCTTTCAGTTGTATCCTATTACTGACAACAATATCTATCTGATACTGGTTTTGTGAACTAAGGCACTTATTAAGAAAGCTACGGAGAATGCGACATGAAGTACATATAAAAATACAATTCACTTTATTGTTGCAGAAATTTACAGTGAAATTTCAACAGTTCATAGTTGACAGACAGACTGATCCACCCATTGCCCAAGGCACATTTTCTCGGGTAGTAATCTATGAAAGATCAGATAGGGAATTTTCTCTAAAATTAAAATTAGGTGAGCACTGGGCAGACTGTTTGGATTGAGCTTAGAGCATGGCGAAATGTTGTGGTTCTCAGCTACGAGTACACGAATTGAAGTCGACCGGAGGAATTTTCTTTTGAAATGCAGAGGAACAACTAAGAATTAGCTCTGCAGGAACAGCATACAGAAATTCAGAAGTAGTGTACGGACCCTCGTAGGAGTAGCAGTTCACCATGGCGTCTAGGCCGTCGAAGCAGCGCCACGCCGTGCCCACCGCCGCGTCGACGGCCGCCTCGTCGCAGCCGTGGAGATCCAGCCCCACCACAGCGACCGCATCTCCTCCGCCCCCACCGCGCCGCGCCTCCTCCGCCGTCCCAGCCAGGGCGCCCTCGTCGCCGACCAAAACCAATCTACGGCGGGAGAGGACGAATTAGAGAGGGAGAGTGGAGAGCACGGCGAGGCAAGAGGTCCGTACGTACGTACCGGCAGCCATGGGTGGCGAGGGTGGAGGCGATCCCCCGGGAGACGTCGTCGCCGGCGGCGGTGAGCAGCACGCGCTTGGCGTAGGCGGCGTCCCCCTCCCCCATCGACTCGTTCAGCATCGTTTTCTACCAGACAAAAATGGATAAAATGCTACTCCCTCCACCTATTTTCCGTACCTAATTTTAATTGTCCGTCTTATTTAAATTTTTTTTAAAAAAAAATTAAAAACATAAGTCACGCATAAAGTACTATTTATATTTTATTATCTCATAACAATAAAAATACTACTAATTATTAAAAAAATTTAAATAAGATGAATGATCAAAGTTGAGCACGGAAACTTATATACACTTAAAATGAAATGGAGGAAGCACTACTACTAGTCTCCAGTTTTCTTTTCTTTTCTTTTTTTTTTCTTCAATACAACAACAAAATAAATTTTAGGAGAAAGGCTGTGGTAAGAAAGCACACCAACTGACAATCAAACAAAGCAGTGAAAATAGAAATGCGGATTTATTCTATCTGCAACATTATTTTTGACAAGTACATACTGGAGCATATGGATAGAACATTACTTTCGACAATTACAGACTCACTGGACCAAGAGGATAATCTATTGTGTGCTGAGCAGTTCTATCTGCAATGCACAACAAGAAGGCCATGCCAACTCTCATGTAGAGTATTTTAACTTAATGCTAACACAGGATTCCCTAGTTCTTCAGGTATAAATATTAGTACAACAGAGCATATTTTACACGATTTTATGGGTTCCAAGTACACAGGATTACACCAGGGCAAAGATACAGATAATTCACCACCTTGGGTCCTCTCCAGCAATTCACACAACTGCCCATGTTTTCCTTCTCTATAGAGTACAACTGCCACTTCAATTTATTTCTCTATATCCCAGAAAATGATTTGATCATCTAAAAGTGCATAGAGAGAGAAGGTGCAGTGGCAACCTTCTCACGAAGGTTGAACTTCCTTGCAATACATGGCCGGACATCTTCCACCCCAACCAAACTTTGCAAAAATGGAAGTAATGTTAGGAGTTCTCTGTCATTACGATCATCAAACCAACTTTCAATAGGGACGCCGTTGTCTAATTGGAACCCAAAGGCCTGAAAGCAAGATACAGATGTATTAGCAACTATACTTTTGGTTCGTCTACTTATTACTAGTGCTACTAAGATTGCAAAACTGACGTGACAAAAAAAGGAGGTAAATCGCAGCTAATAGCATAGAAATCTCAATACAGGCTACAAGAAACTGAGGCTATTCCAAATGAATAGAAACAAACTTATTAGAATTTCATTTCAAAGAAAAAGGAATCAAATTGCACCCAAAGTACTATTGCTCGGGTCCAACAGAAATTTCACTATAAGGCCCAATGAGCAATAGCCCTTTCTTAAGCACTGCTGTACTAACAGAAAGTAGAAATTCTATACCATATCCAACTAAGAATGTTCCACGACTATTACTACAGATGAAGATTTTGAAACCTGAGAGGCTGAGAATATAGTGACAAGTCCAGTGGATAGATTTGCTGTACTGCCAGGAGAAGACAGAGAAACTGACTAATACAAACATCATTGATCACTGACCCAAAAAAAAAAAAAACTTTATTCTTTTTCTTCATCAAGTCCATGTCTACTATTAGAATGTTGAATTATGAATTTTACCCTCGAGCTAACATATGTAGCCCTATCACCCAATATTTACACATTACAAATTATAATGCTAAACAACGCAAAGAGACTATTGATAACTAGGTTTGCTTTAACATCCCACTACTTTGTTAGAAATTATTTTTAAAACCCATGGAATGAAAGATGTGTGTTTTCTTAAAAAGGAAGAAATGTGTACTCCTTCCGTACTCGTAAAGGAAGTCGTTTAGGACAATGTTTAAGTCAAACCTTGGGAATATAAATCATGAATAACTCTCAAGTTATTGAGTTTCAAAATGTAAAAATTATATGAATAGATTGGTCTTGAAAAATACTTTCATAAAAGTATACATATATCACTTTTCAATAAATATTTTTATAGAAATAAGAAGTCAAAGTTGTGTTTTGGAGACCGTGTCGCTGTCCTAAACAACTTACTTTACGAGTACGGAGGGAGTACAGTTTTAGCACATACCTGTGGTGAATTATCAACAATGACCACACGAGCCAAGTCACGTCCAAGAACTGATAGATCCTTTAAGTAGTTTCCCTCCACAAAGAGACAGGACTCGCGGTAAACTCGATGGCGGAACAACCTCCTTTTAGGATCAAGAATATTAAGTAGCTGTTCTGCATAAATACTTTGACTAGCTGTGAAAATGATGATCTCAAACATGCTTGCTACTGTCTCCAAGAACTCTTTCAGATATGGACGGCAACGCACATAGATTGTGTGCTCTCTGAGATTAAAATGAACTGGGAATGTGAAGTCAGAATCTTCACAGGGCTCAAGAGTAGAGTGCACCAGTGTCTCTGCATGACAGCATAACAATAATGGTACATTAACATTGACTGCACAATATAAAGTACAGAGGTTACATGTAATGGCTAACACCAAACAACAGGACAGACTGTATATGATCAAGTAAATGAACAACCGGAGATATTGAAGCTAAACAGAACAGGAATGTGCACACATCTCATAGGGTGGATGTTCTCTACTCCCTCCGTCCCATAAAAAACGAATCTAGGACCGGATGTGACACATCCTAGTACTACGAATCTAGACAGAGGTCACATCCGGTACTAGGTTGTTTTTTTATGGGATGGAGGGAGTACTCACTAAAAGCTAAGCAACATGCTTTACAATTATATCATAAGTGGAATAATAAGCAAGTTACACGATCCTAATAACAATATGCAATCCATTTTGACATAAACTTATAACTGTGCAAAATCCAGGTCTCATGAGCTTTAACATTTCCAAGCTAATCACAGATTATTGACTTTGGAAGAAACATAATCATTAATGATTCCATTAAAGGAGTTTACCAAGAGTCTATCCAAGTTAAAGTGTGCACAACATTCACATCTTACCATCCAGATCAAGGACAAGGGTAGTTCTAGGACAGCTCCGAGTTTGCTTTGGAAGAAGAACAGGTTGAAACTTGGGAACCACCAAAGATAAATCAGGCAAATCTTTTATGAAGGCATACGGATCAAAATAATCAAGCTCTACAGTTTCATCAGGATCAGCACACCCATCTGTTGAGGTAGAATCTTGGCTTTGTTCATCAATACACTCTAGCTTTGAGTGCTGCATTGCAAGATATATAGCAGACACTTCAGGAGAAAGGCTGCCCAATTCACTGAATTCATCACCTTCGAGCGTGCTTCCACATGCCGATTGCATATGAATATCATAAGAGTGTTTGCTCAAACCATCAAAAGTATTGCATGATATGCTATTGGTAACATATTCAGCATTCTGAACAGGCTCATGTATGACTTCTTCATGTACTAAGCCTGCATAATGACAATGGCGTATTGGAAAATACAAACTGGAGAAGCAATGCAGCAGGTATCAGTATGCACAGAGTGCATCTAAATATGCAATGTACACTATCATGAAGTCATCTAAAAAATGTTGTTTTTCTTATTCTCTAGATAAATGCATGTGAAAAATTCAAACACAGATCTGACACTTGGAGTGCAGAAAATAAATGCTAAGGTGGAGTTATATTCAAAAGGTACCTTCGCTCAAGCAGTCAGTAACATCTTCCTTCTGATTGTGAAAACTGGGAGAAAATATGGAATCACATGAACGATCTTCATCATTTTCATGAGATTGCTAGCAATAGAAAAAGATCAACCAGACAAATAAGTAAAGGATAAAGCAACAGTCAATTTGAGGTTATTTCAGAAACAATATTGCTTTCCTCTTTTTTCTTTTTTCGCTTTTATCGAAACACACCGTATGTTAAAATGTATGATTACACAAATAGACAACACCTGACCAGCTAAAAAATTCACTTTGAGCAGAAAGAACTTTACCTTGTGATTGAAGAAACTGCTACTTGGCACGCCCGCGACATCATTTCCAGTACCAGCAGAATCATAAATAGAATTCAATTTTTTCCCACCCCTAAGAGCTCGATTTTTCTTCAGAAGGCCTCCACCTGCAGAGGTAGCAATTCATATTTGGAACAAAATCAAGAAAAATCTATGTGGAGCCACAACCAATTTCAAGAAAACTAAAGATAAAGGAAAATTGAAGAATAATTTCCCAAATAATACCAAGCATAATTGTAGTAGTGGACAAAAAAAAGGCACTTAAACATCAGGAATAAGCTTGGATATAATGAGCACTGCAGAACACAACAAGTAGGATGAAAAGCTCTGGAAGTTTTCAGTTTACTCTCCCATACTCATAGTTTCATACATTCCTATAAATAGGCTATAGCTTTGTACTGTACATAATAGTAGGGGAAACTTTACCGATCTGCTTTTTGGAGGAAGAAGTGATCAGATCATTGACTTTATGTTCAGCAGCTGCAGCCTGAGTTGATCTGCTTGATTTTCGGCTATTTGGGGGATTGATATGCTCAGTGGTGGCATTTCTTGCAAGGCCTTTTTTTCTTGTTGGCATTTTCAATCAAGAAGTGTCCTAAATAGCAGCCGATTTATATACCAGAACAAGAATAGCACATCAGACAAGCAGACAGCCCGTTTCCTTGGTGAAGACTGCTCAGGGTTATTGTGCAACTTTCAGGGTGCTGACCTAGAGGAAGATGAGAAAGGAATCAGCTATAAGCAGTACAAGTCAACAAACTGCATTTCAATTTTCATACACGATTGTTTAAAATGATGATACACAAAAGTTGGTATAAAACTACAGAATACTTCAGGACGTCAAAGATTGGAAAATTAACTTCATGGAATGACATACAAACTCACTACATACACTGAACTTAGCTCTTAGGTACTTCAATCAATATATGTCAAACTCTCCCCACAGTCATCAAAAAACAGGACGCTACTACGGCATACACACTTCAGTCACTCGGTAGGCCACTCCGTACGGCACTCACCGTATCGGCGTTCGCTACTACTACAGGAGTGACCCCTCAGCTCGCGGCAGCGACGAAATCGCGCATACGGAAGTCGGAGGAGGCGGTCGCTGGTCATCAGCGCCGGCGGAACCCAGCAGCATTACCGGAAAATCCAAGCATGAAGGTGTCGGGAGTCAAAGAGGCATACCGGAACAAGGAGAGCAGAGGCGGCGGCGGGCGGGACGGGACCAGCCGGAGGAGGCGGCGGAAACCAAACCCTAGCGGCGGCGGCCGGAGAGGAAGCGGACAGGAGAAGAGGGATTTTTGAATCGTCGAAGAGGGGAGGGAGCTCCAAAAGGGCGAGAAAGTAAGCGTGTCAGGTGGGCCCCACGTCAGAATCCAGTAGGTGTAGGCGGGCCGCCTGGAGCTTGGCCCATTAAGGCCCAATCAAATAATACAGGCCCAGTAAGCTGAAAGAACCATGGGCTATAAATAGCTAGCTGGTTTTCGGGGAATAAAACTCCGAACCCCCTCGACAGGTTCGGGAAGAACACGCGTTCGTATCTGCAACGCGAAATAACTCAACGGCTGCATATGCAGAGTTGAATTTGAACTTATATATATTACATGTTAATACAACTTCTTATATTTTTTAAAAAAAATCATATCTATATTTAAGTAACATACGGACACAAGTAAATATTCCCTCCAGGACTCAAAATCCACTTCCTATATATACCACCAGAAGCTAGCAGGAACGGGAAGGCAGGTCGGTCATACACGTAAGATAGGACGAGTATGAGAGAGCGAGAGCAATAGCAAAGCCCAGTGATGGCGACGCTGCTCTCCAAGCTCCTAGCTCTGCCTCAACAATGGCAGCTCCTCCTACTCCTCCTCCTCCTCCCAATCGCCTCCCTCCTGTTGGTAATTGGCAGGAACACCGGCGGCCGTCGTCGCCGGCGGCATCTTAGACTGCCTCCGGGCCCAGCGCGGCTGCCGGTCCTGGGCAACCTGCTCCAGCTGGGCGCGCTGCCGCACCGGAGCCTGCGGGATCTGGCGCGGCGGCACGGGCCGGTGATGATGCTGCGGCTGGGCGCGGTGCCGGCGGTGGTGGTGTCCTCGCCGGAGGCGGCGCAGGAGGTGCTGAGGACGCACGACGCCGACTGCTGCAGCCGGCCGTCCTCGCCGGGGCCGATGCGGCTGTCGTACGGGTACAAGGACGTGGCGTTCGCGCCGTACGACGCCTACGGCCGCGCGGCGCGCCGGCTGTTCGTCGCCGAGCTCTTCAGCGCGCCGCGCGTCCAGGCCGCATGGCGCGCGCGCCAGGACCAGGTACAGTACAGTACAACGATAGCCTGCATCTTGTTTGTCTCCCTACTGTGTGGTACACACAATTTCCATCTACCAAGTGGGCAAAATTTCCACACATGTATGATAGGCCTGCTTGGATGGTGAGGTGAAGGAGACATTTTCATTGTACATGCCCTTGATGATGACATGTTGATAATTGGTTGGTGGTAGGCTGGTAGCTAGCTATTACCTCCATACCGAAATAATTATAGTTTTAAGTATTAAGGTTCAAGAAGAAAGATGTCCTTCATTAAATGGTGAATATGTGAGATTGTGAGGGTGGTTGAGGGTAAAATTGAGAGCAATTTAAATGAGATATCATTGATGGAACAATTAGTACTCTAGAGTGACAACTGTTTTGGGATAAATTTTAAATCCTAAAAATGCAATTATTTTGGGATAGATATAGTACTAGCTACTCCCTATGTCCCTTAGAAAACCAATTTAAAATGGCATGATATATTTTCTTGTACATAAATGTAAATAAGTTTTTATCTTAGATTTATTATATAAAAAACTTGGATTTTTGTGGGACGGGGGTACGGAAGAAGATAACGAGTAGCAGATTCGCGATTTTGTCTTCGTCTGTATGTTTCCACCTATTATTGGATATATGGAAATCTCGCTAGCTGTTGGGGGGAAGTTGCATGCATTTGACAAAATGGAAAGCATCGGTGCAAGTGGATTTGACAAGTGAATTACTTTATCTATACATTAAAATTAATAATCTAGAAGGTGCTTGGTTCTCATCTCCAGCTTTAATAAACATAAATATGATTAAAATAGTTTAGTTGAGATGTTATAAGTTAATGAGAGAGAGGAGACAACAAATTTGCACCTTAATCAGATCATGTAATGTACTTACATGCTTCCTCCATTTTTTAATATACGAAGTTGTTTACTTTTAACATTATATTTATCATCCGTCTTATTAAAAAAAATATAGATATAATTTATTTTCTTATGATTTTTTACATCAACTAAATTAAAATCTCAACTTTATACTTTTACATATTTATACTAATTTTTAAATTAATATAAATGATCAAACGTTATAGTATCTAATTCGTATTGGTTGATATATGGAGGATTTTGCAATCTAATCAAGTGCATATACATTCATTTACTCATCACGTTTCAAACATCAATCAAATAGTTATACAGTTCTTAAATAATTGACAACATTTAAATCAAAATAAAAGATTCGATCATAAATATTACTACTCCGTACTACCATAATTTTTATTATAGTGAAATCTGTAGGGTTTTACCTTAGATGTGTTGATGATTGAAATATGGCAGTGATACAACGTATGGCTTGGCACTTGGCAGGTGGAGAAGCTGATCGGGAAGCTGACACGGCCGGAGCCGGAGCCGGTGGAGCTGAACGATCACATCTTCGCCCTGACCGACGGCATCATCGGCGCGGTGGCGTTCGGCAGCATCTACGGCACGGAGCGGTTCGCCGGCGGCGGCAGGAAGCGCTTCCACCACCTGCTCGACGACGTCATGGACATGCTCGCCAGCTTCTCCGCCGAGGACTTCTTCCCCAACGCCGCCGCCGCCCGCCTCTTCGACCACCTCACCGGCCTCGTCGCCCACCGCGAGCGCGTCTTCCAACAGCTCGACGCCTTCTTCGAGATGGTCATCGAGCAGCATCTTGACTCTGACAGCAGCAACGCCGGCGGCGGCGGCGGCAACCTCGTCGGCGCCCTGATCGGCCTGTGGAAGCAGGGGAAGCAGTACGGCGATCGCCGGTTCACCAGGGAGAACGTCAAGGCCATCATCTTCGTAAGCAGCAGCAGCACACGTCGTCGTCGTCAGCTAGTCAAATACACAAACACCTGCCACGCATGGCGATCGTGACGGCGATCTTTGCTTGTAATTGCAGGACGCGTTCATCGGTGGGATCGGGACGAGCTCGGTGACGATCCTGTGGGCGATGGCGGAGCTGATGCGGTCGCCGCGGGTGATGCGGAAGGTGCAAGCCGAGATCAGGGCCACCGTCGGCGACCGAGATGGCGGCGGCATGGTGCAGCCGGACGACCTGCCGAGGCTCGCCTACCTCAAGATGGTGGTGAAGGAGACGCTGCGGCTGCACCCGCCGGCGACGCTGCTGATGCCGCGGGAGACGATGCGCGACGTGAGGATCGGCGGGTACGAGGTGGCGGCGAGGACGCGGGTGATGGTGAACGCGTGGGCGATCGGGAGGGACGCGGCGAGGTGGGAGGAGGCGGAGGTGTTCGACCCGGACAGGTTCGAGGCGAAGCGGGTGGAGTTCAACGGCGGGCACTTCGAGCTCCTGCCGTTCGGGTCGGGGCGGCGGATCTGCCCCGGCATCGCCATGGGCGCCGCCAACGTGGAGTTCACGCTGGCCAACCTGCTGCACTGCTTCGACTGGGCGCTGCCGGTGGGGATGGCGCCGGAGGAGCTGAGCATGGAGGAGTCCGGCGGCCTCGTGCTCCACAGGAAGGCGCCCCTCGTGCTCGTGCCCACTAGATACATACAACTATAGGAGTACAAATGAAATGGAATTTAGCTAGTAGCAAAGCCGCGACTTCGGCCTTGATTAGTTCCTAAATTATTTTTTTTCCAAAAACGTCACCTCCAATCTTTGGATATATATATATAAAATATTAAATATAAATAAAATAAAAAATTAATTGCACAGTTTGTATGAAAATCACGAGACGAATCTTTTGAACCTAACTAGTCCATGATTAGCCATAAGTGTTACAGTAACCCATATGTACTAATGATGGATTAATTATGCTTAATAATTTCATCTCGTGGTTTTCAGGCGAGTTATGAAATTAGTTTTTCATTCGTATCCGAAAACTCCTTCCAATATTCAGTCAAACGTTTATTGTTACACCCTAAAATTTTCTTTTTCGAACTAAACAAGCCTTTCATTTCATGCCTCTCTCCCCTACGTTTTGCTGCTTTGCTGTTCAACATCTACATACTTATTGCTCCTTCACAGATGTACTCCTACTTCATAAATTAAGATTGGGTGATTAGAATGGATTGGTAATTTGTTGAGATATGATGAACTAATATCTGCGTGTAATAACAAAGTTTATGCTCCGTCATGTCCTAATTACTTGAAGAATTAGCTGAGGTTGCGTGAATCCCCAGCAAGACGAGAAGGTGATTCCACAGGAGGCAGATTAGACTAGAGTGGCCTGTAAATGTGTTTTGCCACAGATGGAGGATGGAACAAGAATAGTAGGAGACTGACAGAGTGAATCATATAATTGAGCCCTCATCAATCCTTAGATAGGCAGACCTGTCGAAAGTCTACTCGCCTAGTAGGCTCTTCAAAAGCCGGCCATAACGCATGCCAGGCTCAGCTAGTCTGATGATCTGCTCTTTTTATCCGATACTTTTTGCCATTCTTCGGAACATGTACAGTCACGACGGACCTGACCAGGGTGATGGCTTGATCTGATCCTTATTGTAGGTGATCTGATACTTATCTCATTCCTCCATACCATGCTATGCTCTTCTTTCACATGTACCATATTCGATATGCCCGGTCACACGAGAGCAAATTCATTCATGTGGCTGGGGAATGGAACCCAAGTGGCTGAGGGGTGTCCATCCATGGGTCAACCCAAATAAGCAAGCAAATGTGACAAACTCGTTGAGAAATTTGCAGAGAAGAATATAAAATCCAAATCCCCGGATGCCCTCCAAAAAGCTAAGGTGCACAGATACACATCTCACATTCTCACATCCAGCAGGCCAATGATCCGTTGATCGCCACCTTTTGCTTGTCAAGGGCCAAATATTCTTGTTGTGCCAAACACGCTGCCTCCAGCCAAAGTCAGAAGCTCCTTCCTTATAAATATATGCCCAGGCATGCAACCATCAGTACACAGCCACAAATGCAAGTGCAGATGACTGACTAGAAGAGAGGTCTTGCATGGAAGTAAGAGGCCATCTTCGATAGCCAAGGATGATTTGCCTGTAGCCCCATTGTCATCAGCTCTCTCCGTCGAGAGCGACAACCGGGCTCTACTGGCAAGTCTCCTCGGCTACCCGAGTACCTCTTATGCTATCCCATGTCAGACCTGCTCTTCTTTACCATCAGTGATCATCAAAATTCACAACACCAACAATGAGGTAAGCAATCTAAGTAACAAAACGTCCCAGTGATTACCTTGGTGGCGCTTGTATGTACCAAAGGCATCCTCTATGGCTACACTGTATTATTCTGCAGTTCTGTCATTGCCAATCTGCCATTGTGGTACTATCAGCCACCACCATGCCACAAAAGGTTACACTTCGGCTGAAAACACACGTCTTGTTTAGATATTTAGTATTTCTGGAGTTCCTCCCAAAAATATATGATCTAAGCTTTGAAAAAATATCAAGGATGATTTTTATTTAGCTTTGCACACTCAACTCGTAGCCTTTCCTTTTTTTCCTTTCAAAAACACAGGCACACAATCTGCCCATATAAAACAGAGCAGCACCGGAGTACACTGAAAATTCTTCAAGTGCAAGACTATAATATTAGGGAACCACGGTATTTCTTGGGGGTGACATTCAAAAAACTATGGTTTTTGGATAAAGGGTCCCACTCACTATCATTTGAAATGTATCAATGTCTCTCACCCTATCGTTCCAACCTTCATGTCAGGCCGCCATCCAGAATGTCTTAAACCAGGAGGTATTAAGGATAACCTGTGAGGAAGGAAGAATTGGCTGAGTACTTCAAAAGAAACCTCTACTACCTGAATCTGGTGCCTTACCAATGCGATTCAACTTTTCAACCAAAAAATAATCTGGCAGTACTAAAAAATAACTGGTCTACTTATTTCTGTCAATTACAAGCCCATAAAGTCTTCTTTTACTTCAAATATACATGCCATCCGTACTTGCTCAGCCCCCCATTTCCACCTTTTAGCCAGTTGACCTCATCGTTAACACAAGTTGGAGAAACATTGCATGGTAGTACTAGATTGTACATGATGTAAGGAATATGTGCAAGTCTAAAACATGTTCTAGCATTGAAATATAAGCGATCAGTTAAGGGTACAAATTAAATCATTATGTGTATTTGCAAAAAGGTTATTACAAATAAAACCAGAATTTCCGCATGTTTCTGAGAAGATAGTCAAGTTATATATTAGCACAACCAAGATATAAACAAATTCAACACATTGAAAATTGTATTTGCACGATAATTAACATGTTGAAATCATTGATAAAAATGAAAGTTAATAAGCCATGATGAACTCCCTACATCAGTTGTCTGCATGACATAGAAATGATAATAGGCAAACAAAAGTTGAAGCATGTCGAAATGTCAATGACAAGTACAGTGGAAGAGCGGACAGGCAAACAAGGCAACAATGAACTGACAAATATAAGCAACAATTTTAAAGATGAATATTAAATAGGACAGAAGGAACACGTAGCTATTTTTTGCTGATTAGATGGATGGAACCCATAAGGAACATAGCCTGGTACTGTTTCAATTAGTTCAATTATGATGATATCAATCACCTGCCTTACTTTTCATATGAACACCTTACGGGCATAAAACAGCATTTATGAAAATAGTTTTCAATGGCTTTCATGCCATAAAGTTCTGTTTAAGCATTCTATATCAGACCAACAACGGATGGAGATAAATGTTGATTGACTTGAGGACAAAGTTAGATACCAGTTTCTATGGACCTGATGTTGATTTTTTTTTTGTTGTTGTTGGAAATCATTTCAACAAAGAATAGTCTTCCCCACTTGATATGGAATAATTCCTCATGGGGATCATGTGTTGACCTTTCATAGCCTTTTGCAAGGTTGAATTTTATGCATTATTTAACAATGACCTTAAACAGAGCTCAAGAGGTGAACAATGTATACATGTTTCGAAACATATCATATTTCTCATGATTTCTGGTAAAACGTATGGTCAAAATAGAGAAACTGGTCCTGAGCAATTTTGAGAATATATACCTACCATGGTCAGGAAAAGATTCAAAGGAAAAAGTGCGCTGATGTGCCATAAAGGAAACTATGAATAGCATATTGATTTTTATGAAATCTGTGTGGCTGTCTTGCTGCATGTGCATACCTACTCCTTTGCCGAGTATGATTTGCGCCCTTCCTACTCGAAGCTGTAATCCTACCTTACCTTTACAAGAAAAAAATTCATGTGTCCTAATAAGAAGCTGTTTGAATGTTCTCAGCAGCTCTTGCCCCTCACTAAGCCTGTATGATGTACCTCTTACTACACTACCAAAAAACTGTGGTGCCAGCCAGAAGTCATCGAGAAGAAGCTTGCTAAGGTAGTCAGCTGACAACACAAAACCAGTCTAAACAACATGAAGTAGGTTAGCTCTGACAACCGAATTTAAAGTTGCCCAATAGATAAGCAAATAGCCACATACTAATGAGTAATGAGGCTACTAAGTAGTTTCCATTTTGGATTGGTTTCATTCTGTTTACTAGTTGACCACATAATTTACATTTTATCACTACACTGCAATTATTGGCTGCTTTCTCAAAATAGAGGTTCGCAACGATATCAACCAGAGTACTTAGCAACTGGCAATTAGCAACCTCCAATTTCACAACACACAATGCATAACACTTCTAGATTTCGTGTGCAACAAAGGTGACCTATAGTTCTATATCCAACATAAATTTGTAGGTTGACTAACCAAACAATATAGATTAAGGCCTTCAGTTGTGACCAAATAAAGAAAGGCCTCAGTAGGCATGTAGGAGTCATGAGGCCTCTGGTTTTACAGAGGCATAGTCTGCTATATTTAGCCTTTTATGTCGTGCACTAATCAAAATCATTATCATTTCATGATTATTTCTACTGGGTTTGAGAGTACAATTTGACAATCCGTAAGAACACCTTTTAAATCTTGAAAGCACAGCACAAGGATCAGCATAGGAAGTAGTATATCAAAACCAAGTAAACAATGATCACATTTATTACGAGCAAATACAGTTGATTCACCTTATTCCATTCATTATTCAAATTTCGTTCAAACAATTCCTTTCGAACTAGCGGAGTAGATGGTCATCAAACCTATATACACACTTGGGTTGACAAATGCCATAAACTAGCAGCTTTCTATGGAAATGAAACAAAAATTGGGGGCAATAGAAGCTAAGAGCTCACCAACTCAGGAAACGCTGTCGCTCCTCTGGAGCTTCTGGATGGCGGCATACAACTTCCTCCTCGACCCAACGGCGCCGATGCCCATGTCCTTGAGATCTTCCAACGTTAGCAGCGGGAGCACCTCGTCGTCTACCTCGTGGATCTCGAACACTGGCGCGTACCGAGAGAGCCCAAGTCCATCCAGCCACGCCTTCACGCCACCATACCCCATGGACCCAGGGAGCCGGCCGTTCGGGAGACCCCAATCCGCCACGCCGTCCGACTCGTCGCCGCTGGCGTCGCGGCTCCCCGAAACCCTAGCCCTGGCAGCGGCGGCGGCGGCCGAGTCGGACTGGTCGGCATCATCATAGTAATGCTCCGCTTCTTCCTCGTATCCGTCGGTGCCGGGAGCAGCCGGGATCCAGGCGGTGCGCGGCCGGCGCTGAGCGGGCTTCTGGCCGCGGCGGTGGGCGGCGGCGGAGGAGTGGTTGAGGGGGTCAAGGGCGTCCTCCGGGTGGGCGCGGCGGGGCGGGCGGGGGTGGGAGGAGGAGGAGGTTTTGTGGTGGCGGCGCTGCGGGAGCGGGACGTCGGCGGCGGCGGCGGAGTGGACGCCGATGTCGCCGAGGCGGACGCTGGGGCGGCGGCGGCGCTTGGAGTACGGCGGCCCGGCGGCGGCCTGCGCTCCGGAGGCTTCCGCGGCGGGGTCCCCGAGCGGCGCGGCGGCAGCGGCAGCGGCGGCGGCGGCGGCGGCGCTGCCGCCGTTGGTGTCAGGCTCCGGCGGGTGGAGATCGGCCATGGGGGCGAGGCGAGATGCGTAATCCGTGGGGGCGAAGACGAGTCGTGGGAGAGAAGAGTGGATGATTCCCTTCACCAACTGTGGCGCCCGCGGCTTCGGGAGACTCGCGCTCCTCTCTCTCCTCGATTGCCGCTGTGGGGAGGCACGATGCCGACACGTGTCGGATCGGACGGTGAGGATCCCCGGTTGGGCGCTCGATGAAGTCGCCGAGCGTTGACTCGGTAGAGTCGGACGCAACACTCTCTGAACTCCAGCTTAGATGGGCCCAGGCTTCAGTAACACGGGTTACGGCCCATGGGCTTTTTCCTTTTACCCCTCCATCCATTTCGTGCTGTACTCCTGCTCCTCGAGTCTCAACAAGCAGTTGCGAACTTGCAATTGCAGCTTTGAGCTTTGGTAAATAGTAGTAATAAAGTTTACAGAGTTGGTGAATAATCATCTATGCGTACTTATGTTATTGATGATGAACTACTTGTTGTCTCCTCCAGGAATGTGATGAGCATGATTGCATGGAGAGTGTCAAACTGCTGAGCAGGCTGCAGCAGCAGCACCAATAATCCATAGGAGTAGCCATTAGTGATTAGTGTTTAGTCGTTGTTGCAGGTAGGTAAATTCGTCCTTGGACCTCAGGTGTCTCCTTCAAGGCTCGACCAGTTCACGTGGTCCTGGCCGGCCTGAAAAAAACAAACCTGTTGATTTTGATTGGATTTTGATATGATCAGACGTCCTGTACCCGGAACTGGGACTCGGAAAATCTGGGCGTCGTTGGTCATTGCCTTGCTGTTTGGGCGCAAGAGAATGGATGGATATTTCTGAAACAAACAACGGGTGTGTGCAAGAGAATATCTGAAGATCACTCGCCTTCCTGTGGCCACTAGTAATTCGGTGCTACAGTTTCTCTTCCCATCGATCATATGCACAGTGCATGGAAATGACCTCAATGCATGAATGATGCCATTGGCACAGAACACTGTCGAACCAAAAACAGTCGATCCATCCACTGATTGATCTGGGCCAATGTACCTTTCAACCAAATCTATCACTCTCTAATTGCCTGTCCTTTTCTCTCAAGGCTAAATAAATTATACCGTTGTTTTCTCTTTTACTAGTTGGCATCAGCATGAATCAGTTTATACATTATATTATATAGAATACATGAGTATCTTTCGGCACCAGGAATCGCAGATGAGCTTCTTACATAAAGCATAAGACCAGTATTGGGTCTTTTTGCCCGTCAGACAAGTCCACTCTTGCTTCTTGTATGCATGAAGAATGGAAAATACTGCAGCTCAGCTGGCATGTTCCAAGCAGGTCAGGCCTAACAGTTTGCACACGAATTTTGACCAGAAATAATCCACAAGTCCAGCTCCAACCAGCATCCAGATTCAGATGACGCAGTTGCAGAAAAAAGATCGAATTCAATATGGAAGGATTCTTTTCAGAGTCCACAATATGTACAAGTGTTCTGTGTTCACTTGTTCAGTCTCAACCATTCATAAAGAGATACTAACAGAGTTCAAGTTCTTGTTGCATACATCTTCCAAGTGCCAATAGTTTATTTATTCACGATTCACGGTTGTCTGTTCACTGTTTTGTCCCTTGATTCTTCTTTTATTTGACGAGTGCGCCATGGTGTAAGCATGAATGCGTTGCGTATTCAGAGAAAGTGAATCTGAATTTTCTGTTGATCAAGTAACAAAGAGGAAGACACCATCACACCACGCTCTACTTGCTGGGTTCAGAGAACCATGAAACTTTCAGAGTGGGAGTAGACTCAGAAATCAATTCCTTTATATATTTCGGGCTTGTTCACATTGATGCCAAAAAAAACCTTATCAAATTTTGGTAAATTTTGGCAATTTGCCAAAATTTTGGCAGGATTTCTTATATAGTTACCAAAATTTGGCAGGAAACTAAATATAGCCACTTTTTTGGCAACTTTACCAAAATTTGGTAAGGTTGAAAATAACATCAAAGTGAACAGGCCCTTCAGCTAATAAAACTCCTACGCTGTATATATTTTTTCCAATGCTATGAAACTCTGAAGCTTGAGATGAATGTTCAGAGAAAAAGAAAATGGCAAGACGGTTATAAAGTGTGCCTTTTGAAAAGTTTATCTATAAATCCATTTTTGGGTGAGGGGCAGTTGCTAAAGACGGATCTTTGTTGGATTCTTTTTTTAACCAGCTGACTTGATTTCCACTGAGCATTTTGTCCTCCTATGAGCACCTCATGCATCAATATTGCATGTTTGCACCGTTGCGATTTTTTATTTCTCTTTATTTTGTTTGCTTAAGCCGATGCATGAAGGATGCAATTTGTCAGTGAAAATCAGGTAAGAAGAATTTGACAATCGTATGGCCAGAATTTTTCAAAAGAAGAAGAAGAAGAAGAAGAAGAAGAAGATTTTTATTTCATTATATCCACAGTGTATCTATTGTTGTTTTGTTGTCTTCTTCCAATTCAATCAGTATCACATAAAACCAAAAAAAAAAGACTGAAAGTGGCAGGTTTTTAGATTTTCGTTTGGTGCATTCGTCGATAGTATATATGGGTATCATTTCTTCATAAAAAGATGGAAACAGTTTATTGTCTGCAAGTGATATGTGCTTGTCAGCTTTCCTGCTGATTATAACAAATAACAGTTACATTGTTGGGTGACTGATCAGCCTGATCTACCCTGCAATTCAGCAATCCACACAACTCTAAACATGAAGAAAAACATTGGCACTAGTAACAAGATCACCATAGCATAAGGCCCAGTTTAGTTCACAAATTTTTTTCTCAAAAACATCACATCAAATCTTTGGACACATACATGGAGCATCAAATATAGATAAAAATAAAAACTAATTAGACAGTTAGGGAAGAAATAGCGAGACGAATCTTTTGAGTCTAATTAGTCTATGATTAGCCATAAGTACTATAGTAACCTGCATGTGTTAATGATGGATTAATTAGGCTCAAAATATTAGTCTCACGGTTTCCAGACGAGTTATGAAATTAGTTTTTTCATTCATGTCCAAAAACCTCTTCCGACATCCGGTTAAACATCCGATACGACACCCCAAAATTTTTTCTTTTCCCCAATTAAACATGCCCTAAATTAACTAGAAAACATACTCCTGAGATCGAGCAAGTATTTACTGAAGCCATGCCAATGCTTAAAAAAAGATGTAGCCATGAATCATGCCAAAGAAAATGTAGTACTACTAATAAGCTTAGATCAAAATCAACTTTAGTTTAGTTTCTAGAGAGAAAAATAAAAAATGGTTAACCAATCATATTCATGGTGGCAATGTTGGAGTGGGACGTAGGAATCGCAAGCAGTGTTCCCATCGACATACAGAGACAGCCGGTGGATTCCAAAACAAAACCGGCGCGAGGTGAAGACCCCACCACACACGTCGCTTCCAGGTGGGCCCTCCCATCCGCCCACCCCCACTCGCGTCGCGGCGTCCCCCCGCCCACCTTTCGCTCGCCCATTTTTCTGCGTCCCGGCGGCGGTGGGGCCCCGCGTCTCGATCGCCGTCGGAGTTTGATCCACGCCGTCCACTGGCCGCGTAAACCCAACGGCCCGCCTCTCCCCGCCGTCCGTTTCCCCTCCCCCTATATAACCCCCTCCTCCCCACTCCAACCTCCAACCACCCCCTTCGCCTCGCCGCCACCTCCGCTTCGATCCTTGGAAGAGGTGAGGAGAGGAGAGATCTAGAAGCTTCGGTCGGTGCTGACATGGCGGTGGCGCTCCGGTTCGCGGCCGTCGCGCGGGACTCGCCGGCGGCCGCCGCTCCCCCCAGGGTGGGGAGGGAGCAGCAGTATCTCGCGTGCGCGGCGGCGGCGAGGCCGGGAGGGAGGTGTTCGAGGAGGAGGGGATTGGTGGTGCGGTGCCAGAGCGGGGCGGCGGCGGTTGTCCTCAACAAGGACGACGCGGCGTCGGTGGCCGCCGCCGCCGCCTCCTCCGCGACGGGGTTCACCGTCGCCATGAAGTTCGGCGGGTCGTCGGTGGCGTCGGCGGAGCGGATGCGGGAGGTGGCCGATCTCATACTCAGCTTCCCCGAGGAGACTCCCGTTGTTGTTCTCTCCGCCATGGGGAAGACCACCAATAACCTCCTCCTGGTAACCATTTCTAGCTCTCGCTGTGATTGTGAAACTGAAATGTATGGATTTTTCTACCGCCATTCTGTGCTTAACTGTGAGTGGTTGATTGGTTGTTCAGGCCGGAGAGAAGGCTGTCAGCTGCGGCGCCCCGAAGGCGTCTGAAATTCCCGAGCTCGCAGTTATCAAGGAGCTCCATGTTAGGTGCGTTTCGTTTTTCATTTTTCGTCATTTCAGGTTAGTTTCGGAGCATTCACTCCTGATTATTCAATTTTTCTTGCTTTGCTCAGGACTATTGATGAGCTTGGATTGGATAGATCGATTGTTTCAGGTATTGTCCAGTGCTTCTTTCACAAAATCCCCCCCCCCTCCCCCCAACCAACCAACACACACACAAAAATCACTGGAAGCTTAGTCTGTCTGAAGCTTCCCATTTTCCTTTGGTTGGCAAAAACCTACACTGCAAAATGTATATTCCAATCTTGTTGATGCATTGATTTCCATCTTTTGGCACATGTATAGTCGTCAAAATATTGCGATTTCACAGTCCTGGTTGGTGTAAGGTTTAGAAGACCTTATTATTTTAAAGGCCATAAGATGGTCTATCAAAACTACAGGTAATTCAGATTAGGGCATTGTCATCCACTAAACCACATATCTGTTTTTATTCAGTATAAACTAAAGACCACCCTCTGATGGGATTTTTTTTTTAGCTACACAAACAGTCCTCATTACTATACGAAGAAATTTGATTTCAGAAGTTAGACAATATTTGTGGTTGAGGATTGTCAATAAACACAAGAACACCAATTTTCCTTTAATGTTGTATGGTGGTGACAAGACTTGAGGTCGTTATCATGCATTTTATGTCATTTTCAGCAGAGTACCTTTCTATTCTGTATGCAACAAGGTGATCTTGTGTATCCTATAGCTTAGTGCCTCCACCCTAGTTGGTTTAACTAAAGTAGCGGTTTCTAAAGTAATGTTCATACTTATTCTAACAATGCTTTGAATTCATACAATGGACACATAATCATCGAGCAGTCTTAAAGTAGATGAGGCAGCAATTGACATGGCAAGTGCAGGTGATATACATCACAAGGAAGAAAACACATTGTAATGTTTGTTTTGTTCCAGTTTCTACATACAACAACCAAATAATTTAAATGCAGCAAGTATGGAAAATAAACTCCAATTACCCTATTTAGAATCCCCAATCTAATGACAATGAAATGGAACATGTGGCTTCTCTCATGATCTAAACCTGTCAGGTTTCTCTACTTGTTTTATAGCCCACCATGTTTTAAACATGAAAGATTTTAGACAGCTGAAACATGGTATGCTGCATCCTTAGTTATAAATCATAATACCATTTTAAACTTTCACCAATCATTCTTCAGCATATTATCCATTGGTCATCAATTTATTTTTGGTCAATGTAGCATTTCTCGTCCCTTTTGTCTTTAATGGAAGTACTTTCTTTAGCACTGTACCATCTATAAAAGCACTGTATTTATCACTGTTAATATCAACAGGTTTATTGGAAGAATTGGAACAACTTCTTAAGGGTGTTGCTATGATGAAAGAACTAACTCCTAGGACACGGGATTACCTTGTTTCCTTCGGTGAATGCATGTCTACAAGAATATTTGCTGCATATTTGAATAAACTTGGGAAAAAGGCTCGGCAGGTACATGCTTCTAGTAAATGTGTTGGTGCAGTAGTTTAATTGAAGGCTTGTTGAGTGCTTTGTTTCAATTTAGCTTCTAGATCCTTTTCATGATAATATAATTCAAATATTCTATCTAAAAAAGCAACATCTGGACCTGTGAAAAAAATGAGAGAATATTACTACCGTAGCAAATTGACTAGGTTATAGGAATAAGGTAATTTGGGGGACTTCATTACATTTATCCCTTGCTCATTTGATTTATAGAGATTGTACATGGTTATTGCTAGTGCAATAGCACAAACTAAGAAATTTCTTTCCTTATCAATAGAGCTGATCACTTTCCTTTAAACTGCCAACTGAAACCTGCTAAGAAAAAATGGCGTGCGATCAGTTTATTTATAAAATATACATGAGTAATCCACTAAAACATAGTTCTTTTCATTTTTTCTTGTTTCATAGTTCTTTTCATTTTTTCTTGTTTCCTTTTAATTTCTCATATTCATTTCACCATAGGAACAATGCTGGTGTTCCATAGTAAGTTGATCTTATTGTGCTTCTATATGTGTGTAGTCTTTTTTAATGGATTGTTATTATAATGAGTATATTTTAATTGTTATTTGGTACCTTTTTGTTCCATCAACACCTAAAAGTTCCTAAGCATGCAGCGTTTACATGAAGTTTCAGTGCGAGCAGTTATTGGTATATGATGGTGGTCCAGGTTTTAGCTTGACGCTGTCTCAACTAAATTTTGCTTGATTGCAGTATGATGCATTTGATATTGGCTTTATAACTACTGATGATTTCACAAATGCGGACATTCTTGAAGCGACATATCCTGCTGTTGCAAAGAGGTTACAGGGTGATTGGATTGACGACCCTGCTATTCCTATAGTTACTGGTTTCCTTGGAAAAGTATGCATTTTCCCATTACTCATGTTTAAGGCCATCGCGCCTATTCTTTTGCATTTATGATGCTGCACTTGAATTAGATTTGTTATATTTGTGTTTATGATAATGCACATCAAATTGCAGGGATGGAAATCATGTGCTGTCACCACTTTAGGCAGAGGTGGCAGCGACTTGACTGCTACCACCATTGGCAAAGCGTTGGGATTAAGAGAGATCCAGGTTTGTGTTCCTAAGTTTGTGATAATTACCTGTTGAAAATCCACTTGCTCCCAGAACTCATTCAACACCTTTAAGCTTCTATGTGTAAACACATTTTCTTAGATCATTCCTTCAGTTTTGTGTTCGTTCTGGTTCTGCAATTGAGGAAGTTGGTTAGATGTTTAACCATATCAGCTGAAAACTACAGATATGCTTTGTGGTGTCTCTGAGGTTTTACCGGCTGTTATAACTCTTTTTCTTTTTAAATCTCTAACAGGTATGGAAGGATGTTGATGGTGTGTTGACATGTGATCCTAATATTTGTGCGAACGCGATACCTGTACCCTACTTGACTTTTGAGGAGGCAGCTGAACTTGCCTACTTTGGTGCACAGGTATTGTAGAGCTTATTACCATGTGTTGATACAATTATTTGACACTCTCACGGTGATTGAGATAGCATGGTCAACTACTGTTGCCCTAACAGAAATACGTTTGCCAATTGTTAGGTTTTGCATCCCCAATCAATGAGACCAGCCAAAGAAGGTGATATACCAGTTAGAGTTAAGAATTCATATAACCGTCGAGCACCTGGTACTGTTATTACTAAAACAAGAGATTTGAGCAAGGTTCGGCATATGAATAGATTTTGATACGTCTGTTTGTAAATACTTCTTGTTAATTTCTGATTTGTGTACATTATTTTTCAGAGTATATTAACCAGCATTGTATTGAAGTCAAACATTACTATGCTGGATATAGTGAGCACAAGGATGCTTGGCCAGTATGGTTTTCTGGCGAAGGTATTTTAATATGCTCATTGCTCTTCCTGTTTATTTTGTTGACTTATGCATATTAGTAATTTGTTCATATTTTTATGCTCTTGTGCAGGTTTTCTCAATATTTGAAGATTTAGGTATCTCTGTTGATTGTGTGGCTACCAGTGAAGTCAGTATATCATTGACACTAGATCCATCAAAACTATGGTGTCGTGAATTGATCCAGCAGGTGAGTTTGAGACAGATCACGTTTCGATATACATGTGTGATGTGTCAAACATTGGGTTTGGGGGTATGAATAAAATATTGTACAAAAGCCTGAAGTTTGAATTGCTTGCGAATAGCTGAATGTGTTTCATTTTTAGTTTTCTTTGGCTTTGATGAATATAGATACTTGGAACAGTAGATAGCCCACATCTAGAAACCTGTTAGGGCAATTTAAACTTAAAAAGAACAGATAATGGATTCAAGTTGTTCTGCAGGATTAGCACTTTGCTGATACATCCTGAAAATACGTACTGCACCAGCTGTTCTCTTAATTCAATATTCATTTGTTTTCTTGGGATGATGTGGCAGGAACTTGATCATGTAGTTGAAGAACTTGAAAAAATTGCAGTTGTTCATCTACTGCAGCACAGGTCTATCATCTCACTGATAGGGAATGTACAGAGATCGTCATTGATTCTTGAGAAGGTTATTATCTCTTAGCCACCGAAAACTCTGGTTGGACATATTGTTGATGAACACGATTACTTGCAATCCTGTATGCTAGGGTGTACTTTTATTTTTGCAGGGCATTGACTGGTTTGTTTTTTGCATCTAATCATTTACATTTGTTGCTGTACGCCAGGCTTTCAATGTTCTACGGAGAAATGGCGTTAACGTCCAGATGATCTCACAAGGGGCATCCAAGGTATCCATCTCTCCTCCCCAGATGAACGAAATTCTTTTGTGCAAATGACCAAAGGGTGTATGACAATACTCACTGTGCGTGATCAGGTGAACATTTCATTGGTGGTCCATGATAGCGAGGCGAAACAGTGTATACAGGCCCTTCATTCAGCATTCTTTGAGAACGGTTTCTTGTCAGAAGTTGAGGAAGAGGATCTTCAACACAATGGCTCTCCTGTGAGCCCAAATGGTGTCATTTACGGAAACTAGTCGACTTAGCATTTCCTGCTATTGTTGTATCTTTGGAATTTGGATAGGTTTAAAGGTGATTCAGGCATATAGTCATTTAGGCCACCTAGGTGAAATGGTGAATTCCCTGGTGTTGTAAGAGCCCTACAAGGAGCACCCTGTGTTAATGATAATCACGCATAGCAGGCTCACTTATAATGTTAAGTTTGCTGCAATACCAGCGGTGCGATCGTAAATAACATTGTTTGTTATCTTTTGGAATAAAGAATGATCCGGTGTTGAAACAATTCCCTGAAAAAAACATTGATATCAAGTTTAAAAACCCTATCACAGTTGCGGAAGCACCAGTGATGTGATAGTTGTATTTGTATGGTTTCACTTACTAAGGTTTAAACGCTAGTGATCATAAATATCACGCATATAATCATAAATATTCCACGCAGACAAATATAGTCTCAATATAGGATTTTAGTGAGTCTAGGTTGTGCATTCTACCGTTAGTGGGCCAAATTATAAAAGTTCACCGGAGGTCCCATCAACTTAACAGCGAGCAGTAAATTTTGAATTTTCAATTTTCAATTTAGAGTTGATTTTGGATTTTTTTATTGAAGTTTATTTTTTTAGCATTTGTTTTTAGATCACTATGAAGACGTGTATAAAAATTTTATTTATAAATCATATTTCGTTTGTAAATACGATCGAGGCCGTATCTTTGAGAGTTTGAGTTATTTTAGAGACTGATTGTGCGTCTATGTGTTAAAAGCGAGGCTGAGATGCCACGTGTGAGTACTAAAACGCGAGAGTTCTACTAGTCGAGTCGAGTCGAGCGGCAGCGCAGCGCCTCCGCCTCGGCAAGTCGGCGACGGTTGCCTGGCTGTTCCGCCTCCACCGCGAGAGGCTACGTCGGCGTCGCTCCGCGCCACCACCAACTCGCGAGGCCGCGACGCCGTCGTCCCGCTCCCGAGCTCGCTCCGCAAGTACGGCGACGACGCCCGTGGCGCGCCGACTTCCATCTCCGGCCGCCAACTCGCGAGGCCGCGACGCCGTCGTCCCGCTCCCGAGCTCGCTCCGCAAGTACGGCGACGACGCCCGTGGCGCGCCGACTTCCATCTCCGGCCACCGCCAACTCGCGAGGCCGCGACGCCGTCGTCCCGCTCCCGAGCTCGCTCCGCAAGTACGGCGACGACGCCCGTGGCGCGCCGACTTCCATCTCCGGCCACCGCCAACTCGCGAGGCCGCGACGCCGTCGTCCCGCTCCCGAGCTCGCTCCGCAAGTACGGCGACGACGCCCGTGGCGCGCCGACTTCCATCTCCGGCCACCACCAACTCGCGAGGCCGCGACGCCGTCGTCCCGCTCCCGAGCTCGCTCCGCAAGTACGGCGACGACGCCCGTGGCGCGCCGACTTCCATCTCCGGCCACCACCAACTCGCGAGGCCGCGACGCCGTCGTCCCGCTCCCGCGTGCTCTCCTCCGCAAGTCGGCGACGACGCCCCTGGTGCGTACCTCTCCTCTCCTCTCCGCCTCCTCTCTGACCGCTCCTCCGCCTTCACAGCCCGCCGACGAGCGCCCTCCGCCGTGGCGCCGCCCCTCCCTCTCCTCTCCGATTCTTCGATCGTGTTTTGGTGTTCGGCTGTTGGTTGAGAATTTCTGTGTACCTCGAAAAAAAAATTCGGCTCGCTTGGTTGAGCATTTTGGAATTTGCTGCTACTCATTTGATTGTTTCCTGTCCGATGATGCTATGGTTTTGTTCGTGCTACTCTCTCCGTTGTTGTTTTTTTTTTTTGTGTGTGTGTGTGTGTTTCTTCGTGGTTTTCCCCTTCGTTGATGCTAGGGTCGTTCGTGGTACTCATCTCCGTCGATTTTGCGTTTTTTTGGTGCTCCGATGAGGCGATGATGCTAGCTAGATATTGTCGTGTGACGACTGCGAGTGCGAGCTGTCAGTTTTTCGATCGCGGTGTTCTTCTTCTTTTCGCAAATGGACTTGGTGCTTTTACTGAGCTATCTTGCTCGAACATATTTAATTTCGGAAGTCTTTGGATCGTTTCGTGGCAAGATTTTGGATGATTGCTGATCTTGTTGTTAGTTTTACGTTCCTGTCTCCACCACCTCTCCAAGGCGCTTCATGCGCGTACATCGTCTTCTGGCTTCTCTTCCGTTCGTGCTCCGCCTCCGCCCAAAAACCGCCGTGGCCTTGGTTCACAGTTTGCAAGCCGCGGCGAGTGCCGACGCTGACGCATCTTCTGCACTGCGACCAGCTACCCATTTGATTTTGTTGTTTGGTTGGTTTTTTCGATGAGTTCTCTTCGGTTTTGCGCTATGCACGCTCGCGATAGAATTCCGCCGAAAAGACACCATTCTTGGCTACTTGTGGTTTTCTGCGTCTCTCCCGTGCTCCATCGAACTCTTGGGTTGTTTTTCTTTTTTTAACCTATTCGTATTAAAGGAGAGGGAAACACTATACAACAGCCGTGAGGCTAGGAGCTTATAAAATTGAAAAAAAGAGAGAAACAGTACGTGGTTGGGGAGGGGGCGACCACTAGAGGAGTAGAGGGTGCGAAAAGATAAATTTCTTGATTACGGATTATTGATTGTGCTACCACGGGTATCTGGCAGTAGGGACTGGATTACCTTCGCTCCACTTGCGCGCCATAGCCATGTTTCGTCAATTGCCCGGTTAATGATTCCTTGCGGTGGCTCTTGGGTTGGTTTTTTGAGCTCTCGTGACCCAATTCCGTCGAGAAGACGCTCAAGATGCCATGCTCGGCAACTAGTGATTTTCTGAGTTGTATTGCGCTCGATCGAGATGCCATCCTCGGCAACTTTTCTGTCGCTCTTGCGCTTGATCAAACTCCGCAAGACAACGCCGGAGACGCCATCATCGGCAATAGTTAAGCTAGCCTATTGTTTGTTGGGCTTTGGGTTTTTTTTAGTGAAATATATGGCCGGCCCCTAAACTTGTGTGTTAGTGTCACTTAAATCCGTGAACTTGAAATTGCATGTTTAGGACCGTGAACTTGGTTTAATGTACCACCCCTTGTCCAAATGTCATTTGACTGTGTTTGACCGCCAACGTGGCATGCCACGTAGGCAACACATTTGTTCTCAACCCCCTCCACATCACAACACGTCGCATATATCTCCTCGTAGCTATATAGTGACACCAGAATCCCAAAAAAAAAATCCTTAAATCATTCTTCCCTCTCATTCTTCTCCTTGCGTGTACAGAAAATGCACGCCCTATTAGCAATTGACATTGCTCTGCACTTCAAAATGATCTTATCCTTGCACAAGGGGCACTGCACCCAACCCCGCTGCACTGCGCTGCCTTCTGCCGCTAATCTCACCGCCGAGGCCGCCACAGCCGCTACCTCTCGGCCTACTTCTGCTAACCTCACCGTAGAGACCCTAGTTAATTTAGAGATATTTTGGGGGATTTGGGTTGAAATGCACGGGTCAGGGCGAGTTATGTGTGAAGGTATATGTGGAGGGGTCGGGGGACTGAGTACAAAAATGTTGCCTATGTGGCATGCCACGTTGGTGGTCAAACGTGGTCAAAGAACGATTGAACTGGGGGTGGTACATTAAAACAAGTTTACAGCCCACAAGTTTAAGGACCGGCAATATATTTTACTCTTTTTGTTTGTACTCTCTTGTTTGTGAGATTTCATTGCATTTGTGATTTTTTTTTCAGTTTTTCTAATTAAATTTCCAAATCCAATGATTTCTTTTACGCTTTTATGAGATTTCGTTGCATTTGTGTTTCTTTTTCAGTTTTTCTAATACATTTTCAAATATTTGATCCGTAGGCTAAAGCATAATGTCGTCGACTCTTAACACCCTAATAAGAACTTTCCTACGAGGGTTCTTTAGGGAAGTAAAAGAGGAAGTCAAAAACAACCCTGATATTGTTCGAGAGGTGTTTGAGAAGAAATTTCTGATGAGGGAAAGTTGCCACTGCCAAGCGCTGATGAGGCTCTTCAGCTGCCTGAGGAGGTTATTCAGCTGCCTCCCGAGGTGCTTGAGCGAATTTCTAATGTTCTTAAGGAAACCATCCAGACTACTCCGATGTCAGAGAACATTGAGCTTATTACTCCTTCAGAGATCACCACTCTTTTAGAGAGTACCCTGCTCACCACTCCTTTACAAAGAACTTCATCAACACCAAATGACTGCAACACTATCATGCCTATATCTCTATCTGTGTACTCAAGTCAGCACATTCTTGGCTTGGTCAAAGAGATTATGTCCGATGTAAAATTGAGACCCTATATCGTTGGAGCAGTCTGCGTTGTGGGAGTCATAGTAGCCTATATTCTTTACAAGAAAAGAACAGCTGCTCTCAACAATAGAAATCCCAATGGAGGGGACGACATTGCTGATGATTTTTGGGGCAATTGGCATGATGGGAACCTGGAGATGTTTGATGATAGCAATGACCATGGTTCTTCAGACGATGAAGGAGCCATTCACGATATTGTTGCCATTCCTGGAGAAGGTTTTCAATTCAATATTATTGCTATTACTGGAGGAGGGTTCCAATTCCTTGTTGAGGTATTTGGCAGTGATTCTTCAAACGATGAAATTCAGAATGTTGCTATTCCTGGAAGAGGGTTCCAATTCCTTGTTCAGGTATTTATCCCTGAATTATTTTCATAATGAGTTTTCAGATCATGTACTGAATTAATCATTTGGAGTTAGTGCTATTTCTGGCTTCGTGAAAGTATAGCCCTCTGTCCATGCTTATTACTATCTTAATTAATATCTTTAAAATTACATTGCTTTTACTCTCAGGTTGCCATACAGTCATTAATATCTTTAAAATTGCATTGCTTTTACTCTCAGGTTGCCATACCAGTCGCCCCCACATTCAAGGTGTTCATGGCATTGACAAAGTTTGAAGGGTTCACTGCACCCCCTTACAGCCCTAACAATAGCAAGAACCTTCCCCTAACAGCAGCCCTCCTCAAGTTTATTGATGCGGTGAATCAAGGCTCCTTAGTGCCATCAGTAGTCTTCCTCAAGTTTATTGATGCGGTGAATCAAGGCTCCTTAAAGCCATCAGTAGTCTTCCCCAGTTCTCAAATTTCTGGATTCAATAGATCAAGGCTCCTTACCACCAGTACCAGTCATCCTGCAGTGCATGAATCCAATGGATCAAGGCTCCTTTCACTCAGTGCTTAGACCCCAGAAGCTGCGGCATGCAGGATATATATAGCTAGGACCCGACCTATTTGTCATTCAAAGGAGAGGAAATGTAGCATAGATAGATAGCATTGTTGGTTCGAGAGTTCATACATATTTGCCGATACTTGCTGATTTGAGTGAAAGGACGAGTGAGAGATTTGAAGATGGGCTTCAGGTAACTGCCGAGAAACAATCTGGCTTGTCTAGTTTCGATTTGATGAAAACTTCTGTTCCTAGCATTCCTTCGTTTAACCCAAATCATGTCAATATCACTTGCATGTTATTGCATTAACCTGCTGGTAGTTTTTGACCGAGGTGACTGTTGATAATGCTGGTGCTGTGGTGTTTCCAAGCTATTGCCTGCTCCTTAATTTGCATCTTCACAGTACGCGTTGACACTCAAATGCGTACCATATTTTTTCATGTTGGGGGTGTTGCGAATTTTGTGACATGGAATCTTCTTTGGTAGATAATTGGCAGCTAGATTAGGCCCTGTTTAGTTTGCGAAAAAAAAATTTAGTGCTACATTATATGTTTGACCGGATGTCGGAAAGTATTATCGGACACGAATAAAAAAACTAATTTCATAACTCGTCTAAAAATCGCGAGACGAATCTTTTGAGCCTAATTAATACTCCCTCTGTCTCAAAATATAAGCATTTTATTCATAGTTAAAAATGATTACATTTTGAGACGGAGGGAGTATGTCATTAGCACATATGGGTTACTGTAAAACTTATGGTTAATCATGAACTAATTAGGCACAAAAGATTCGTCTCGTGATTTCCCCCCTAACTGTGTAATTATTTTTTTAATTTATATTTAATGCTTCGTACATGTGTCTAAATATTCGATTTGATGTTTTTAGGAGAAAAAATTAGGAACTAAACCAGGCCTTAGTTCTCTGCTTTTGCCCATGGAGTGCAGGGATCGATATTCACTCATAGTCGAATTTGTCCTGAATAGAAGTCTAATCTGCAAGTATAATGTGAGCTTGCCTTTTGAACGTGTCGAGATCTAGTCACTAATTTTCGTATTGGTTACGTGGTTACGCTCAGCATCAAATTTTAACTTTTCAATGGGACAATTTATTTTCATGAATTTTGTAGCATTTGTCCTAAATTTCGTATTGGTTAATGGCGGCTCTAGTTCCAGTTCTTCAGGCCAAAACATCAGTAGCTATTGGAGATGGACAGCGTACTTCTTTTTGGCATGACTCCTGGCTCGACTGCGGTCCCTTAAGTACCAAATTCACAGCTCTGTTTACTCATGCACTAGACAAGCAAGCCTCAGTCTACCAAGTTCTTTCAACAAACTCGCAAGCCTGTTTTGTCCCAAGGCTGAAACTCACAGCTTCATCAGCTCCAAGAGCTAATTGCTTCCACTTCGCTAATCCCCTCCCTGGATGAAAGAAAGATTACGAATAGTGCTGCAGGGAGTTTACTCTCTTCTCGTATGGTTTATGAATCGTCATTCCAAAGCCAACCTCTCTGTGCAAACTGGAAGTTTATCTGGAAAAGTAAAGCTCCACCGAAGATTCAATTCTTTGCCTGGTTACTTGTGAAAGAACGGCTCCCGACAAAACAAAACCTCCTCAAGAAGAAAATCGTGACCTCAGATATTTGTGAGCTTTGTAACAGTGAACAAGAAACAGCCTTCCATTTCTGCTTTCGCTGCATCATTCTGGCAGAAAATGGGGATCCAGGCTGCTATTAACTCGATGTCGGAGCTCGCTCAACTTCAGAAGCCCCACTGTCTGCCGGCAAAGCATTTCCAAGTTTTCTTCCTACTCTGCTTCTAGGGATTGTGGAATCATCGTCATGATGTGATCTTTCGAGGGATGTCGATATCTCTCCCACGCCTAGTTGCAAAGTGCTTAGAAGATGCTGCTCATTGGGCAGAGCGTCTGAAGATAGACGACAGGATTGTGGTTTCCGTTTGGAAGGAAATCATTTCTTCCTCCCTTCGTATCTCTCCCCCTATGTAAATGTAATCTGTGTACTTTTCCGCCCCTTTTAATGAAAATTCAGGTGAGGAGCCCCCCCCCCTCTGAACAGTACTACGTGGTTACGCTCAATTTTAACTTTCAATGGGACAATTTATTTTCATGAATTTTGTAACATTTGTCGACTCGTTTTTTCGTGTATTCATTTCAGATTGTCTTTGCTCACTCCTTGATTTTTGTGTATTCATTTAATATGGTCTTTGTTCACTCCTTGATTTTTGTCAACTACTCCATTATTATTAGCTTAGTAGTAACTACTAATATACTCCCCACGTTATATATAAGTATTTGACATTCAAACAATATTCGGTCGAACTTTTTGAAACTTTGACTCTTAAGTTAATTTATGTGAGAATAAATTTATGAAATCTAATATGCAACCGTAGCATATTTACAACACAAACCAAATTATATATTTCCTTGAAAAAACATTTAATAGTTAGTATTGAAGATCATTTTTTAAAGAAAAAGACTGAATACTATTTTAAATATTAAATATTTATGGCCGAACTGAGTATCTTATTATATGATCAAACTACCGACACTTTTCATCATCATCATCATCATTATGAGATATAAAACTCAACTCAATCGGCATATCATATTTACTGTTATATATAAGACTTTAAAAATATATCCGTGTGTTGCAACGGGTAAATATTATTTTAATTTTATTATTATTATTATACGGTTTAGTTAGGGTAAAATTCATTATACGAATTCGCTTGGATAATTTTTTTAAGAAAATCATGAGCTGTGATTGAGTACGTATTTCATCTCTCAAGTTAGCATACGAGTTTTTTTAAAAGTGATTTTTATACGACTTTTTTTTATTTCCAAAAGCAAACGGGATTAAAATCGAACTCAAACACAGATCTATATTTCCGAAAACGAACGAACTTAAAATCGACTCGGACACGGATGATGTAACAAATAGTATAGATGAGACTCAAACCAAATGATGTACCAAATAGTATAGATGAGACTCAAACCAAATCGACAGGCGGTATGTAAATATAGTACCATTTACTCCTATTAGAGCAAGTTTAATAGTATAGCCAACTACTAGCTCCAATTTATTTATAGCCAATCTAATAGCTCATTTATACAATAGTTGCATACTACACTATTAATATCTGGTCCCACATGTCATACACACACTGTATCTTGGAGTCCGTGCTACAGCTGGCTACAAATCTGTAGTCCGCTGACCTTCTCTCTCCTCATTTATCTGCTTAAAATATGTTTGCAGCTGGCTTATAGCCTGCTATTGTAGCTACTCTTATATGAATGGTCTCTTTTGATAATAATGATAAATTAATTAACCTAGTGGCTAGTGCTACCTCCGTGTATTGATCCAGGGGCGTGCATCGGGTGAGTCGATGACGTCCAGAATCCAGTAGCCGAGGTTACCTCCCAGCCCAACGCATCCAGCGTAGAACAAGACGCCAAACTTTAACATCTCAGAGCGGCTAAGCGGGAATCTCTCATACGCATGCTCCATGATATCCCGTTTAACGTAGCATGTTGTGATGATCACACCAATCCATCCCAACTCAAACGTCACTCTAGCAAACGGATCCGAATCTCGATCCCCAGCTCGAGGCATAATTAATTAATTAATTAATATCCTCCGAAATCTTAATCTTAATCTTAATTTCCTCGCTCTAGATCTTCTCTTGTTGAAGAGGCCGATCAATCGATTCGAGAACACCTCACCTGGCTGCATATAAATATCCATATATCGATTTGCCTATGTTAGGTGCATATCTATTATAAAGAATAACACTGAAGGGAATGTAAAAGCTGCATGTATGCGTTCTAATTAATGGCAAAATCTCGTTTAATTTATCTGCCAATCATATTTTGGGGAAAAAAGAGCAAAGAAACAAACATAGATATAATGTAAAACCAATCGATGACTTGCTGTACCTACGGCGAGCGAGCGAGCGATCGATCGAACAAACCAATAAAATTATTGGGAGCTGGGAGAAGAAATTGCGGCGCGTCGAGGCGAGGCGAGATGGACTCCGTGCGCCGCCCGCGCAAGCGATAGATGCAGCTTCTATTCTAGCTAGGGTGTCAAAACGCAAGCGTATACTTTGAGATTTATATTTATACAGGGCGAATCGACTTTTGCTGGGCCGTATCGGGCCGGAATTTCGCTGGAGCTGACCGGTTTTCGCGAGTTTATCTGTAAACTCAGGACATTTATATTTAAATTTTGGTTTATGAAATTTATTCGGAATCTATCAAATTCGAATTCAAACATCTACTAGTCGGAATATATTCTGAATACAAATAAATTTGTATTTGAATCTCAGTCAGAATATATCTGTATTTGTATATTTGTATACAAATATATTCCAAATTTGTATTTAAATCTACCAGTCGGAATATATTTGTATTCAAATTTGGTAGATTTCGAAAAAATTTCATAAACTAATATTTGAATATAAATATCATGAGTTTAATTACCAATAATCAAGCTTGTGAAAACCGGTCGGTTTTTGCGAAATTCTGATCAGATACGACCCAGCAAAAGTCGATTCTCTGTATAAATAAATCTCAAAGTATACGCTTGCGTTTTGACACCCTAGCTAGAATAGAAGCTGCATCTATCGCTTGCGCGGGCGGCGGACGGAGTCCATCTCATCTCGCCTCGCCGCGCCGCAATTTCCTCTCCCAGCTCCCAATAATTTATTGGTTTGTTCGATCGATCGATCGCTCGCTCGCCGTAGGTACAGCAAATCATCGATTGGTTTTACATCACATCTATGTTTGTTTCTTTGCTCTTTTTTTCCCCCAAATATGATTGGCAGATTAATTAAACGAGATTTTGCCATTAGAACGCATACATACATGCATGCAGCTTTTATATTCCCTTCAGTGTTATTCTTTATACTAATATATATGCACCTAACATAGGCAAATCGATCTATGTGTATATATATGCAGCCAGGTGAGGTGTTCTCGAATCGATTGATCGGCCTCTTCAACAAGAGAAGATCTAGAGCGAGGAAATTAAGATTAAGATTAAGATTTCGGAGGATATTAATTAATTAATTAATTATGCCTCGAGCTGGGGATCGAGATTCGGATCCGTTTGCTAGAGTGATTTTTGAGTTGGGTTGGATTGGTGTCATGATCGCAACAGGCTACGTTCAACGGGATATCATGGAGAATGACTATGAGAGAGTATCGCTTAGCCGCTCTGAGTTGTTCAAGCTTGGCACCTTGTACTACGCTGGATGCGCTGGGCTGGGAGGTAACCTCTTCTACTGGTTTATGGATGTCATCGACTCACCCGGTGCCCGCCCCTGGATCAATACACGGAGGTAGCACTAGGTTGTATATATATATTCAATTAATTATGCATCAAAAGAGACCATTCATAGCAATTACTAATGCATGAGTAGTATTCACGTACCGGCACCCCCTCTCGATTGGTTTCAGGGCCTGTTTGGATCAGGGACTAAATTTTACTTCCTCCGTTTACAGTGTAAGTCAATCTAGTATTTTTCATATTTATATTGATGCTAATGAATCTAGACATATATACCTATTTAGATTCATTAGCATCAATATGAATGTGGGAAATGCTAGAATGACTTACATTGTGAAACGGAGGGAGTAGTTCTTATCACATCAGAGGTATACACACACAAAGGAATAACCAAATTCACGTATATACACCGTAAGGCACAGAGAAGATAATCACATGAGAACAGACAGTTGTACAGGGTAAGACCCCTCTCTGATCAGATACCCAGAGGAGATCCATCAACATGTATATATATTTATATCTGATTTGCAACTACACATCGCAATTACTCTAGCTAGTACATTCTCATTCCTATGTATAAACTGAGTTACTACTCTTACTGACATGTGCCGGTATCTGTGAAACTACCATACATGTACATCAATTGCATATACTTCCTTGGACGTACACGTACTAAAGCTGCTGTGCTGGTTTCAGCCATCGGTCTCAGTTTGCATCTCGAGCTTCTGTATCAAGGCCTTCTTTTCTTCTTCAGGGAGGGCGTTGAACATAAAAACTGATTTGTCACCAATGTCATCCTGATTCATGAGGATGACATTGATCATCAATATTGTAATGTTGTAAGTGAGGAACGAACATATGTACTCGGTAGTAATGAAGCTAGATGCGGAGCATTTTAATTTGGAGGAATCTGTACCTTGATGGGCTGCTGGAATTTTCTTGCTGCGAATACAGTGAAGAGAACCATCCAAACTCCTAAAAGGCCGGCTTTTGTTCCGTTGTCCATTAGACCAGACTGCACGAGGTGGTGACAAGACAAATGTAAGAAATGATGAATGAGTGCTCTAAATCTAATGCACCCTGGTGCTGTAACTTCTCTAGGAGTGAACAAGGTGAAACTAATTATAACATATTGAATTTGTAACAAAAATAACAGAGGCTTAATTTACCAGGTGTCCAAGAAGAAGGCCAGGGATAACAAAAGTTAAAATACCAGCTTCCAGTTTTCCATAGCAGAGACCTGTAGAAGCATTCTTTGTCAGAGAATGAATAATTCGATTCAGTTCAATGTTCAAGCAATTCATTCATGCAATCCGCATCCAACGAAAAATGAAAAAGGCCACTAAATTGGTGCTCATTCTTGTTGGAATAAATGGGCTAGGCCCAATTTAATTCAATTAAAATCTCAAGAGCCCACAAGTAATGTTAGAGAGAATAATACTGCCTTGAAAATTTAGGTGGAAGAACCTCAACTTAAATAGGGTGATATTAGAGATTCCCTGTTGACCGGTTGAAGTGATGGTTGGACTGCCACACGCATGCGCGCATGCCGAGTCGGCCTCGGCCGTGGGCGTAGCGAGGCGAGGCGGCCGACCGAGCCGAGCCTGCCTGCTGCTCTTACGTTTTGTAACAGACGAGAATAAAATCACCATTAACAAATGAAATTCATTGTGTTGTAACCTCCACAACAAATGAGAGATTCATTGTGTTGTAACATCCACAACAAATGAGAGATTTATTTGTTGTAACCTTCACAACAAATGAAAGATTCATTATGTGGTAACCTTCACAACAAATGAGATTTATTTTGTGGTAACCTTCACAACAAATGAGATTTATTTGTGTGGTAATGGAGATCTCTCTCTACATATAACGCAAGGCAGAGGCTCTCAAAGTGTGTGTCTTCCTCCTACTATTGTTCCTTGGCGATACTCTCCTTCTGTTCCTGCGCTGTCTCTCTGTTTCTCCGGTTCTGTTCATCCCGCGCACACGGGTGATCGGAACGAGCAAGTGCCTCCGAAACTCCGTCCGCTTGAGAACCTGCACGGGTAGGCAGGCGATCAAGTTTTTGGGTAGCGCTTCAAGCGCGACTGCTTTGCATCATCTTCACCAACATGTCGACAACCGATGACAACAACAACACCGGAGACAAGGAGAAGGAGCCTCTCGTCAACACCAACGAAGGCAATACTGCCTCAAACTCCAGCGGAGGGTCATTTTCGGGGTATAACGTTTCACTATTACCGTTCGTTCTTCGTTTCCTACAACTGTCTGTCGCAATATTATTGCGATCTCTTATCTATGTTGATGCTTATTCTATATTAAGCATGCTCATGTTATACACATCTAGCACTGCCACTAGATCTACTCAAATTACAAATGTCATGTTTATTGTCTTAAAATTTTAGATTAAAATATGCCGAATTATGACCAAATTTCCAACAATTCTAACACTGAACACACACAAGCACTCAGCTAGGGAACAAATCAGCAGCGACAATGAACTGAAATTCTCCGATTAAATCTGTTCAGTATAAACACTAGAACTCCTTAATTGTCGTACCAATTTGGTAGTAATAAGCAATGTGTAATTGCACGGTACCTTCCTTGAAGACGAGGCCTGTGAGCGCCGCAAACGTAGGGCCGACGAACCACAGCGCAGCCGGGTGGTCGAGAACGTAGCCGACGAGGCTCTCGTCGAGCGGCTGCGCGCCGGCGACGTACGTCCCGATGGACCCGACGACTCCGACCACCCACAGCGCCTGGAGGAACCGCTTGATCGGAGTGACGTAGATGTGAATCAGCACGAGCGAAAGCCCCAGCCCCGCCGCTCCGGTGGCGTAGAGGAGGTCGGCGCCTTGCCTGATGGCGTCGCCGGCGGCGTTCCCCTCGGGGAGGAACGCGGCCGAGGCGGCGGCCACGAAGGACGCGGCGGCGGTGACCAGCCCGGACCGATACAGCAAGACCTCGCGCACGTCGGAGTCCTCGACGGTCCATGGGCCGTAGACGCCGTTGTAGACGTTCCGGTCGGCGACGGCGGCGAGCTGCCTCGCGGCGGCGGCGCGGCGGCCGAGGTAGGCGAGGGGAAGAGGCCGTCCGACTGCGGTGGGGGTCAGCCCCAGCCTGGGGTGCGGCCGTAGAGGCGCGACGGCGAGGCGCGGCGAGAGGAGGAGGACGGTAGCGGCCATGGCGTCGCGGCGGGATGATAATTTTTTGGGGGAGATTTTTTGGTGGGTGGTGGTTTCCGGCGAGGTGTCGAGAGCTCCGGCCTGTGACGACCGCAGGCTCGACGGACGGTGCAGATTCAGTTTCGGCGTCGATCCAACGGCCTCTGATCCGGTAGAGTGCCGCCACGTGGCCGTCCCGGCCCAACTCATTGGGCCGCACGGAGATTGCAACCCCTTTCCGGCCCAATAAGTACAGGCCGGCAGGCCTGCCGTCAGTCAAATCCATGGCGCTCCCATGTTAATTTCCTTCTTTCACGTAAAAAACTAATCTAGTATCGGAGATTCATAGTGTTATAATATGTTGTATCGGGTTTTAGATTCGTCTTTTATAGGACGGAGAGAGTACAAAGGAGTAATGACAACTTGGAACGCATGAAACACTTGCGACGGTTCGCCGCCGGCAGCAGGTCAACCACGGCAAGTCCGGCGAGCGGGGCATTTAACTATTTGCCACTTTTAGATTTGACGATTAACTATTTGCTACATCTATCTCAATAACATGTGGATCTACATGTGTCTATAATATATGAGTCTAATGGCAAATAGTTAATTGCCACGTCTAAAAGTGGTATATAGTTCAATATCTCCCGGCGAGCAACTAGATCGACCACTCTCTTCAGTGTCAGTTTCATCACAGTGATTCCGGTCGAAAAATATTAACGGCTGCTGGTGGTAATGTTTGCCCAATTCCGTGGGCTGCCTGTGTTTCCCTGCATCTGCATCTGCCGCCGCGAGCAGTAACTAATTAAAAGTTACTGTCTGTTCTGATGCCAGGACCACCGTACCTCGTCTATGAGACGTACTATGACTGTAATTCATACTGTTTCAACATTTGGATGCATTGCATGCATGCTTAATTTCAACATACTATTATATAATTAAGTACTCCCTCCGTTTAATATAAGGGGATTTTAAATTTTTCTTACAACGTTTGACCATTCATCTTATTCAAAATTTTTTTGCAAATATAAAAAACGAAAAGTTATATTTAAAGTGCCGTAGATAATAAAGTAAGTCACAAATAAAATAAATAATAATTTCAAAAAAAAATTGAATAAAACGAGTGGTTAAACGTTGCAAGTAAAAACTTAAAATCTCTTATATTATGGGACGGAGGGAGTATATGTTTTGATTGCCAACAAGATGCATGCTTTGATGCAGACGAACTTGCATTTCTCATCAACAGTGATCATTCATGATCAGTACTGTTCAGAGCCGTAATTCAATGTATATAGCACGCACGTACGTCCTCGAATTCGTAGTGTCCTCCTGTCCCGTATACATACTAGTAACATACATTCACGTACACCGTACACGTGCTACATACATACCATTAAATTGGATCTCGAGATGGGTGTACATACATCATATCGATCTTCATGCACGCGACGCGAGAGCTATCTACCGGCGGCGATTGGATTCGGTGGCGCCATTAATAAGGGGCGAGACGAGCTTGAGCTTGCCGCCGTAGTCCTCGGCGAGGTTGGAGTCGTCGATGGCGTCGCGGAGCGTGGCGTGGAGGTCCTTGTCGGCGACGAAGACGAACTTCTTCTTGGTGTTGTCGTCGATGAAGGGGTAGATGATCTTCCAGGCCGCCATGAACACGTAGGGGACATGGATCAAGAACACCCTCCCCAGCCTCTCCGGGTAGTAGTTCTGCATGATCTCCAGCGCCGCCACGTACGCGCGGATGTCGCAGTTGCCGTAGTACCCCCACCCCTGCAGGTCGGCCACGGCGGCGAACTTCTCCTGCCCGCCATTGCCGCCGAGGCGGGCGCAGGTGCGGTCGAGGACGTAGACGACGTAGCGCTTGAACTCGTCGAGGTCGCGGCGCGCCGGGAAGTGGCGGGCGCCGAAGCCGTACACCAGGGGGCGCCCCTGCCGGTCGTAGCCCTGCATGTAGAGCTTCTCCTGCGCCAGCTCGCCGCGCACCTCCTCGTCGGCGATGGCGCGGCCGCCGGGCTTCACCTCGCGCTTCCACTGCAGGTACTTCACCAGCATCGCCGACGCCTTGCCGATGTTGTGGTCTCTCGCGCGCAGGAACCGGCGCAGCTGGTAGTCGTCCTCCTCCTACGTATACATATGCATCATCATTGATTCATTGTCTTGCTACTCTCTCTGTGTTTTACTATATTATTATAAGTTATTTTATTCTTTTTATAATTAAATTTTTTAAGTTTTGATCTATAAAAAAGTTATAGTATATTTTTAATATAAATTGAATATATTATCAAAATATATTTAATGGTAGTTTCAATGAAACTAATTTTAAATGTTGCTTAATCTTTTTTATAGATTTGGTCGAATTTTTTTGAAAAATGATATATAATATAAAACGGATGGAGTACTAATTACCAACAATTAAGTTATTAATTACTGTAGCTAGGTAATGCTGCCTGCTTTGCTGATGGTCAGCTCGTGTTAGCTACTCTAGGCTGGTCCAGTTCGATGTGTACTGGCGGGAGTAGTATTGACCAACATTTATGAAGGGCTTTTTGCACGGCACGGGTGACGCATCGCCTCATGCTTCACATCGCCAAATTAAATAATGGTTGTGTGTAGACGTCCATGCTACTGTTCATCTTTTTAATTATACTACAGTATTTAATACTGCCTCACTCCACTCCACATATTTACGCATGCAGCTGGTTAGTTGTGTCCACGACCATCTGGGTAGCCCTCCAACTAAGAGGATCCGCAATGGTAAAGTACCGCAATGGTAAAGTAAGGTGCTATCTATAAAACATGTATATCTCAGCAATAGACTAGATTAATAGTAAACCACTTTAATGGTATGTCTACATGAGTATCTATAGCTCTCTAATCCATTGTCTCGTTTTTATGTATAGACCATCTTCAGGTTAGTAGATAGCTTTGCTCTCTCTTCATTTAATCTCTTACAAGTAGGAAAATATGCTGGTATGAATCTCTTGTAGAGAGACTATAGATAACCATTGTGGGTGTCCTAAGATGGTGTCTATAGCATTAACTACATTGTCACGTAGAACTTTAAACTTATGTGGCACTATATTAATTAAAAGAGAGAGCGAAGAGATGAAGAAACTGGGTCTCATGCAAGACACGGCTTCAACATGAGAACTTATGTACTAGACACTATCAAGTTTTGCATAGGGAGAGAATAGTGTCTTTATAATAGATGAAGAATAAATATGATTGGTACTCCCTCCGGTTTTATTTTAATTGACGTTTTGGACAATGACACGGTCTACAAGATATATCTTTGACCTTATTTTTCTACTATAATATATATAATAAATAAATGCATGTTTAATTTTATTATAGTGCTTTAAAAGACAAGTCTATATATGTTGTTCTAGTTTCTTTAAACTAAATATTTTTAAATTTATTGATGATCAAAGTTATAAAAGTTTGACCTCAACTTTATCCAAAACGTCAATTAATATGGAACCGGAGGGAGTAGATAAGAGAGATGGTGTATTTATTAATGGCCTACTTTAAGAAACCATGAGTTGTAGAGTGTAGTTTTTATTGTGATGTCTTATTGACATGGCACCATAGACACTGCTTATGGACACCATGGGTTGGGAGTACCTCAGTGTGCCGTTTTCTACTGTATATATTGGACGTCCTAATAATTAATATTCCCCTAAATGACATTTGTATTGGTAATCAATAATCAGCGTGTGATGGTGGTATAGTAAACTCAGTTGTCCTAATTGGATGGATCGATGTAGCAGATGGTTGATTAGGTGGAGTGTCGCTGATGAATGAATTCCTCCACTACTGGATTGTCATGACGAGTTGAGAGTGAGATCAATGTGATGGCCATCGAGATGTTTCTGCTCAACCGCTAACTACTTTGGCTTAGACCTTCAACTACCTGGAGCTGGAGATGGATGGGCAAGCCACCAGTCTCAAACCACCAAAACTGCCCAGTCCCCTAGTCCTTTCCCATGTACGTACGGTACAATACAATTCACGCTGCGCCGACCAGCCAAATTGCATTATACTGTAGGAGTTATATATATATCTGCGACCAAATTATGTTGTGTGTAACCACCTGCAGTACGGCAAACAAACCCAGGGTGTGTGTGTTCTTCTGTTTCTCCTCTTCCAACGGTGGAGAAAACTATTTTCTTAATTCTGCAGTGCAGTTCAGGGACGGACGTGCTAGATTCGGTTTTTCATGTTAGGCGAATCCCATTTTCGATTCGGTACGGATAGCCAGGGTATCTCCTGGTTGATTTCATTCGTTTTTTTTATAATTCGGTCCCTAAGGTAGTGTTTGGTTGCAAGGATGGGATGGGATGGGATGGGACGAACCCACTTTTAGGGGTGTTTGGTTTAGGGGTGGGTGGGATGGGTTGGTCCCTGGAGAGGAATATTCCTCTCAGATCCGGGACCAACCGATCCGCCAAAAACTGGCGGACAAACTCGTCCCACCTGAGACGAGCGACGGCGTCACCGCGCCATCCACCACCTTCGCGAGCTCCGCCGGGCGCCCACGAGCGTCGCCGCCTCGTCCACACCTGCCGCCACCTCCGCACGTCCTTCTCCGCCGCCGCCGCCTCCTTGAGCGCCGCCGCCTCTGCCTCGTCCGCGACCGCCGCCGCCTCCATGAGCGCCGCCGCTTGCCCGCGACCACCACCTCCGCGCGTCCACGAGCGCCGCCTCGCCTCCACGGCCGCCGCCGCCGCCTCCACGAGTGCCGCCGCTCATCCGCGACCGCCACCTCCGCTAGCACCGCCGCCGCTCCACTCAGATCCAGCCGCCGCCTCGCCTCCGCGCCCGGCGCCTCCTCCGCTTCGTCCATGACTGCCGCCACCTCCACGAGCACCGTGACCGCCATCTCCACAAACTCCGCCACCTCTGCCTCGTCTACGACCGCCGCCGCCACCTTCGCAAGCGCCGCCGCCGGTCCTCTCAGATCCGGGCGCCGCCGAGTGCCTCCGCCCCTAGACGGCACTAACGGTGAGTACAAATCCGTCCATCCCATCCCACCTCAATCCCTTCTACCAAACAAAAAACTATAACCATCCCATACCATAAACCAAACAGACAACTGGAACCATCCCATCCCACAAAACTAGGATAGGTCTGACCTATCCCACTTCGTCCCCAAACCAAACACTACTTAAGTTAATTACTACTCTGTGATCCGGGGTCGTCGCTACATAGTTGGAAATTAAATAAAGAGGGAAAATTACAAGGAATTAACTGATTGAGCTTCAAGAAATTAACTACTGCTACTCCTAATTGCCTTCGCGTTTGTGTTCTTAGTTGATTGCTTCATAGCTAGCTCGTACCTCTAGTTGTCCTTCCATCCACAAGAACATAAGAGGAAAAAAACAACGAAGGTGTGAACTATCTATCTATCATACCATTGGTTCACATCATCATCACAAGGCCATGGATGGAGGGAAAGCTCCTAAGCTAGGTGAGTCATACATGCGAAGAAGATGAACTAATTGGGGAGAAGGAGAAGGAGATACCTTGCATGCAGGGTCCTGGGCTTCGACGACGGCTCTCAGCTCGGCCACCTTCTTCCACTCCGTCACATCGCCATCGTCGCGGTGCCCGTCTCGCTCCTGCTGCTTGCAGTAATCCATGGCTGCCTTAGCTAGCTCTCCTCTCCTCTCCTCTTGAATTGCTCTTCAGGCGATGATAATTCAGAAATGGAAATCGAGAGCTGAAGCCCTTTTTATAGGCAGAGGAGAAACAGCAGCAGCTCCAAAAGGAAGCTAAGCTGACGATGCAGAGTCGCTGACCCCCACTATTTATGGTTGCGGTCTAACCGTGTACCAAAGCTGCTGTCTCGCAAACACTTGCATGACATATAATCATATACTATTACCCCCTCCGTCCAAAAAAGAACCTAATTGGACGGAGTAGTACCTTCTTTGCACAGAAATAAAGAACTTTTTTTTCTGTATAGGTATAACATTGGCATGTTGCTGCTGCTGCCTAACTAACTAAATATGACAACTCAAGAGATTACTGACTGACGTTAATGACGATGATGGCGAAGTCTAACAGAGTGACAGAGGCAATTTTCTTGCAGAACATAAGTAGGAGGTTGGACGGTCCACTCCTCCGTTGTCGAAACAACGAAATTAGGACTTGTTTGAGCAGCAGAAGCAATCACCTGAAAGAAGGTGTTAAGCTCTGTTATTTACTCTGTTCGATGATAAAAATGGACATCTTAACAACGTTGGCGGCTTATCTCCTTCGTTATCTCCTCTCTCTCTCTCTCCCATAAACGGTAAGACTCATTAATACTGACCACTGGCTGCAGATACAATCATACAAATACTAGAACTCTTGTTAATTTCGTAGTTCTGTTTTTGCTAGAAGAGAGAGAGACAGACAGAGAGTTTAGGGGGAAAAAAAATCTTAAGCTCTACTAGTACAGTAGTTGTACCTATCAGAACTTGTGGTAGTAAGCAGTAGCAGAGAAGTAGTGATGCGTACAGGAAACGGCGAGCGTCAACTACAAACAGCAACAGGGACGTTAGCCAACTACTCTTGGTTTTCAGCCATCAGAAATACTACCAAAATCATGATCTGGCAGTCAAGTCACGTTATTAGACTAGTAGCAGTATCCGTTTACAACAAAATAGTGGTACGACTAATTATTATTTTAAAGATTGACTATGTATCTATTGGCTTCGTTAATATTAAAATATATCGGCATAGGGCCTATTTAGTTTGAAACCAATTCTTACCCTACCAAAATTTGGCACTACCAAATTGGATAGTATTGAATTTAAACTATTGTTGATAAAATTTGGTAACAAACCAAACATGCACTTGCTATTATTGAAGTTACCAAAATTTTGGTAGGGCAATAAGTTGGTATCAAACCAAACAAGCCCATAGTCTTCTGTAGATGCTTATATCAGTAAGATGTGTGTTCATATGGATGCATGTGGAGCATTCTAAACGTCTGCTTTGCTTTGTCCTGTCTGTCTTATTGGTTGCTCGTATTCTCTAATAAACTATTTATTAGAAAATAAAAATAATTTATAGATAAAATTTTTATATATGTGTTCAATGCAGAAAAACTATGTAAAAATATCTTTAATCAAGTTAAATTTTAAGCCTAAAAATTAAAACTTTAACTTTATTAGGGACGATGGGGCTATGTGTATGTAAAGAAAAAAAAAGGAAATGGCGAGATGCATGGGACGCAAGAAGGAATTTTCCTCGTGCCATTTTGATGCAGAGTAGCCAAATGCTAACCACCACGTACCCCCGAATTGAATTGAATTGTATCTTTCATTGATTTGGCCATGAATGCTAGCAGCTGCCGAGCTTTGTGCCTTACCGACGCTGCCCCGGGAAAGTAGTGGCTCGCACACACGCGCCCATGGCCCATTGGGCCCATGCCTCGTACACGCCCGTACGCGCCTCCTGTGTGGCTCACCTCCTGCCACGACGCCATCCAAAGCGGCATGCCAATATGATTTCTCTTAAAAGATAACGAAAATGTATTACATCCAGTTCTCTGCTTTAAGACACACAGTCGATTATAGTTTTTATTGAAATAATTAACAAGAGTGGTGGGATAAAATCCGAGCTATTCTTAAGACATAAAAACAGCTAACATGTTACGTCACATATAATGAAATAAGATATTTTTGGCAACTGATTTTAAGAGCGTATTCACTCCTCCTGTTTGATATGATATGATATGATATGCCACACTTCTGTTGATTGAGTAATCACTCAATAGTTAAATAAAACATAAAAAAACAAAATAATGTCAGTAGAGTAATGAATTTGTTGACAAATAGAGCGAAGAATACAATATTAGATCAGTATACACATAAGCAACCCCCCCCCCCCCCAAAAAAAAAAACAAAAAACAAAACTAATAAACATATATATCAAAATATTCAAGGAAAATTTTCCAGGAGCCCAACTTCGTCCTCCAACCCCATGCGGTGGTTGGAGACTCTCCAGCTCATGTTATAATTTACAAAACTAGACAATTAGACAATGCGATAGTGTTATATAAATTTCGGGGTTTTATTTGATTCATACCAATTTATTTCTGCAAATTCATGTCCTATTGAACCTCTAGTAGCCTACCAGTATGATCGATGGTCCTGGCTTTATGAGTAGGGGTGGATCTATCTAGTAGACGTGCATCTGGATGGGATGGCCTTGGCAGACGGCGAGATCTGTGTCGCCTCTCTTTGATCTGATTCAGTCTCAGTAATCATCATGTTTATTTTTACTTACACCCCGTGGTCCATTGCCAGCGCATTATCTATCTTCAATTCAATTCTTCCATCATCCGTGCTGCAATTTCTGCACAATGTTATCGATCCTACTAGTAGCTACTAGATCAATGTAGAACACAACCCAGTCCCACCTCACCTCACCTTCCCAGGCAACTTACTCTGCATCTCCTATGCTTTTACTGTAACCACATAGTGAACCATATTTATTTCACTTCATCCGTATTATGAGTACGGTTCTAAGAAACACATGATCCAAATTTATTACACAAATGATATATGGTCCAGATTAGTTTCACCTGTTTGCACAAAACTGTACATCCCGCAAACTCGCACAGTGAATGTTTTGAATGTGATACTTGAGCACAATACAGACAGACGATTAGCAGCATGGTGGCCATACTAATTAAGGTCTTGGGTCTCACCAGATAATAGTAGAATACAGCTAGCCTCTCAGAATTCTCTCCTGGGGAAGAAGCCCTTATCATGCCCAGCAACAGGTTCAGAGATGAGGGCGTTGTCGTTGGATGTTTCAGTCTCATCACCCTTGCCGAAGCAGTATTCAGGTGCCTGCCATTCTGCGTCCTCCAGCACAGCACCCTCCTCAAAGCTCATCACATGGCTAGTCCTCCCTATATAGTAGTAGATTGCAAAATGTTAGTACTACAAAAGTGATACACAATTATACACATAATTATAAGCGTTTGGTTCTCATGACTCATGACGAATTCAGGACAAACAGACATCTCTGTGGTACCAAATGCAGTGGAACTGGGAGTGTGGAAATACTAACTTATAGTCACCTAAGAGTATCTTGCTGTCTTCTTTACCTGTTGGGCAGCTCATCAGCATGACAAACTTAACGGAGACTACAAGTTGTATCACTTTGGCAAACCTAAACAATGAGTACTATTAACTATTAACTGAAGTGTACATGCCGGCAATACAGAAGGCATACTCTACTTTCAAGGGAAGATGACACAGGACTGGTGACTAACGAGAAATTCTTTAATTCTTGACCAGCAAGAGGCAGCAATACCTGCAGACATGGCTCAAATTGGAACATTTCCCAGGCATATATTTGGGTCTGCATATTTCTATGGCTAGGCTCAAAGTTGCAGAGCCGAGATCGAACATTGGGGAAATAAAACTTAATGGCCAGATGGCCACAGTTTCATCACAGAGAAGACATCACAACACTTAAAGATAATATTCCCAAAAGCTACATTGCACAATCATCTATAAGAATTTAACATGCGATGAAATTGCTGAGAAAGTTTTTTGGAAAGTAAAATTGGGCAGCATTTCAGAACATAACGACTAGCGATCAGTGGAAAATGGAAGTAAAGTTCAAGGGGCATGGGCCCTTTCATCAACCATTAGTTTGTGAGTCTGAAACCACAAGCATACTAAGTAGCTAGCCTATAGGCACTAAACAAGTGATAGATAGTAGAAGTTAAGAACTAGAATGTTTTTGTTCGAAATGCTTCCAATGAAGGATTGCACTACTGGGTGAAGCAGATCCCCTATGATTTCATCATACAGCTGTAGTCTCCTTGATGGATACAGTTCATAGTGTTATTGCCTCTTCCCAGCAAAAAGAAAAAAAAAAACAGTTCATAATGTTAATTGATTACATACTGTATATGCTTCAAGTGAGCTGTTTATAGCGCTATTCATCGGTCCTGGTTGAATTGTATCCATCAAAAGTGTAGCATCATTTTCAATTTTTCATTCAAAAAAAATGCATCCTCAACATACTGAAACAATGTACTAACTACTAGCAACAGATCAATATGCAGCAATTCCCTGGATATATGACCAAAGCATAAGAAGGGACATGGACTCTGAATATTTGCATCCTCTTGTGGGCTCTAACCTTAATTCTGAACTATACAGGTGGTGCACATGGATGAGAAGGGATGGAACAGGAAATTGCCGCGGAATAGGGTTCAAAATTACCGGTGTAGAAGACCCATTTGACGGGGCGTTTGGTGAGGGTGTCCTCGTAGTAGGTGATGAAGTCGGCCTTGGCCCAGACGTGGCAGTCGAAGCCGTCGGCGGGGTGGCGGCCGAGGTAGACGGAGCCAGGGACGAGCCAGTTTGGGGGCAGGATGCCGACGCCGACGGCGGCGGAGCGGCAGGCGCGGCGGGCCGGGGTGTAGAAGAAGGAGGTGCCGTTGTTCCACTCGTTGTCGTAGAAGGGCTCGTCGGCGGCGAGCTGGTAGCGGATGACGTGGAGGTTGCGGCCCCCCGGCCAGTCGTACCACAGGTCCGCCAGCGACAGGTTGCCGTGGAACTCCATCAGGAGCTTCGCGTGGAACTGGGCCGGCCATGGCGTCGGCGTCGGCGTCGGCTCCGATCCGTCGCCGGCGACGACGAGGAACAAGGCCGCCGCGAGGAGGAGAGGGGCCGCCGTCTTCTCCATCTTGTGCAAGTGGCTGCGCTGCTGCGTGGGAGTGAGATGGCGTAGTACGGTTTCGAGGGCTTGAGTGAAATTGTGTGATTTTCCAAGGGTGATTATGCAAAAATTCGTCCATTTTTAGTACGGTTTGGGCCCATTAACAAATGGACTTTGCTTTGTCCAATTGCTACAAATTGAGCCTACTTTCTTTTCGTTTTTGCTGCTTTAACAAGTAGAAATAGGCCCAAGTGGCAGAGTTACCTACCTTTGCTAATTTTGGACTCCAAGCACACAATTAGTACTCATCCGCATTGTGCTAATTCAGGTTATTGAGAGGGGAAGAAAGTGGTTATACGAGATCGATGGAGGACGCAGCAGCTAACGGTCGCTATACGATGGAAATGAGATTGTACCGGACATATTGTGCATATATACAAAAAGTATAGGAGTATGTTCCAGACGATGGCAACTTGACCTCTTTAATTCAAAGCTAGCCTCAAACGTACTTAACTATTCATGCTTTGACGTCAAGGCAAGGGTCGAGTAGTAAGTAACACAGGCTCAAAAGGCAGGCTATCTTAAGCTACCTATACGTTTTGAGTGTAGTATACGAGCCGATCGATCGATCGATCGACCACTGTACCGCACTGCACGCGCCAAATTGAAAATCGGATTAGTGGCTCAAATCAAAAACTAAAGTTAGTCTGAACTTTGTCTAGTGTGCAAAATCTTTTGACATTAATTAATCAATTGGTAGGTTTTGTGCGTTGTGTCTTGTGTGATTTCCACACTTGGTTGACGCCGACGTCGTTGTAAAGTTTGCACGCGGCAACTGGGCGTGGTCTCTGAACGAACCGTCAATTCATTCATGGAATGAATTTGATGGAAACATATCCCGACTTTGTGCAGTCTGTAATTGTGCTATGTTAGTGCCACAAAGTCGATATAGCACAACTACAAATTGCACAAAATCGACATGGGACGACTGCAGATTGCACAAAGTTAGAGGAGTTTCTTTCGAATTTGATATATGGTCCGTCCAAAAAAAATCATGGGATTGGCGCCTGCCTGAATCCATGGTGGGTCGTTGGCCAACTCCTCCATTTCTCACGGCGCCGGTCGCCGCCCCGGCCCTACTTCCCTTCACGCCTCCACTGACCTCGCCGGCCGGCCACCACCACCGCCCGCGCGCCACACCTATAAAACCTCACCTCCTCCACCTCCATGGCTCACCACCACGTACAGCAAACACCAACTCAGCTAGCTATACTCTACTCATCTTCTCTGCCAGCTGCTACTACACCAACCAGAGCTAATCAAGTAACAATGGCGGGAAGAGGCAGTGCCATGGCGGCGGTTGGTGTGCTGGTGCTCCTCTGCGTGCTCCTCCACGGCGAGATGGCCGAGTCGGCGGTGTTCACCGTCGGCGACCGCGGCGGGTGGGGGATGGGGGCGGGATCGTGGGCGAACGGGAAGCGGTTCAAGGCCGGCGACGTGCTGGTGTTCAAGTACGACTCGTCGGCGCACAACGTGGTGGCGGTGAACGCCGCCGGGTACAAGGGCTGCACCGCCGCCCCGCGCGGCGCCAAGGTGTACAAGTCCGGCAACGACCGCGTCACCCTCGCCCGCGGCACCAACTACTTCATCTGCAACTTCCCCGGCCACTGCCAGGCCGGCATGAAGATCGCCGTCACCGCCGCCTAGTTCTTCTTCTTCCTCGTCGTCGTCGTCTCCGTCGCCGGCATGGCGCCATGCCGTCCATCTCAACCAGCTGCTTATTATATCTATATACAAATGTTTGTCGATCGTGTGTGTTCTAACCACCATCAGCTGATTTATAATTCTACGAATGAAGAATACGATCCAATGCATCTATGCATGCATACACACATGGATCAATATATAATAGTTGTACACTTCTTTGAGTGACGGATGTTGTATCCGGTGAAATTTATATACATATAAATATGAATAAAAGCCACATTATGCAGGTTCTTGAATCACAAATAGTACGTTTGAGTTTCAGGTCTGTTTGGCATAGCTACACCTCCACCTCTCCTGAAACTGGAGCTCAGCCAAACTGTTTTACCTCCATCTAAAATGGTAGTGGAGCTAGGTGAAGCTCTCTCACAAAGTAAACTTGAGAGGTGAAACTGGGTTTAGTCAGCTCCACAACTCCACTCCAAACTCAACTCATGAAGTTAAATTTAGAAGTTAGAGATCTACCAAACGGGCTATTCAGGCATAGAAATTCGGAATAAGTTCATCTGAGGTCCCTTAACTTTACACCGAATCCGATTTTCGTCCTTGAGTTCACCACCGAGGGATCTCGTTTGCACCAATTTTGACAGTTAAGGACTGGCTGATCTGGTTTTGGGGTTAAAGGACGAAAATCGGATTCGGTATAAAGTTAAGAGACATCAGATGAACTTATTCCTAGAAATTCCCACTCAAAACTTCCACACGAATACGACCGGGCCAGTTATTGTAGTACAGTAGTAGACGAGATGGTTGTGGGCCGGGCCCAAACCTTTGGGCCGGCCTGACCGTTCCATATATGGAAAGGCCCAGGAATTCGTCCACAAAACCCTATAATCCTCGCACCCCCCAACACCTCTCTTCTCCTGCGCCGCCGCCGCCTCCTCCTCCTCCCGCATCTCCCTCCTCGCCTCTCGCTGCCGGCCGCGCTTCGCCAAGGTGAGACTCCCCGCCTCTCCTCCGACTCATTCCACAACGCGTATTCGGCGGCCAGCGAATTGGCTTCTTTTTTTTTATTTCCTTTCCCGACGCCCGATGATGGTTTATCCTAGTGTGGCTGTGCGCTTCGATTCGGATCCATCTGATCTCTTCCGGCCGCATTCTGGTTGCCCAGATCCATGCCACTTTCCTCGTTCATGTTAACGAGGAGATTTTCGGTTCGTTTTGCAGATGAACAAGGAGAGGCTTATGAAGATGGCCGGCGCCGTCCGCACCGGCGGGAAAGGCACCGTGCGCAGGTGGGTAAATCGCCTTTGTCGCGAAATGAAATGAATGTCTTGTTCTTTGCTTCTCGCCGTGTCGCGAAATGAAACAAATGTGCTTCATTTTGTTTGTTAGGAAGAAGAAGGCCGTCCACAAGACGGGGACCACTGACGACAAGAGGCTGCAGAGCACGCTCAAGAGAGTAGGTGTCAACACCATCCCCGCGATCGAGGAGGTCAACATCTTCAAGGATGATCTCGTCATCCAGTTCGTCAATCCCAAAGGTATAAGCATCCCTCCTGTTTTGCCTACCGTACCATGGAAATGCCAACTGCTTCTTGGTGTTAGATTACTTATCCATGTTCGATCCGACCTGTGCAGTGCAAGCTTCCATCGCCGCAAACACATGGGTGGTCAGTGGCTCCCCACAGACCAAGAGTATGTGACTTCTCCTTGTTACATTTGATCAGTTCGTTGTGCGAGTTCAATTCTTTTAAGATTAGCGGCTGTTCTGTTTCTCTTATACACTGCTGAGTTGCAGCAACCATCCCATGTAGAGCTCTGTATGACATCTGAATAATCCCATGTTCGTCTTTAGTTTTATCTCTGCACACTCTCTAGGAGATTTTATGCATTCAGCTGCAACATTGTAGGGTTTACTATATATGTTGATTGTGGGGTGGAGTGAATATTACGATGAACAAAACTAGCTTTTAGCAAGACTCAAATTGCCTTTTGATTACTTTATTTCAGTGATTGTCTGTTATTAGGGTGTTATTTTTATCTTCCTGACTTGTGATCACTGTTTGACTTGTCAGAGCTTCAAGATGTTCTTCCTGGGATCATTAACCAATTGGGTATGTCCTCTTCTTGGTTTGCTGTTATAAAAACTACTTTTGACTTATGCTTCTGCACTTAATATTCAATTGATAGTTGTCTTAATTGGTCTGAATTGGCTTGTTTTTTCTGTTATAAGAACTATGTTATCAGTCTCATTTCATAGCTGCATGACTCCAATTTCTCTTTCCTGTCATGTATATATTCCAGAACCATGTTCACAAAATGTATATTCCAAACATGAGCTCTTTCGTATGGAGTATCTCCTAGCCTACCCATCATGTAAATCAGCGATGAAGCTATGCAAACATTAGTGTTTATCTATTTTTGATCTCCATAAAATGTAACTCTTATTTTTTTTCTGGTTTTCTTGCTTTGTTTCCATTGCCAATTATCTGTTGGTTGCCATCAGCCTTTATTCCTGCTCATCACTGGACTTGTCTGATTATTGTCAAACTCATTCAGTTTATCTGCAGTTTGTCCAGTTACTGACAGTCAAATCTTTCTTGTAGGTCCTGACAACATGGAGCACCTAAAGAGGATTGCTGAAGAGATGCAGAAGCAGGTAGCTGCTGCAGGTGCCACTGCCCAGGCAAAGGAAGAGAACGATGATGATGTTCCAGAGCTTGTTCCGGGAGAGAATTTCGAAGAGGTAGCTCAGGAGACAAAAGCCTGATCATAGATACCACAAGTAGTGAAATGTTACTTGACCGCTGTTCTGAGGTCATGGTTTTCTATGACGGCCCTGTTTTGCTTCTCCTCGTAGGCCAATCTTTGTATTTGCAATTGGAAACTTTTAGTTTCTCCGAGTTTTTACCTAAGTTATGAATGCTGAGATGCCATGGAGTCCTTTTTACCTGGTTTTGATGTTCACATTTCTGGTTGGTTCAGAATATACTAGCATCAGGGTTTGCAGATGTCCTTCACGTCTCAACTATCTACTAGTATCATTTATGTTTGGAGATATCCTGCAATGGTACAGTGTTGATTTTTCCCCAAATGAAAAATAATGATGTGTTTTACCTGCTCAGATTTCAGTTCTGAACTTATGTTATACTAGCATATGAACCATATGAACATGCTACGTGCTCTCTCTTGAATACTAAACCCCCCAGCAATGCTCTCTTGAATACTCTAAACCTCTCAATGAGAGGCAGACGCCCAGTTCGTGTTTGTACTATAGTGAACTATGATTAGCAAAGGGTGTTAATTGTTTCTGTCTGTAAAGAGAGAGCTACTATTGATTGAAATTTGAAGTACAGTTTAAAACAGCGGAAATATTGGTATAAGAAGAAGTCCCACTGAAAATAGTGCAAACTGGGAAGCATATGGTTGAAAGCGATGTTCAACACGCCAGCATATGACTGGTTTGAATAATCTTGTTCTCGAGACAAGTTTGTATTCAAATGATATATCTACTCCAAAGCTCATGATGATGCCATTTAAAATAGACTTTTGCGTCTATTGCACCTATTAATAGTTCACTAATATAAGAATGTACAGCCAAGGTGATGGAAATCAAAACTGAAGCTCTTGCGCGTGCGCATATCAGCTAGATGATCACCACATAAAAGGCTTAAAAACTCAATCTTTGTACACTGTTCTGCGCCAATTTCAGAGTTTGAGTTTGGGCACAGAAAATAATCACCGCAAGATGGAAGACGAACAAAAAATACTCTGCCTAGCAAAAAGCTCTCTCTGCTCAACCATGGATGAACAGCAATTGGCGCAATGTATGTGCCTCTTGTTGCTGCTTGCCATGTCACCAGATGCTACGCTCGCCGGCGGCGGCTCGGTGAGGCGCCGGGCGGACGTGGCCGACGGGTACGCGGACCACCCTGCCGGCGAACATGGCGTGGAGGTCGGCGGCGTACTTGACGGTGTAATGGTAAGCGTCGGAGGAAGACACCACCCTCGCCGGCAGCCAGATCACGAGGCAGCACCTGGCGGTGATCTTCACGTACCTCGTGCGCACGTACACGGCGGTGCCGCACGTCAGCCGCCGCGCCGGGTGGACGCTACGGGTCACGGCGGCGACCGGCGGCTCCGAGAACTCGGACGCCGGACGCGCCGGCTTCCTGGCGACCACCGTCTTGGGGTTGGACGACGGCGGCCACGGCCTGGCGGCGGAGGGCGCGTCCGGCTTCTTGGAGATTGAGGGCGGCGGCGGCGGCGGCCGCGGCTTGGCGACGGCGAGGTTTGACGATGACGTCGCGCGAGCGATCTTCTTGGCCTGCGCGGCGGCGGCGGCGGCGGGAGAGATGACCCTGGGGGCGGCGAGCGCCGGGAGGTTGGGCGCCGACGTCGTGCGGGACATGATCTTGTTGGCCGGCGAGTGCGAGGAGATGGAAGATGGCTTGTTGGCGGCGGCGGTGGACTTGACGCGGGAGTTGGGGAACTGCGGCGGCATTGCTTCTCCTCTCGACGGCTACGCCGCCGCCGCAGCCGCCGTCGATTCCGCTTCTTGATTTCTAGGGCTTCCAAGGATCGATGAGATGATGTGAACGCTACCCTCCGTTGATTCGTTGCGTTGATCCTAACTTGGGAAGAGATGTGTGTCGTAAAAACAACTTAACAAGTGACAGCGAAATTAACCCGGACGAATTGACATCACAGCCTAACTTTGCGAGATAGTCGCCGTGTTCATCTCACCCGGACGAATTCGCATTGTTCATTGTTAGATACGATTTAAATAATAAGTTTCAGATTTCAGACGATTTATTTTATCGTCTCGACTGAAATCCTATTAGTTATTTTTCGTCTTATAGCATTGATGATTATTTGATTGAACTTCTACAACTTGAGATTGTTGCTCTGCTTATACCATTGACTGAAATTCTTCTACAGATATAGATTGTTTTTCCGCCATTGATGAACTCAAATCGGCAAAGATGTTTTTCGGCCATTGATGAATGAATTCAAAGTGGCAAAGATCATGCAAGATGCGGCACATATCGGCTGCAGTCTTCCATAGACTGAAAGCAATGGCTAGCACATTTTATGACGACTGATCACTTGATCAGATAAGTCAGCCATGTATCCGGTGTGAAACTTGAAACTTCAAGTACACATCGATAAAGTAAAACAGAAAATCATGCGAGAGAAACATCAACCATTAAGATGCTTATGATGAATCTTTCTTATTTAGTCACCAAGCTATGGGCAAAAAAACGTGTTAAGATGACTAAACGCGTTGTTATACAGCAACAACCAGACATGGAAAAAGAAAAGCAATAACTAGTTCGGAATGGTGGCCGAGCCAACGATCCCTGCATCTCATGAATTCAGAGAAGATGCTCTGCGAGTCCCTCGCTCTTTTGCTCTCATATTGCCGGTCGGATAGATCTGATTCCCTATGAACATTCATTTGTTACTAAATTCGCTACGCAGAAAAAACTGGAAACAGATCAGCTGTAAACTTTGGAAACAACTCCGGCACCAACTGTCCTCCCTCCTTCCCTCAGCGCAAATCTCTGGCCTGAATAGCATAAAATGAAACAAATGTGTTCACTTCAATTGCAGAAAACCATACCAAAAGGTCGAAATGTCAAAAATGGTGGAGCATACCTGGCTCAAGGGGAACAGGTGATATCAACTCAAATCCTGCAGTTACATTATCACCAGGCATAACCATTTCCACGCCATCAGGTAACACAACTTTTCCAGTGACATCGGCAGTCCTAAAGTAGAACTGTGGACTGTAATTTGACAAGAAGGCTGTGTGGCGACCACCTTCATCCTTTGTAAGGACGTAAATTTCCGCCTCAAACTTTTGGTACGTCTTAACGGTACCAGGTTTGCACACCACCTGAAAGCAGTACAAAAAATGACAAACATAGGAGCATCAATAAAAGGGTCAAAGAATTGTTATTGCACCAAGAGTAGTAATATATCAATCCACCAGTTCGCTCAAAGACCACAAATGATACGAATAGAATAAAAGATGACTTGGATCAGACTTATATGGGTCCCGCTCAGAGTTAGGTATGCTAACCTGGCCACGCTGTACATCACCACGCTTAAGACCACGAAGAAGAAGACCAACATTGTCACCAGCCTGCAAACAAGTTGTAGCTATAAGATTCCACATTAATAGAAAACAACCAGTAAATGGTTTACTTTCAGAACAGACCTCTCCATGATCCAGTATCTTTTTGAACATCTCAACACCAGTAACTGTAGTCTTCAAGGGACCACTCTGTGACCAAGAAGTGCTCATCAAAATTCACAATGCATCAAAATAGCAACATAACATACAACATGGAATCAACGTATGACAGTTCCAAAGAACCTAGAAATGTCAAGAGGCTTTATGTAGCAGGCTTACATTTTTCTTTCAATAACCATAGTTGGTAAAAAAATATATTAGCTTAACCCATTATGACATATACATATTCCATTCCGATATTTGCGTGAAGTCAAATGTGCATATGGTGTAAAAAAATCGTGGGTAAGATATAACTACAAAGATTGTGGATTCTCGAATCTTCAGAACCAAGCAGGTCATACTCTCAAGAATAAATTTGTACGTCTAGGAGGCGGTATAAACCACATTACTGGACTTAAGTAATAAAAGACAAATCAGATATTTTACTCACTGGAGTCAAACCTAGGATCTCAACATCTTCACCAGTTTTGATTGTCCCCTGCTCAACACGCCCTGTCACAACAGTTCCACGGCCCTGCAGATTGAAATCAATTGGTCTGTGTCATCCTTATACTTGCCAAAAACAGTAAACAGTGTTCTGGCACACTAAAACTCATAGTTACAAGAACAAAATTAACATAATATAAACAATTTAATCATATGACTTCTCTTCCAGAGACTTAAGGGTACAATGGTTAAAATCTTTTCAGGAGTTAAATAGAATGCCTATTGACAGAACAAAGTATAAAGTGTCATATATTCTTGCTGTATAGTTTCTAGGTTCCCAGCAGCATTCATCCATCAACTTCAATGGCTAATTTTGTATAAACAGATGCTAACAAGTACATAATTCAAACCTTGAGCCGGTTTCAGAATTAGAACACTAATTATATCCATAGATCAAGATAGGTTCGCTCATTGTACTTGGCACAGAGGAAGTAAATTCAATTTTTAATTGCAATCAGTTCAAAACTACAGTGAATATGAAAAAAAAATAGCTGTATACCATAGCATAAAGTTAATCACCTGGATAGAGAAAACATCTTCTATCGGCATCAAGAAAGACTTATCAAGCTGCCTCACAGGATCAGGGATATACTCGTCAACTGCATCCATTAGTTTCAAAATGGCATTCTTTCCAATCTCATCATTAGTCCCCTGTAAGGCTGACAAGGCGGATCCACGGATGATTGGAATCTCATCACCAGGGAACTTGTAGAAACTGAGGAGCTCTGCAGGAAAAAAAGGGAAATATACCTTAGAACAAGAACAAAACAATTCATACAACAATGTAAAGAGATGCAGAATGCTAGCATACCACGAAGCTCCATCTCTACAAGCTCTAGTAGCTCGGGGTCATCAACAGCATCAACTTTGTTTAAGAAACATACAAGTGATGGCACACCAACCTAAAATGCCGAGAGGAATGCTTGAGTAATCAGTAACCAGAAATGAAATGATATACTAAAATTCGCACTGAATGTGAAAAAGATAAAGAATTGTCAGTGATTCAAAACCTGTCGGGCCAGAAGAATATGCTCTTTCGTTTGTGGCATGGGGCCATCAGGAGCTGATACGACAAGAATACCACCATCCATTTGAGCAGCTCCAGTGATCATATTCTGAAAATGTGCACATTGAAACAGAGATGTCATTGGTCATTGCTCAATATTAAGGATTCTAGCAGTTCCGGGACAGTAACTCAGTAAGCCTGAGTATCAGAAGAGCCTACTGGATTTAATAATTAATATTGACAGCGCATACTACAAATGTGCTCAGCAATTTCATAATATCCAATGAATTAGTATTACATAATATCCATGGTTATTGTTCGTGAAGATTGTCAATATATAATCTTGATAACTTCCACTTTAGTAAAATAGAACTACTTACCTTGACATAATCAGCATGCCCTGGGCAGTCCACATGAGCATAATGCCTTTTAGCAGTCTCGTACTCCACATGAGCCTACACAACCACAACCACATAACTCAGACTTGATCTACACATGATGACATACAAGGACACCATCTGGTCCAAATGAAGAAAAAACTAGTGCTAAGGCTCACCGTTGCAATGGTGATTCCTCTTGCTTTCTCCTCCGGGGCCTTGTCGATCTCGTCAAAAGCAACAGCTTTAGCCTTCCCTGCCTCAGCTAACACCTGCAAAGAGCATAAAAAAGGCATTTCACGCGTTGAAATTGTTTGGACTCCAAAGAAAACAACTGAACTTGCACTATATGTGACAAATCAGACCTTGGTAATCGCAGCAGTGAGTGTGGTTTTGCCATGATCGACGTGCCCAATGGTGCCAACATTCACATGAGGCTTCCTGAGACAGATTCATACAACAAATTCAAAACACAAGTCACACACGGATCGATCGCTAGATGCTAACCACAGGAAGAGAGAAAACCAGGCGCGGAGAGCAACGGATCTGATCCAAGAAGGACTCACGTGCGGGTGAAGGTGGCCATGGACCTCGCCCACAGGGTTCCAGCCAGAGGCGGTGGCTGCTGGGGCGCCGCCGCCGCAGCCGCCGACGCATCCGGTAGCGCCGTGGGGCCCGAGATCACGGCGGCGCGGAGGGTGGGGTAGGAGAGGATGCGGCGGGCGCCATGGCTCCGGAGCACTGCGGCTGCGGCCATCGCGTTCGCGTTCGCGGCGGCGGCGGCGGCGGCGCTAGGTGAGAGGAGGAGAGAGACGGGTTTAGGGCTTTAGGAGTCGAATGGGGAGGAGAGGCGGCCACCTCGTAGCTGTAACTTGTAACCAACCCGTGGAGGCGCAAATGGGCCGTACGGCCCACTAGGGCCCATAGGCCCACTAGGGCCCATAGGCCCACTCCCAGTTTCTCCTCTGCCACAAGAAAGAAACACTGCGGAAATTACAGGTTTGCCCTCGTATCACCACAGCCACCAACTCTCCCTCTCCCTCGCCGCCGGCGCGCGAGCTTCACCAGCCATGGCCGCCACCGCCGCCGCCTCCGTAGCCGCGATTTCGCCTCTCCCCGGGGCATCCCTCCCGCGCCCCGTCTCCGCGAGGGTTCCTCTTCTCCCTAGGGCTTCCCCTCCCACATGGCGCCTCAGCGTCGGCTCGGCGCGCGCGCGGTCGACGCGGTGCCTTGCGGCGGCGGGGGGTGGCGGGCTGGCGCCGGAGATGAGGGCGACGCTGGACAAGGTGGTGGGGTCGCACAAGGTGGTGCTGTTCATGAAGGGGACCAAGGACTTCCCGCAGTGCGGATTCTCCCACACGGTGGTGCAGATACTCCGGTCGCTGGACGTGCCCTTCGAGACGCTCGACGTGCTCGCCAACGAGGCGCTCCGCCAGGGGCTCAAGGAGTACTCCAGCTGGCCCACCTTCCCGCAGCTCTACATCGACGGCGAGTTCTTCGGAGGATGCGACATCACCGTTGGTACGCACCCCGCCTCCCCGATTTGACCTGACATCACGCAAGCTCACTGTTAAGGAATTGAATCTTTTTAAGCAGCATTGATTTGTTATGAGAAGTTTGACATGCCAATTCACCTCTTCGATCCAACACATTGTGATTATCCCACTACGATTAGTCTAATGCTGAAGACATGCTGCGGCCCGCTTATCGTGTCTAGTCCATTAGAATCCTGTTAGAAACTTTTCAAGGGGACCAGACGTCCCTGTTGTTTACTGTGGTTCTGAATTTTGATGATTCCCTATCCTCATAGGCATAGTTCAGAGTATATAAATTTGAGAGAATTTATCAGAGTATATAAATTTTGAGAGAGAATTTTCATGGCATGAGATACTCGCAGTATCTGAAGATCTGATCATCTGAACGCTGGTTTTGCGTTAAATCAAGATATGCTACTTGTACTGGCCATAAAAGAGCAGCTTGTGAACCCTGATTCATATATATAACCCGAGACGTGGCTTTCACCCCTCTCATCATTACCAGTTAATCATCACCAATAGTGATGTATCCTAAGTATCCATGCCTAGTGGCGAACCGAGAACAAAAATTAACAGGGTCCAACATACTAATTACCTAATTGTTAACTGATATATTGATCAGCATGATATAATTTAGTTTAAATTACCAGAAGCTGCATGTAGGAGCGCCACTGTCTGTGCCACCATTGGTTATAATCTGGTTTAGTGTTCTTCACTGAACAACTAGCTTGTATAGGTCTGCTCCATGCAGTTTTCTGAGTGTTGCCACCTATATACTCAAGAACCTACTATAATGTAAGAAATAACTGTTAAAAAATATGTATACATCTTGCCCAGTAGTAGAAATTAAGGGAGTATTCACTTTAATGCAATTTTCAACCTTACCAAATTTTGGCAGGATTTCTTGTATAGTTACCAAAATTTGGCAGCAAACTAAATGTAGCCACTTTTTTAGCAACTTTACCAAAATTTGGTAAGGTTGAAAATGGCATCAAAGTGAACAGGCCCTAAGGTGGATGGTGCACTTGGCGACCAGCTGACCAGTGAGAACACAAATCCATGATGTAGCAAATCATCACTTAAAATGTTCATCATGGTAGTATATTTAGATACTTGACTTGAGTAAACCCAAATGAATAATTGACACACAAGATGTGAGGATGATTAATGTGTGTGTTCCCTACTGAATGTTTGATATGATCAGTGTTTCAGCAATTCAGCTGGATTTAATGTTTGCACTGTTTTATATTTTGCAGATGCATACAAAAGTGGAGAGCTGCAGGAAACACTAGAGAAAGCAATGTTATCTTAGTATAAACGTCGAAACACACCATAGAGTACATATAAATGGTATATGGTCCTTTACGATGTACTCTTCAGCCATGACAAAGAACTGGTGATGCTAAGATTGTCAACAGTTCAATTCATCAAGCAGTGAGGTCCAACTCGAACGTGCAATTGTACTCATGACTAATAAATTTTAATATTGATGACAAATACTTCCTGTTGCAACACTCGGATGTCACAGCTCTAAATGTCTGGATCTCTAAATGTCTGGATGGTATTCTCTTATAGAGCTGAGGCGATGATCTTGTACCTAAAAAGATCCAAAACTTGGAGCGAAATCTTTTGCCCAAGTAGTCCAATCTATTTGTTTTTCATCGCTCTTAAATGTACTACTCCTTAACTGATACTCCCTCCAGTTTGATATTAAGTGACGTTTTGGACAGGATTGCATATACCAATGACTTATTAATTAGTCACCATATTCCCTTGTTATACCCTTATTAAATACTCTCGGATACACATCAAATCAGGAATAACTTCTCCTCACTTGGTTAAAGCCACCATCCCAAAGCATATGGTTCCGTGTTCGAGCGCTTGTAGCGCTCGTTTTCATCCGATTTTGCATGGTATTGTAGCCGTGCATGCAGGATTTTTTTTATGTCATTTTCGCTCGCGCGCGCGCTGAAGTTTTGTAAGCTGATTTTTTCGCTCGTTCGTGCTTGGTATAGAAAATTTTTTGGTGCATCTTGCAGCTGGTTTTGAGCGTTTTGGCGCCTGCTGCCTCTTGCGCATATTCTCTGTGAACAAGACCACAACGAGAGCATGGCCTCCTACGCGCGCATCGGATCTTGTCAAGACCATTCTCGTGGACTCGGCCGCAGTGAACGCACACTTGCGCGAGCTGCTCCACCTCCATGGCGTCGGCGCTGTTGTCCTCCTGCGCGAGGTGGTCCACGATGCCGCCCGTCATCATGTCGTCCACCGGCGCAACCTCAGCATCCATGGCGCCGATGGTCACTTCGTCTTCATGCGCGACGGCGGCGTCCTGCAGCTTGACATCCATGATGCTGGTGCGCGACGAGCGGCGTTGTCAAGAGGCGAAGCGACGCAATGGCCAGAGGCGAGCAACTAGCAGCACACGGTGGCTATCATGGAGTCTTTCCGCTTCCGTGGCCAGAGTATTAGTACTCCAGGCATTAGTTAATTTTTGCCTTGGGACTTTTCCGCTGGATGGAGACGAAGCAACAGCATTTACTGTTTGCATGCATGAATGAGGGTATTCTGGACAAATACAAGGGAGAGAGTTGTGGAGAGCGCTAAAACATCAATTTTTGCCAGCCAAAGAGGATTAACCCATAGCGTCAGTTAATATGGAACTAGAGGGAGTAACTGATAACAAGGTTATGTACCTCCATGCAGATATTTGTACCATTAGTTAAGAGCACCCGCAATGGTAAAGTAAGGTGCTATCTATAAAACATGTACACCTCAACAATAGACTAGATTAATAGTAAACCACTTCAATGGTATGTCTACATGGGTATCTATAGCTCTCTAATCCATTGCCTCGTTTTTCTCTATAGACTATCTCCATGTTAGTAGATAGCTTTGCTCTCTCTCTTCATTTAATCTCTTCCAAGTAGAAAAATATGCTGACATGGATCTCTTGTAGAGAGCTTATAGATAACCATTGTGGGTGCCCTAAGTAGCTTGGATAACTCTGCTCTAAACAGAAGATAGCCCTGCCCCCAAATTCAATTACTTAGGCACGAGTTCACCGTGCTTCATGCAAACGACAAGATCTCCAGTTTTATCTTCTCCACATATGATGCATCTCCAGAAACTTAAAATCACAACGAACGCGTTACAGATCAGATCATATTGAGAACCAGCGCATCTGCAGAACCTAAAACAAGCCAGGCATCTGATTGAATAATCTAGAATTCAAATAATATTCGGGAAGATACACATGTTAAGCAAATTGGAGGACAGCGATTGAACCCCAACAACAAATAATATGTCATCATTCTGTGGTCACAGTATTTAAGATCATTCACGCACGAGTTCCCAAAGCAAACAGGTGATGCTTGAGCTGAGAAAAGCTTGACGTCCTGTGATTGTAAAATTTGACCATAGAAGGCCAGGCAGAGAACCTAAGCAAGCCAGCCAATGCAAAATGGTTTACAGATTAAGCTTTCAACACCGCCTTATGGATCATCGTCTCCTTGTGTATTTGGTGACAGCTCTTCTCAACAAGATCGAGGAGTTTCTCGAGGTTCGCCGCCCAGGAATTGAGTATACCATTACTGTCTTGTGCTGTGCGGAAGCATACAACACCCATTGGCCTGTCAATCTTCGCAATCAGCGACTTTGAGTTTACCATGTCCGAAAGGTGTTTCTCTGCCTCCTGAATGAGAAAAATGTGGGGCATGTTAGATCTTGGTAGGCTACAAAGTAACAAGAGGAATACAAGTGATGCTAGGAAGGCTGGGAACACAAACCTGCAAGCTCAAGCAAAGAAGATCTGCGAGCCTCTTCAGGGTAATCCTTGAATAGTACTTCGAAACAACCAAGATATTCTGAACAAAAGCAAAGAACTGGAAATCAACTGACAAATACAAAGCAAGGAACCAAAAGAGAAATACGATAAAGTCAAGTAAGCAATACATGTTCAATGATCCTCAATTTCAGATCCTCTGCAGCTTTGTCACCCAAAGCTCCTCCGAGAAAATTCTTCTCATTCGCATATTCATCTTTAAAGAATTCCCACAAGCTTGTCCACTGAATCACCTCCATGGTTACAAGTTGCTTCAGCAGTAACCTATTCCCATCCAAACAGCAAAAGTAGGAATTAGAAAGAACATTAAAAACCATGATAATTTGTAATCCTGAAAGCAACATAACGTACCGGAAATTTGGTATCTCGGAGAGATTTTTGTCTTCGAGTGTGGCATTGAGAAGGCTTGATTGCATCGGATCATGAGGCGCCAACACCAAATACCAACAGATCTTTCTAAGAACCTAAAGCGAATTCAGGCAGTCAGATAACCATTATAGCGTGAGTGAGTATGCGCACACACCACACCAAGTAAGACTTGCGAATGAGAGAGCTTTACCGGTATCCACTTTGATGGATCCTCTTTTATTGATGGAATTTCATAAATCGACTTGTAGCAACGGCAGATTTCCAGGTAATCATTGTTGTGCGAGTAATAGCTGAATAGAGACAAACAGAAATCATGTTTCACCACATATATAGAAAAAAATATATACTCTTAGCAGGTTATAAAATCAGTTAGCGAGAATTCAAACAGCACAAATACAGTATTCATAATTGTAGCATAAAAAAAGGTTGATGGATACAAATAAGGCATTCAAGCAGTAACCATAACATGATGATGGTAAACAATCGCAAACATATTTGACAGGTAACCGCAGAAGAGGAATTGATATTTCCTGAGTAAATAAAATACAAGCTACATAAACAATTGTCTAATAGCAGTAAGGGATATGACACCACATTAGTTCTTTTGTTTAATCAACCAAGCATTAGATTGACTTAGCAGAAAACTCTAAATAGTTAACTATCACTATGTATTAGATCATGAATCAAACAGTCGAAAGCAATTCTTTGCTGAACAAAATAGAACTCCCTCCATCCCAAAATATAGCTACCTTTATCTGTGAATCTGAACTTGTCCATATTCATAGCTAAAGGTAGCTATATTTTGCGACCTGAGGGGGTAGCATTAACTTCAACCAACATTACTAGAAGCGACATGAACTCATGATGAATTAGTCTCACTGAGCAGGAAGACATACCGAATCATCAGTTCATAGTAGATGCGCTTCAGTTCCAGGAGGGAAGGTATCTCTGCTGGGGCTTCCTGAACAATATTATCACCTTCTTTCGGTTTCTTTTTTTCCTTTGACGGGTCTGCATCAAATACCCTAGGACTGATTTTCCTGGATAAAATCTGTGCGCGTACATAATCTTGACGATCCAAGCACAGCCGGACCTGTGATCATGATTACAGTAAGATTCCAGAACCCAGGCTTTTGTAACAATTTCAAGCTTTATTACTGTATTTCTTCATACCTGCTCTAGAATGAATGCAATCTTTTCTGTCTTTGCCATGGAGCCAAATGTTTCAACCTGAGGATGAACTTGTTAGACATTATGTAGATGCGAAGACAACACTATGGTGGTTATAGTAGATGTAACTGTGTGCCATGATTATAGTGCAGCTTGAACTTACAGCAACTTCTTGCATTAAATCAGCAGCCTCATCAATCTGTCCCTGCTCCTCTTTGATTTTTGCAAGTCTTTTGATCAATCTTGCTCTCTCTATCTCCACATATATCTACAGTTGATGCATATCAGTGAGATTACACACATGAAAGGGCATTAAATCTTATAGGTAAGCAATATTTGAGTAGCCATGATTCTCACTTTTCCAGCAGATACACTGCTCAACGTCTTGATTAGCTCAATACGTGTGTCCATGTCTGGCGTTAAGTCAATGTACTCCATTGCTTTCTGAACCATGGCAGTGATAGCCTGTAAAAATAAAGAATTAGAAGAGTTGAGACATGCCACATGTGCATAACCAAGTTATAATGCAGCAGCAATAGTATTGCATACATAAACAGGCATGATTTATGAAATATTGTTCAACTTGTAAATAATAACTGGATATTTCAGGAAGACCTAAGTATGGGATATGGAGAGACAATGCTGAAATTTTGGGGGGAGAAAAATGCATGCAAATATTGTTTCGAAGTGAAATATACAATGCACTCGATTAGCACTCAACAAAACATTAGTTGAAACTCAACCTAAACACATAATGCTTTGCAAAGAAAAGAGTAATCTTACACAACACTATGGCATGCCTTCCCTACCACCAGTATCCCTTAGAAATAAGGGCATATATCCAATTACATCGAGCAAAATATGACTATTGTCTTTCAGTGAGCGTTGATAATTTGAATTGTGTAATCTATTTAAGATCACTAGAACTTAGAATAACTCTAAGTTCATACCAAGATTACAAAAATAAAATCAATGGCTGGTGATTCAGAGTGACAACATAATAGCAGGTGGGTATGCTATGTTAGCCTCAATTACATGTGCTCCTCGGAAACTTTGGGGTTTGCATGTGCCTCTAGTCAGTAGAGTATAACTTTGAAGATATCAGTTAGATAGCTAAATACAGCTAGTAATTCAACTAGAACTACTAAACGAAGTCCAAAGATAGGAGAGGACGAGAGCTTGACCTGCTTAAGCTGGCCCCTCCTCTTGGAGAGGACCACGATCTGATCGTTGAGCGTCTTCCAGGCGCCGGCCTTGTAGCAGAGCTCGACGATGTCGATGGCGGCCTTCCTCGTGCCGGCGACATCGCCGGCCAGCCTCATCTGCTTCTCCACGTTGAGGAGCGACTCTATCGCCGCATCGAGGTTGGTACTGTTACCCTCCTGCATCGGTCCACAAGAAACAGGGTCAGATTGCAAGGCATCAGATCAACCCGCAAGAGATCGAAACCCTAGATGAGAAGTGCGGGCCGCGGCGGGGCGGGCGGGAAGGCCAAAACCCCGGAGAGGCGGGCGGAGGGTCGGGGTGGGGGAGGGGAGGAGGGAGGTGAGCTCACCATGGCGAGGGAGGGACCGTGGGGAGGCGCCGGCGGCGGCGGCGGAGTCGAGGAGATCTAAGGCAAAGGCGGCGTGCGCTTTGCTTGCGGGAGAGGAAGAAGAGGAGAGAAGGGGAGTAGGGCTCTCGGGCTCTCTGTGGTGTGGTGGTGGCCGTTTTGCGGGGAAACCCTCGCGGCTTCTCTCAATTACGCGGCTTATAGCAGCCGGCCGCCCTACCTACACCGTACCGGCCTCCTTGCAAGTTGCAACGCACGAGTTCTATTAGGATTTGCATTTTCACATGATTATGTTATTATCCATCGTTTCAAGATCTCATAAAATTCTTTATCCCATTGGTTAGCACTCGTCTAACTTTATCCAAAATAACAATAATAATAATCTGATGCAGTATTTCTAATAGTGTCTTATATACTAAAACAAAGTTTTAAGATCACTGCTGGTTACATATATACACATCGTAAAAGCTAGTTTATGACCTGATATCATTGTTGTTAAATGTCAAGGTAAGTCGCTTTGTATTTTGTTGTGAAATATGTGGATGCATATATGTTAAATATTGTGGAAATGATAGATGGTATATGTTAAAATATTATGGTAAAGATATGGAAAATGATTATTTGTGTGCTTACATATTGAGTTCTAAAATATAATAAATTGCAGATGACGTGGCATGCTTGTATGAGATTTAAGATATATGATTACTATTGAATGATGGAGTGACATGTTTGCATGATGCGCTTTAAAATATAATGTGTTACAACTATGTAGAAGATAGATACTCTATTTCCACAAAAATTATCATCTGAAAAGAAAAAGACTAAAATAGGCCTGATTCTTATGACATGACATGCTTTGTATTGTGTCGATAACATGTACTTTTCCTCTCCATCTCCTATTTCATTTCATCTATCATATTGCATGCGTTGTATTTGTATTTGTCGACTACAATTGTGAAAAAAATGGTGGCATGATTAATTATTAACTCGAGAGTGGTAGCATGATGATATTACGATGGATAATATGACACAGTTATATTATATAAGAAGTTAGCATTCAAATTAGTTGTCTATAAGTTATTTTTCTATGTTGTGTATATATGATTTCATACATGGCGTTTTCGTTTGTTACATACTTCAAACCTATCGAAGCAATCGACCTCACTATTGCATATACATTTATATCAAATGAATTTTGCTATCGACCACGTGGGCTATGGTAAGGAATATGGGTGTTAAGACCCATATTACATTATTTTATTTCATCCTAATGTTTCGCGTATGGGCTATTGCAGCATGGGCCGCCCGAAGGCTTGGCCCATGTTGGGTCTACACCTTTGCCTCTTGTACTACCACATTTAGGCCTCATGGTTTTCTATGACTTTAGTTGTACTTGTGTTGTGTTGATCATGTCGCATGCATTTTTTCTTAGAAGCAACTACTCTATTGTAAAGTTAGAGGGGCGTGAGTCCCTAACATGTGGTGGCCCATCGTCATGGGCCCACATGTCAAAGGTACACATCGGTCCAACGTATGTTATGGGAGACTCGTCGCTTCTTCTCTCTTTCATCTCTCTAGTTTTTTTTTGTATATTTTGTGCCATGCAGTTGTTGATTAAACTTGTGAAGAAGAAGGGGTAGCGTGATTGATTGTTGATCTGAAAGTGGCAGCAAAATAATATTATGATGGATAATATGACACAATCTATAAGAAGTTAACACTTAAACCAATCATTTATGGAGTCATAGAAGATGTTTTTCTAAGGAGATGACAAAAGCGCACGTATACATGAGCACAATGCTGATGTACGATTTGATTTCATACCTTATCTTACATATCCTAGATCCATCGAATTTTATCGTTATGCATACATTTACCTCGAGAGTCATGGATAGGAGTGTGTGTGTTAAAGCCCATATCACTTTATATTTAATTTTGGAAATACTTAATATAATTTCGTTATAGTGTTTCATCCATGGGCCGCACAAAGGCTTGGCCTATATTGGGTCTACTCCTTACCTGCTACAGTTAGTTTGTCTTTGTACTATCTCATGGTTTATGTATTTGCTCATCGGTGGGACATCACCTAATAATCATATATCCACTAACGATTAATATCTAGGTTTTATTTTAGAGTGTGACTTACTTCTTCCGTCCGAAAAAGATAGTAGGTTTAAAAGCGTCTATACCATATCTGATAATGTCGATAGCATCAACTCATGTACAACCAAAATAATTTATCATGAGATACCTCTATTTTCAGTAACAACCAAATAATATACTCACCGTGGAGAACATAGAAATCGGGTGCTCACACAACCTCCATATTTGACTAGATATAGAAGGTGGAGCAAATCCATGAATTTTGTAATAGAGTAGGACTAGTTCATAATGTCGGGACACTAATGTTGTATTCGGTTAGGTTTTTTTTTAAGTCCTATCCCCAACCTATATAAGATGGGTACACATAGCAATAATAAGCATAACACCAAGGTGACCAATGATATGCTCAAAATCTTAATGGATGTTCTAAATTAGACTAATTTAAGTATCTTGACAAATTTTATCGTGTAGAGATAGAGGAGCTAGTAATTATTACTAGCAACCTGAAAAACTTAATTTGGCTCCTCCGTAAAAAGAAGGAAACGGCGAAAAAGCGGCTGCCTCTGCCGCCGTCACGCTGAACGCGCCTCACCGGCTCACCGCCGCGGCTGACCCAACCCAACCCAACCCAACCCGGGCTCGATTTCACTTGAAATTTGGACCCCACCCAAACCTGTCGTCGCGACTCATCTACTATCCATTCTATTCATCCCCATGGCGCCGCCGCCGCCGCCGCCGCCTGCCGCCGCCGCCTCCCCCACCCCAATGCTGCTCGCCCTCACGGGCCTCTCCACCTTCAGCGACAGGCTCGTCGAGTTCTTCAATCACTGGAACTCCTTCATCCGCTATGCCACCGCCATCTCCGACGACTTACCACCCCTTCCCGCCGCCGACCAACCGCCCAACCTCGCCGATGTCGCCGAGCCAGAATCCACTACCCCGCACAGCCCCGTCGCCGTCGATGAGCCAGAATCCTCTACCGCGCCCAACCCCGTCGCCGTCGCCGTCGCCGAGCCCAAGCCTGCACCCGTGCCCCAGCCCGAGGAGCCCAGGCCGAACCGCGGCGGCGACCCATCGGCGGAGCATATGGGCCGCATCTGCGAGCGCATGGGCTCGGGGGAGCTCCTCCGCTTCGTCATCTCCCGCATGGGGGACCTCTCCTGGCTGCTCCGCGCTGTCCCGCCCGCGCTCCGCCGCGCCCCCAACCCCGCGGAGCTCGTGCTCCGGGCTATCGGCCGCTACTACATCCGACCCGGGGGCAGGCACACCGAGGCCGCGTGCGAGCTCCTCCTGCTGTCCTACGTGCGCGCCGGCTGCCCCCTCCGCCCGGGCCAGGAGGCCGGGGACGACCACCTGCGGGCGGAAGCCCGCGAGGCGGCGCTCTCGTGGCGCAGCCGGCTTGTGCGGTCCAAAGGACGGGTTGCCGCTGCCGCCGCCAACGATGCCCGCGGCCTTCTTCTCCTCATGGCTGCCTTCGGCGTGCCCGTGGAGTTCCCGTCGCAGGAGATCTTCGAGCTGTTGCATGCTGCTGGCGGCCTGGCCTGCGCCGAGGTGCTCAAATGCTCCAAGCATTTCTTAGATAAGCTGCGTGGTGAGGGCCACTTACCACTGAATCACTGATAAACCCTTGTGACATTTCACCTATGCCTAATTATTCCAGTTCCTTGACTAACTGGCTGCAGCTGTTTTGTCTTGCAGATGTTGTTGCTCATATGCTGAATAGAGGAATTTATCATCAAACCGTTGCTACAATAATTGCATTTGAACTTCAGGATGCATTCCCGCTTTCTGCGATAGCGACTTGTGTCATTGAGAGAGTTGGGCGTACAAAGGATCAAGACAGTCAAGAACAGCACCATCTGCCAGGATCGGTACCTTTGTCGTTTATCACACTATCAGCTTATTATCATATATTCCTTCTGTTAATGCATATATTTAATTACTGTTATATGATGTGTTATTTTCAATACTCAACTCCTGCTATATGTACTTTGCACTACCAGTAACCTATTACAAGTGGTTTACATGATTTAATGTTTGACATGATATATTCTTTCCGTTAGTGCATATATTTGATTACCGTTATATGATGTGTTATATTCAGTACTCAACTCCTGCTATATAGTGTAGATTACACTTTGCACCACCTTTTTGTGTTTTTGTGTCACCTTGCGCCACCATTAAGGATTTGTATCACCCTGCACCACATTTTACTATCAATTTTTCAACCTGTGCCACATTTAACCAATAGGCGTTAACTTCCACCGATTAATGCATCCATCCAATTGATGTGCGCACCAATACCTTCAACAGGTCCTTTTTAGCGCCAACACCAGACAAATTGCACAATTAGATTTATATGACTGCTGAAATGTAACAAACTTCATGTCACCATACCTATAAGCAATAAACTAAAATGACTGTAGAGGTTCATATTGTAGCAAAGACTAAATAAACACCATGCCACCAAATTCCTCCAGTATTATGTGAGCCAATCCCTTTTGCATCTGTTGGCTGTTGCTGAAACACTGGTACTTCATCAATGTTAAACACATCCAAGTCAGCATTGACATCAAACAGGTCTTCCGCATCAGTGTCAGTGTGTCACTTATGGTCCTTGTCTATCCTACTGCTCATCTAAGCAATCTGCTTTAAGTTCTTTATTCTCCTCTTCCAAGATTGATAAGTCTTCATAGTTATCATCAAAAGATTGATGATCAGCTAGCGAAACCATAGGTTGCAACTAAACTAAATTCTCCAACCCATTCCAACCAACAAAAACAAAAAGTAAATTGGATGCCAACCATGTTTATGAACTAATCTCTTCCCATCAGAGAACATCTTCTTGAGAGTCGCTGTGTGATGGTGGTAGGATCTGAAGTGGGGTGCGGAATGCTGACTGCTCGCGCCGTTGCTTGGCAGCGGCACTGGGACCAGGGTCAGGGCATGGGTGCGGTACCCATCATGTGTTGTGGGGCACATCGGTGGGTTGTGCTGATTCAGCACTGATCGAACAATAGGAAGAAAAAAGTGGTGCAGAGTGATGCAATTCCTTAAAGGTGGTGCAATGTGAGTATGTGACAGTGTAAATTAATCTCTATGTTTCTATATAGTTTGTGTGTCTCTGTGTGTGTGTGTGTGTGTGTGTGTGTGTTTCCAGCCTCATCCCTAATGTTGTATAACCATTTCTGTGCAGAAAGAGAATGATGAAGAGAAGCTAGCTCTACTGAGATTACTATCCAAATACGTGGAGGATCCAAAACAATGTTCCACAGAGAATTTCAGCATTGCTGATAGGATTGCGATGCTGGAACAAAGCCTCGCAAAGCCACATCAAGCATTTACAGGAACAAAGCGCAAGAGGACAGCACAGGAGGACAGTGTAGAATGCACTCGAGGGCCTAAATGTTCATACACTCCAGCTGCTTCTAGTGCCTCACGTAACAAAAATCTTGAAGGATAGAAGCAGCATATCTGTTCAATTAACTCAGAGTTCGCCAAACTTTGTTGGGGATCCAGTTGAACCCTGTGGACAATAGAATTGCTCTACCTAGCAAGGTGTGAAAAGTATAACCATGTTTTCGTTTAATTTTCTTGTGGCAAGCTTAGCCAGACTTGCCTAGTAAGCACATTATCTTTCTACATGTTTGTTAAGGGATGCATTTTGGGGTTGGGGGTCTGAACCTAGGAAATGTGCATCATCCTTAGCATCATTTCAATAGTGGCCTCATTAAGAAAGCTCCGTTTACTTATTCCTATATTAGTGAGTCGTACAACGTTGTTGTTTATGTTTCTAACTATAATACTTATGATATATCATGGACTTACGTATTTAAAATCATTTTCATCAACATCCACTAGTATTTGGCCAGACTTGTTAGGCCTTATTAGTTGAGTAAGGGTCTTTTAAAATATCTTTTCCATTTGGAGAAGATATGGATGAGTTCTGGAATATAATCGAAACTTTGTATGAAGTGCATTTTCATTTCAATTGGCACAATTTTCTGTCAATTTTTAATCTGCACCACATTGAACCAAAAAACACTACTGTTTATTTGATATACCATAGTGGATTCCATTACTGGTTCATGGTAAAAAAAGAAAATAAACACGATGCCACCAAATCGTCCAATCTTTGAGCCAACCCTTTTTTCCATCTGTTGCTCAAAATTCAAGTCAGCAATGGCATCGAACAAGTCTTCACCATTGGTGTCACCCTCACAATGAAAGTCCTTACCTACCCTACTTTTCATCTCAGCAATCTGGTTCAAGTTCTTTTTTTCCCTCCTCGAAAGCATATTCTGCATCATCCTCATCAGAAGATTGATAATCACCTAGCTGCAAGGTATGATTCTCCTAATCCATGTCATTGTCATCATCATCTTACTAAGGGAAGCATGCTCTTGTTCATCTATAGTAACAATGGTCGATGATATTGTAGAATCAACAATATTTTTCCAGTGGAGATAAAATCCTATTGTCATCTATCACCATGTAAAACAAGACTGAAACATTACAATTCAACTACATATCTAAAAAGGAAAATTGTACTCCAAGCTGAAACCCCAGGTTGCAGCTATTCTTTTTTTTTTATCTCCAATCCATTCCAATCAACCAAAAAAAAGTAAATGGGATGCCGACCTCTAGGTTTTGAACCAATCTCTTCTCACCAGAGATATCCTCCTTAAGCGTTGTCTGGCAACGTCAGTATCTGAACTAGGGTGCCAAAAGCTGGCTGATTGTGCTGTCGCTTCGCAGCTCTCCTGGGAGGCTGGGACCAGGGGTCGGGACATGGGGTGTGTGCATCATGGGTCCTTCATATTCAGTGTAAATTGAACAATGGGAAACAAAAAATGGTCTAGAATGACACAATCCCTTAAAGGTGGTGCAATGTGAACACAAAGGCACACATAGGTGGTTCACAATGTAATTTGCTCTATATTTTTTTGTAGTTGTGTGTGTGCGCTCACGCGCATCTGTTTGTTTTGCTGTAATGTGCGTATGTGTTTTGTCGGCCACATCCCTAATGTCTATGTGCAATAATTTGTGTGCAGAAAGAGAATGACTAAGAGAAGTCGGCTCTATTGAGATAACTAATATGTGGAGGATCAGAAACAATGTTCCCTAGAGGTTTCTTGTTTCAGTATTCCTGATAGGGTTGCGCTGCTAGAACAATGCCTCGGAAAGCCACAGCAAGCCTTTATATGGGAACAAAGTGTAAGAGGACAGCACAGGAGGGCAGTTTAGGGTGCACTCGAGGGCCTAAATGTCCATTCACTCCAGCTGCTTGCAATGCATCACCTAACAGTAATCTTGAAGGAGCAAATTGCTCAACCTAGCAAGGTGTGAAAAATACTACCACATTTTCATTTAATTTCTTGTGGCAAGCTCGGTGAGACTTGCCTAGTAAGCTCACCATATTTCTACATGTTTGCTAAGTGATGCATTTTGGGTTGGGCTGTTGGGTTCTGAAAGACTGAAACTAGGAAATGCACATCATCGTTCCTTTTTTTTTTTTTGAAAAAAGAAAATTAGCATCAGTTTGAGTATTGGTCTCATTAAGAAGGTCAGTTTACTTGGCATATCAATGAGTTGTACAGCTTTGTTGTATCAATTTCTAACTATAGTACTTATGATAAACCATTGGTTTACATGTTCAAAAATCATTTTCATCAACATCTACTAGCGTTTGACTAGACTTGTTAGGCCTTATTAGTGGAGTTATGTTTACGGTCTTTTAAAGCACCTTTCCATTTGGAGAATCTATGGATGAGGATGAGTCATAATCCAAAATTACAAACTCTGTGAATTGTGAAGAGCATTTTTCATTTGGAGAATCATGCATGAGTTCTGGGATATAATTGAAACTTAATGCAAAGTGCATTTTTAATTTGGAGAACCTATGCAATGCATAAGTTCTGAAATATAACCCAAAGTTTATGCAAGGTACATTTTCCATTTGGAGAAGCTATGCCTGAGTTCCTGGATGTTATCCAAACTCTATACAAAGTGTTTTTTTTTTTTTCATTTTGGAGAGGGTATTCATGAGTTCTGGAATGAAATTCAGACTCTATGTCAAGTGCATTTTTTGTTTGGAGAAGCTATCTGTTTGTTCTGGAATATAATCCAAACTAAATAGATGCACATTTTTCATTTAGAGAATCTATGCATGAGTTCTGGAATATAACCCAAACTCAAAGCAAAGTGCATTTTCCATTTGGAGAAGCTCGCTCCGTTTGCTGCTCCGTTTGTCAAAACTTGCTTATCTTTCGATTTCAGAATTTACATTGATTTTGTTTGAAGAGTGCAATTCTCTACAAAACACATGATCTTTGAATGTTTTTTAAGAATTCATGTTCATGCATTTTAATTCTTTTTCAAGCACCCCCTATCTGCACACTGGTCTGGAAATCTGGTTCACAGTTCACACGTTTTTTGCATGAGGGCACAGGGAGAGAGTGGTAGTTGCAGGCTGCTTCCAAACTTCCACCTACCTCCACAGTGTTAGAGATCCCTTCCCATTTGCTGAGTAGGAAGCTTTCACTCTCTAGTAGTAGGTGTGTCCTTTACATTTGCTAGTCTCCACTTTCCGAGCTCGATCGATCGAGCATGGAAGCCACAACCTCCAGCTTGCTCGTGCGCCCCGTCGACACGCGGCTCTCCGCCGCCTCCCTCCCCATCGTCGTCCGCGCCCGCCGGCGCGTGGCCGTCGTCACGGCGGCGGCGCCGGAGCGGAAGCCGGCCGCGGCGGCGAGCAGCAGCAACTACGTGGTGGTGCCGCTGGACGCGGCGCCGTCGGGGATCACGCGGCCGCTGGTGGAAATCCTGCGCGACCTCAACAAGCGCGTCCCCGACACCGTCGTCCGTTCCTCCCGCCGCCGCGCGTCGCCCTCCGATCCGGTCATCCCCTGGTACGGAACAACCTATACATCCTTGGCCTTTGCTTGTGCTACTGGTAAAGCACTGCAGATCTTGCTGCCATACACATTTGCTTGCAACAAGGAGCACTCGCGATATTCAGGCTCATGTACAGCATCGACCAATGACGCTCAGATCCTCACATTTCTAGTGGCACACTCTCAAGAGTCAAGACACAAAAAGAAGTTTGTTCCTTGCTGATGTTTCACGGTTTCTTGTAGGTATCATGCCAACAGGATGCTAAGCTTTTATGCTCCAGGTAAGCATATCTCGTGTACTCTATACCTGAATCTAATACCGAGCTAACGGTGCTGAACATTAATTTGTAATCACAAAATCGATGCCAGTCACTGGTTCACCCCTTCTGTGCTTGCTCTTTTGAAAGCAACATGAGCAAATAAAGTTACATAAGTAGTATGTGTTGTATACATAACCTACATATGTACTAGCTTCCAGGATGCTGAATAAGTACCGTGTGTTGTACACATAAACTGCATATGCCGTTTTCAGGATGCTAAATAAGTAGTGTGTGTTGGTACACATAACCTGCATATGTAGCTTTCAGGATGCTGAATATGTAGTGTGTACTGTACACATAACCTTTATAGGCAGCTTAAAGGATGCTGTCATGATGAATAAGTGTATTTTGTACGCATAACTTGCAAATGCTGCTTCCAGGTGCTGAATAAGTAGTGTGTTTTGTACACATAACCTGCATATGCAGCTTCCGGGATGCTGAATTCTCTCTCATTTCAACTTATAATTGTTTCCTTCTGATGATTGTCAACATTTACTTGCTCTACCTGTCCTATGTCTGTTGAAATACTCCAACGACTACCAAATTTAACACCTTTAATCATTTCCAGTGGATGATAGTCACATTTCCTTGCTTGATCTATCCTTTATCTACTTGAAATGCACTGGTCATGCCAACTCTTCAGTCTTTTACACCGTTCTTGGATTTCCACTCATATTATCACTGTTTTTTTTGGAAACATCAGGCTGGTGTGGAGAGGTCCGTGATGTTATTTACACTGACAATGGGAAAGTGACAGTGATATATCGTGTCACAGTACGAGGAACAGATGGAGAGGTAAGTTTAAAGGTGTTGCCTCTTCTTGAAGTCTTGTGATTTTTTCTCTGGAAGCTTCACTTTCTCTATTGCCATTCTCACTTACATATACATGGGATGGGCCCTCTTCAATAGATGGGCTAGCACACAAGACACACACACATAACTAGTCTATTTACAGCCCAACACTCCCCCTCAAGATGGGTGATAGATATCTATCATACCCATCTTGTCACATGAACAATTACACTCTTTAACACCTAAGCCCTTTGTTAAACAATCAGCAACTTGTCCACCAGACGTTACAAATCCTAATTCCAACACTCCCTCGTCCAATTTTTCCTTGATAAAGAAACGATCTATCTCCACATGCTTTGTTCTATCATGTTGGACTGGATTATTAGCAATGTTAATAGCTGACTTATTATCACACAATAGCTTCATGGGAGTGTTCCCCAAAATTTTCAGCTCAACTAGAAGATTTCTTAACCACAACAACTCACTTAAACTCGCTGCCATTGCCCTGTATTCTGCTTCAGCAGTTGAGCGAGACACTACGGATTGTTTCTTGCTTCTCCAAGATACCAAGTTGCCACCAACATAAACACAATAGCCTGAAGTTGACCTTCTATCATCAAGACAGCTAGCCCAATCTGCATCACAATACCCTTCTATCTTAAGATGTCCATTTTTCTTGAACCATAAGCCTTTGCCTGGACTTCCCTTCAGATATCTCAAGATTCTATACACCGCCTCCATATGACTACTTCTTGGATCATGCATATATCGACTCACCATACTGACAGCATATGTTATGTCAGGTCGTGTATGACATAGATATATCAGTCTTCCCACCAATCTTTGGTATCTTTCCCTATTCACTGGATCTCCAGACTCCGCACATAACTTATGATTTTGATCAATTGGTGTAGAGACTGGGCAACATCCAAGCATACCTGTTTCACTAAGCAAGTCCAATACATATTTTCGCTGTGAAATAACTATCCCTCTAGGAGATCTTGCAATTTCAATACCCAGAAAATATCTCAACTGGCCTAGGTCCTTGACCTCAAATTCTTTGCTTAGATTCCGTTTCAACCTAGTTATCTCCAAGCAATCATTTCCAGTGATAATCATATCATCAACATAGACAGCAAGAATGGTTATATGATCTCCACTATGATGATAGAAAACTGTATGATCTCCATTACATTGCTTATAGTCCATAGCACACATTGCACGCCTAAACCGATCAAACCATGCTCTTGGTGACTGTTTAAGACCATACAAAGATTTCTTCAATCTCAACACCTTTCCTTTAGTTTGTGAAGTGGCAAATCCAGGTGGGACATCCATATACACCTCTTCTTGAAGATCTCTATGTAAGAATGCATTCTTGACATCTAACTGATGCAATGGCCAATCAAAATTAGCTGCACAAGATATAAGAGTTCTTACCGTGCTCATCTTTGCTACTGGTGCAAAAGTTTCATCATAATCAATTCCATATGTTTGACTATATCCCTTAGCCACCAACCTTGCTTTGTATCTTTCCACCTTTCCATCAGGATTTTGCTTTACTGTATAAACCCACTTACAGTTGACAATTTTCTTCCCTTTAGGAAATGGTACAAGATCCCATGTTTTGTTCTTTTCAAGAGCCTCTAGTTCATCTAGCATAGCTTGATGCCACCTTGGATCTTGCTTTGCTTCTCTCCAATCCTTTGGGATTTGCACTGAATCTAGTGATGCTATAAAGGCCTTATATGTGGATGACAAGGAGTCATAGGAAACATAGTTGGATATATTATTTTCATCATCACCCTCATCTTGAGCTTCAAAACCATACCTTAGTGGAGGTTTACCTGCATTGCTTCTCACACTCTTTCTAATGGCAATTGGTAAGTCAGATTCTTCTCTAACTTCCTCTTCTTCTCCCCCTGACTCCAAAGATCCTTGCTCACGGCTTACATCTTCCTCTACCTGATTATCCTCTTCAACTTGTTGGATTACTGGACACCTTGTTCTCCTTGTGTATACTTGAAGATTTTTCTCTTCATGTGGCTTCCTCCATTCTTGCTCCTGTGCAACAGGACCACCCATGGGACATGGAATTGAACCAACCACAAGCTTTTCCTTCTTTGGTTGTTCATCTCCCTTTGGACCCAATATTTCATCTTTCATTTGGTGACCATCATGACCACTAGTTGAATCATCAAGATCAATGAATAAAGAACTTAAATCTGTCTTCTCACCATAGAATGGGACAGATTCTCTAAAAGTAACATCCATACTTACAAAGGTTCGTCGTTCTGATGGACTCCAACACTTATACCCCTTCTGGCCAGATGAATAGCCTACAAAGATGCATTTGACAGCCCGAGGATCAAGTTTTCCAATGGAAGGTCTATGATCTCTAACAAAACAAGTGCAACCAAACACTTTTGGTGGAACAACAAATTCATTCTTTCCAAATATCATCTCACATGGTGTCTTCATTCCAAGTATTCTTGATGGTGTGCGGTTGATAAGATAAGTTGCTGTCATTACTGCCTCACTCCACAAGAATTTAGGTACATTCATAGCATACATCAATGAGCGGGCTGTCTCTAAGAGATGACGGTTTTTCCTCTCAGCCACCCCATTTTGTGGAGGAGTATCAGGACAAGAAGTTTGATGCAATATTCCTTCTGATGAAAGAAAGCTACTAAATTCATTGTTTATATACTCCCCTCCATTATCAGTTCTAATAAACTGGACCCGAGCATTAAAATGATTTTTAATGTATGCATAGAAATTTAGAAAACATTTAAGCACCTCATCCTTATGTCTCATAAGATATAACCATGTCATGCGAGAGTAGCAATCAATAAAGGTAACAAAATACTTCATTCCACTCATAGAGACCACAGGTGAAGTCCAAACATCTGAGTGAATTAGCATAAATGGTAACATACTTCGGAGTCCTCTACTCACATATGATGTTCTTGTATGTTTTCCATACTCACATGCATCACATACTAACTTATGTTTATCCACTCTACTTAGTTCTGCTGGGAACATCTTACTCATAGTTTCAAAAGATATGTGCCCCAGTCGACAATGCAAAAGTAATACCTTAGCCTCTTCTTCACTTGTAGGAGCCATCAATGCAAGACATACATCTTCACTTGTCTCCTTTCGATCCAAATACCAAAGTCCATCACGCCTGACGCCAATCCCAAGTTTCTTCCCTGTTTCCCTCTCCTGAATTAAACAATTCTCACGATCAAGGGAGACCCGACAATTCATATGATCAACAAGAGAACTTATCGAAACCAAATTCACTGGAAAAGAAGGGACATATAACACTGATGATAAAGTGATTGAAGGAGTACACTGTACTGTACCCTCTCCCTTAACTGGGCATGATGTCCCATCAGCAGTTTGAATTGTTTCTTTTCGTGTAAATGGGTATGGTTTATATGATGCAAATTCTCCACACATACCCGTGACATGTCTAGATGCACCCGAGTCAAGTATCCAATTTGAATGAGAACTATTGATAGACATAAATGCTTGGTTTGAGTTACCTGAGGAAGAATGAACAAGATTGGCAACATCAACATTTGTAGATCCAGAACAACTCTCTTCAAGCGTGACCACATTAGCTCTGTGATCACTTCTATACTCATAGCCTCTACCTCTGTTACCTCTACCTGCATAACCTCTTCCACCTCTTGCTCCACCCCTATCACCAAATCTTCCTCTCCCATAACTAGGCTTGCGAGGAGCGCGATAATCACGTATAAGGTGCCCCATTTCACCACAATTGAAGCACTCCCTGGTCTCTTTACTTTGTGCAACTACATAGGTGGGGCTTGGTGAAGATGGTGTGGCACTAGGCAATACTTTCTTCTTAAGCTCCTCCTGTGCCATAGCTGCAATAGCCTCATCCAAGCTAGGAAGGGTGGTTTGATGAAACATTGCATCCCTTCTTCCTTCAAACTCCGAATTTAAGCCCTTCAAGAACTCAATGACCCTTCTACGCTCAATCCATTTTCTCATTTTTGCTATACAATCAGGGTGCTCTAACCCAAGAGGATCATAATGATCCAAATCAGACCACAAATGCTTCAATTCAGCAACATATTCTGCAACAGAACGCTCCCCCTGTCTCAAAACACTTATCTTCTCTTGTGCCTCCACCATTAACATCACATTTCCTTCTCCTGAGTAGAGATTAGTAAGAGTTTTCCACATCTCACTTGCACTAGAAATGGTCTCAACAGTTGTAGCAATAGCAGGGATAAGTGAGGTTAATAACCATGCTACTACTAACGAGTTGGTAGTACTCCAAGTCTTCCATTCAACACTTGATATGTTCTCAGGCTCCTTTATCTCTCCGGTAACATATCCTTCTAACCCCTTTGTCTTCAAAATCAATAAAGCTCTTCTTGACCAACTCAAATAATTTTTTACACCCTCCAACTTAATGTCATTTTGCATCAACTCAATTTTTTGCACCGATTCAGTATGAGGAACCACTGCACTACTCGTAGTTGGAGCCTCATTAAACTTCTTTGCAAGCATCTCTACCAATTTACCCATTACTTGTTCCAGTCCCTGATTTTCCCCCATTTTAATCAAGCAATACTTGCAGTAGAAAGTTCCTTATTCTCACCTTCTATAAGTTGTAGCTACTCCAACCAGCAGCAGCTACACAGGCACCAAATCCTCCCTTTTCCTTTCAACAGCAACAGCACAAGCACCTCACCTCCTCTCTGTCTCCTCCCTTTTTTTGTTTTTTCCTTTCAACAGCACAAGCACCACCGTCGCACAGCTCTTCTCTGTCTCCTCTCACAGCACAAGTACCAAATCCAAGCAGCAGCAACAGCACAAGCACACTTACTCACTCCTTCCTTCACAAGCACAAGCACACCTAGCACTGCAACCCTGCTCCCTCCTTCACACCGGCCGCACTGCAGCAGCCGTCGCCGTCTCCGGCGTCGACGTGGCCTCTCCGCCTCAACCGTCGACGCCGCCGCTCCGCCTCAGCAGTCGACGGGTGCAGCACTCTTCCGCTCACAGCGCCGCCGCCACACGTCCTCCCCAACACCAGCGTCTCCCTCCTCGACGAGCTCCGGCGAGGCTAGGGTTTAGCCATCGCCAGTCACTAGCCGGTTGGCTCTGATACCATGAAGTCTTGTGATTTTTTCTCTGGAAGCTTCACTTTCTCTATTGCCATTCTCACTTACATATACATGGGATGGGCCCTCTTCAATAGATGGGCCAGCACACAAGACACACACACATAACTAGTCTATTTACAGCCCAACACTTCTTATTACAGGATAATCATCATATGAATAGAGTTGTACGCACACACCTATGCACACCAACACACACCACAATCACCACCATCTTGCTGCATTTGTCCTCGAGCTCGCTTGCTGCCGGTGCCCTCTAGGCTCCAGCTTGAGCTCAGCTGCTGCTGTGACCTCAAGCTCTCCCGCTTCCTGCCTTCTCCCAAGCGGGTAGTGCCACAGGTCTGCAATAGAGCTGGCCGCCGATCTCTAGCACATGGAAGAAGGGGAGGGGAGGGGGCAGAAAGAAAGGTAGAAGGGGGTAATGTGTGGTAGAGATTTATTTCGCGAACGCTTTTTTTTTTCGCGAACGCGGTAGAGATTTAACTGTGGTTTAACAGAATGCTATATGAGAACTGTGATAACTTTCAGTGCTATATCAAAGTGAACCATAATCTTCGGGTGCTATAAAACTAAAATGATGGCACCGAACCAAGTTTGCCTTTGTTTGTTTGTTTTATGTGAATTGTTTCTATGGATGCAGGTTCATAGGGAGGCAGCTGGAACAACATCACTGAATGATGCACGATTTGATGATCCCGTGGCTGCTGCAGAAGAGGCCGCATTCTGCAAGGCCTGCGCAAGGTTTGGCTTTGGTCTGTATCTTTACCACGAAGACGAGACTCCGTAGGGAAGTGGCGCAGCATCCACTTCATAAGTTCTGCGTTGGTTCTCGCCTGATTTGGTTCAAAAGGCTGTGGTTGATCCATCTCTCTGTTTATCAAGGTTTTCAGTCTGTATCAGGAGTTGAAGTATCATTCATACTGGAATTCTCTTTATCTTCTGAACCTCTTTTCTTGTAGATACGAGTCAATGAGGCCCCGTCTGCCACTTCTTTCCTTTTTGGCACTGTTATAAAGAGCAAATACACGAGTACTCCTACGGTTCTGGTTCCATAATTTTTGATGTTTTGAACAACAACACGTGTTTAGACGTGAGGCATGGTAATAGTTTAAGACTAATCTATACATTGTGTTCTAATATCTTTAAACTATATAGTTATTAATAGTTAAAGTTTTTATTGTCTGATCTAAACTTTTTCAAAACGTCAAGAGTTATGAAGCCGGAGGGAGTAATGTGCAATAGATTAAGGCTACATAAAATCCATGAACCACAGTTAAGTTCCTTGGCGCTTGATATAGATTTAATGGATGTTCAGTGTGTTGCTACAATCAATTTCGAGGCACTTACATGTTACTCCATCTGTTTCACAATGTAAGTCATTCTAGCATTTTCCATATTCATATTAATGTTAATGAATCTATCTAGATTTATTAACATCAATATGAATGTAGAAAATGCTAGAATGACTTACATTATGAAACGGAGGAAGTACTAAATTTTGATAGTGTTAGATGTGTTTGGTTACCAAACTTTAGAGCTTATAAGAGAAGAAACTTTCAAAAATACCAAAATTTGAAAGAGCGATCATGGCAAGAGAATGCTTAATTTGTTGTTCTACCAAAATCGGATAAAAAATGGACAAAGTCTTGCACAAGTTGAACAATCCTTAACGCCTTAGGCTCCGTTTGAAATAGATTGCTGAGAGGATTGTTGCTACGGATTATCTATTTAATTATATAAATATAAATTAAATTAAATGTTTTAATAAATAAACCTAAGATGTGCAAGCAATATGGTTGAAGAGATTCTTTTAAGAAAAAAATAATTTTAATCATGAAGCAAATAAGCCGTTTAAACAAGTAGTAGTATGGGCATGTTTTGATCAATTTGTTGTGGCAAAAGTTTTGGCATTGAAAATTTGCTAGTTGGTGTTTAGATGCATGGTAAAGTTTTATCATTTTATTAGTAAAGTGAGAGAGAGCACGGCTCCCAACGCACTTTTTTGGTAAAATTTGCTACTCTATATTTCTAAATAACAAATGCCAAATTGACAACTTTTACTATTTGTTATTTTGGAGGAACTAATGTAAGATTTTTAATTGTGGCGTTACAAATGTCTGTGACTTGTGAAAGCATTTGATAATCACGTTGTAAACACGGATCATCGGGAATCACAAGCTTAAACCAGAGCTGCAACTCCAACGAAATTCATGAGTGAACGGAGCACGGACACAAGAATTTCTTGGCCCTGTGCCGTGCGCCCGCGTGCACCCGTGCAGGCAGCAGCATACTCCTACAGTATATACAGAGGCAGAGGCAAGCGAGAGGCGAGCGAGCGTGCGGCGCGGCGCGAGTGCGCGACGCGACTATTGGCAGACCAGGGTCTGTGTCCACCCCTGGTCGGTACACGCGCCGCTTCTCCCCTCCTCTCTTCCTTCCTCGACCCGCCCGCCCGCCTGCTCGCTCGCCGGCCATGGGCGATCCCCCGGCGCTGAAGAGGCCCAAGCTCGAGAAGGACGACTACGAATCCGCCTACTGGCCCCGCCCCGCCGCCTCCAATGCCTCCTCCGCATCCAAACCCCCCCAATCCTCTTCCTCCGCCACCGCCACCGCCGCCACGCAGGAGGATGAGGAGGATGACATCGCGGAGGAGGCGGTCCTCGCCCTCATCGCCCACCGCGAGCGGGACGTCGAGCGCTGCAAGCTCAAGCTCTCGCACTACCAGTCCCTGGTACTCCCCCCCCCCCCTTTCCCCTGCTATTTTGTCTGATAAATGTTGCGATCTTGATCGATTCTCATGGTTCCCGGTACGCCGCCGTAGCTGGACACCGCGGAGAAGAAGCTCGCCGAGGCGCAAGATCGGCTCGCCCGGTATCGAGATCGCAAGCCGCCTCCGCCGCCGACCCATAGGGACCCCAAGCCGTCGCTGCCACCGACGACGACCCAGAGGGACCCCAAGCCATCTCCTCCACAGCACAAGGCGCCGGAGCGGCCGCAGCTTGTCATCCCGGGGGCAAACAACCGGCCACCCCCGCGCCCAGAGCCCATGCCTGGGTTGAAGAAGACCGCCGCTCCATCATCCTCCTCCGCATCCGTGCCGCCGGAGCGGCCCAGGGCACTGGAGAAGAAGCCCAAGCTTAAGATCGGTACTTTCTTTTGATTTTCCTCTTTAGGAGAACCACTACCATGATGAAATTATTTCCTCAGATGTGCTCATACATCAGGCTGCGTTTTTCTCTTTACAGAACAGAAGGAGCATCAGAACTTGATTCAGAGCGTGAAGAAATCATCTGCAACGGTGCTTAGGTTCTATGGCGGTACCGTAATCTGTAGCCAACACAAGAGGAAGCTTAGGTGTCTTGAGCTATGCCCTGTCAATGATCAGCTTGTTGCTACTAGGTATGTTTCATGGGCTGTTTAATGTATGCCATCAATGCAACTGATTACGGATTAGAGGTTAGCGATGCCAAGTTCTCCGCAAAATAATGATATTCCATAACAATTCAGTCAAATTTCTTGTTAATTTGGAAAGAACGACGGATGGAACATGCACAGAGAACCAATATCTGTTGTGGTTGTCTGGTTGGCTTCCGCATTGTTCATCCTATCAGTTTTATCACCCGGAAGTCCAGAATTTTAAAATTTGACAGCCGTACACGCACTTGTTGAATTGTTATTATTTTCAATACAGAGCAATCTTCTATTGGGTCATAACTTCTTGCTTGCGTTCCTGCATGAGTGAATCTAAAATTGGACTCTTGCATTGATGCAATCTTATATTTAGCTGATCTTCCATTTTCCATCAGTTTTGAATGAAATCTCTAGCTGACCTTTCATGTTCCATCAGTTTCCAGTTGTGTTTCATGCTCCATCAACTGTTTCTATCTATTTATTTCTTCTTTTCGAACATACAAGTATGAAGCATTTTCCGTGCACAGTCATGTTTTGTACATATGTCTTTGGTTGGGTGTTTGCCAACAACCAAAGAATTGGTTGTTGACGTTACATCCTAATGAACTAACAAGCTATCAAAGTTACAGTCTGTTTGAGGTTGGTAAGTCCAAACAACTAACAGTACCGATCTTTTAAAAGGATAGCTACACAACTATCTGGATAGTATGAACATGGAATGGAATTGTTTCAGTGCAGGATGCCAGCAATGATGTGTTTGTAGATTAGGAGTTCCGAGTGATATACTATCTGTTTAGACGGATATGCTTAGCTAAATGGTGGCCTTTTTTTGTGTGTGTGTTGATCTCCAGTCACCTATGAACTGTGGTAGATTTAATTTAATCGCCATAGCTTGTTTCCTTACCTTTTCTCTTTTAAGAACTTTAATCTTACACATTCTTGTGATGCAGTGCATTGGATGGAATTGTTACTCTGTGGCAAGTGCAGCCAAAAGGGTAGGCCTCATATTACTCATTTCTTATCATACTGTAGTTTAAGTTGCTATTGACTGACTTTGCTGCGAATAGGAGCTCTAGGCAATGTTTTTACTCCATGGTTATTTTGGCATGAGGCCTGAAAGTTCATTCATGTGATTGGCATCGGAAATGTGGATTTAATCTTTGTTTATGAAGCACATATTGTGAAAGCATACTTAAAACCCACCTTAGCACTTATGTATTCCTTTTTTGCATTGCCTCATGAAGCATATATTGTGAAATCATATTTAAAAACCCACCTTAGCACTTACATATTTTTGTTACCTCACACAAAAGCCAAGTTAATTGGTAAATCCTCTCACTTTTCCTTTTTTTTTTTTTTTGCATTGCCTTGCCTGATGCAACTTCACAATGCTGAGATGTTAAACACAGCAACTTAAGCAACATAAGAAAAACTCTCTGGTTCGATGGAAAACCTGTAATTGCAACACAGTAAGTGGCTGTAAAAGAATATGCCAACACTTCTACCAAGTGACATTTTTAACACTGATATGACCAAATCCCCCAAACAGTTGGCTTATGAATTTAAGCAAATTATAATACCTAACTTAAACATGGTGTGGCGTATGGACATTGAAGTCATGACTTCATACACTACTGTTGGCACTAAATGACTTCTTGCTTCCTGAATCTCATTGGACATGTAGCAAAAAAAAACTCTTATGTGGAGATATAAAACTAGAAATTGATGTAGAAACTATAGTGATAATCCTACCATAACCACATTTTTTTGTCCATTTGGTTTTAAGCATGATTTTACAATCACATATATTTTACTTGCAGACCCGTCATCTCCTTGCTCAGCACAACAGATTGCTTTTCTCCTAAGCATAGGTGGCCTGAAGATGTAGCTTGGCATCCACATGGTGAATTAATTTTTGCTGTGTACAGTGCTGATAACGGCGACTCTCAAGTTTCAGTGATGAATCGCAACTTATCAGGACAAGTAAGAACTCCGCTAGAAGTAGCTCACTTCTTCACATCCCATTGCAAGGTTTTCTCCATGCGACGAGAAAAGTCATTAGTTGTTATAATCCAACTAAATTGGTTCCACCGACAGTATAGTTGCATGAAGTACTATCAGTTTAGCTTAACTTGAATGTGCAAACTGATAAAAAAAATATAATGACACCTGAATGATTTTCCTGGTGGCATTCTATCTGCAAATTTGATTCTGAACGTCTAATCATCTTAAACCAGGTTATCACACGATAGGAACTAGAGAGGTAGTCTTTTAAGTTATTCATGTAATCATGCTCAGAGCTTCACCTCTTAACATGCAACTTATTGCCAGCTAAATTTGTACTGTTTTTGGTGCTTGATCCTATCATGATTGGCTGCTGATACTTTCTTCATTGTATTAACAGTAGCATCACATTAAATCTTTCTAAATGATCACACAAAAGTCATAAATCATTTGACTATCTTGTGCTATTTCCCCCGGGCAAGGATGCATCAAGGGCTACTGTAATGTGTTCATGTCAATTTGAAATACTGAGGAATCCATCATAATTGTTTTTAGGGTACCTTTTTCTTAAGAGTAACACATGACTGTGTGTATTGGATCATTACTAAAAGGTGTTTCTTTAACTAATCCCCTGAAACAGAAGAAAGTTAGTTTTCTACCAGTGAAGCCTCATACCAAGGGAATTATTAACAACATAAATTTCATGCCATGGTCTGATGTATGCTTTGTGACTGGTGGAAGTGACCATGCTGTCATACTTTGGCAAGAAAAAGATGATTCATGGAACCACAAGAAAGTGCACAAGGATTTGCATTCTTCTGCTGTCATGGGTGTTGCTGGATTACAGCAGAAAAGTACAATATTATCAGTTGGCAGTGACAAGAGGATTATATCATTTGATCTGGCAGCTGGAAGGACAGAGTCCAAGAACCTAATTGATTACAAATGCATGAGTGTATTACCAAATCCATGTGATTTCAACTTGTACATGGTGCAAACAGCGTAAGTAAAAACTCAAATGCTATTTCTGTGTTACTGGTTGGTTGGGTTTCGTTTTACATATCAGCGGAAGTAAAAATGCTGATAAACTAGCATGTGATAGTCCTAGCATTCCAGTTAGAGCTCAAGCTCCTGTTTTAGTCAAATCTATCAACTGAAATCATGTAATTATCATGTTCTTATGTCGAGTCATTTCCTGTATGTCCTTTTGATGCTTGTGCTGCATTTCTGAAACCTTGTATGTGCGTTTCTTTCTTGTTTCCCTTACAGGGCACCAGGCAGGCAGCTTCGGTTGTTTGACGTTAGGCTTAGGCAGACTGAAGTTCATACACTCGGTTGGAAACAAGAGAGCAGCGAGTCTCAGTCAGCTCTTATAAACCAGTCATGGTCTCCTGATGGTTGGTACTTATCATCTGGCTCTGCGGACCCTATGATCCACATCTTTGACATCAGGCACAATGGGCAGAATCCCTGCCAGTCAGTTCAAGCGCACCAGAAGCGAGTTTTTAAGGCCCTTTGGCACCGAACGGCCCCAGTTCTGACCTCTATATCATCGGACCTTAACATTGGAATCCACAAATATTCATGAGAGAACTATCTTTCCGGTGCCATTTTTGATGCAATGGAGAGGCAAACCTTTTTGTAGGGAAGTAGAACTCTCAGAGAATCAAGTCATAGGAATTTTGTTTGTTCACATATTGCGCATCAGTAGAGTTCCAAATGGAGAGACTTAGCCTACTAGCCGCTTGGCTTCCAACATTGCTTCTTTTACTTGCAACATGTGCAATTTTTGAGCTACTGTGCATGCTTAGCCATGAGCTTTCCAATCAGCCATTGTTGCCTTGTTGGAGTGATACTCCGAGGAGTCCCCATCTGAATGTTTTGCTCCTGTTATTACTTGTGCAAACTAGATGGGGGAATCCCATCCCATATATGTTGAAAGAAAGCTACTGTTTCATGATGTCTGTGTTGGCTGTAAGTTGGAAATGATGATATCAAGTGAAAGGAACCAAACTGTTCTGTGGTCTGAATATCTTTGTGTGTACTGACTTGTCCAAAGCTTGGCAGTTGGCACTTGCCCACTTGCCCAACTACGTTGGCAAAGTCTAGTAGTTCCTATGTGATGTGCTGACTAGGCTGACACGTCGTCCGTTGTTTAGTTTGATGTGGCACATCATATGCCTCTTGACATTCATTTTCTTTCAGTCAGTCGCCAAATGCTACCTTACAGATATACAGTACTGGGCATCCAAGTATGACATGTTGGCTGAAGATGTAGAAAATATTTTGAGTTAATTTTCACAAAGAAAACACACCCATTGAAAGCTCTTTCAAATTGACTGAATTTAAGTGAAATCACAATAATCTGATTTGGGACATGCAAGATGTACTTGTCACTGGACAGAAACCAAATCTTGTCGCATTAGCAACCAATGCATTTGTAAGAGAAGCAATTCCATCCACACATTTGTTATCGACATCCCTATCTGACACCTATCTCTCCTGGATTCTCCATGCTTTCTTTCGACCTTGCATGGCATGCAAGCATGGCACCTCTCTCCCCCACCAATCTACTAACAAAGTTGCTCTCAAGATACTATGCACCACACCCTACGGAATGAATGAAAATTCTAGAACAACTTAACCATCAACTACCTACTGTCTTACACATAATCACTATCAACTAAACACTTAAATACATCTCATCAATGCAATACTTAGACTGATTTTTGCCGGGTCAATACTTGGGACTGATTAACAAGATAACTGAAACTATGTATTTATGCAACAACATTTTTTTCTTTAAAAGAAAAACTAGAGCAATACTGTATTTGCCACTGCTGTTTGTAGTCACAAGAAACACTAATTTGCAGGAGAGAGTAATCGATGTGTACAAATTGCAGTCACCCAATTAAGTTAAGCGTTTGATCGATGTGCGGTGTCTGTGTCCCTGGCTATATAAACCGGCAGGCGAAAAATACACCGGGAAACCAAGCCTCTGGTTGGTCGCACTCACTCACTCGCATCCTCTCCTCTCAAATACTCCTCCACCTTATCATCATCACCACCACTAACAACAACGCCACTGCCTGAACCAAGAACACTGCCCTCCTCCACACGACATGGCTTCTCAAGGTCAAAAGAACTGATTTGCTGTTTATTTCTTCAATTCTTTCTTTCTTGTTTGATTTGCTCCGGCTCAATTCTTTCTGATACTGATAAGAGACGACATGAGTAATTGTGTGCGCAGAAGAGAAGACGAGCGTCAAGTCGGAGGAGGCCTCGTCGGCGGCGGAGGAGCAGCCACCTCAAGCTGCAGCTCCGCCGCCGCGCAGGGGTGTGCCGCCGGCCAACCCCTTCGACTTCTCAACCATGATGAACTTGCTCAATGTAAGCTTACCTCGCTGCCGACTTATTTCACTAATTGCCTACTCGTTTCAGCGTAATTTCCTCAACTATATTTTGGGTATAATCTCCTCTTGAACCTAAGTTATCCGATAATTAATTAATTAGCAGCTACCTGTTCAAGATTGAGTTAATTAAGCAACTCACTATATAACCAACCAGGTGTTGTTGCTTATTAGCTGAGATGGAAGCTGGATTGATTAATTATACAGTTCATGCAATTACTAGTAATAATTAGTGAGTCCATTGATGAAATGATGAGCAGAAAAAATAATTAGATATGAATAATCTGCATGGTAATTTGTTTGTTTGGAGCAGGATCCGAGCATAAAGGAGATGGCGGAGCAGATCGCCAAGGACCCGGCGTTCACGGAGATGGCGGAGCAGCTGCAGAAGACGGTGCAGTCGCCGCCGGCGCGGGGGGCGGCGCAGGAGGCTGCGGCGGCGGCGGCGCCGGCGCTGGACCCGAGCAAGTACGTGTCGACGATGCAGCAGCTGATGCAGAACCCGCAGTTCGTGGCGATGGCGGAGCGGCTGGGCAGCGCGCTGATGCAGGACCCGGCCATGTCGTCCATGCTTGGCGGCCTCACCAACCCCGCCCACAAGGAGCAGCTCGAGGCCCGCATCGCCCGCATGAAGGACGACCCCTCCCTCAAGCCCATCCTCGACGAGATCGAGAACGGCGGCCCCGCCGCCATGATGAAGTAAGCATAGTTGCAATTGGCGCCATGGCTGGTTGAGTTCATCGTCGTCGTCGTCGTCGATCTCGAAAGCAAATGAGCAATGGCAATACTTGTTGCTTCCTTCAGGTATTGGAACGACCCTGAAGCGCTGCAGAAGTTCGGGAGGGCGATGGGCGTCGGCCCGTCGGGCGAGGGCGCGGCGGCGGCCGGCGGCGAGCACGAGGAGGCGGAGGAAGAGGGCGGGGAGGAGGGCGAGTACGAGGACGAGTCCGTCATCCACCACACTGCCAGCGTCGGCGATGTCGAGGTCTCTAAATCAATTCTCACTTCTATTACTGCCTACTCTCTCCTTTTCAAGACAAGATGGTCAAAATCAAACCATTTTAAATTTAACTAAATTATAGACAAATATAGTAATATTTATAATACTAAATTAGTTTTTTTCTTGATTATTTATAGAGTAATATTTACAATACAAAATCAATAATTGAATATATTCTCATAATAAATTTGTTTAGGATTGAAAATGTTATTATTTTTTTCTATAAACTTGTTTAAATCTAAAGCTGTTTCACTTTGATTAAATTTAAAACGTTTTATAATCTGAAATCAGAGGGAGTACTAATTATGCGCATTTGCTCAAGTAAAATCTGCATCTTTTCCTTCATCTTCAACACGCATTGGCATCGTTCAGGGCCTGAAGAAAGCATTGGAGGAAGGCGTGGACAAGGACGAGGAGGATTCGGAAGGGAGGAGAGGCCTGCATTTCGCTTGCGGCTATGGCGAGGTAAGCATCATGCATGCAGTTCTCAGTGAACATCTTGTTCAGTTATCTGATCGATTCGTTGCTTGTGTTTGCGCAGCTGAAATGCGCGCAGGTTCTCCTGGAGGCCGGCGCGGCCGTGGACGCGGTGGACAAGAACAAGAACACGGCGCTGCACTACGCCGCCGGCTACGGCCGCAAGGACTGCGTCGCCCTCCTGCTCGACCACGGCGCCGCCGTGTAAGTCCATCGCATCTGCAATTCTGCATGCATATGCCCATGCCATCCATCAATGGACATCTGACTGAAACTAACCCGGTTTGGTTATGCAATGTGCAGGACGGTGCAGAACCTGGACGGGAAGACGGCCATCGACGTGGCGAAACTCAACAACCAGGAGGAAGTCCTCAAGCTGCTCGAGAAGCACGCCTTCGTATAGAATGAAACAATCGAGGCCAGGCCAGGCCAGGCCAGCCACACTCCTCTCTCTCAATTCAGAGACAAATGCTGCATTTCTGCTCTGCATATGCTCCTGTTCATCCGCAAATGAGTACCTGTATGCTTCTGTATGTATCGAAGAGTGCACTAGATTATTTTTTATTTCACTTGGGAGCAAGGTTAAGGTGAGATTGGATTGCTATTCTATTCATCCTTCCAGAGTTTTGTTTAATGAATAAGGAAGAAAAGTAAATTTCATTTCAGTGTTTAACTGTTTATGTCTGAATTTGACATCTCTCATTGGATTTGGATCCGTCAAAATGTTGGACTTTTAGGCCTTGTTTAGATGCCTTGGTAACTGTCACATCGAATATTTGGACATATATATATATATGTAGTATTAAATATAAACGAAAAAAATAACTAATTATATAGATTACGTGTAAATTACGAGACGAATCTTTTAAGCATAATTGTTCCATGATCTGGCAATATGGTGCTACAGTAAACATTTGCTAATGGCGGATTAATTAGGCTTAATAAATTCGTGTCGCAATTTACATGCGGATTCTGTAATTAGTTTTGTTATTAATCTATATTTAATACTTCAAACGTGTCTCCGTATATCCGATGTGACACGTCAAAACTTTACACCTCTGAATCTAAACACAGCCTTAATTCCAAAAAACAGATTCAAATTGAGTAGGGATGCTTCCAACTGAAATAGTATAGCTATCCTATTTGGGGATTGAGATCCTATGACGTTACTGTTCACCGTAACTGACATATGGGTCCTACTACTTTCGGGCTCACATGGTCCTACTATTTTCGGGCTCACATGTTAGCCACCAAGTCAGAGGGAAGTTACGTCGGAGGATCTCAATCCCTTATTCGGGGGCGTTTTTAATTGTATCCTTCAACTCTACTACTCTACGGCCATTACCGGGATGCCGTCGACACGCCACCGCCAATACCATCGCCGGCTTCCATGGCGATGGCGGTGGGGGTAGCGCGGCTGGCTCCGGGTGCGTGGAGGCGCTGTTCCCTGTGATCCCCCAGTTGTTTTGGGGGGGCGCGCCTCTTCACGGATCCAGCGGTGCATGGTGTGATTGTGGGAAGGCTGGCCGCGTCGGGCATGCACGCAGGTTGTTCGACGGAATGAGTGGCGTGATTGCAATTTGCAGTTTGTCCCTTTTGACATATGAACTCTTCTCCATGATTTCATTGATAAAAGAATTTGATCTTGCGAGTATTTAAAAATCTTCTTGCGTACGAGATGGCATCTTCTCCGTTGGCTCTGATTTTTAAAAGGTTCCATCTTTTCCCTCCCATGTAGTAGTACATCGTATTAGACTAAAGCTGTCAAAGTCTCAATTTGTCCCAGTTTCTCCCTGTCCACTTCTGTCCGATTCCTCCTCACCTCTTATCGATTGGACGACCATGGCGGCGCCGCGCGAGCCGGAGGTGATCCGCGACAAGGCGGCGATGCGCGCATGGTCGCGCCGCCGCCGCGCCGAGGGCAAGACCGTCGCGGTCGTACCCACCATGGGCTACCTCCACCAAGGCCACCTCTCCCTCATCTCCGCCGCCGCCGCCGCCGCCTCCGCTGATCCCGTCGCCATCGTCGTCACCATCTACGTCAACCCCAGCCAGTTCGCGCCCTCAGAGGACCTCGCCACCTACCCTTCCGACTTCGCCGGTGACCTCCGCAAGCTCGCCTCCACCGGCGTCGTGGATGCCGTCTTCAACCCCCCTGACCTCTACGTCCGTGGCGCCGGTCGCCGCGGCGCCGCCTCCGGAGGCGCGATCTCCTGCCTGGAGGAGGCGGCCGGGGATGGGCACGAGACGTGGGTTCGGGTGGAGCGATTGGAGAAGGGGATGTGCGGGGCCAGCCGTCCCGTGTTCTTCCGAGGCGTGGCCACCATAGTCTCCAAGCTGTTTAACATCATCGAGCCGGATGTTGCTGTGTTCGGGAAGAAGGATTATCAGCAGTGGCGCGTCATCTGCCGTATGGTAACAAAATCTGCCAATTTCTTCTCTTTTTTATCTTTCCATTTTACATATGTGCAGTAAGTTTTTACGCATTGCTTTGTTCTAGTACACTACCAAGTTCTAAGGCTGCGTGTTTACGGGTACATATAGCGAGTTAGGAACAAAAGGACAGCTTTATGAACAAAGTAGGATATCTTCAATGATAACAGACAAGACTGAATTTTGGCTTCATCGATAAGAAGCCTGAAGTAAAAATTAGTCTAGTCTAGCGGACCCACTGGTTCGCTTATTCGGGGAATAATCGAAACAGCTTATTTGCAAACTAAAAATAATTTGTGAATAAAACTTTTATATACGTGTTCTTAGCGATCTAAAAGCAAATACTGAAAAATAAACTTCGATGAAAAACCTCCAAAATCAACTATAAATTTAAAGTTGAAATTTAAATTTTGGCGGATAAAAATAAGCATAAACGAAAAGATGAGGCATGTGGTTAAAAGGAAGAAAAAAAAATCCTTTTTACCCCTCAACTTTTTGGTGCAAGATAATTGGTTTTCATGATTGCACCTCTTCTTGTAGTTACTAGTTAGTGATTCGTTTCATGGGCCAACTTGGTATGCTTAGCTACAACTATTTAGAGAACGGGATTTGCTTTCATTTCATTGCCATAATGTGTATTTTCAATTGATGCTCCAAAGGTATAACTTGTTTTGTTCCCGTTTTGATGCTTCAGTAACATTTTTAACCTGTAGTTTTTCTTTTCCAGGAGAACCTGTAATCTTTGTTGGTTCAGAGTATCTTTCACTTGCTAATGTTAGTTGATTATTATGCTCATGCTGTTTCCAGGTTCGTGATCTTGATTTTGCCATAGAGATAATAGGATCAGAAATTGTGCGAGAAGCTGATGGTCTTGCCATGAGCTCCCGGAATGTGCACCTATCACGCGAGGAGAGGGAAAAGGTTTGTCTCTCTTTCACTGTATTTCAGAAACAGCTTCCGCAACAAAAGTTTGCTTTGTGTGATTCAGTTACAGTATTCCTTGTGTATTACAAATAACCAGCAAGATGATGATAGTTTGTAAATGCACAATTTTCTTTTGAGTATTCGCCAGTTGCACAGTTTCGAGGTGTCATATCTGCCTCTTGTTTCAATTGAGTTTTGCTGTATTTATAACTACCTTGCAGAACTGCAGAAAGAACCTTTTTTTTTTCGCTAGCTCACCATGAACTTTGCCAATGGTTGTATTATTTCTTTTGTAGGCATTATCCATCAGTAGATCACTGGTTGATGCTAGAACTGGCGCCTTGAAGGGAAACACTGATTGCAAACAAATCAAAAACAAAATAGTACAGACACTAACTGAAACTGGCGGTCAGGTTGACTATGTTGAGGTAATGTGGAAGGCCTCTCTTTGTTGTTTAATTGCTACTGGCTTCTGTTCTTAGAGCCTCCCGTTACTTTGTTGATGCTGGCTTTCTTCTAGAGAGCCTTTGGAATCTAGCACTTGCAATATCTTGTAGCATATGAGACGGCAAAATTCAGTACATTATCTTTTCTATGATCTAGCACAAGTGAACAACATACTGGCATACTGCTGAACGAGTTTCTGATTGCAATGCAGATCGTGGAGCAAGAAAGTTTGGTCCCTGTAGAACAGATCGACGGCCCTGTGGTCATTTGCGTTGCGGCGTGGTTTGGAAAGGTCAGGCTGATCGATAATATCGAAATCGATACACGATCCTGAGGTTTTGGGGGGATTCACTTGCTGTCTGCTGTGACCTTGGCATTGCGTTTGAAATACCTTTTGTTTCGCGTGATGATTCGCGTCATGTTGTACGCTGTAACAATCACAGAGAGAAAATATGCAGGAGTACACTGACTGAAGGCAAATTTATAAGTACAAACTGTAGAGGCCTGATGCTGTAACAGGGGAAATCATGCTTGTTGATTACAGATTCCGCTGAAGTATTGCTCTAATTTCCGTGATATATACTCTCTCCGTCCCTAAATATTTGACGTCGTTGATTTTTTTAAACATGTTTGATCGTTCGTCTTATTCAAATAATTTAAGTAATTATTAATTCTTTTCATATCATTTGATTCATTGTTAAAGATACTTTTATGTATACATATAGTTTTATATATTTCACAAAAGTTTTTAAATAAGACGAACGGTCAAATGTGTTTAAAAAAGTCAACGGCATCAAGTATTTAGAGGCGGCGGAGGGAGTATATCTGAACGTATGCTTCCCAAAATTAAGCATGGAAATCCAATACACTAATGTAGCAAACACAGAAATGTTCCGTTGGCTTCTCCTCCATGCTCCAGTTGTCGCCGAAGCCGCTGCCGTCCTGTACACCGAACTTACAATAAAGCAATACGATCTTTTCGAAAAAGATTACTACAATTGCAATACGGAGCTCATCAACCCTTGCACCGATGATTGGATCGAGTTGCCGCCAGCCTCCACCCTACCCAATATCGAATCGTTCGGCATGTTCCGTCGTAACGCCATCTCTAAGATATTGTGCTATACTGCTATGCAAGACGTGCTTGCATTGTTTTATGGAGATAGGTACAGTGATCATCAGGATCCGATATGGTTTATACCAACATTACAGGGCTATTGCTAAGCATTGTGATTTATAAATGGTCTGGATCATTCATTCTAGAACACATCATGTGGATCGTGGAACGCATCATGGATTTTGTATGAACATGGAATGTTTTCGATTGATATTTTATTTTTTTTTTCGCTGGAAGTTACTTTGGTTGGCTAAGATTGTCTTAAGAATCATGTAATACTTATAACACCAACCCTGTCATCTTCCTTCTAATCTCCCGTCATCACTGACCAGGTATCCAGTCGACGAGCATAACCATATCAACAAAAAAACCTTGAGCATAATTGGATAGGAATTAGGAAGTCATAAGAATATGTGCGACGCAATTGCTCGAATCACTTATGTTTTGTACGGTTCAGTGCATTGTACAGACGGCAAGTAGGTTCTCCAATCTTATTAGTGCTTTCGACAATTTTTTCCACGATAAGAAATGAAATAATGGTACTATAAGGGTCTCGTCTGTCAAACGGACGGAGCAGACTGCGAAACAGTGCTGCTCTTTGTAAGAACCGAACTCTGCTGTTGGAGGGATGAGTGCACACGCTCGACGCGCTCCAGATACAGTGAGGTCTGCATTTCTATGAGACGGGATATCTGTGAAACAGATGAACATTGCAGTTATTAATTCAAAGAAGAATGATGACAGTATCTAACTCAAACATGGTGTACCGCCGACATGAAAACACGGGTTAGAAATTGAATACAAACATGTCCAGAAATTTTGGAAAGAAATATAGGTCCAGACAAAGTCATGACTCATGGACAGTGCTCATATCTTAGGGTTTGTTCAGATTGTAGCCAAAATAAACCTTACCAAATTTTAGCAATGCCAAAATTTTAGCAAGATGATAATATTGTCAAAATTTTGGCAGGATTTCTTATGATTTGCCAAATTTAGCAACAAACTAAACGTTGACATTTTTTTGGCAACTTTACCAAAAAAAATTTATGGTTGAAAATGGCATCAAAGTAAACAGGCCCTTATACTCCCTCCATTTTAGGTTATAAGATGTTTTGATTTTGGTCAAAGTCAAACTGCTTCAAGTTTGACCAAGTTTATAGAAAAAAAATAGTAATATTTTCGACCCAAGATAAATTTATTATAAATATATATTTAATTATTAATTTAATAAAACTAATTTGGTAATGTAAATATTACTATATTTGTCTATAAACTTAGTCAAACTTGAAGCAGTTTGACTTTAACAAAAGTCAAAACATCTTATAACCTGAAACGTAGGGAGCATGTGTTATTTTCATGCATTTAGAATGCAGATATTGCTTAACGAGTGTACCTTCTAAGGAGTTACTGTGAGAAGGAGTTACTGTGAGCTTATATTCAGTAAACTGGATAATAAGGTAAGTTCTGAACGAAATTCAACTCCCCAGTGCTAATGATACTTCACTAGTGCGTTTGAACTCAAGCAAGTAGCTACAATCAGAAAGTAAAAATGCTATTTACTTACCGCCCTACGGAATGCAAACATCTCTTCTTGGCCAGACAAAATTGCCACTAGGCCTGTAGGAGAAGGCGCTGCACCAACATTACCTTCTGCTAAAACATCCCTCCTAAGCTTTGCCCCTTCAGCTTCACCTTCGAACTGAAAACTGCATAACATGACCTCCCATGTCAAAAATCACTCTGAATTATGTTGCAAATTAAAAACTTCTGTAATGCGAAATATTGCAGACAGCTGGAAGCACCATGTACAACAAAGTATAAATGCAAATATTACCTCTCCAAGTCAAAAAGAGGTCCTTCATCAGTTCCTTGAAAAAGATCATCAATGGATGAGGCAGCTAGACATACAAGACGGCAGTGATGATTGTAGAGCTCATCAATAAGGGTGATAAATCTTCTTGCCTGAATGAGACCAAGAAGTTCATTCAGCATCAAAATAAACACAGAAAACACAAGCATCTGGTATAATTGTTAACTTCTCAATGTCATCACCATGTTTAAATAGTACAGACACCACACGAATCCAAATGATTCTAGAAAATAAAAAAAATGGAGCTTGAAACCATGAGATATACTAAGATAGTTTCCATTTCTCTTGTCTTGACGAATTATTTCCTCTCAGTTTTCATGTGTTGACACTTTTGAATTATAAGATCTCTTCCATCTTCCAATGTTTTATATTCAATTCAGTATTCACACTCCGGAAGCACAATTAAGTAGATTTTAGCAAACTAAAAGAATCAGAAAAGGAGATAGAAGAAGAAATACTTTGTCACGAATCTTCATACTCATAGCTGGAATATCCGATATGAAAATTGTATGGTAGTTCCTGGCTATTGCTATATAGTCTGCAGCTCCAACCTGATAATTAAAATAAACAGTGGATTATATAATGAGCTGCAATATATCACATGATCCCAGCTCAAAATAACAAATACTCCTGTATATAACAATAGAATTCAGTTCCAAGTTTAGACGGTTTAAAGGATGGATACTAAACATTTTTTTGTCAAGCCACAAGTGCCTGATCATGAACCAATTAGTTCCCCTCATCTACTTGCATACTAAATAAATGTAAATTAAGAAGACAAGATATTACTGGGCGGCCACACAGATACTCGAAGTCAAACCTTGCCACTCCATTGCAACTTTTAGGAATCTCAAGATACCTATTCATAATATCAATGTTAAATTCAGTTCATTTTCAACAGTATAGAGATGCTTTATGCTATGTGCGCACCTCCCAAACATTACTGGAATGGTGACAGAAATAATGTTTCCTCCTGTTTGTCTAGTTATATCGTGCCACATAGCCTCATACATACTCCGAATGTCAGAAGTGAGAGGCCAAAAGTAGTGAATCTGTAGATAAGATGGAGAACCATTAGTTGTTACATGAAGATGAACTTATTGTGAAGATACAATCCAGTTATAGAAAAGGATACACCTAACAATTGCATTGCATTTTATGGAGTCCTACAGTACAAGATAGTTTTAGTTATAGGACCCACAAAAAGGTAGTTTTATGGTATACCGCGAGATTTGCAAAAGTAGATTGAAGTTCCATGCTTGCAACATACATGATAACTCATGCCATAGTCACCAAGAGATGAATACATGATTGGTGAATTATCAAACTCAGGTTACTGAAGCAAAGCAGTGCTATCTTACCATTTACCAATACATTGCACTGAGATTCAAAAAAAAAAAAAAAAGAAAAAGACATTGCACTGAATGGCAAGAGAGCGAAGTCCTAGTGTCCTACAATATGATGAAGTCCAATGGCCACCGTAATACAAACCAAAAGTTCTTAAAAGAATGTCAACAGTCAACTAGAAGATTTTGCAAACTAAAATTGAGGTACTGATCATGTGATCTGCTCACCCCCAGCTTATCAGCACAAAATTATTTCTAAAAAATCTAAAAAGTGTGCAAGGAAGTGATAAGATAACATATAAACTACTTATTTTAGTCTCTAGCACATGAAAACTAGAGGTGTATCATTTTATGCAGACAAGTGTCATAAATCTCCTATTGCTACAAACAGGTAGAGGTTAACCTGAGTTAAGCCGTCAGTTGGAATTAGGCGGCGATAATCTGTTTCGGTTCCAACAAGAATTTTGTTGCAGTTCTCGTCCAACTTAGACAATAAGTCAAGGAAAATTTCCCGCTGCATCCCATCCTACAAAACCAAGAGAAAAACAAAAGGTGAAAGGGAAGCACACCATTGTTTTAACTTCAAGTCAGCACCTTGTAATTTCTAGTAGATGAATGTTGTGCCTTGAAAACAGTTAGATCACAAGAAGATATTCATGTATAAATAGGTAGTAGTAGTTTAAGCCATGGAATGATACTTTGATGAAATTTAACTGCTAAATTCATCATTAACTAGAAGAAACAAAGATGCATTACAGGAATTATTTAGTGTCTGCACCTCTTGGCTTAGTTGGACAATTCTAGTTTAGCTCCTCTAAAAATCCAAGATTGCTACTTGAGATACTCTTTCCATCATCTTATATATGTGACAAGTTGTTCTGATCTCTAGGAGTAAAGTTGAAAACACCTACTGAAGTTCATCCCCAGGTTAAAGTTTTTTTTGGGCCAGAATATGAAGTATTTGATAAAAAAGTAGAAAAAAATCATAAAAAACGACTTGCCTGATTCAGATCTTCAGGTGCTTTATTACTGGTCGAAACAAGCACAGTTCCTGTGCTTAACAATCTGCTGAGAATACCAGACAGAGCTACAACGGCAAATACATCGATTGTCTGCATAGATGAAGTTTCCCAGTGTATTAAAAAAATACTATGGATACCAGAAATTATTACATTAACAATGGAAATAAAATATTTGTTTGAAAGCTAATACTATTACATACATACAGGTGCAGTAGCAAAAAGGTACTCAAGAGATGCACATAGCATACCTCATAGTACAGAAAGAACTGAGATTGAACTTTTTTTTAATGGGCATCAGCATCAAGTACTGAGAAGAAAAAATAACTAATTAATTTGAGCTTTACTAGACAATCTTATTTACCACCATTAACAATAACTGACACTCGATCAATTATTTTTCCATATACTTGTGATTATGTAGATGCTATATAGCACACGTGCTATATAACATACACTATGTAAAGTAAAAGATTTAGTGAAGAGACAGCCAAGATAAGCAAAATTAGATTTCACAAGAAATATTCAACAAGATTATTCTTTACTCCTTTTATGTAATTGCAACAGATTGCTAAACCTAGGAGTAATCTGGTAAACAAGATCCTATCTGTGGCAGGAATGCCAATTCTCGTTTTTAGAAATAATAACATACAGGAAAATGACTTGAATATTCAAAATATCAAAGTTCATGTACCTGTATCTCGTCAAAGCATAGAATGCTTGCTCCACTCTTATTTGCTTGTCTATCAACAAGAAATTTGTCAGCGACAGCTAAAAGGATATGGTTTTGTTGTGTATTTTGTTTGTACTTCTCTTCCCCAATTAGCCACTCCTTAATTTTCCCATCAAAAGGGAGGCTTGATATCCAACTGAAAGCACTCGACTCAATAGACTTGTCCTCATCACGTCTCTTCCATACATCATGCATATGATCATGTATTTCAAGCATAGCCTGCATAAAAAGGAACTCAACACTATTCAGAAAAATGCTAAACAACAGAACACCAACTGAATATGTTGGTAACCATTCAACAAGTTAGTTCACAGAATTCTGCTATTCCTAGCCACCTAGCACACAAAGTGCAGCTAGGAACTTGAGTTCAGTTGGACATGCACACTGCTCGATGAACAACAGATCAGATTTTTCTTCTTAACAATTGTTCTTCAAATATAATAGTTGCGCGTTCATTCCAATGAATGAACAGGCACTACCATGCATAGTTCTAAACTAATTACCTCGTGAAAGTGGAATCTCCTCCTGTGCTTGATAAGACCTTCTGTGGCCCCATAGAACATGTCCATCAGCATTGTCTTTCCTATGTTGCCAAAAGGACAACATTAACACGATAAATGATAAATAATGAGTGTTTGATTAAAAATATGAACCAGGAGAAAGAATTAGTTATTCATATGCAGGCCATGTTAGGATATTAGAAGAATGATGGGATCAAAAAACTATTATAATGAAGTTATTGATTAGTTTACCACTTCCAACATTGCCGTAAAGATATATTCCTTTCGGAGCAATGGGTGCAACAGGCTTCTGGCCAACCAAGGTATCCAGTTTCTTTTCTCGGTTCAAATATGAGACCCATTTCCCAACTCCAGGTTCTATATTTCCTCTTCTTTTCCTGGAATTAATCACCAAACGAAAAGTCAAATAACACCATGCAACAAGTTGAACAATCTGTTTAGTTACATTGTTCTTGGTTTCGCAAGCAAAGTTCAGTGCATGTATTGTACATGATACTTGTTTTATCGTCATTTTAGTGCTAGTGTTATTGAAGGAGTTGGTAGTCAGAAGTCAGAAGTTCAGTGCATGTATTGTACATGATACTTGTTTATCGTCATTTTAGTGCTACTGTTATTGAAGGAGTTGGTAGTCAGAAGTCAGAAGAGAAGTCTATAGATAAATAAAAGGGATAGTGGAACTTCATCTAATTTCAAGAATGACTTAGTGAAAATACCACATGGGGAACAATGGGTAGATTTCAGTTAGAAGAAAAAATATCACCTTGACACTAACTTGTCAAGAAACCCCCTTTTCTCATCTATCCACACCCCATCACGCTGTTTATCCTCAGCTTCTTGAACAAGAAGCCTTCGCCTTTGTTTCTCCCGGGTATTTTCCCACATAGAGAGTCTTGCCTGCACTTTATGCAGAAATAATATTATTGAAAAAAATGTGAAAAAGGTACTACTAGTAACTAGTAGTAGTGAACACAAGGCACATGCAGCTTACATGGTAATCCTCCATTTCCATCTCGTATTGCTCAAGTCGTCTAAGTAAGTTGTCCAGCTGAGTTGCTACATTTTCCTGGTAGATGTCATGTTGGAGTTTCCCTTGGCTCACCAGATCCCTGTAGAGCGTAAGAGGACCTTCAGATAGAACACAAAGGGTATGAGAAAACCAAAATTAAGAAGAAAAGTCACATATGCGGTTGGATTTCAGACGAAAAAACGAAATTATGGATCGCGAACGGTAGCGTGATGTGGAATTACATCCATCAGATAAAATGATCGGCAGCTTGCTTACGGGGAAAAAAAAGAGGAAAAAATCTTAAGATGCTACGGCTGTACAGGCACTTTTGCCAGTGAGAGTGATCAGGAAGAGGCGGAGCGGTAGGGGATCGGATCACGCGGGAGGGCGATTACCTGATTTCCGGGCTTGATCGGACGCCCCCGGCGCGTGGTGGAGCAGACGGGGGAGGCCGGGGGCGGAGGGCAGCGGCGCATCGCGGTGGCGGGCGACGGCGGGGAGGAGGGCGGTGGAGGTTAGCAGTGATCGGCGGGCAATGGCACGGTGTAGACGGGGTATCATCGGTGGGTGGCGGGGGATTGGAGGGCGGAGCTAGAGGGAGAGGGACAGTGGCGCCGCCGCCGTTGGCCTCGACCGGAGTAGTAATAATGTCGCCGGTGACGGGGGCGGGAGGGGAGGTGACGCGGCATCTCTCCTCACCGCTCGCCCTCAGATGGGCCTGGGCCTTCCTTGCCGTTAGGTTCGGCCCATGTAAGAAAAAGTACTTTTAATGGGCTGATTAGCCTATTATAAATGGGCCTATGTTTGTGGGCCTAATTGGAGTTTCATCCGTCGGCCACGGTGGCACGGTGGAGGGCTGGAGGCCCAAAAATAATACTGTGCCGTGGTGTTCCTGTAGCAAGTAATAGTAAGTACTCACTCTATTATGCAAAGCATAGGCATAGCCAAGGCTATTAATGCCAAGCCTATACGTAAACGTTAATTGGCATGCCTATCAGCTTATGGGATCATATGTCCACCTAGATCGATACGGAAAGAGCTCCTCTCGTGTACTGCCTTTTGACGTGAATCTCTGATATATGTGAATCCATTAACTATTGGATCCGTATATTAACCTCTCAAAATCAGAGAATAGTAAGTTAAAGGATCACGTCCCGATCGATCGCTAATTAGAGTCTTGCAAATGACGATAGCCAGCTGCTAAGCCGCCGTACATGTACGTACGATGCATTAGCGTACGTTTCACCATCAAGCATGCATACTGCCGCTGAATTAATCAATGGCTGTCATGTATAGGAGTATATATACACGCACGACCTTGCTGGCCTGGCCTACTACGTAGTACTTGCACTTTACCTACTTCTATCTTCATGCCCTCAAAGCCGAAAAGCAAGCGCACATAGATATCCATCGAACATCGATCGATTAATCGATCATGCGCAGATAACCAAGAATGTTAGGTCGCTGTCCCCCTCCCCGTCTATACCGTCCAATTGCAACTGATTGATTTTTTAGCACTAAACGCAAAATAAAAAAGACACGAATATTAGAGAATGATATAATATCAAATAAGTAGAAGGGGTGAAGCTTCGAATCCAGGTCATCTAGTCCACCATCTCGTGGAGCTAGCCGGAAGACTCGTGGATGTTTCTCAACACTAAACGCAAAATTCGATCGTGTGATTAAACTTGCAGCCGAATTAGTTTCAGGTTAATTTAAAATTTCAAGGGTGGGCCCTATTTCATTTTCATGGACGATGAGAAAATAATTAATCAGCTACCATACTACACATATATACAGATACAGTCTTAATTGGATTGTTTAATTTACTGTATGACACTGCCAATTTGCCATCGCGATCTCGTTTCAGATTTCCAGCAACATCCATAATTATGTGCCATGCATACAATCATACTTATATATATCCCACTTAATTATGTGCACGGCACTGGCTCTAGCAAAAGAAAGTGCATGCAAAACCCACGGCAAAATACCATATGCATCGTACACGGTCTGCACACGGATTGCAGTCCAGCAAAGTGGGCAACCATCAGCACGCATTGCAACAGCAAAACCCCATCCAAATTGCCTCCACCCACGATACGCACCATCGATCGCTAATATGGCCCACATCGTACGCGTTAATTACACAAACAAAAGATCACCTAATTACATGTTAACTCATCTCTAGCTCATGAGTAATAGCAGCAGCTTAATTTCCTATGATCAATCACACCAAAGTAAATCGTTCTCCGGACATAATACAACGACGACCATGGTCCATGGGGGAAGAAAAATCAGAACGTAAAATGAAAATGTCTTTAATGAAATTGATCGTCTCATCGGCCGACCAGGCAAAAAATATATATGAAAATGTCCTGTTACGTTCGTCAGAATTCTGAAATTATGTATACTAGTAGTAAATGGTATAATTCAGACCTCTTATGTTTTCACCAATTCTCATCGTTGAACAATGGAGTGATAATAGCCTTTTTTGTTTACCTGGTTCATACTTCAGAATAGCCAAATGCCACCAGTAGCTGGTATGCATCAGTGCCACACCTGGGATGGGCTTGAAGATCGACAACAGTTTTCATAAGACCCAGAAAGAATATGGTCTCCATCCATTATTTTATCGACCTTTTCTGGTTTAGTCTTGAGCTCATAGATTTGGGTCTGGTCAGAATATATGCCATGAATTCATAAAGTTTGCGAGAATGAAATAATCCTTACTTTTCTAACTCCAAAGATAAAGATACCCAATGAAGAAATTGAATATTTTCATAGGACCAAAGAGGAAATGGAATTTTTTTTAGAGGTTCTAATAAAAGCTTATATACACCCACTCTGTATGGCTTCATTTACAGCTACTAACTAGATTGTGGAACAGAACATTTGACTTGCACCTCAGCTTCCTCCTCCTCTGCTGCAGGCAAACACTTCTCATGCGGGCACGGCCTGGCGAAGAATTTGGGGATCCTGTCCCCAGGCATAATAACGGGCAAACCACACTCTTTCTCTGCTTTCTCGTTCTGCAAACAACAATACATGGGGATCATTCTTAGATTTCTGTAAGTCTACAAGAAACGATCATTTCAGGTTAAGATCAAAGTAAGATATGAATAGGGATCGTTAGTACTGTAGTACCTTGTGATCAGATGTTGTCTTGCTCGGAGACGCAATGGAGATGACGGTGTGCTGGCCTTCTTGGAGTATCACATCAGGATGCCGAGACCAGAGGAAGGCACGGAGCTTGTCCCAGTGGTAGCAACATGAGAAGATGCCACTGAGGGAGAAGATAACAAAGATCAGGAGCGCCGTCCCTAGGGGAAAACCCAGAGTTGGCCTTGAGGAATGTGCCATTGGAATCGTCATGGATGGAGCAGGCGTCAGATCTCCAAGCTTATACATATGCATCAGTTGGCTCCTGCTCATTTGGTTAAGAGCCCAGACTTGCAAGGTAAGGAGACTGGGTATTTATACTTGCAGCCAGGGCACCTTGCACGGACAGAGGATGATGAGAAGTGGACTGGCTTGCACGGCCAGGAAGACGGAACCATCCGTGGTACTGGCTAGTGCTGTGGCCCACATGCATCTGCTGGTGCCCGCTGGTAGTGCTTGATGCTGATCTCACTGCCTGTCTTTTCCAAGAAAAAGAAGCTGTTTAAATTATATGAACACATAGCTTTATAGGGTGGGAGAAAAGGTAATGAATTTCACTTCGGACAAAAACTACAGGTATGTTCACAAGCAAATGTTTATTAGGCAAAGGATGATGAAATGATTTACTGATGTACTGAAATGTTTCAGCTTCAGAAGGACAAAAACATATCAGCCTAGCAGGGCAGCAGGTTGGCAATGAAACACTCCATGCGGATTTTCTAAGGAAAAAAAATTACTGAGACTCAGAGTTTACAGCTTTAACCGAGTAAAGAGGAATCAGAAAGTGGGCTCAAAAAGATTGACATACAACATGAACCTACTATGCAAGAGCACATAGGAGATGAACATGCATCACTTTATCTAAGTGTTCTTCATCATTCACCTTTTGAATACTATATGCTTTTCAATAGATAAAGTGCCAACAGATTGAGTATCCTGGACGAAATCCACACTTGTGTACGGATGCCACACATGTCAACTTATCAGGAAAATGTGGCTGCTCTTGTGATGTCAAAAAAAATGTGACTGCTGACCATAACTGTATTAAGCCTGGAAGCTAGCCTAAATAAGGGAAACTTCACTCTATGGTGTACCAAGTGCCATGAACAAGTTTTTTTCAGTCATAATAGGACACTGCAACACATTAGAATGACCCAACAGCTTTACAATTCTACACAAGAAGCAAACCGCCGGGAGCAAAAGAATTGTAATCATAAATAAATCCGTAGTTAGCAAATAGATCAGCACAAGGCAACTAGTTCTTAGGTCCAGTCTTTCCTATCCAAAACGGTGTGTCAAGCATGTTTTCAATTCAACCAATAGTTACTAATATGTTAGCTAGCTAGGTTCAACTTTGGCATCAGTTGAGCTGCATGAGCAATCCAATTCACCTGTTTCCCACTTGGAGGTTCCCACATGCATAAATAATAACAGAGATAAACAACTTTAATGATCGCACTACATCCTGTCGGAAAAATTGTTATGCACATTGGTGGGCTCGCTTCCTGGTTTTTCTTCAATGGTTCGTGGCCTAGTATATCGAATCTGGAACATACACTCACCACATGTTTGTAGAAGCAGATCGAGGAATTTGGTACAGAAAAAGATACTGATGGGAACAAGCAAATTTAGTGATCAAAACAAGCACGATGTATCGAGAGGTCTATGAAATTAGTATCAGACAGAAAATGTGTACGGTGGAAGAAAATTGTGTGGGTAGCTATAGCAGATACATATATGATTTACAGATTCTGCTCCAATTCATGAAGGAAACATAATATAATCGTGTGGGTAGCTAAATACCCTTAGCAGTTAGCAGCATCACAATTTTAGGCTCTCTAGTGCAGAAGTTGAACAATACATGTTGGATAAATTAGGTTTATAGAATTACTTCCACATCATCCAGCCAATATGCCACTGTACTGGGACCTAGCACCACTAGCAATAGTGATGCACCCTAGGCTCCTAACCCACCTACAAGGCTACAACGAAGCTATTTGAGAGGGACCTCTCCGGTAAGACTTTAGGTAAGTGCTCTTCCATATTATTACAGAACACACAAGAAAACTGTACTGCTCACCATCAGTCATGGTCTGGTAAATCAGGCGTCAGATCCCAAATGTTACACGACACAGTGAGTAGTACATAATCCATTCTACAAAATTACAATCATGGATAAACTTCATATTTATAATGTAACTGCAAAACTTAGCTGTACTCATCCATCATTTGTACGCCTCAACTGAAGTAACCTGACGGTAATCAGTTCCAACTATTGGAACTTTGCAATTTATCTAGATGCTCTTCAATATTTGTATTCACTTTGTCTGATTATGTAAAAAGACAAAAAACATTTTGCTATAAGTGATTGATCATACTAACTCTTGTCAAGCTTTCAGGGTAGAGACTGGAAACAACTGATTTCCCTCCGCCAAAACAAAATGCGGTAATAATATATGGTGAAATTGTTTATTACAGACATACTGAAAATGGATATTTAGATTTGCACGAAGTTTAGCTGAGGAATAACATCTCTAATGCATAGTATTAATGAACTCACACTACTCGTGCAAAATAAGGACTTGATATTTTCAAGCCCAAGGCACTGTACCGACTGATCTAATGGAAGCATAACAGGGGCTGACACCTTTATAAAATAATATTTTTTGATCACTAGATGAGATGGAGAAAAAGAATACATGAAAGATATTAAGGATCTTGCTTAGTGCAATTTTCTAATGAGACATGCTTTTTGTAAAGGTGCATTAAAGTAAGCATCATATGAACCAGGAAAAGAAATAACTAGGGGAAGGGCCCTTAAAAGGCTAAAAAGGTAGTTCAGAAGTCCAGAAACTGGCCAAATCATATCAATCTAACTTCACAATAAACAAGCACAAAAAATTTAGAGGAAAAATAGAAGCAGTAACCTTAGTGATCTTTTAATGAGTGGCTTAACTGAAATGTAAAGAACATGTAAACTAATTGTAACGCAATCTTAAAGCAAGTGAAATTAAAGAACAGGGCCACAGGAAAGGGCGTGTGATTTTTCCTTTGTTAATGCAAATGATATTTTCCAAACAAAACCATAGCTGTCAGCACAAATTCCTGACTTCCCAACATTACCATGGGGAAATTTGATGTTCTGCTGGATGTACAGTTAACATTCACCCAACACTATGTTTCTGTTACTTTTGCTATTTTGCAGTTAGTTTTGATTTAAATATGACACAATTGTGATAAATAGAGTTAGGAACCTGACCCAAGTAAAATGTGTTCTACATAGTGGCATGTCTCAGATACCTTTCATGGATACGAAACGATTTGAATATCTTGATAAAATTTTCTTGTGAGTCTGTGATGCAGTTCTCAAAGTGTGTTTCCCCTTTCAGAACAGTTCACTGCAGCAAACAGAACAGTCAGTTAATTCATGCTTTGGGTGATAATAAAGCTGTAATGGTCATATAGGCAACTGGGCATTGCAAAAGGAATTCATTGGAAATGATGCTAGCACCTTGACTTGCAATGTATCATCCAACTGCTTCCAGGCAATCTCCGCACACCTCGCTGCTCCATCTCCCTTCTCACCTGTTCTGCCTTGTCATGCATACCCATGCCTGAATAGATGTTCGCAAGTGAAACAAAGTTACCTGCATTCTCCGGTTCAATCTCAAACAATGCTCTCCCTGCAACCTCTGCCAACCCCACCTCCCCATATTTCCTGCAAGCAGCAAGAAGAGCACCCCAGGCTTTCGCAGTAACCTTAACTGGCATTGTCTGTATAACATCATAAGCTTGGCGTAGTCTTCCTGCCCGGCCCAAGACATCAACCAAGCATGAATAGTGATCTCCACAGGCCTCGACCCCAAATATTTTGGTTAGAACATCGAAATACTTCAATGCATCATCTGCGTGACCAGCATGGCCGCAAGCCTTTAATACGCCAAGGAACATTATGCCATCAGGCCGGACATTGTCCAGCTCCATATGCCTGAAAAGCGACATTGCAACATCTGCGTGGCCATGGAATGCATATGCTGATACAATAGAGCTCCAGACAACCACATCGCGCTCCTGCACCTGGTCAAACACGTTCCGTGCGCCAGCCAGAGAACCACATCGCCCGTATGCTTCAATGAGGGAGCTTCCTAGGTGGCAGCTCGCAAACATGCCGTGCCGCGTAGCAAAACCGTGAACCTCCTTGATTGAGCTCAACGCACCCAGCGCCGTGCACGAGGGGACGAGCGCCAGCAGAGTAATGAGGCTCGGGAGAACGCCCATTCTCTGCATCCGTCGGTAGAGATCGATGGCCCGGGCCGGATGTTCCCCGGACTCAGCAACCGCGGCGATCACAGAGTTGAAGCAGGAGGCGGTCGGCGCCACATCCATGAGATCGAGCTCACGCAGCGCCCCGGCGAGGTCGCCCGATCGGATGTGGACGGAGATCATGGCGCTACAGACGATGGCGTTGCGGTGGGGCAATTCGTCGAACAGGCGGCGGGCGAGGGCGGGGGAGGCGCAGGCGCCGTAGGAGGCGACGAGCGCGGAGGCGAAGAATGGACTGGAGAGGAAGCCACACTTGGCGGCGAGGGCGTGGAGGGAGTCGGCGGCGGCGGCGGCGGAGGGGAGGCGGAGGGCGGAGGAGGACTTGAGGGCGAGCGGGAAGGCGTAGGCGAAGGAGGGGTCGGAGAGCGGCGGGAGGGAGGGGTCGGAGACCATGCGGGAGAAGAAGGCGAGAGCATCCCGGTGACGGCCGACGTTGACGTGGGAAGTGAGCAACTTCGTCAGCGACGCGAGGCGTTGGTGGCGGGAATGCATCGATCGCCGCCTCGTATTCGAAAGCTCCACGAAGACGGACGGCGAGCGAGGTGATTTGAATTGAACCGGAGCAAGTCAAGACGGGGAAGATGCACAAGGGACCGATCTCCTGATACTGCATCTAAATATATGAGGCCCTACATATATAGTTTTGTGATAATTTTAAAATATAATATTTTAAATCTGTATTTTTTTTATATATTTTGATCAATGTACATGTATATGTAGTTTTGTAAAATTCACTCTTTATTATTCCATCTGGCTATAAACATTTTATATTTAGAACAAGATTTATGTTTTAAGACAGGATTTGATCAAATGGGGTAGTTGATGATATACCCACAAACACTTCTTTCAGTGCGAGACTGCGCCGCGTAACCCGCGCTGCTTATCGTACTTCAGCTCTGTGGCACGCTTATGAATTGATCTGTTGCATTCAAGTAAAATTGATCTGTTGTATTCAAGTCAAATCGGTGAAATGTATTTGGGGACGATTTGGTAACTAGTGGTTGTCTTTTGTAATATATATCCAACAGCTAATATCTCCTAGCAATCAATATTATCATGTACACGTGATATTTTACATTAATAGCTTTCTATGTAATTTGCAAGAATCATTACTCGCATGTACTTGCAATATTTTGTTATGAATATCATTGCACGTAACTTATTTTATCCACTCATGTTTTTTTTTTAAAAAAAAATACTTTGACGGATAGCTGTACATTTCGAGGGTCATCTTCGACCAATATTCTTCAAACCCAAACAGTATATAAAACATTCTAACATTTCTGATACCATAAATCGCAAGGACAAACATCACAACGATTGATACAGTTATCGTTACCAATAGACTACCACATTGAAAAGTATCCCGGTCAGATGTCAATCGTCGCAAAAAGGATCAGTTTCTGCAACCAAGGATGGCGGCATTGTCCAGCCGGTTGAAACTCGTAAACCATTTCCTTCACCCTTCGTGTCCAGTTAAGAAATTTAGCTGCCCCAGATACTACTAAATGCTTTCTTATGCACAATAATTCTCTGATCTATAGCCTGTATAAATACACGGGAACATTGCTTGTACAATTTCGCAATTTGAACAGATGAAAAAAAAAAAAGAACTCTCGAATCAGTAACTGCCTTCGAATGGCAATTGATCATTGGGCCTGGGGGTCTGCACCCATAGCACCAAACCTTGCTCCAGCGCCAAGCCCAGCATTGGGTGGCCTTGCCACAACAACATTGTCATCAGCAAATAGCGCCTTGATGAACGAAGGAGTCTTCAGGGGACGCCTCCCAGTCATCCGCGGGTATACATCTTCCAGGAAGTAGTACACATGCCCAGCAATCATACCCTGAAAGAAACAATATTTGTCAATTACAGATATGGTCCAAGAAGAAAACAGCATATTGACAATTTTAATTCAGTCAATACATCAGGCATTCATACCGAATAAGGACATGGCTAATAATTCATTAAAAAAATACAGATGCATGAAAATGATGGTCAGGAGAGTACACAGGCATAAATTATCTCTGAGGAAAAAGTCTCTGTTAATACAAACAAGCAAATAAGATCCATTTTAAGTTCATGATATTGGCAAATACAAACCAGTCAGAGAAGACACGAGCCAGCCAGCACTCCATTACCAAGTTACCATTAATACATGCTGCTATGTCTACCAGCATCGTCACACATAGACAGCAAAAAGACCAATAGCTTATTTCTGTTAAAAATATGCTAACATGTTGAAAATAAAGTTTTCAGCTTCCATACTTCAACACCAAGGTTAACCATTGAAAATAGCTAGTACCATCTCAATGTAGCTAGTTAAACCTACATCAGGTTATAGCTCACTAACCCAGAAACATCTATTGGCAAGCTGGGTAGAAAATGCAAAATAGAGCCCAGGTTCAGGCATTCAAAAACAATGGAACAAGCTTTTAACACAGGCTTATGTCACACTTGCAAATAAGCAATGCCAAATAAAAGTTGGACAGCAAGATGACCAATAAAAACCAGTCACAGGCTTGTAGCTCATGGAAAACGAAACAAACAATATTCATACAAAACCATGATAGAAGAAATAACCGTTGACCATACTGAGCTTGCAATTCTACAAGGCATTCTTTAACTGCAGCATTGGCAGCACAGACACTAAAAAATCACAGTGCTATTATGATATTCATCATAACGATAAGAAACATACCAGCAAATCAACCCATGTACTGCTTCCCACAAGAATAGAGAACCCCAGAAGGACCTGCAATTTAAAAGAGAACAATTCACGCAGCTGTTTCTCATCTCTGATATAAAGTTGAATAAACTTTGAACAATTTCAGTGAAATTTCATCTGTGTGATATCAGGTGAAAAAGTAAAATCAAGGATCACTACAAAGCAAAAACAAGATCAGAGCCACTAGAGTTTCTGTTTCTCTACTTTGTAATAATACATTCTGACAATGAAATATGTGCGCGATGCAAAAGGATGTCCAGGAGTTGGTTGACAAAACCTTTTCAGCGTACATTGTCACAGCCAGTTTATGTTGAAGGCTTAGCAAATCCAAAAGGCATTCTGTAAAGAGAGCACATTTACATTTGCTAATTCCCCATTTTACTTTATCACACAGTACTGAATACAGAAATTTATTCCCACTCTAGTGAGGTACTCCCCTCATTTCAAATTGCTTGCCGTTCTAGCTTTGTCCTAAATCAAATGTTTATATGAACATCAACTTGTAGAAATTCATATAGTTTAACATCATAAGGTTTATGTTTTTAGATTCACCATGAGAAATACTTCCATAATATATATTGCATGTTAACCTACACGAATTTCCAAAAATGGATGGTGAAAAATAGAAATGTTTGACTAGTGGCAAAGCTAGAACGACAAGTAATTTGAAATGGAGGGAGCATTCATTTTTAAGATGAACCTAGACCTACTGGAACAACAAATTGGCTCCATGGTAAAGGAAAGGTCTAGCATTTTACACCAAGTTCCTGTGACGTTTTTACACACTAAATAGACCATTCTTGCACCAAAACATAAAGTTACTACTACTTCATGTTGTGAAATAGTGAGAGCATTCATCACAAAACAAACCAACAGAAAAGCATTTGTTGGGTAATGCTTAGGACAAATGGACAACTGTTGGGAAAAAAAATGGTTTGCTTTTGGGCTCTTGGCTAATAGGGGAAAAAATCAAACATATATTTTGCTCTACAAACAAAGAAAAATATTGAAATTGAAGAGGTTTTAAATAATTCTATTGCATAAAACATATGAAATCAATTACAGATTTCAAATCGTGTGATTTAACATTCAGGCATGAAAAAAATGATTATATGAAGAGGCTCTAGGAAGTTAACTTAAGATGAGAATCAAGTGTGCATTAGTCATGTAGTCATGTTGTGGTACATGGAAAGGAAACTAAAAATACTTACCCAAGGTAAATAAGCAGCAGTAAAGGTGAACAAACCCAAGAAGCTCATATGAATGAAGGGATTGTGCTTGCTCCATACATAAACCTGCAGGTCCATACGAGAGGAATTACTAAAACTCAACTTCTAAGTATGCACCCAAGAAGACTATTTTCAGAGCCCAGAAAATCCCTAAGATTTGTCCTGCACCCCTAACGATGGTGTAGAAAACCAAAAACCAAGTATAATGCTTGTACTAATCTCGTACCATCATAAATGTCAATGAATTGCTCAAGAACAGGATTCTGGCAAATGTCTCAGAAATATAAGGTATCATCCCACCAATCAGAACAATGCCAGTCAGGACAGTAGCGCCAAACAAGAGCATGTAGAAAAAGTCAGCAGTTCTTCCTCTGAATGAGTTCTCCTCAAGAAGCTTGCAGTATCGTGCAAGAAAAAACATGTGGAACAGAAAGTCCAAATCTGGAAACAACAAAAGATGGATTCAGGAATAAGAGTAAAGGGATTAAATTATGCATAAAAATTATTCAATAATGCTAGAATAACAGCGCTTACATGTTCTACTTATAATGCAATACATACGCAACACACGTGTAGCGAACTAATAATATACAAGCACTTCCATGGTGTCACATGAGGACACATAAATTAGCACGATAACATAAATCTATATCCGCTGTTAACTTATAATGGTAACTGGAGACGTGGTAAGATGTTAGATATAATTTTCTAAATGCGCTATACATCAGGATCATACAATTAGGGGAACAAAATACAGGGTAGACACAATTAATTCAATGAAAACAAACAAGGACCTTGAGTGGGTGGGTATAAGGAGCTTTCACACATTATGAGTTTGAAATACATTGTGATCATAATTAAAGAGTTGCAAATTGTATACCACTTGATAAGTTCTTTGACGAGGTCCCACCTAAACTCCTAATGCAGCCCAAAGGCACTTATCCCTAATCAATACCACAGGTTGAAGCTGTCCAACAAGGACGCTAAAGAGCGAGTTTAATAGTAGAGGTAACTGATGCCTCTATTTTTGCCCACATTATCTACTCATCGATTAGGACAATACCAATTTTATTTTATTTGTTTGATATCAATCTATTGGTTATCTTCCTATTCCCTCTCTTGGTGATGGAGCACATGTACAGGCCGCCTCTTGCATGAGGGGCAGCTCCTTCTCTCCTCCACCTCATCATGAGCACTCTTGGCACTAGCGCTTTATACCTTACTGTACATTCTCTAAGTAGCACGTAGGCGCATAAGCCTTCATCAATGAGTCATGGGCAGAACAATACTTCCGTTCTAACTTCACATCCCTATGCTTCACACCTCTGAAATGATACCCTCAGAATACAATAATAGAATTATCATTGAGAACTCTTATTACTACTATGCAAACGTGGTGAAATTACGATTGGGATCCGCACAAATAGTAAATATAAGTAGATACTGTTTGTAAACTGACAATCTTGCAAGTGTAAGAGAAAGGTAAGAGGCGCATACCCATCTTACGGAAGTAGAGGAAGTTGGTGACGAGGCGCCAGATCTCGTAGTGCTGCACCACCAGCTTGGGGTTCAGATACAGGTGGTAGGGCGAAATGATCTGCGAGGCAAGGAGGGCATTAGGCCATCAGCGCAGGCACTCAAACAAGCACCAGATCGAGGAGAGAGTAGAATCATGTAAAGAGGGGCGGGCGGAGAGAGAGAGAGAGAGAGAGAGACCTCGAGGGTGCAGCCGACGGTGGTGACGACGGCGGCGGTGAGGTAGGAGCGCGTGATGATGGGCATCTGCCGGTACCACTCCTCCACCGCCTGCGCCATCTCCCGCGAAACCCTAGCGGGCGAGCTCTCCTCTCTCGAGTCTCGAGTAAACCCTAATTGACCCGAATCGAATCGCCGATGAGATGTTGGCAGCGGAAGGGGGAAGGGGATGGATGGAGATGGAGATGGGTCGCAAACTCGCAACGGAAAGCTGCGTGCATTGGTGTCTCCGGTGGCTGCGTGCCTTCCTGCCTGCCTGCGTGTCACTGACATGTGGGGGCCACGAGTCGGTCGCATTGACGTGGTGTGTTCCAGTAGGATAGCGACACGTCAGCGCACACGTTGCAACGCGCCATGTTTCGTTGACAATTCAAATCTGACCTGGTATGTACTCCTATGTTGTTGTAGTATGTTGTTGGTCAAGCCAGGGATTACAAGTGGTCATATAGAAAAAAATAAAACGTGGATGTTAATTATATGTGGTTGTTCCTTCTCTATAATAGATACTCCCTCCGTTTCATAATATAAATCATTCTAGTATTGCCCATATTCATATAGATGTTAATGATATATATATATATGTCTGGATTCAATAACATCTACTTCCTCCGTTTCATATTATACTAGTAAGACTTTTTAGCATATGTCTAGATTTATTGACATATATATATATGTGCCTAGATTCATTAACATCTATATGAATATGGACAATGCTAGAAAGTCTTATAATATGAAACGGAGGGAGTATATGAATATGGGCAATGTTAAAATGACTTACATTATGAAACGGAGGAATCATATTGTATTGTTTTGGTGTAAGTATGCAATTGGTTATACGGAGTATATGGAAAAACTAAAGTAACACTTACAATCTACTCCTGTATTTTCTTACTAGCTTAACAACTTAACTACTCCCTACATTTTTTATTTATATGACATTGTTTAGGCCCTATTTATTTCAGCTTAGAATTATTATAATCTGAATTATTAGCAATAATCTGAAACAATCATGTAGATCATTATAATAATCTATAAGCTAGATTAGTATAATATGATAATCTCCTCTAAACGTGCTTCTTTCAAATTAGTAGGTGGCTAAAGACCCACTAATCTTAAAATTTGTATGCAAATTACCCACCACTTCCATCGAACCCAATAGATTGAGTACATCCGCTTCCTCTCTCCACAGTGCAGGCGAATCCGGCGCCTCCCCCAGCCGCGCATGCATCCGCTTCCTCTCTCCCTAGTCGCGCGCGAACCCTTCCCCAAGCCGTATCGTCATCGCCGCCATTTCATCCTTCTCCCACTCCACAATAGCTTAGGGTATTAGAGACATCAGCCTTTCGAAACCAATAATATATGTCTCTAATAATCCAAAGAAACAAACAGCTAATAACTTATTTTATTATAACTTATTATAATCCAGCTTAATAATCTGGATTGCAATAATGTTTAGTTATTAAAAAAAAGGGTAGTACGCACTGGAAAAATTTGAGACTCAAGTGAAGTTGTTGAAAGAAGATCGAACGTTAGAAAAAGAATTATGTCGTGATACAGTGATTTGTTCTTTAATGAGAAAAGGTTAGAATCTTTAATACCTGCAATGCACGTTCTTATCTTTATCGTGGAGACGTAAATAATTACTACTACAATACATTTTAATTGAAACAGAATAAAACAAGCTCGATGATACAAATCAATAAAATAGTAACCTAATGATATGACATGCGATTTTATTGACAAATTTATTATCACCACTCGTAAGAGTGGTAAATAGTTAATTATTCCAATGAGAGTTGGGTTCTTCTTTGTATGGCAGGGAGAAAGAAAAAAGATAAATGAGTAATTTTACACTCAAGACATGACTAATGGGTTAGGGAAATAATTTCCTAGCTAAAAATACTTATATTTTTAAGACGGAGATAGTACCTCATTTCATCTCAGTTTTTCATTCATTTACATTTCTCAATCAGGCTTCTCATGATCCATTATCCACACATACTGCGGTGACGTGGCTTCCGTAGATTTAAAAAATGACACACGAGCAATAACCCCAATATTTGGGAAAAGCCTTCTCTTCAATGATAAAAAGATGGAAATGATCCAGGAGGATGACATTTGCAAATACGTGAACCGGATGAGTCAAAAACCCAACAGAGACTGGAATCAGTTGAGTTTCAGCATCAGCGCCCCCAAACCAAATAATTTTGAACTCTCCGGACTCCGGCCGCCGCCTTCCAGAGGAACCTCGCGGCTGCCGGTGCCGGTGCCGGAGAAGACATGGCCGGGAAGAAGAAGGCCCTAACAAATCCCGCCTCTCCCTCCGCCTCCGCCTCCGCTTCCACCCCTAAGAAATCCACCGCCACCTCCAAGGACCGCTCCACGCCGAAACCCCGCAAAAACCCCAACCCCAAGGAGGAGGCACCACCGCCGCCGCCCGCCAACAACAAGCGCCTCAACCCCCAAGGGGGATCCAACCGTAAGAAGAAGGCCGATGCGGGGACGCCCTCCAAGAAGCCGAAGCGCCAGCCGCCGGAGCCCAAACCTCGGAAGCACAAGGGGGCCAAGAGCGAGAAGCCGCACCGGGTTTCCGGCGAAGGGGAGAAGCCCACGCCCACGAAGAAGAAGAAGAAGAAGGAGAGCAGCAAGGAGCCCAAGCGCGAGAAGCAGCAAGCGTCCGCGCCTATGTCGACTCCCTCGAAGAAGAACAAGGAAGCCAAACGCGACACAGGAGGAGCGGGGAAGCCCACGCCCACCAAGAGGAAGCTCGGCGACGTGGATCCCCCACAGGAGCGACCGTCCGGTGAAGGCCAGGCAAGCTCTCCCACGCCCGCCAAGAAGCGGAAGGACAAGGCGGCGGCGGCGGAGGCGGTTGCCGACCACGGCGCCGGCAGCTTCCCGATGGCTCGGGTGCGGCAGATAATGCGGGCCGAGGACGCCACCATCCGCCCCTCCAATGAGGCTGTCTTCCTCATCAACAAGGCCACCGTATGGTTCTTTCCTTCCTTCCCACATTCTTTCACTTAACTCGCATTTGGTTAATGAAACTTAGTTTATGCAATGATTTGTGATGGCAATTAGCAATCGAGGATTGGAGCTTCTCCATCCTAATGTGATGATTTGGGTTGGACTGGAATCTAGTTAACCTAATGAGATTTAGGTCGGCGTTGCTGTGATCGCCCACAAGGTGTTTGATGAATTGTCTGATATGATCACAGATCACGAATGGTGTTTTCTACCTCCAAATGGTAGATGTTACAGGTTGTCTCAGAAGTCCAAAGCTTGATTTCTCTGCTTCTGCTGCCATCAAACTTTTGGCAGGAGGGTTTATGCACGATTGTTTTATGTTTGTATTTGTTGGTAACTCGCTAAAATGTTGCTGTTCTCTGATGCATTAGGCATATGTTACTGGTTTATGGCATACTGGCAATGAGAATATTATAGAGGGCATATTAAGATAGAATCTGAAGAATATATTTTCATGATTTACCTAGTTATTCTGTCAGATTACTGTGATATTCATTACGGACCAGTGTTTCATTATTTTTTCCATTCCTCGTCCAAAGCTGATTTGGTTAATGTTATATCGCTCACTTGAACCTGTAAATCTGTAACTGCAGGAGATATTCTTGAAGAGGTTTGCAGACGATGCTTATCGAAATGCTTTGAAGGATCGGAAGAAGTCAATTGTGTATGATAACCTTTGTAAGTTGCACATTCATTCCCATTCACTTCAAAACTTTCTTTGTTGCTATGTTGAAAATGCACTTTGTATAGAAAAGCTAAGGGATCTGCATTTATTAAGATTGGAAAAAAATGTTTGAAACATTCAAACAGTACATAGAAAAATGAGAAATCTCAGATAGGTGAAAGAGGGTTTCCCTATTCTACTAATGTACCAGCACGTCATCATCAAGTTTCAAAACAACACAATTTGTGGAAACTGTATGCTGTCTCATTAGAATTTTTTTTAGTGAAATATAAACTACACATGTCCTGAGGTTGTTACTTTTAGTGTTCATATTTTCATTTTCAATCTCTCAAGAGATGAAGAACCTTCCAAGATTGCAATGATAGTCTGGTAGTTATCCCATCTATAGGTAGATGATATTTCCATTTCTGCAGACAGGTTTGTCAAGCCAGGAGAGAAAGAGCAGTTAGTATATAGCTATAGTAGGACCATTGTGTGTAAGAGGGCAACTGCATTTAGTTGCGATTCAGCTTATCAATGCCCCAATATCACTGGCTGGATAGATTCCATTGACAAGAGCCAAAAGATAAATACTCTCTCAAAGATTGGGTACAGATGTTGAGTCCTACAAGTTGCAACATCAAATGGTTACATACATAGGATATTTTGTTATGGTCTTGTCAATATTCTTGCCTGTCCCCCCTTTTTCTTGATAAAATGTGTCCAACTATCAATCTAATGATCATAACTTTACTCATAGCACACACATTTCTGTGATGTTGGCATATATATATATATATATATATATATATATATATATATATATATATATATAAAACTAATGCATTTGTGCAGTGATGAAACATTTTTATTTCTATACAAGCCAGTGTAACATGTACTGATATTTTTTAGACTGTCCAACAAAGATAGTTGAAGTCCACTCATGTTCTGAAACTGGACAGAGGGGAATCAATCCCATCGAGAGGCTCTCTTCCTCCTTTTTTCTGAATCTGTGAGAGAGGCAAATGAGAAGTTCAGAGAGACCTCAACTCTTCTGCATTTCTCTGTCAGTAGTGATAATAACTTATTAAGTTGATCAAATTAGGGATTTCACTTTCAGTACAGATGTTGCATTACTTGCATCTCAAATATCATTTTTTGAGCCATATTTTTTGACATTGGCCTTTGATATATGCCCCAGCTTCTTTTTTTTTTCTCTCAATGATGCAGACTTTCAGAGGTCATAGGATAAATTCTTTATAACCAGTGACCTACAAAATAACCTCAGGAATTCATATACTTAAACGTCTATGCTTTGCCTACTTGCACCTTTTTTTTTTTTTTGGGGGGGGGGTGTGCAAATGTTCCAACTTCCTGACAGAGTTATCGTGTAAAATTGACTCAGGAAAAACAATCATAAAACATGTTTCTTATGATCTGTGATGGCAAGATCAGCATCCAACATGTGAATAGCTTTAACATCTTTCATCTCAACTCATAGACATACACTTTTTGTGGATGGGCTCATCTCTGAATTGCAATTAAAGTTCATTGATCCTGTCTTCCGTGAGGTTGAAGATATAGTTAATGTTCTATTTCTTTTGTCCTTTTATTTTTCTTTATCTCACAGCACATCTGCCTTCCTTTTCAGCAACAGCAGTGTGCAACCAGAAAAGATACAAGTTTCTCTCAGGTCAATATTTGTCTTTTTTACAAACCCATGGAAGCCTATTTTAATCAGCAAAGGCTCTTCATATGCCTTAGCCTTTTAGCAATATCATTATTTACAAATCGTTTCTGTGGTCTTTGCTCAGATTTTGTTCCACAGAAAGTTACAGCTGAAGATGCTTTGAAGGCTCCAGTTAGCAGCCAAGTGAACCAACCACAATAAGTTGCTAGTGCTCCGCGAGGTATGCTGCTATGTTTTTACTACTTCCTAGCTTTTTTAAGGAGCGAATTACTGGAAATTAGTTTTCCATGTTGTGAAAGTTCCAGCATTCAGCTGCTCCATCCTGTAGGGAGGTCATCCTTTCACGAGTTATCTCCTGGGAGGGTTCTGCAATTGTAAACGCCAGCTGTGCAGCTCATGTTGCCCTCAGGACTGGCATCTTGCGACATGTTCAATATGATTCTGATCAGAATCGGAGGCTTAAAAGAAGATTATAAGGGGAAACCTGAGTAATCTACATATGAAAGAAGCATGATGAAACTTTTTGTCATGAGAATCACTTGAAATATGCTTGCTTAGAGCCTCAAATCAGGATCACCTTTTTGGCTGTGTAAGCTGTGGGTTGTGTGAGGTGGATGTAGCTTAGGCTAAATGTTACTGTGTATTTTTTTTTAGATAATACGTTACTAGTAGTATACATTTGTGAGTTCTGACTTGTTCATGTACTAGTTCATTACATATATTTTCGCAGGTGCATGCTTTACCAATTACTTGCTGGTGCAAATATGAATGCCTAGCACCATGAGATGCTTGTCTTGCACTGGAGTTTATCTCCTATGGAATCCACGAGTAGGCTGTTATGGAGGATTTGTATTTGTACCTTGTTTCAAAATAAATAAAACTAGTATGAGATATGATATATTTTAGAACTATGAATCTGGGTATGAGTATTATAATGTATAATATCTCATATTAGATCTATTTATTTTGTAACCAAGAGAGTGCTTGCTTTGTTTCATAAAAAAAATCTAATTCTGTATAGGAATCTAGATATAGAATTGTATTTTTTTTTTAACGGAGGGAGCAAGTGCGAGCAGACACGGTGAGTCTACGAGATTTGTGTGTCAAGTGTCAACGCATCGTTGCTGGGGCTTTGTTCGGGACGAAGATCCAAGTATGCAGTACGCGTGTTCGCCGGTCATTCGCTGCACATGGGCTCCTGACTTGCTTATGCCGCCAAAGATTAGCAACAGCCAATAGCTAGCTGTAAATAATGCGTAAGGCCAACGGTACCATCTGTAACTTTCTCTCACTTTCGTTGCATCTCAATTCTCAGGAAAGCAACTGACCCTAACGCAAACAGTAGTGTCTTTGAATTGGTCGGTGCAACTTTGCCACGAACAATTTGCTAAAAAGTGCTAGAAAAAATGAATATACAAACGAGTCAGTCATAAGTTTCAGCCAAACATCAATTTGCCAACAAATTGGTTATTATGGCACATATAATACTTGACGTGACAAAACTTCAACTGCAAACCTAACATGCCCTTTGCCATAAATGGCACAGTACCGCTCATGTTTGAAATAATCAAACTGCTGTCTCCAGGCCCTAAATTAAAGCTATCGTTAAACATCCAAGTCAACCTCTTTAATTTGTCGTAACATTAAAATCCACGCGATCATTGTTTTCTGTTCTCGAGCAGCTGCTGCTATAGCACGAGTTGTACCACATGTCAGTATATCTGAACATATGTGTCCAAGGGCAGGTGCCGAACTAATGAACTCCGGACATATGTATATGTATATATGTGTTAGTGAAAACACATTTTCTTTTCTGTTGTGTTTGGATGAAAAATTGAAAGAGATACTTTTGTTGCCAAGTGTCTCCAAGCTTAATTTGGCAGAATAAAAACGCCAAGAAAGAAGTCCGGACCACCAGATTAATTATTTGTTTGGTAAGCTTTAGCATCAGCGCATCGGCTATAGCATTAGCTCCACTCATTTGAGAAAACGACGACGCATTAAATTAGTAACAGATTTTTTTTCCACGTAAAATAATTTCGGAAGCTAGTCTAACAAAAAGAAATTAGGAGTAGTAATAATAATAATAAGTAAAGTAATCTAGTAACAAAATTACATTTGATGAGCGACTGGCCAGGGAGGAATAGGTTCAGGTGCCACATTTTCTTCTCCCATCCCATCATCCCATGGCCTGGCCTCATGGGCGCGTGATCCGAGAAGGAACCGACGGTGATAAAAATATTGAAATCTCGCACATCCCAACCAACCATGCAGAGGCTCGCAGTTCTGGATCTGAATACTGTTCACACCAATGCATCACGGCTCACAGCTCACTTGGAGTTGGTTCTAATCAAAATTATTAGGAGTAGCAGTATATCATTCTACTAGGTATACAAAACTGCGTGTATCCATCTCCATATCACTCCATTACGTTATTCCTCTTTTTTTTTCACAGAAAAAGAATTTTAATGGTTTCAACACCAAGAATAATTAACACAAGAATGAAATGAAGAATCTAACATCTCGCGGATCACAGGAGCAATTTGAAGCGCGGCCATGGAAGGCATGCATCGAATCTGTGTATCTGCGGAGCTGCTGCACTGAGACGACGAACGTATATGGTGGGGTTGTACTGCTGATGCTACTGTAGATGTAGATGTAGTGTACTACTCCGGTGAGGAGCTCCGGCGAACGATCAGACGAGCTCGAGGCGGGCGGAGTAGTCGGCGTACCTGGACCGCCGGATGTTGGCCTGCCGCTTCTTCCACACGACGGCGGCTAGACCCACCACCGCGGCGGCCGAGAAGGCGCCGACCACGACGCCGGCCTTCTTGCCGCCGTTCAACTCGTGCCTCTCCGTCTCCCCGTCCTCCTCCCCCGCCTTGTCGCCCGCGGTGGCGGCCTTTATCTCCTCGGCGGCGGGGGCAGGCGACGGTGTTGACGGCTTCTCCTCCTTGTCTTTCTCCTTATCGTCGTCGTCCTCCTCGTCGTCGCCGCCCTGCTTGGCCTTGGCGGCGGAGGGGGCCGGCGCGGACGCGGCGGAATGCTCCATGGGCGACGGCTCGGGTGCCGCGGAATGCGGGACGGGGGGCGAGTGGGAGGGCGCGGGGAGAGGGGAGGTCTCAGGAGGCGCGGGAGGGGAGAGCGCGGCGGCGGAGGAGGAGGCCTCGGAAGGCGGCTGCGACGGAGCGAGGGCGGCGTCGGCGGGGTGGAGGCGCTCGTCTGCAGCCGGGGTGGAGGCGGTGGGCGCGGACGCAGGCGGCAGCGAGATGGGCGACTCGGCGGAGGCGAGCAGCGGCGCGAGGAGGAGGACGAGGAAGAGCGCGGCGGCGCAGGGCAATGCCGATGACGCCATGGCGGAGGCGGAAGCAGATCTGCGGCGAGGTGGTTTGGTTGGTGACGAGATTGGAGGGGTTTTATACTCGGGTCGTGAGGGGTGGGGATCCCTCGCTTCGCTTGCCACGTCGGCGATGCGGTTGCGGCGGGCGGTAGCAAAGGAAAGGGAGAGAGTAGAAGAGTCCAATCGCCGGCAACGCAGTATAGGCCGGTGGTACGCCGTTTTCGGCCCATCTTCCACCTCTACCTGCCGCTTGTTTGTGCTTCAAGATTCGTGCACGTGGTCACACTCTTTACTTCCTATATCATCATCATAATGATAGCAGATAACTATATGCATCAGTACGTAATTTAAGTGCTACTGTACTCTTTTTTTAACTCAAAACAGAAGCCCCATCAATTAATTCTGCTGTACTCACGGATGGCACAACAGTGTTACTCTCATCAGCCACAACAACAAACTACTACTACTACTCCAGTATATATTGGAGTATACTGAAACTTCATTTTAGAGTTTAACTGAGGTTTTTTTTTTTCTTACCATAGTCTTTTTTCAATCATTGACTTCTAAACCATCAATAACACATGTATAAAAGTTTTACACATAAATATAACTTAGTTGCTTCATATCTTCTAGGGCTTATTAGCCGTAGCTCAAACTATAGAAGCATCATCAAATTATTGCTGCTCCTTAGCGAACATACAGACAGTGCTACTACAACAAAATGCTGGCCTGCCAGCATAACTGCATCATCAATGAGAAAGGTTCATCACAGTTTTGGATGGAATCATCTTAACAGAATTTCGCCCTGCCTAACCACTAAGATTAAAAACAAAAATAATCCCAGAAGCGTAACAATAAGATTGTGATGAGCGACAATCAGTGTAGGGCTGTGGCACGTTTCTTCTGTTGCCCTTTTGTAGCTTTTCCCCCTTGTGAAGCAGCAGCCTTACTCAGCTCTTCTGCTGCTGCTTCTTCGGATTTATCTGCATCTGCAGAATACGGGGAATACAGGAACTTCTTTGAGTTGCCCGTGCCAACGCAGTTCAGCTTCACGATCCTTCTCCCCGTCATCCATTTCAGCAGGATCTTCATGTGAGTCTTGCTATTCAGGCCACTGATACCAGCATCCTGTTGTAACATACTCCAAATGAGTAGGGGCTCATGTGAACCAATAATTGTGTTAGGTATACTATCTTCAAGTCTGATGCAACTTTGCAATCAACATGAGCTGAATTCGCAGAATGGCATCAAGAAATAACCAAATCCCGGTATACTATCTTCAAGTCTGATGCCACTTTGCAATCAACATGAGCTGAATTCACAGAATGGCATGAAGAAATAACCAAATCCTAAACTGCTAGTTGTAGATTAAAAGGTACTGTGCAGTATGTGAGGATGCAGACTGCTAATGTTCCCAGGTGCCATGGAACGGGCAAGCAGTCAGGTCAGCCAGAATGGTAGAGCGTATTAGCAACTGAGATTTAGACCAACTACACGTGCCTCGTAGAGAGAGGCAAAAATATGGCTTATGTTTTCACTTATAGAAACACATGGCATACTCCTACATAAGATAAGTTGACATAAAAATCACTCCTTGAACATTTATAGCACCAAAGGCAATGATATGCCTCCATTTGAATTCAGGTTATCTATAACACCAATACAGCACCAGCTCATTCAAGCACAATAGGCAACATAATGTTGACTCAATACTCATAAGCTTTCCTCTTACTTTGAAAATATTTGTGATATAACCATTGAGTTGAAATACATTACACATGGCGCCTGACTGAACATTAGCAAAAGAAACCTAGACTTATCACAAGGATATACTGGTAGATATCCTAGTAACAGTCTCTGTAAATGAGTGTATGACAAACACTCAGGCACGCACACATATTGCACATAAAAAAAAATCCACTTTAACCAGACTGAATAAGCTAAAGACCGTGAATCAAAGCACGGAAAATCGCAAGATGATGTGGCAAAATGGGTTACGTGGATCACTGGTAAGCCTGATTCACCAAAATACTTAAATGGGCTATGCAATAGTCCTAAGTGGACGGTTACTCTGCTGATATTTTTATCCAAATGAAAGAAGCTAGAGGGGGTAAAAAGGGAGGAGCCGCTACCAATTTCATAGTGTAAAGAACATTGGATCAACGAAATGAGTAGAGCAATACTTGTAGGCGTCTATAACAGTTGATCTTAGACCTTCACCTACTGTTGATTTAGGGGGAAACGCAGCAGGTTTGTTTCACTGTAGAATGCACACATAGCCGGAGATTTGCACCGGTATCTGGTAGACTACACTAAACATAGAGCTGGTGAGTAGTGCCAGTGTCAGAAGCAACGTACCTTGGCGTGGTTCCATGTGTTGCCGACGGTGAGGGGGCCATGGTCGGTGAAGATCTGGAGGAGGCGACCGGAGATGGCGACGGCCTCCTCCTTGGGCACCTTGGGGTTGATCCGCCGCACGTCCACCGCCCGCTTCCGCGAGAAGTGCCTCTTCAGCACCTCCCACGCCATCCCTCCAGCTCCGCCGCCACCGCTACCGCCGCCGCCTCCTCGGAGGAACTGCATGTCGCCGCCGCCGCCGCCGCCGCCTTGGTTCGCTGGCTGGGGTTCAGTTCAGCTTCCGCAGCTAAGCCCCCGTCTCTCCCTTTTCACCCGTAGGCCGTAGGAAGGAGAAGAATTTTGGCCCATTAGATGAGATATCATATGGGCCCGGAACAAAAAGGAGAAGAAGGCGAAGGCCCACGATTGCAGATTATATGGGCCCAGCCCAAGAAGAGAAGAAGGCGAAGGCGGCGGCTGGGTCGGGCGCTCCCCACCATCCAACCAACCAAACCTCTCATCTCTCCGCCGCGATGGCAACTGCGGCCGCCGGTGGTGACCAGTGAGGTCGCCGCCGGCTGAAGTGTGGTTCCATTCGAGGTCAGCACCCCCTTTCCTCTTATCTATCTGCTTCTATTCTATATGCCCTCCTAGATGGGAGCGAGTGAGGCTGGGGGTACTTGGAAACATGAGCAGATGAGCTCAATTGATCCGATTTGATTTTGATTGGGTTTATTTTGGGTTGTTCGCTGATGGAAAGACCGGAATTTTGCTCGGAACCTTGTGTTTGCAGGGCAGTGGCCTGTAGCGCCGGCCGCATATGTCAGCTCTCCGCTTATGCCATGGAGCCATCAAGTCGCCGTGCGCTCGGAAGCTTGCTGCTGCTGCTGCGCCCTGCGCTCGGAGGGGAATCCCGGCACCCCACCAAAAGAAGCAAGCGACCTTCTGCTTGATGCGAGCTTCTCCTTCCTTCCGCACAAATTCTAGGTAGTGTTCTGTTCAGCGTTTGCACCGAAATGGCTAGATTCCTGATGTGTAATGTGTCAATTTTGCCGCTGTGTGTTTATTAGGCAGTACTTAAGTCAATTTCGTGCCACACCAAGTGTTTGGACATTATACAGACAATTTTGTGCTAAAATGGGGATCTAAAGCTACTCTTTCCAAATTCACCGTAGCAGTGACCTCAGTTAGTATAAAGACATGCCTTTCTCTCCTTTTTGCACCTAATGTAAAAAACATTGCGTTTTCTGAACAGTTGGCTGTGTTAATTCTATCATGGAAGACTCAAATTTAACACTCTCTTTATATGTCGTCAATCTTCAGATATAGAGTTGGCACCGAACCGGAGTCAAGAGTGTGAACTGCGGTATTTCATTCAGGCAGTTTGTGTTTTCTATTGTTGGCATTTTTGTCCATCTTTACGCTTGAGTTAACACTCTTTAAAGTGTTGCCAATTTTTTGTTGATGACATGAAATGTTCGAACGTATACCACACTGTAACAGGAGATTACCTATAGCGTTTGCTCTACTTGCCAGTTTTGCTTGTTTGTATAATGCAGAAACCTCTTTTTATGCAGGCAGATGCAATGGTCCATTGAGGCTATGACCGATGATAGTGCTGACCAATCAGGCGACAATAACACTCGCCTGTTTAGTGCAATTCAGTCGTTTTTGAGCAAGTTATATGGCAAGCTCAAGAAACTAAGGAAAGGGCTGCCGCTGAAGATCCTCTTTTTTCTCATCGGATTTTATTGTGCTACGGCATTTGCTACTGTCATCGGGCAAACAGGTGACTGGGACATATTGTCTGCTGGACTTGCTGTTGCCATTGTGGAGGGTATCGGGGCTCTGATGTATAGGGCTTCGTTTGCGTTTCTTGGTAGGATAAGGAAGATGATTACCATATTCAATTACTGGAAAGCTGGCCTTACACTTGGATTGTTCCTGGATTCTTTTAAGTATGAAGTGGATGAATTTCTTGAATCCTGTAATCCATTCAACATTGATATCAATATATTTAGTCTTTGGTGAACTTCTGCTCCAGGTTTTAAAATTTTGTTCTTTTGCATGCCAATGATATTTTGATGTAGCAATTTCAATTGTTTAGTCACTCCCGGGGGAGCCGCATAACTTTTTCTGTCCAAAAGTTGGAGCCATGGATCAAAGAAGAGTAGTTGTATCTTAAAATTGTTGTATATACAATATTGTACCTTACAATTGTTGTATACACAATACTCCATTGTACAGCATTAATTAAAGAATTGTTTTTGCACCTGATACTGGCCTGTACAAAGTACAACCGTTTGACAATGAACTGGGGTTAGTTCTATGTTCACCACCACTAAACAAAAGAGCTCTGAAATATGGTTCAAAAGCTACTATGATCATTTGAATTCATCAGCTTTGACATGACAGTCCTCTATCCCTCATCGTCTTCTTCACCTTTTCAGCCTCTACCAACCTTCCCACATTTTGATAGATCTCCATCAACTTTACAAAATTGTGCTCATTGTCAGGCTCCAGTTCGATCAACCTCTTCGCAATGATCTCTCCAACCCTGGCGTTGCGATGCATCAAGCAAGCCTGCAGTAGAGCCCTCAAAACAGTCTGTTCATTGTCGAGAGGCTTCCGCTTCGACATGAACTCGTAAGCCTCATGGATCATCCCAGCCTTGCCTAGCATGTTCACCATGCAGGTATATTGTTCCATAGTAGGGGGAATTCTGTACTCATTCTCCATCTCAGAGAACAATCTCATGCCACCCTCCACCAGCCCTAAATTGTCACAAGCTGAGAACACCAACGCAAAGGTGGTCTCATCTGGTCGCATCCCGGAATCCACCATTCGACGGAAGATCATGAGAATTCTGTAGTCCTGGAGGTGAGCAGAGATTATAGCATTCCAGGACTGCAGATCCCTCATCGTCATTGACTCAAACACCAACAGGGCATGGCTCTGTTCGTTCTTATCAGAGTACATCCTGATCAGAGCATTTGCTACTGACAGCTCTGTCTCGAGACCATGACGAATTGCCCAGGCATGAATCTCCAGTCCCCATTTACCATTGTCACAAACCAACGGCAGTATCGACAGCATTGTTGATAATGTAATGGAGTCGGGCTCATGTTCTTCTCTCAGCATTCTTCTCCAGAGCTCCAGAGCCTGCTGGGAGAGCCCATGTCGCAGGCACCCAGCAAGCATGATGTTCCATGAGACGCCGTCCCTGTCCGGCATTGCATCGAACACCTGGAGAGCCCTCCGTACGTCGCCGAATGTGGCGTACAAATCCACGAGGGCGTCGCACACAGGCACGTCGGACGCGAGACCGGCGCGCACGACGTCACGGTGGATGGCATGGCCGAGCTCGACCGAGCCGACGCCGGCGCAGGCCTGGAGCGCGCTCGTGAAGGTGAAGCGGTCCCGCGGGACGGTCTCCTCCTCCATCTGGAGGTAGAGCGCGAGCGCGTCCTCGTGGCGGCCGAGGCGCGCGTACCCGGCGATGAGGCAGTTCCACGGGAAGGCGTCCTCCCGGGCGCGCGCGGGCAGCAGGTGGTCGAACAGGTGGTGGGCGTAGGAGACGAGGCCCAGAGAGGCGTGGAGGTGGAGGAGGCGGCGGGCGAGCGCGGGGTAGCGGCGGAGGAGGGAGACGGAGAGGAGGCGGCGGAGGCGGGCGAGGTTGCGGCGCGGGGAGGGGTGGAGCGGGAGGGCGGCGAGGAGGGAGTCGAGGAGGTCGGGGGTGAGGAGGCGCGGGTGGGACCCGAGGTCGGAGAGGACGCGGTCCAGGGTGGGCTGGGTGGCCGGCGGCGGCGCGGCGCGGAGGGTGAGGGCCGCGCCGGAGTGGGGATGGCGGCGAGAAGGTGGGCCTCGTCGGCGAGCTGGCGCGGTGGAGCGGCGCCGCCGCTGGATGGCGCAGGTCGTGTGGCTAACGGTTGCTGGGAGCGCCATTTTCGTTGGACCAATCCACACCCAGAGCTTCTAGAAGCAGTCTCATTTTTTAGCGCCAAAAAAAGAACTACTCGTGGCAAATACTCCCTCCGTATTTCAATGTATGACGCTGTTGACTTTTCGACCATTTGTTTTATTCAATTTTTTTGTGTAAATATAAAAATATTTATGTCATGCTTAAAAAACATTTGATGATGAATCAAGTCACAACAAAATAAATGATAATTACATTTTTTTTAATAAGATGAATGGTTAAACGTTAGACAAAAAAAATCAACGGCATCATACAAATAAATATATGGAGGAAATACTATTCAGTAAAAGATGGACACCACAAGTCCATCACAGGATTTAGAGTGGAAGAGAAAAATATCATATGGTTTGATGGGAGTCTCTTTGCATGCGGGAAAACTAGTTAGCGCACGGCGGCGCGTGTTTCACACCTCTTCCACGCTTTTTTTTTCCGTTTTTTTACCGTTTGTTTTCCCACTTTTTTCTGATTTTTTTTATATTTAGCATGTTTTGAGTTTGAAAGTTTTTAAATTTTGAGTTGAAAATTTTCAAATCTAAACTTGAAAGTTTTTAAATCTGGATTTGAAAGTTTTCAAATCTGGATTTGAAAGTTTTCGAATCTCGGGTTGAAAGTTTTGAAATCTCGGGTTGAAAGTTTTCAAATCCAAGTTGAAAGTTTTCAAATTTGAGATAAAAAGTTAAAAGTTTTCAAAATTTGACTTAAAAAAATTCAAATTTCAAGTCAATATTTAGAAAACTTTCAAATCATATTTTGAAAACTTTTTACTCAAAAATTCAAAATCATCTGTTTCTATTTTTATTGAGAAATTACTGTAGCATTTCGTGATTAGTGCTAATTATTTGGATTAGCAATGTAGTGCTGTTTTTCTTCCAGAAAAGCGCTAAGCGCTTGAGGCGGAGGCCCGCGTGCGCGCGGCTTAAAGTTCTCGCGCGCGCGCGAGCTAACCACCCCCCTTTGTAGGCCCAAAGAGGATGGGGGGCTTGGTTTTGTCAACACAAAAATAATGAATGAGGCCCTCTTATGTAAATGGATTTACAAGTTGGAATCTGGGTGCAAACAGCCTTTGCTGTGATCTGCTTAGGAGAAAGTATATGTCAAACGGTGGAGGTTTTTTCCAAACTTCTGCTGATGAGGTCAAAAAATGGATGAAGCTTGGCAGTGCATATGTTGTGGGTAATGGTGAAAATATTAGATTTTGGGAGGACATTTGGCTGGGGGAGGTCCCTCTAAAAATTCAGTTCCCATACATATATAGTGTTTGTTCTGATCCTAGTGATAGTGCGAAACAAATGCAAGTGGATGGGGAATGGAGGATTAATCTTAGAAGATCTCTAGGCCCAAATGATCTGGAAGAGTGGTCGGAGCTTCAAGAGATGCTTTACTTCGACACAGCTGACTGCAGAAAATGACACTATGTTTTGGAAACTAAATCAGTCAGGGACGTTCACTACAAAATCTCTATACAGGGCTATTATCTTTGGAGGGATTAAGGGCACCAAGCTCCAGGAGCTTTGGAAAACCCCGGTTCCTTTGAAGATAAAAGTGTTTATGTGGTTAATGCTGAAGGGGAGGATTCAAGTGGCAAAGCAACTTAAGAAGATGAATTGGTCAGGCAGCCCGTTTTGTAAGCTTTGTGGGATGGAGGAAGATGTAGATCACCTAATGTTTAGATACCTACCAGCACAATTCTTATGGTGTTGTTTTAGGGCCCCTTTAAATTGTAGGAATGGAAAAATGGAGGAATAGGAAAAATATAGGATTCTGACAGGAATGCAAGTGTAAAACAGAGGATTGCAAAACACAGGAAAAACACAGAAATAGCCGTTTGATTGGACCGCAGGAAAAACGCAGGAATTAGAGGAGAGATGAAGACTCATAGGAAAGTTTCCATAAGGTAGAACCTCATGCTAGATTTTCTCCAAAACTTGCATAGCATTAGGCATTCCATAGGAATTTAATAGGATCCTATAAAATTCATTCCTTTGATTCAAAGGGCTATATAGGAAAAATTCCTATAGAAATGAAATCCTTTAGAATTCCTATGAATTTCCTTTGAATCAAAGGGGGCCTATTAGAGATGCTTTCCATTGGATAGGATCCCCACCTCTAGGAATGAACTCTTAGACTTCATTCAAGATCATGGGGGAGTTAGGAACAAAAACTTGTTTTATTTGTTTGCTGCAGGTGCTTGGTCGATATGGCTAGTGAGGAATGACTGGGTTTTTAACGACAAACTTCTGACCAACGTGACGTTTTTACCTCACAAAGCTATGTCGTTTATGATACAGTGGAAAAACCTGGCGCCGGTGCAGCTGAAGGAGGAGTTGGAGAAGGTAAAGCGATCGCTGCTTGCCAATATCCGCGAGACAGGAGATTCAAGCAGCTGATGTCTTCGTGTCCTTGATCTTTTAGGCTGTTTTCTGTTATGCTAGCTGTGCATTAGCTTTCTGGCTTGTCTGTTGTGCCAGCAGCACTTCTACTTAGACTCTTTCGCTGTTAATTGTGAAGCTGGCATCCCCGGCACTACTGTATCAGACTCTTATGCTTTCTTATAAAAGCTGGGCTTTATGCCTTTTCTCCAAAATACTATTCAGTAAAAAAAATCGTACCAGTAGTATTTTCTATAGCTTGTTAAGCCAAAAGTATTGTTCAGAATTGGCATATTAATAGAGAAATTTGAGATGAACTTTTCATGTGCTATATATGTGGATCATACACTGGACAGAAGTACAAATGATGAGTTGAAGTGTCTGGAGAATGATTGACGCTAGTTGATAACGATGGTCATCAGTCTGAATGAAGGGTAATTTTAGAGGCTTGGTTTTCCCGGACGCATAAGCAAAGAATTCGGATACATGGATATGAGGGGATGCAGATTGCTGCACGAAATCGAAAAGAAAGTTGCCTGCCGATTGATCATTTCAGTTGATCTCTTTTCAAAAAATCATTTCAGTTGAGCGGTTCGGTTCAGTCAGTTGAGGCATCCATCCATGGATTGCATCGCATCGCATCTTGAGGTAGGTGGTGCTTTGGATAGCTCTGAATTCAAGCAAGCATATCCAACCGACCGGATGATACGTTAGCTTCCAGATTCCACAAGCTATCCAAGAAATCATCGTTTTTGCTTGCGTCTCTTAATTAAATGCATCCATGCATGCGCATCATAATATGCATAAAAAATGCATTAGTTCATGCCCCACAAAGTAGCATTACCAGTACCTGAATTATCAGAAATTGATCATTTGCGTAATCATCACTAAGTTCGTTTTGACTTGGATTCAGAGATATCTGAAGCCGGTCCATCGGATGAAGAAACAATAATATTAATTTTTCCCTCGAATATACTACTACTTGCAGCATGTACCCGGTACTCCGTACTAGTATAGCTTTCAAGCGTTGGTGTGAAAGTAATATTAAGGTCCAGTAGAAAGCACGTGTCTTGCTTACGAGAAGCAGCAACACATAAAACTTTCAGTAAAGTCTCTTCTCTTGCTCATGCTAGCCCTGTCATTTTCAGTCCTAAATTAAATCTCTCTTTCTTGTCCATCGGTTTATCAAAGAATATCCCACTCAAAGAGCATAATTCAGGTTTCCTTCTCAACTCAACTCTCCTGATCTCTCTGGCTCTGCCTCTCTCTATATAGTGTCACAGTGTATTCATGCAGAAATTGATCCAAACCAAAACCAAAAGTGAAAAAAGAAAGTACCAAGAAGAATATAATCAACACAAGAGTACAGTAGTGTAGCAATGGCGGCGGCGGCGGCCGGCGGCAAGATCAAGACGGTGGTGGTGCTGGTGATGGAGAACCGCTCCTTCGACCACATGCTGGGCTGGATGAAGTCTCTCAACCCGGAGATCGACGGCGTCACCGGCGACGAGATCAACCACCTCGACGCCGCCGACCCGACCTCCAGGGCCATCCGCTTCGGCGACGGCGCCGAGTACGTCGACCCTGACCCGGGCCACTCCATGCAGGCCATCTACGAGCAGGTGTACGGCACGCCGTTCGTCGACGCGCGCGCCACGCCCATCACCCCTCCCGGCGTCCCCTCGCCGCCGATGGCCGGCTTCGCGCAGCAGGCGGAGAAGGAGAAGCCCGGCATGGCGGACACCGTCATGAACGGCTTCCGGCCGGAGGCCGTGCCGGTGTACCGCGAGCTGGTGCGGCAGTTCGCCGTGTGCGACCGCTGGTTCGCGTCCAACCCGGCGTCGACGCAGCCCAACCGGCTGTTCGTCCACTCAGCGACGTCGCACGGGCTCGTCAGCAACGACACCAAGCTGCTCGTCGCCGGCCTCCCGCAGCGCACCATCTTTGACTCCCTCCACGACGCCGGCTTCTCCTTCGGCATCTACTACCAGTACCCGCCGTCCACGCTCTTCTACCGGAGCTTGCGCCAGCTCAAGTACGCCGGCAACTTCCACCCCTTCGACCTCGCGTTCCGGCGGCACTGCGCCGAGGGCAAGCTCCCCAACTACGTCGTCGTCGAGCAGCGCTACTTCGACCTCAAGATGCTCCCCGGCAACGACGACCACCCCTCGCACGACGTCTCCGAGGGCCAGCGATTCGTCAAGGAGGTGTACGAGGCGCTGCGTGGCGGGCCGCAGTGGGAGGAGGCGCTCCTCGTCGTCACCTACGACGAGCACGGCGGCTTCTACGACCACGTCCCGACGCCGGTGGACGTGCCCAGCCCCGACGGCATCGTCAGCGCCGCGCCATTCTTCTTCGAGTTCAACCGCCTCGGCGTCCGCGTCCCGGCGCTCTTCATCTCGCCGTGGATCGAGCCGGGCACGGTGGTGCACCGGCCGTCGGGGCCGTACCCGACGTCGGAGTTCGAGCACTCCTCCATCCCGGCCACCGTGAAGAAGCTCTTCAACCTCAAGAGCTTCCTGACCAACCGCGACGCCTGGGCGGGCACCTTCGACGTCGTCCTCACGCGCGACGCGCCGCGCACCGACTGCCCCGCCACCCTGCCGGAGCCGGTGAAGATGAGGCCGGCGACGGAGGCGGCGGAGCAGGCGGCGCTGACGGAGTTCCAGGAGGAGCTGGTGCAGCTGGGGGCGGTGCTCAACGGCGACCACGCCGACGAGGACGTGTACCCGCGCAAGCTGGTGGAGGGGATGACGGTGGCGGAGGCGGCCAGCTACTGCAACGCCGCCTTCAAGGCATGGATGGACGAGTGCGACCGCTGCAGGAAGTGCGGCGAGGACGGGTCCCACATCCCCACGGTGGTGAAGCCGCCGCCGCCGCCGTCGACGTCGTCCTCAGGCTCTAGCTCCTTTGCTTCCAAGTTGCTGTCTTGCTTTGCGTGTGGTCGTCCTAACAAGAATTAGTCAGTGAAGATGGCTGATTAATTGCTTATTCATTTCGCTTGTTGATTACTGTATAGATTATTAATTTGGTTGTGCAGGGAGGAGTACAGTACTAAGGCCGGATTTTACAGAGTGATTATGGGTGGTGTGTAGATTATTGATGTGATGATTGTATTACGAATGTTGGTTTACTGATCCTGCTGATCTGACCAGAAAAGAACTCTGGAAGTTCAGCTCAATCAGATTCGTCATTGAGACCCAAAAGTTTCCATTAAGATTGCATAGTACATCACCAACTGGACAAATGAATAGCAGGCAAACAGAATATCTGGAAAAGAACAGAGAAGCTAAGAACAATTTCACAGGAAATGAGTAACAGTTAGAAATGGCTACAAAATCAAAATGTTACAGCTGGAGTTTATTTCAACGGCACTAAGATGGCCCAGAGCAGTGATCTACAACACATCATGCTGTATTAGACAGGCATTTGAAGCAGGATGAAAATGCCTGCTCATCATGTGCAGACAGGTAATGCTACTAAGTTCATCTAGGAAACATTGGACACGTTTAAGCGTAACTTTAACGCCTTCAGCTCAAGAAGATATAAGCGGGATTGGTCTCACAGCACCCTGTATACGACGGAATGCAGTCTTGATCCTTTCTCTCAGTGTAGCATTTTCACATTCAACACCACCACTCCTCCCATCCAAGTGTGCTACTTGTCCATCCACAGATATAACAAGTTTCCCTTCCTCTGCAACTTTGACATCACCAAAAAGTGACACCATAAGAGCATAAACTACCTTCTGGGCCACCCTTTCCGTCTCTTCCTGTGTCTTCACTGCTTCTTCAACTGGGACAACTTTGGGACCTTCACGGCCTATGTTCAAGACCATGGCGACCACAGAATCAGACACCATATCACTGATAGGATCAGACGACCACTGCAATGTAACATAGCTTTCTGATTCCAGGCGAATGGTCACTCTCTCATGCACAATCAATGTTGGAACATCAGACTCCTCTGTTGATGACTCCACGCTCTCATATATTTGCTTCAGTCTGTACTTTATGACTTCAAAAGAACCAGAATATGGGACGGCAATCCTTTGGGTAATGTTAGCTGTAGATAGCTGCGTGTACACACGGAGATCCTCAGGAGCCATAATTTGATATGTGAATCCCTTCTTTACAAGCAAGCCATTAACTGATTCTCCAGCTTCCGGTACCTTTTCAGCCAACCTGCCAATTGTCTTGGCCATTTTCTCAGAACTGAAATACATCTCCACTGATTGGCAATTCTTGGGGTTAACAACTTTTATATTTGTCCCATCAAACTGAGAAATAAGCTTCTGCTTAAGTCTTGACATCTCATTTGCTTCCCCGTGTACAAGAACAATGTTGGGTGGCTGGAGCTCATCCAAGAAGGTGCTTGTCTGAGGGAAATCAGCATGAGCAGAAAAGGAAATATAGTGGACCTGCATATGAAGAGGAGCAGTGAGCCCATTCGCCAGTGTCACTTCTCTTGGCTCGTTAATAATGGTCTTTGCAAGGGTGCCTTCCACAACATAACCTGGAATAACACATGAATTCTTCTTATCTGTGCACCATTTGTCAAAGAGCTGCCTGGAGAGGCCACTCTGGAGACCACCTGGGCTTGCCATAACCACTGATGGACCCACATCATGAAAGTTATCTATGCTATTCAAAGACTCAATATGCTTGAAATGGAAGGGATTAGATTGTGCAAACTGGTTCCTAATCCTTTCATTCATGGAGTTGATGTATGTCTGGTAGACAGCCATGCATTTCTTGGCAAGAGGGGAGGCATAATAGATTGGAATCTTATGGAGCTCTGGGTGGTTGGCCCAATACTCATCCAGGATAAGTAGCAGCTCTTGAGCTCTTCCAAGAGCAAAGGCTGGGATAAGAACGCGACCACCCTGCGAGACGGTCGTGTGTATTACATCAGTGAAGCGCTTCTCTCGTACATGGCGGGGTTGGTGCTGCTGCACGCCATAAGTTGACTCGATAATGCAAATATCAGGGGAGAACTGGGGAAGTTCAGCAGCTTTCAGGTGGCGATCTTCCTCACGGGAGTAGTCACCAGTGTAAAGAACGCGAACCCCAGCAATGTCCACCATGAACATTGCAGCGCCAAGTACATGGCCAGCAGTATAGCACCAGAAGCGTATGCCATTAACTTCCAATGTCTGGTGGAAGTCTATGACCTGCAAGGCATTTTTATGTTAACAAAAGTATTCATTCACTCCATGAAATACATACAAGCTTTCGATCATCACAAGAAGAATCAACAATATGCTATATGGAAGGAAATGGTCAATGTTTACAAAGCAACAATCAGATGTTACAGGTTTCTCAGTTGATTATCAACCATCTAGAGGATTTCTGTCCATTCAAATTTGTTCTAACATATGCATTTGAAAGGGGTCGACAAAGTGCTGTACTGCTATATAGGCAATTTAAATCCATTCAGGGAGATAAAATACCTCAATTTTATCCATGGAACGAAGAATGTCTTGCTCGTCAAACAGCATATCCTCCACAGAAACTTTGCTGACTTTGACATAATCGGAAAGGAGCAGCCTGTAGATGGCCTTTGTGGCATGGGTCATGAACACGCGCCCCTTGAATGTCGTCTGCAAATAAAACCAGAGCAACTTGAGGATGCTGAATGGTATCAGGGCAATAGCTGAGCACTTACTGTCGAAGCAAAAAAACGGAAGATGGTGGAACATTACCTTCTCCAAGAAGTAGGGAAGAGAGGCAGCATGGTCCAAGTGAAAGCTGCAAATTTTAAGGGCGAAGTTAAGCAAGAGACGCACAGATTTGACAGAAGGGGCAAAGAAAATAAAAGAAAAAGGGTGAAAAGAGAGTGGGGGGAATAAGTACTGGGTGATTAGGAGGACATCAATGGTGGAGGGATCGATCTCATCGAAGTAGGGGAGCGCCGCCATGCCGGAGTAAGCCGGGTGGATGCCGCAATCGAACTATCCAAGAATCCAAACCACACCACACCACATGACAAACAAAAGCAGAAATTATCATAAAAAAGAAAGCAGTGGAAGCTAGGGTTTGGAGGGAAAGAGTGGGGGGATTGGATGCTCACGAGGACGGTGCGGCCCTTGAATGACATGTAGACGCAGGAGCGGCCGACCTCGTTGCCGGCGCCCAGCGGAGTGATGATGAGCTGGTCTCCCTCCCGCCCGCCGGAGGCCTGCCGCTTCCCCGGCGGCCCCCCGGCGGTCGGTGCGGCGGCGGCGGCGACGGACGACGCCATTTTCCCCTTCACTTGCTGACGAGCGGAGAAGGAAAGACCTTTTAGGGCTTTGGACACGGCGGACTCGAAGCAGGCTGAATTAAGTTGGGCCCGGAAGGGCTTGCAGTCCAAGCAGCCCTGGAGCTGGACAGTAAGTTCACTTTAGCTCCCTTAACCAATCTAATTTGTATCTTGAACCGCAATTACCGGGATTTCTAGCCCTCGGCCCTTCGCCGCCAACACTGCTCCAGATCCTGCACCGAAGTGGAGAGGAAGAGAAACATAGAGAGAGAAGGGAGAAAGAGGGAAGAGCAAGAAGGATAGAGGGGAGATGGCACGGGGGCCTCATATTTTTTATTGTGTGAATGACGAATGGGGCTCACACACATATTTTTTTTTAATTCTAATGCCATCTAAACTCCATGTCAACACTCACGTCCGTGAAACCGTCCTCCAAAACTGCTGAGGGAGTCAAATTGCATCGGTTTTAATAGTTGAGGGATCAAGATATCCCATATTGGAGTTGAAGGAAACGAATTATATTGGTTGAGATATCATGGAGCTGGAGCATAACTTTAGCACAACTCAGCTCCAGCTTCACGTCTTCTAGAGCTAGAGCCTAGCCTAACAATTTCAGTTCCAACTTAAATGGATCAGAGTTGGATGGGGAACTCTCACAAAATGAACTAGAGATGTAGAGCTGGGTTTAGACTGCTCCACAACTAAATTCTAGACCTAACGTCTGGAGCTAAATTTAGGAGTTGGAGCTCTACCAAATAGACCCAGAGAAATTCGATAGCAGGCATGGAGCTAGCCCATCGAGCTAGACTAATGGGGAGAAGAAGTTGAGTCGTGCAGGCTTGACGTACGCAACCGTCCTTGCATTGATCTATAGGTGTCTTAGGTGGTGTTTGGATCCAAGGGCTAAAATTTTAGTCTCTATCACATCGGATGTTTTTGACACTAATAAGAAGTATTAAACTTAGACTAATAATAAAACTAATTGTATAAATGAGAGCTAATTCGCGAGATAAATTTTTAAGCCTAATTAATCCATAATTACCACATGTTTACCGTAGCATCACATAGACTAATCATGGATTAATTAGGCTCAATAGATTTATCTCGCGAATTAGTCCAGGTATGGTATGAGTTTTGTCATTAATTTACATTTAATACTTCTAATGAGTGTCTAAATATCCGATGTGATAGGGACTAAAATTTTAGTCCCTGATCCAAACAACCCGTTAGATTCGAGGGCTAGTTTATTCAGTTTGAGGAATTTTAATCCATAGAAATAGGAAAGTGAAAAAAAAATAAATGCACGTATCAATTCATATGAATTTTTTCAAAAGATTTGAGTGAACGGAAGTCTTCCTATGTTTTTTCTCTACAACTTAAAGGAAAAGAAAAAATTCGTTTGGTTTTCCTATAACTTATTTATACAAACCGAATGGGAACTGTAGAAATTATTTTTGGGAATCCATTTTGTTTCCTTCAAACCGATTAAACCAATGCACAAAAATGCTAATTGTCAGGGTTATGGATACCACATACCTAATAGTAGTTGACTTAATCTCGACAGGACCCACCATATACCATGTCTTATACGGAAACAACCTTCGGATATAGGAGGAGTTCCGTATAAGGAAGGATGAATAGAGTTCTACATGAAAATGGCAATGACTACTCGGAGTATCCATATTGGTTTTCCTAGTTCTACTTGGACAAGGGGACACTTATGGGTATAAATACAAGGCCCCCTAAGAGGAGAGGGGACACGGAACAATAGATCAAGACATAAGATCAACATACAAGCCAACATACGCCAAGACAAGACGCTGGATATCGACTTAAGAGATAAGCATGGCTAGTCCCCTATGGTGTCTACAGATGCTGTTAGGAGAGACATAGCGCTGTCTTTGATCTCACCGGATGCGGATTCGATGAGGAAGGCTACCCTGTTGTCGACTACGAGTCAGAACTTTAGACCACCATATTGACAACAGTTAGATAGGCTACCCCAAATATTGTACTGGTGTGACTATGGTAAATAAGAGCAACGACCGGCTTCGGCCAACATGAGTAGGGTTATTACCTGACAATTCAGGGGCCCGGACATATATACAAATCCTTGCCTCCGTCTCTTTTACCTAAATCTCGCGTATATCCTAGTACCAACGATCCCCATACTATGCAAATACCGGAATCGCGACATCAAACGTCGACACTAATATAATGTTCCTATGTAGTCACGTGCCTTTGTTGGTTGCCCTGTTCACATCGTGGTTCTCACTAAACTGTGATCTTCACTCAACCTTTTCAACTCCGCTCACTCAGTTTTTACGCGTACGTTTCCTAAACTATTAAACTGTATGCTTTTTAAAAAGAAATTCTATGAAAAAGTTACTTTAAAAAATATTACATGCGCGAGAGATTATTTCTCACCTCCAACTACCGAACACAGCTTTAAGCTACCCATCATGGCGTTACTAAACTACGCATATAGTATTATATATGGTACTACCTAATTCAAGGTCTTCGTATCAAAGTCTTTGTTTTTTCTATAAAAAAAAACAAACGAAGAAGAGGAATAAATAGATGGCTCCACGGCTGCCAATAAAGCGCATTCCCGCAGGCGCGTTCAAATGGAATCAATCCTTTTTCACATCATGGTGTCACTAATTTTATGCATAATATAAGCATTTCTGTAATGATTCATATTACTCCAATAATTGCAATGGTCTTAGAGTCAATCAGATCGATTGTTACAAAGAAATTCAAACATATAAAAATTAACAACTGAATGACAAATATGGAATCTTTTAGCCTAACCTTAGAATTTATTAAACACCTATTACCTCGCCTCCCAAAATATATAGATTTTTAGGATTGTACATGGTTATTTAAAAATAGCTAGGTATAACTAAACGAGAGAAAATCGTGATTGAGTGACAAGTGGAGGTATGTGGGGAAATTAAATGGTGGAGAATTTTGATTAGTTGGGAAGAGAATATTGATGGAGAAGTTATCATATTCTAGAACGAATTCTAGAGATTAAAAATTATTATATTTTGGAACGAACAGAGTATATAGATCCTTGAAATGTAAACATAGACGGGTACAACACAAACACAAATATTGACCAGACGCGTCAATGCCCCCCCCCCCCCCCCCCCCCGGGGGGAGTGCATCGATTCTTTTACAAGGACCACCTTCACATCATGCCGTGGATAGTCTATTTCAAAGTTTCCTTTTTTATTATTAAGAAGAAGAAGATATAGACTCTCCCTCAATGGCTTACGAGCCGTAGCCAAAATTTAAATTTTAAAAATTAAATTTGAAGATGATTTTGAGGTTAACTTATTAAGTTGTATCGGTAAGCTCACCTATTAAGTTTTAAGTTTTAGGACTATATTGCACCCACATGTCAATTCAATCTCCCGTGAATATAATTTACTTATTTTTTAAAATGACTTAAAACACATACTCCTATATGCAAATTTTACCTCTAAAAAAATTTAGTTGCTTTAGTTCAATTTAAGTCGTGGAGCAAACGATAAAATTGGTAGTAATCATGCACCATGGTCGCCGAGGAGGCATGTCAATGTGTTCCGACACGTACACTAGTAAATGAAATGGCAGGGGGAGGGTTAGGTGAAGACAAAAATGTGTTTTTCATAAAAGTTTCTTCTACTTAGTGTGTCTAGATCCAGGGTGAAAATTTTTTACCGTATCAAATCGGATATATGAACACATATTTAAAGTATTAAATGTAGTCTAATAACAAAACAAATTACAGAATTCACCCGTAAACTGCGAGACATATTTATTAAGCCTAATTAATCCGTCATCAGCAAATATTTAATGTAGCACTACATTGTCAGATCATGGAGCAATTAGGCTTAAAAGATTCGTCTCACAATTTACACACAATCTGTGTAGTTAGTTTTTTTAATCCATATTTAATACTTCATGCATATGTCCAAACATTCGATGTGACAGGATAAAAAAAACTTGCTAGGAGATCTAAACAGGCCATTATATATTTCTACTATCCTATAATATCATTATATATTTCTACTATCCTATAATATAAGACATGGTCAAACTTGACACGGTAAAAAAAAACTAATCTTTTCTCTTATAATTTATCATATATTATAAGGTTTGTAGTGACAAAATTATAGCCATACGAAAGTAAATTCAAATGTCAATTCAATATACAACTTTTAGCAAGTAAAATTCAATTCATATCGTACTAAATATTGGTCATTTTGAATGTGAAATCTTGAAATACGCGAGCACCTTATATTATGTGAGTATCTTATAATGCCTATCCTACACATTTTGTTAACTTTATTTTTTAAAAGATACTAGTATTATATTAGACTAGCCAGGGAATCATCAATCATCATTTTTTTTGAACGAAATCAATCATCATTTTGATACACGGGTTCTTTCGGAGGTGCGCTTCATCAAGCATCCAATCCACTTGAACCACTTGACTGCTCCTAAAAGCAATATATAAGCAGACCATCGTCTAGCTAAGCTTATGATCATGAGCAAACTCCTAATAAAATCCCTCACCCATAGGAAAATCGGAGCAACGACGTACACGCTCAAATTCCCACATACGCGCGCCTCGATCGATCGATCGTCTCTAAGTCGAGTCGTTGGTCCTTGTGTGGTTGAGAGAGAGAGAGAGATGAATATCGGGCCTAGAGAACAGAGAGCATTTGCGAGAATGACGCCAGAAGACCGAGCGTGGTTGATAAAGGGCAAGTCGGTGGTGCTGACGTGCCTAGCGTCGGTCCTCCTGCTGTCGGCCGGCAGCATCAAGGCCCCCAAGACTTGCACCGGCGGCATGTTCTTGGGGCCTATAATCGCTATCGGCCTCTTCCTCATTGTCATGTTCGTGGTGGGTTCGTGTGGCCTGAAGAAAAACGATGGTGACCTCTACGACTGCTACCTCCTCGGCGTGTTCTTGGCAATCCTCCTCCTCCTCGCCTTTATCATCTTCGGATACGTTGCCGTGGGAGGCATCGACGCGGGGCATGCGGCGAATGCCCGAGAGTACAGCCTCAGTGAGTGCAAGCGGGGGTGGCTTAGGGGTCGCGTCACCCACTCCTCGCATTTCTGGGCATCAACCAGCGCGTGCCTCCGCCGCAGCCACGTCTGCAACGGCATGACTAACCTGGTACGCAACCCCGACACCGGCATTTTTGTTCCCCGCCCATCCTCCTTCGAAAGGTGGGCCAAGAGACACGGGGTGGACGCCGACCCACGTGTAATGTCCCCTATCGAGGTACGTACCGCCTTTTTCTCTACTCCCTCCGTCTCAAAATATAACAATCTTGTACTAGATAGGACACATATTAATACAACGAATCTAGACAGGTTATACTAAGATATGTCCCATCCAGTATAAGGTTGATATATTTTGGAACGGAGGGAGTATCATTCGCATGCACACCTATAAAACTAGCGAGAAGCTCCGCGCGACTGGATACGTGTCGCGCGTGGAGAGAAGAGCGGCGAACACTAATTGCATAAATGAGAGCTAATCCGTGAGATAAATTTTTTAAGACTAATTAATTAATCAGTAATTAGCACATGTTTCTGTAGCATCACATAAGCTAATCATGGATTAATTAGTCTCAATAGATTTGTCTCGCGAATTAGTCTAGGGTTTTGTCATTAGTCTACGTTCTAATTAATGTCAAATATTCGATGTGACAAGGACTAAAATATTTTAGCCCTATTCAAACTCCCCCTTATTAGGTTGTGTTTAGCTTTACCCTGCGTTCCCAACTCACATCTCTTGTTATTTTACCTAGATGACTATTCTATTACATTGATGTGGAAAATTAAGTTATGTAATATGTATAAATAAGATGTAATATAATTATTAAAACTTAAAAAAAATGACTTGCATCTACAGTCTGGATGCTGCAAGCCACCATCATCGTGTGGATTAACATACGTGAATGGGACGACGTGGATATCGACAGCAGCATCAGCAGGTGCCCCAGCTGCCGTTGCCCAAGTAACCAACAACAACAAGGACGACGACTGTAGCCGGTGGAGCAACGACCATCAAACGCTTTGCTTCCAGTGCGACTCGTGCAAGGCTGGCTTCCTCCGCCACACCAGTCAGGCCTGGAGTGTCGCTGCCATCTATATCGTTCTCGCCTTCATCGGGCTCATTCTTTCCTCACTTGCACTCTACGCAGATCAAGCAACTGGGAATAATAATACTGGAAGATCACGATGAGTACTAGCTAGCAGCTACTCCCAGTTATATATATACATGTGCGTGAAAATCTCTGAAGCTTAATTCATTTACCTTTTACCTGCAGTACGTACGTACGTACAAAAGACGTACTAGGATCGCATGCACGTGCGTGGTGTGTAATGGTGCTATATATAAAGGCCTGGTCCTTAATTAATTTGTTAACGTTTTTACTGAAACTAGCTACTCTCTCCGTTTTATATTATAAGTCGTTTGATTTTCTTACTAGTCATTATCAAATTAGTTTCATTAAATCTAAAATTGAATATATTTTGATAATATGTATTATTTACGTTGAAATACTACTATACTCTTCTAGAAACTTGATCAAACTTAACGAGTTCATGGTGCCTTGCCACTATACTCTCCCAGCACACTTATGCTTTGTCGTCATCATGGTTACATTGTGGTGTCCTCTGTCCTTGATATGGGATGTTAGGTCCCGATCTTCCGATAGGTACTGATAAACAGTCGATTTGTGCGGAGTCGTGACACAACTCGATCCGGCTTTTGAACGAACACGCTACTGAGGCTCACAATCGCAGAACCACGTCTCCTCTGGTTATCAACCGTGCCGAAACCCGGTTGACCTCGCCGAGAAGGCTAATCCCTGTATGCAAATCGAAGAACACAAGCAAGAACAAGATATATTGCAACCAAATTACATATGAATGATTAAACACTCGAATTTGGGGTTCTACAAACCGATCTAGCGGCGAAACTATTCTTGACAGAATAATATAAGCAAAACTTGACTCTAAAAGATAACGGCTACTGAATAAATGTGATTAGGGACGTCATAGGGTTGCCCTAGCGCGCACACCCCCTTGGGCTAAGCCCACGACACAATTACAAGGCCCAAAACTTTTCCACACACACAAACTTCCAACTTTTCTGTCACATCGTTCCAATTTTAACCAAACTTTCAATTTTAGCGTGAATTAAACACACCCTAAGGAGAAATAGGACTATATTTTTGGCAATAACTAAGGGAAAGCCTGGAAGCTTTCATGGACACTGATGTCACAAACTGCACACTTTGTTGCTAATCAGAGATGCTGTACTGCTAGCGATCAGACTTGGCTGCATTTTCAGTCGCGTGATATTTTGACAGCAAATATTTGATCATTGCACACATCCGCAAGCCATCAAGACGATCTGGAAACGGGAAAGATCTGGTAGACACTATTGAATCGCAAAACCACGAAGCTATGGATCACCAAAAAGATGCAAAAGATTAGCCCTAATCGCACCGTGATTAAGCAGTTGTCTGCGACGTAACCAATCTCACTTTGCATAGTATTACGGTCTGATCCAAAGAGAGAGTATAAAGCTAGGTTGTTCCTGACAATCAAACTTGTTCCTGACATTACACTATCTCACCCGTCCGTCACTAAGGTGACTAACTAAAGCTATATCATCTCTCAAAATATCGTTCTGATGGTCTTCCAGCATCCTTTTATAGCATTCATCCAAAAGATCGTTCTTGTTGAGATCAATCGTAGCATGTATAGTGAAATCAGATTAGAAACATAAGCATCTGTCTGAACAGAGAAATCAGGCAGCCCACTAGTATGCTTTCCTAAGACTATATTCCTCAATTACCAAATCAAACACGTCTGCAAACTGAGGATTTCGCTGCGCCGAGCCGCTGGCCGCGCAGCCAACGATTTTTGCCGCGCCGCTGCCTGCCGGGAGGAAGTGAAAACCTGCATCAGGGAGAGATGCGGTTCCTACGTCGGGGCGAGATGCGATGCGTCGGACCTGATGCGAAGAAGCGAAGAAAACATCCCATACCAAAATTACCCCTAAACTATATTAGGATATTACTAATCTATCCTATAAAATTAATGGTCAAGATTAATTCTACTTGTGGTAGAATACTTCAAGTAGAGAGCATTGGAGCGTAACTCTTCTCCAGAATATACAAATCGGTCACCTGCTCCACTCAATTTACAGGCATAACGCTATCTACTTTCATATTTAGTGATGGTTTATTAATGTATGACCTGGATAGAACCTTCGCAGGCAGGCCAATTTCCTAACAGTTTCCATGGTGTAAAGCAGTAGTAAAGAAGAAAAGGTATACGCCGAGCTTTATAGAGAAAGCATAAAGTGTCTACAAGGTAACTGCTGGGAACTCCAGCTTACAAGACAAGACGGATCAAATCTTTCAAGCTCATGATGTTCTTACAGGCATTGAGGTTTGGAGTTGGCCTCGTCGCCGAATTGCAAACACCTGGACGAAGAAGACAACGGCCAGCCTCGGCCCGTCCCCTGGTAAGTTGTACTGCTACCAGATGTACCTCTTCCTTCTCTAGTCGCTGTTGTCTAAAATTATGAGAAACAGCTGGTTGGTAGTTAGATTTTAAAAATTTAGAAAGGCTGAGTTTCGCAGCTTCTAGCATCTAGTTTATTTTATGAATTCTACAACTATAGTTTCTGAGAATCTGGACAAAAAGCTGGACTGTTTGGGGAGCTTCTTATTCTGGGAGAAGCTGCAACAGTTAGAAGTTGGATATTTTTTTACCATGTCAGAATGTCACTATAATGTCTTAATAATAGTTTTTTCTTCTTAAAATATAGCAATCTAAAATCGAATGAGACACGTTCTAGTAATATGAACGTAGACATGTCCCGTTCAGATTTATGGTATATGATATATCTCATCCGATCCTTGTATTTTTAGACAGAGGTGGTATAGTAGAGCCCCATTGAATGTGATTTCATAATATTTTCAAAATTAGTTTTTAAGTCGTTAAAAATAAATATATAACAGTTTTATATATAAATTAATTTGGCTCATTTACGTATTAGAAAATATGGGTAAGTGGGCAACCGATGGGGACAGTAGTTTAGTGGCGTCATCCTGCCAAGGAGCCTGGAGGTCAGCACTGACGTTGCTGGAGGTGAGTAGCCATGGGCCAATGGCCATGGCATGTACCGGCCGGCGGCCGGTGCAGGTGAATTGAGATGAGAGGCTCAACTTGTGGCTGCTTTATTGTGTTACCGGTGACCGACGACTTGGACCGTCAAATGCCTCGTCGCGCACTAGTGGAAATTAAGGCAGACGCGTGAGCTCGTTTTATAATACTGAAATACTTTCTCCATTTCAGTGAACAGAGGGAGTATAGTTTTTTCTGTCACATACTCATGTGGAAATACTCCCTCCGTTTCAAAATGTTTGATACCGTTGATTTTTTAGCACATATTTGATCGTTCGTCTTATTTAAAAAGATTTGTAAAATATGTAAAACTATATGTGTACATGAAAGTATATTTAATAATGAATCAAATGATATGAAAAAAATAAATAATTACTTAATTTTTTTTAATAAGACAAACGGTCAAACATGTACTAAAAAGTCAACGGTGTCAAATATTTTGAAACGGAAGGAGTATCATACTAGTCTCTATACAAATATTTTTCTTTTCTTTTTGTTACTTTATGGACCCTAAACACTATGCATGCGGTGGAAAAGTTTGGGAGTTGGGGACCCTCGATTTCTGCTAAACGACATGACTTTTAAAAAAAAGAAAATCATCGGATTTTCTTAGAATACCTTTGTTAAATTAATTTTTAACTTTCCCATTGTCGGCATTGACCTCAGCTCAGACGAGGTGACGAATCCTAGCAAAAACCGTGTTGCTTTCAATATAAGCAGAGTCTTTTGACCTTTTCTCTAGAAAAAAAAAAAGACGAGGTGACGAAGCTGTTGGAAATTTGGTCATAATTCGGCATATTTTAATCCAAAATAACAAGATAATAAACATGATATTTATAATGGGATTTGATCCAGTGATAATGGTGAATGTAATCAACATGAGCATGCTTAACGTTGAATAAGCATCAACAATCACATAATGACACAATGTTGACATTGCGATGAACATTAACAGTAAAACTTCTAAGTGAAATAATGTAATAAGGTTATACCCCAAGAATGGTCCTCCGCTGGAGTTTGAGGCAGTATTGCCTCCGTTGGTGTTGACGGGAGTCTCCTTCTCCTTGTCTCCAGTGTTCGACATGTTGGTGAAGATGAAGTAGATGTTGACGAACAGTGAGTAGTCGCGCCTTGCGCTCCCCAAAAACCTGATCGCCCGCCCGTCTGTGCAAACGTCGCAGCAACGCGTGGTTTCGGAGGCCTACTCTCCCAACGCGTGTGCACACACTCGTCGGGATGGGATTACCGTAGCAACAACAGCTTTAGAAAATGGATGAAAGTGTGTCTTCCTTTTCTCGCGGGAGATCAAATCCATTCCCATTTTATAAGAGGAATGGAAGATGAAGAGTAAGAGTCATGGAATAGGAAGAGGAATGGAGCAACTAATTGTCATCAACTAGCCATGAACCATCCTCCACTACACAACCATCAACCAACAATCAATTAAGAGTAATTGATGTAAGTTACCAATGGAATAGGAAGAGGAATAGAGCAACTAATTGTCATCAACTAGCCATGAACCATCCTCCACTACACAACCATCAACCATCCATCAATTAGGACTAATTGATATAAGTTACCAATTCCTTAATCAAATGGATTAATTCTCAAAACTCTTCATCCCATTGATATCCCATAGAAGAATGAATTCACATGAATTCCTAGCATAATGAGCCTTGGAATTTATTTGATTTAATTGATTTAAATGGATTAATTACCCAATTAAATCTAACAGAAGCTGAGTCTAAAGGTGATTCGATTCATAATGCATATGCAGTCCACTTGAGTCACAGGACTAGCTAGCTATTCCCGAATGGACAAACGTACGGTTGCAATATATAAGCAGCCGAGCATGCATCGTTGGGAGCAACATACACTCAAATTCCCTGGCAGGCTCATCTGTTTGTTGGGAGAGAGAGAAGAGATGAGTAATATTGGGATGGGGATGGGGGTGATAGAAGCTGGGCGATTTATGAGAATGAGTTCAGAACGACGAGCGAGGCACTTGGTGGGCATGGGTGTTGTGCTGACGTTGAACACGTCGATCCTAATACTGGGTAGCGCCACCCGTGCCCCGACGCATTGCACCCGTGGCGTCTTCTTGTGGCCCTGTATCGCGATCGGCCTCTTCTTCATGGTCGTCTTCATCTTGGGCCTGTGCGGCGCGAAGAACAACAACGAGGGTCTCTTCTTCTGCCACCTCCTCGGCGTGTTCATCGCCATCCTCGCCCTCATCGGCTTCATCATCTTCGGTTACGTGGCCATCGGACCAGGCATCGACCTCAGCGATGTGAAGGCACGCGAGTACAATCTGGACGACTACAAGAGCGGGTGGCTCAGGGCTCGTGTGGACGACGCCGCGTACTGGGCAACAACCAGCGCCTGCCTCCGCGGCGACAGGGGCGCCGGGTGCAAGGCCATGACGAAACTGGTCCGTGACCCACACTCCGGCTTGTTCGTCCCCGACGGCGGCCGCCGGCACGTCGACATGTCACCTATCCAGGTATGTACGTATTTTTGGGATATATGGATCACGGATAGTTTACAATTACATACTACTATCACTAATTGGAACCTCTCCCTAGTAGCTTATTATAATTAACTGAATATATAGTCTGGATGCTGCAAGCCACCATCATCGTGTGGATTCACATATGTCAACGGGACGACGTGGACACCAACACCAGCAGCAGCAACAAACAACGTCGACTGCAGCAGGTGGAGCAACGACCAACAAAAGCTCTGCTTCCAGTGCGATTCATGCAAGGCAGGCTTCCTCGACCACACCAGGAAGGCCTGGAGCTCGGCTGCCTTCTTTCCCATTTTCTGCTTGATCGCGGCCATTCTTTCATGCTGTTCAGGTTTAAAATATGGAGGGGTTCTCCATGAATAAGTTGTTATCTTACTTTGTTTATTTTTATCATGTTTAGGCTTTGAGCCAACAACCTTATAATAAATGATTGTTCCTTTGTTTATTTTTGTCATGTTTGGGCTTCGAGCCAAGAACTTTATAATAGGAGACTGTAGCTTCTCTCAAAGCAAAAGCCAGATTTAATATTCATTATCTAAAAAGGTTGGAGGAGTTACTAGATGGGATACAAACAGCTCATAAGAGTTTTCATATTATATTTATTGTTATTTTTTTAAAAAAAAATAGAAAATGATTTTTTTATCCAGCCTCTATATCCAACCGGATATATACATTTTTTTTCTAAATTGGGAACTTAGTCCATCAAACAGCTCAGTCCGAAATTCACGCTTCTATGGAAATTTGAACCTAGGACCTTGAGATGCTACTCTTATTTGTTGCTAATTAAGTTTCAAGAGAAAGGAGAGAAGTTTAAAATCTGAATTAAGTTGAAGCAGGCTGAATTAAGTTGGGCCCGGAAGGGCTTGCAGTGTACGTGAGGCCTGGTCAATCCAAACAGCCCTCCAGCTGGGGAATAAGTTCGCTTAACTATCGACCAATCTAATTTGTATCCTTCAACCCGATATCTCGATCCCAACTATAAAAACCGATGCAATTTAACTCCTTTAATAATTAGAGGTTTTCCTGGTTTCGCTGATGTGGCATCTACATGGTAGTGTTACATTGGTCTATGTTGTTGATATGGCGCTTAGGTGGTATTAGAATTAAAAACATATATGTGGGTCCCATTCATCACTCACCCAAAAGAAAAGAGGGCTGCTATACAACGGAATCCCGTTGTGACGAGATGATACCGGTTAGGTATGAGGTTCTGATACCTCTGAGGTATCATGTCTTGATATCTAACCGGTATCATGTGATACTTGTGAGGTATCATGTGATACCTATAAGGTATCAGACGATTCCTATTACGTATCAGGTGATACTCGCGAAGTATCATATGATACCTGTCAAGTATCAGGTGATACCTGTGCGATTCCTACTACGTATTAGGTGATATTTCTATTCCTACCACGTATTAGGTGATACTTGCGAGGAATCAGGAGCCGGGCACCAAAGCATCGTCGCCGGTGATCCCACCGTCCACGTCGGAGCTCGTCGCCAGCGGCCACATCCTCCACCATCCACGCCACGTCGGAGCTCGTCGCCGGTGTCAGCGTCCTCCATCATCCAAGCCCCACGCCGAAGCTCGTCGCCGGCGGCCGCATCCTCCACCGTCCACGCCACGTCGGAGCTCATCGCTGGCGCCCGCGTCATCCGTCATCCACGCTCCACGCCGGAGCTCGTCGCTAGCGGCCGCATCCTCCATCGTCCACGCCACGTCGGAGCTCGTCGCCGGCGGCCACGTCCTTCGTCATCCACGCCACACATCGGAGAGAGCCCCTTCCTCTTCTCCGGCGATTTGCTCCCTGACGGAGCGGCGAGGTGAGGCGAGGCGAGGCAGCGGGGGCCTTCTCCGATGAGCTCCTCTCTCTCTCTCTCTCTCTCTCCGCTTAGCAAGCCCCCTTCTTCCTTCACTACCGCATGCTGCCATTGTGTTGCTCTGCTGCCCCGCTTAGTGCTCTGGGACAAATAAGAAGACGATACCATCACGGGTGTTGAGAACGGGATACCGGTATCTAGCTTTTTCGAAAGAAAATTGTGGGGAAAATTAATTAAGGTTGTAAAGTAAGTAAAAGCGAAGAAGACTAGGTATATTCTTTCTTCGATACTTTATTCATCGGCTAGCCCAGGTTTTATAGCCTGCGATAATAAAAAGGTTACAATAATTGAGCTCAATCAACACTGATTACAAGCTCTAAGTTCAGGAACGTACACGAGCAACGACAAAATGAATGACGTAAATACGTAAAGCGCACCGGTGTATCGGATGTATTCGAACTGTACGTGCGGCTTATGCTGTATATATATGGGCCGGTCGACCGTAATTGTGATGTACGTGCGGCCTATTATGCTGGAGCGGGAATGTCGCTCGCATGATAAGTTCATGTGAGGTCCATTAACTTGTCAACGAATTCGATTTCCGTCCTTCAACCGAAAAACTAGATACAACGGATCTGTCAACTGTTAAACTAGTGTAGATGAAATCCCTTAGCGGTTTTGGCTGACGTGGCGGTCTTCATCTAACTGGCATTGATATAACGTTTACGTGACAATTCGATTCGAAAAATAATAAACCCAGTGAGACCCAACTGTCAGTTTCACACCCAAATTAATAAAAAATGGTGGGTCCACGTGGGCCCCACATGACATTTCCACTCCTCTTCATCTTCCTCCTCCTCTCTCCCCTCTCCCCTCTCCCGGCACGACAGAGAGTCAACGGCGGGGGAGGGGAGGGGATTAATCGGCACCACCACATCCACGCGACGGCGAGGAGGCGGCGCGGCGATCACATACCGCACCACCGCCGCACATCCTCCTCCCCCGGCCGGGGAGGTCACGACATAGACGGATCATCCAATCATCCGATCACTGCCGCAGCCAATTAACTTCAGAGCTCTCGTAGGTGTTCGTCCATTTGTGACAGTAGCAAAGAGAAGTGGTGAGTTTGTAGTGTTGCTGCCATGGCCAACTACGCCTGCGTCGTCCTCCTCGTTCTCTCCGGCGGGGTGGCGTTGGCGGCGGCGTGCCGAGGGGTTGGAGCCAGAGGCAGCCAGCCGACAGTCAGCATGGGTCCCACATGTCAAGGCCTATTCATCTCTCTCTCTCTCTTCCTCCCTTGTTCCCATCTCACTAGGCAACGAGCAGTGAGCTAGTGAGGAGAAGGCCGGCCAACGACGGGCGGTGCCGGTGAGGCGATCGGAGGCTGTTTTGCTCAAGCGGGACCATGACACGACGACGTACGTCCTGTGGAGAAACTCACCAGCACGCGCGCGCGAGCTGGACTCGATGCATATAGCAATTAAAACACGCCCTACAGTGCTGGCATGAGATCATTGACCAGATGGCGATAGGCACAATAGATAAGAGACAAAAATAAAAAAGTTTGTTTCGTTGGAAGCTACTTCTATTAAGCTAGGTAGGGCGCGGGACAACATGCAAAACGATATACCCCATATTACTCTCTCCGTTTCAGGTTATAACATGTCTTGGATTTTAGTAAAAGTCAAACTGCTTCAAATTTAGCTAAGTTAATAATAATATTTATATTACCGAATTAGTTTAATTATAAATATATATCTTCTCTACTATTATAAAAATTGAATATGTTTTTGTCAGTATTTTAGTACGTCTGTCGGTGATATGGGACCGGGAGTATCATGGCCAGAGGCTTGAGGCAGACGCAATCGCCCACGTGGCCTGGCACCTTCGGGGACGTCGGGCCCGAGGGTGAGGTGTCCGCCCTCCTCCTGATCTCCCCCGAGGGGGGGTCGGGTTGCGCTTGCCCCGGCCCCTAGGGCCGAGGCACCCCGACCCCTTAAGGACGTCTGCGCCACATATATGGGATAAGTGAGCACAGCTGTGCTCACCTAACAGCATTTATTGCAGTCTGGTCAAGCGTGTCACGCTGCATGCAACGCAGCACAGCGCGTTCCTTTATCCGGTCTGTGACCAGTCACAGACCGGTCAGATCACGGGTTAGGTGGCGACTGACGGGCTGACGCACGCTTTGCCCCGTCCCGTCAAGACGAAAGCCTCTAGGCACTCGTCTCAAGCCGGAGCTAGCGTGTTATCTCTTAGAGATAACACGTTAGCCCTGGTCAGATTTATACCAGGCTTCATCCTAACCATTACAGGCAAGGTGTTACACAAAGAAGGGCGAACATGCATGTTGTTAAGCTGACGCGTGGTGGACAAGAATGACCGGTCTGGCACTGGTCGCGTCAGCTACGGGCAGCCACGATCCCACGTTGCGCCTGTCTCCGCCGGGAGTGGAGGTAGGTGTGGGCTGTCCCATCGGAGTGTCATTCGGACAGCAATCATACCAATCTCCGTCCATAAAGAGAAGAAAAGTCCAGTTTGGAAAGGGAAGGGTGCATGTGGTATCCCCTTGAAGTATAAAAGGAGGACCTTGCCCATAGAGAAGTGGTTGGTTGATTCTTTTCCAGATTGAGAGCTGAGAACGGGGGAGAAGTCGACTCACACTTTGTAGCTCATTCATACACAAATCCACAAAAACACAGGAGTAGGGTATTACGCTTCGCAGCGGCCCGAACCTGTATACATCGCCGTGTCTCGTGTGTCTTGCGGGCGAGTGATCTTTCCACAGACAGAGAGAGTGAGAGAGCTTGGGATTGCACCCTAAGCCCCTGGTCGAACCGGCAAAGGGGGGCTTGCGCAGTCTCCCGGTGAGGGGCCACGAGCTCCGTCATCTGGCGCGCCAGGTAGGGGGCTCAGCGTGTGTTTTCTGAGCTCTCAGACTCTTCCGTGTGCGCCAAGTTTTTCTTGTTCTGCCTAATGGCCGAGCAAGCAAAGGCGCACGACCTCTCTCCGAGTGTGAGCGGCGACGACGGGGAGCCAAACCCACGCCGTCGAGCTCGTACTCCCCCGCCTCCACACCAAAGTCCTAAGCAGGGGGAGGCGCTCGAGAGGGTTGGTAAATCCGCAGCGTCACCGGTTGCGGGTGATGCAGGAGAACGGCGAGATGGGGAGCGTTGCCTCCTCGTCTACGGCGACGGCAGCACGCCTCAGGGCGCGCTTCAGGCTGCTAGCGCGCTCCTACGTCACCCACCCGTCGTCCATGACCCTGAGTCTCCAGCTCAGCGATGGCTGGACGACGTGGCCAACTTGGTCGTGACGGCCCAGCAGCGCCTGGGTGCTGGTGGACGGTCCGCCGCCACCAAGACTTCCGGCGCCGCTACCACCGGTTCCGTGTCATCAAGGCGGAGGGCGCGGCGAGCGGCGGCGGCTGCACGGCATTCGGCTACCACTCCCTCGTCGACACCTTCGACTCGGGAGGATCAGCATGGGGAGCCGGATGCCCGCCTCAACATCGAGCGCCGGCGTAATAGCCGGCGTACTCCCCGTGCAACGGAGGGCGCCTCCTCGTCCAGAGTGTCACCTCGACATGGACGTGAGGATCAGCCCTCCGTGCCCCCGGCTGGT